TATCATAATGTTTTCCTTCTTTCATCTTGATAACTTTTAAATATATTCTACCCTTGACCCAGAATCTTTTAACTGTATTTTTAAAGCATCTTCTTGGTGACTACTAATCAAGCATATATATTATGTTCCTAGATGGCTCTTAGTTCTTGGCTTATATTATTAAGTAATCATTAATACTCTTAACAAGATTCATATTGGACTCGATGAGTCCTTGTTATGGAGTATGGCATGTTGTGGTATAAACATTGTAGATGAGCTCACCCTCTTGAATACTTATTCATGACTATGTACTGCTACCAAATCATAATTCTGGCTCGTGTGTATAAACAAATGTAATTATTATCATAATATAACACCCAATTTTTTATCCATAAGGTACCACCAAATACAATAGAACCAAGAGGATGATCTATTTCTTCGAGTAATTTTATCTTGATGTGTATTCTTGTTAGGATTTCACAATCAAGATTACAAATGAAATGGCATACGCGAGCAAATCTTATGCAACAACATTCTCATTCTTTTTTATATTAGTTGTTGTCTTGTTGGATTATAATATTTCTTCCAATTGGCATATCTTTTGTCCTGAACAAGTAGTTGTATTGAAGAGTGAAGCTAGCCACAAGCTCATTAGAATAAGTATCAATCTTCAAAGAGTAAACAACTTTATAATGTCCATTTTTTTTCTGTTGTATTTTTCCCTAAGAGGACGGCACTAAAAAAAGCATGTTCTAGAATTAGATTTTGGATGTTCAAATATGAAGGAAAAGAAGCAGAGAACTCTGTGGCTTTCTTGATGCTTTTCACTCTACAACAATCTAATGATATATTGTCTTCCTCTTTTATTAAAATCGAGAAAAAAAAAAAGGACAGGTACGAGTCCTTGCCAAAAGCCCCTCCTACCATGGAAAACTGTCCTTAGAAAGGGGCAAAAGAAGAATATTGAGGTGTTCTGTTGCAGGCCCTCCTGTAGGCATAGGAAATGGGAACCATAGTTTCGCGACTCATGTATAAGTGGAGTTAGTATGACATTATCTTCTGGTTTCAGTTTTCTGTGACAGTTCTGCAGGTACAATACTAAAATCTAACGATGCATAATTACAAAAGTTTTGAGTTTTGAAATGTGCAAGATGAAGTCCCATGGTATGTAGCAGCCCTTGAGATTAATTCTCTAGTTAGACTATGCACCAATCAATATCCACAGCCCTGGCAGCTTGGTAGCCCGTTTGCAAATATGGATTTTAAGAAGGTAGTCCTTAAAATTGATCAGCACCACAGTTTCTTTATGCTGATTATTTTATATTGACCTAGCTTCGCAAAAGAGGTCTCTGCTTATGCGGGAGTAAAGCTGTGCACATCTGGCTCTCCCAGAACCCAACCCCCCCCCCCCCCCCCAAGTAGTGGGAACCTCAAGTATTAGGGCGCCATTTTTTTTTTTAACAAGATGTAACTTCGTATGAAGTAATTGAGTCCTGAAGGTGAAGAATCGACAGTTGCAATTCTCTTAGTCTTCTCTTCTGTTTCCCCTTTGTATTCTATAATTATATAATTTAATCTTTACATATCCATAAAATACCATGCATGGAAAGTGAAGATTGAGCTGAACTGCAAAAGCATGTTTGGGTTTTTGCTGGCTAAGCATTATTTTAAAGGTGCTGAACTACAAGCTTTATTCTTTTGGGGGATGGTTATTGATTAGGACTTGTTTTTTTTAGTTCATTAATATAACATCTCTGGGAAAGGCATCTTTCACTTCTCATTATTTAAACTATTTTTCTGTTAAGACTTAACATCAATTTCATGGCATCTGTACCCTGATGCTCAGCATCATTGAGGTCCATAGCTCACTTCCAAAGATTATGGCAGAATTTTATAAATGATGCCCTAAGATTAGAAATTTTCACATTTCACCCTACTGTATTCATGAGTATTGTATCCTATAGTTGATCTTAAAGGAGTATCCATGCTTCATAGGTTATATAAAATGCATGGCCTTAACATTCATTAACATTTGGAACACTACCCTCTTTGATTTGAGATTGCGGCAACACTATCATAGACCGTCTAAACAGAGGTATAATTTTCAGTATTTCTTTGAAGTAAACTCCTCTATGCTTTTTTTTGAGTTTTGAAATCTACTTGTTTTCATTACGAGTAAAAAATTATCCAGAGAAGGCTTGCAGTTGCTTCTAGTTAGGAACTATTAGTTGCTGAAGATTTGAAGGTATACTCAATTGTGGCCACTTCTTTTTTGGCTTTCTCAGTTTTGTTCAGGAAAGTACTTCTATTCCTACTCAATAGGAAGTCTGGTTAGACTGAGCTGGGTTCAGCTACATCTAAACTCCAGTTCTGGCCTACTATCTAGTGCGTGTGTGAGAGAGAGAGAGAGGGGGCGTAAATTAAGAATCAATGATCAACCTAGGGTGGTGCATACTACTGTTTACCAAACTATGATAATTTTTATTAAAGTGCAAGTTAAACTCATGTTTTTCTAAAAACTCTCGTACTTTGCTAATAAGATAGAAATCACTGTAAATGGGAGATAAAGTTAGAGAAGTCTCGTAAAGTGGTGAAATCTAGGAAAATCAACACAAGAATCTTAACTGAATGGGGGCATCAAAATGGCTGTCTATAGGTGAAAGGACCATAAGAGCATCAGTGCAACCATGAAAAGCAAGATAAGGATGTGATCATGCTGTGTAAGCAGCCTCCCTATGGATTATCAAGTGCCAGAACAAAAATGGAATTTGAAGTCTGAATTCAAAAGAATATGTCACTGTTTTCCACCCACCACCACAGATAAAAAGAGAAAAAGGTGTTCAACTTTATAACAAAAAGAAAAAAAAAACATTCAAAAAGATAAAATCTTAGCAAACTTACATAAAATATCAAGAACATTCCCAGGAAACTGACACCACCCAAATAGCCTAAGAGCAGATAAGCTACCTACTTGAGAGAGAAAGTGATTCTCTAAGCAAAATATTGTGAAGTAGCTGCCAACTTGTTTCTTTCTTTTTTTTTTTTTCATAAACCAAATTTCTAATAATATGGAACTGTCAACAGTTGAGAAATAATCCTTGCCTAAACAATCTATCATTAAATAACTAAACGGAAAAGTGTTCAATGTATTTGTGAGGGATCGAACTCCCCATTACCGGGGATATACCTCCCTCCAAGAGCAATCCTCCCCATTACCGGGGATATACCTCCCTCCAAGAGCAATCCTCCCCATTACCGGGGATATCCCGCTCTCCATCAAAGGCTGACCTGCGGGGCAAACCCCCACAGTAGCCTTTATATAAGCCGAAGCACCAAGTACTGCTCTCATATGGTGCTTCGGCTTATATGGGGGTGGGGAGACGACTCTTTCCCCGATGTGGGACAGAGGTAAAGGCTACTGTGCGGGTTTGCCCCGCAGGTCAGCCGAAATCCTTTGATGGAGAGCAGGATATCCCCGGTAATGGGGAGGATTACTCTTGGAGGGAGGTATATTCCCGGTAATGGGGAGGTCGATCCCTCACAGTATTGAGGTCCCCATCTACAAATGTTCAAAGAATTTTGACCATCAATTGAAAATAAAAGCAAAAGATACATAGAAAAGTCTAGAATGACATATATAGTCTTATAACACAAGATAAAAAATTTCGAAAAGGTTCTGCCATTGAGGGGGGAGAAGAGAAGGCATTTAGTGGGAGCTAGTTGCTGATCGTCAGAAGGGAAAGATCGTTCATCCACCCATAAATACAATTTTAATTGTGGGAAGGAAAATCTCAAAACTAAAATGATCAGAAACAATTAAAGAAGAATAAGAAAGAATAATAGTATCTTACTTAGCCTGAACTGTTGTGTATAAGGCTCCAGTCGAATTAAACATTTATCTAACTTGTTGATAAATACTTTCAGTGAACAATAGTCCAAGCTGTGTCACATCGATTACTTGGATTCCATAGATTGGTTTCTACTAAAAATTTAATAACAATACACATAAGAGTCTTCTCCCTTCTTTAATTTGGTGCATATCAATGAGTCTTCTACCTCAACAAATCTCGACTTCTATTCAGTTACCATACCGATATCCATTTAGTCTGCTCCTCATTGGCTTAAGCATCCATAATTCAAATTTGGAGTATCATAGTCAAGTTGTCAATATGTATCCCTAATGTCACATTTGGAGTCTCTATTGCGCTAAGGACACTATAGTTCATTTCTTTGCTGAACTCTGTGAACTCATCTAAATATAACCTACTTGGCGTGTATCAATTTTACCCTTTACTTATATATATTCAAGTCCTATTAGACTTTTGGCTTCTGATAGGTAATGCAGATGACAAGTATTTGACATTATATTGCGTTTAATCCACTATGCAACCTTTTTTGTATGAACATTTTCGAAGAGATTCTGGAAGGAGTTCTCTCAAGAACTGAGCAAAGTAGTAAATTTGTTGGCAAGGATAACAAAGTGCAGAAGTTTCCTTGAATTAATAAGTATACCAGCGATCAGAACAGCTACTGTGGATCAGTGAACATCTCTTTACTTAATAGAAGCAAACTCTCATGTTTAACAATATCAGACCAAGTGCAAAGAAGGGAATAGCTTCAAATTTCCACCAAGATTCGTGAAGAACAAACAGAATCAGTGCTACTGGTGAAATAATAAAATATGAGCATTTATCATAAACCATCATAATTTGTATTCCATTTAGTACCCATGTACAGACCAAACTACATGAGACCAGCCTACATGTCATATTGGGCAATGTCACTCCATATAAAATTTGTATGAACTACCCAACTCGACTAATCACCTCTTTAGAAATATGTCTGAGGCAAAAAAAGGCATGACCACTTGACAACTCTCAACAGAAAATCTAGACAAGCCCAAAGCCTAGAAGAACCATAAATAGAATGCTATGGATTCCCCTCTGCTTAACAATATCCCACAAACCAATGACCCTACACTTAACATATGCTACATACTAGAAAGAAAGAAAGGGTACTGCTCAAAAGGCTTTGTGATAAAGCCCATGAATTTTCTTCCATGACTCCTCTCTCTGCATCTTCAACTGTTTATAGAAGTTGCCAATAAATGTCTCAGCTTTATTGAATAGCTCCTGCCCACTAATGCCCGCAACCTCCTCTTCATCATCATCATCATCTATCACCTCTTCTGCTTCTGTCTCCGCACCTCCTATGAAGAAGATGCTTGGTGTAGAGGGACATTTCTTAACCTTATGCACAGTAACCACTCCAACAATCTTCTCAGATGAACATTTTTCCACCACCTTGGCCTTATTCTGATTATATTCCAGAGTGGCCGTCCCAATGGTAGTATTAACAACATCCCCTTTAACAGGAGAAACCTCTGATGCAACCACAGGTTTTTGTGCGATCACGACAGCGTGTTTCTTGTCATCTGTCGCTTTGGAGAAGAAAGATAGAAGGCCAGCTTCGGCTCCAAGGACGATAATGAGAAGATTGACAACAAAGTAGATATATGCAGGCCTTAGTGATGGGGATAAAAGAGGTGCAATGAGGAGTGTAGCTATAAAAGAGAGCTTTAGCATTTGAGAATTATTGAAGTTTTCCATGGCTTCTGTGAAAGGATGGTCTGAATGTTGGACAAGGCAATATTGCAAAAGGCAATAGTATTCTGGGGTAGTAGAAATTCTGAGGGGCCTATGGACATATATATAGTGGGAGAGACAAAGAAAGTGAGAGAAAATTGTACTGTAATGAGGGTGATGAGGTGTCCGGGCCAGTGACGAGGGTCTTTATCTCTTTATCCTCCTACTATGGCTTTAAACTCGCACTTAAACAGAGAAAAATGTAATAACATAACAATATGCAAACATAAACTTGAGGAATGCTATTGGCCCTAAAAAATTGATCTAATTTGCTGATATAATTTATTGTGATCTTTGGATTGATTATAGACCCCATCAAACATTGAAATTTGGTGTTGATCCACAGATTCATATGAAGTCACATCATTATGTCAATAAATTAGATCAAATTTTTAGGTCCCAATAGCATTACTCCATAAACTAACTGTTTTTAATAACGAGTCCACGCGCACCACTATGAAATCGGTGTTGATCAACCAAGTATTAATGGGCATTTGGTTTAATGATACTCTTTGTTTTATAAAAATTTTGTCTTCTTGAGGTCAAGGATTCAAGTCTCTTTCCCTTCCCTTTCCCCTCCCCCTCCCCCTCCCCCTCCAAAAAAAAAAAAAAAGTTCTTTGTAATTAGAAATTTCGTACAAAACTTCTAACTAAAGATTTTTAGAAATAACAATGTTTTTCTGATAAGAATTTTTGTTTAAAATTTTGCCAGAGATGGTAGAGCTATTTAAAATTTTTTTTTTTTGGTGACAGACAGCTGAATAGATAATCATAGGAATATAAGAGTTCAAACAATAATAGGAATGAGATGTAAATTCAGAATTTTAGAAATTAAATTTTGACAATATTTTAGGGTCAGGTTATGAAAGATTTATTCCTCATAAATATCATAATCATGTCGTAGATGATTTGTCTTGTATACATAAACTGATCTAAATATCCCCCACCGTTTAACTCAAAAAAAAAAAAAAAAAAGTGAATCTTAGATGTCTTTTGTGTTCACAGAACTAGATACTTGCTTGCTGGATCCCACTAGCACAAATTCAAGTAGAGGAATAAATTTTGTTAAATTTGGTCCATACTATGCAAGTAGCAAAATTCTACAATTCGAACCGTCAAGTCCTAAGTATAATTAATCCCACGAGTCTGAAGCCTCCTGATCATATCTCGTACAATCATGCATCATTAAATTTACTAGGCTTTAACCACAATCAATAAATAAATGATGAATGATTAAATTTTGTCGTAGATAATCCAAATCTCATGTCACTGACCCACTGAATCAAATGTACCACACCTATTCCAAGGGTAATTCAAGTTATAATAGAGACGAATTATAAACTCAGACATCCTGAAATGGCTTGTCTTTGACGAAACTATAGAAGGAATTTAGTCGAAGTATGCATAACCTAACCCCGAACATCTTTAATCATTGAACCAAATAAAAAATAAATGTACCACTCTAGATCTTTAGATGCATTGTACTTAAAATTCACCTGTTTATTTAGGAAAAAATTAATTAATCTTGTGATTCCTCCAAACCAAAAATAACCAAAATTCATGTACGAAAAAATTGGATAAGAACAAGTCATATTTCATGAACTATCACTACCATTACCACTACCACCACCTTGTTAGAGAAAGAGAGGTAAGGAAAAGGGTAAGAGGGAGGAAGGGAGACAAGAGTACATGCAAAAGAGGGAAAGAGATTTGAATTCAATTGGGCAGTTTCAGATAAGGTCGGTGGAGAAGAAGAAGAAAGGCCATTTTCCTATTCTTATTCCCTCGACCACTTTTTCTGGTTTTTGAGAAACCGACAATGGCGGCTTTCAGTAACTCGGCAAATCTAATGTTTATGGTAATATTATAGGGTTAATTACAAAATATCCCTTTCAACTTTGGGAAATTTTAATTTTAATAAATAGTTCCCTTTATTTTATAATTAACTCCAACAATTAATTTTAGACCATAAAAAATGAGATAAGTTGGACATAAAAAATTTATATGATCTCTACTTTGTTAAAAATACATGATTACCCCTGATAAAATGTGTGCGCATTTGTATTGGTACTGGGCGGAGGCGGAGGCTAAGAAAATATGAAAAATACTGTATAAGATGGAGGATGTAATAATATTTTTATATTTCAACCACTTCTATCTTGTATAAGGAGTTGATTGTAACAAGAGACATAGTTGACTGTCCCACGGTGTTGGGTGGAGGCTGAGGCGAGGGTGGAGGCTGAGGCGAGGATGAAGGCGTAGGCAAAGAAAATATGAAAAATATTGTATAAGATGGAGGATGTAATAATACTTTTATATTTCAACCACTACTGTCTTGGAAAGGACAAATTGTAGCATTTAAAACTATAAGGAGTTGATTGTAACAAGAGACATAGTTGAAAGGGATAAATTATAATTAACCCAAGATTTATAAGCAATAAGATTGATAATAGGGTCATTTGAAATCCGATATATTAAATTAGACTTAATTAAAAAAAAATATACTGAAAAAAATACTTTAAAAAAAAAATACACTAGTCAGATACAAAGACTGTCCCACGGTGGAATCAAAAGAGACCTTTCGGATCTTTTTTTTGGGCCCTTGGTGGGTGGTATAAAAGTTTCTAATGGAATCTCTCTCTTCCAGCCAAATCCCACTTATCTTATTGCCCATGTGGTCCCCCTCTATCCGGTTTTGCGACCCACTTTCTTCTCATATGGTATACTCCGGCCTTATTTTGGGCCTCTCAGATCATAACATTAGCCGAAAGTTTAAACCTACCCCCACTTAGAAAATTTTGAAATGATCAAATGTTATTTTGTATCCTTGGAGGCCACTGTCGTAGGATAAAGAAAGTCGAGTGTTCAAAACTTATCGATCGTTTAAAATTTTTGCCTTGATAATTAGATGACACATTTGTTGTAATAAGAATGATTATGTGTTGACCACAAACATTAAACGATTGATAATATATCATTTTTATAAATATTTTTATCACTTTTGTAATAATTATTTCTATTACTTTTCTTTCAATACAAAAAAAAATTATTACTTTTGTGAATAATTTTATAATTTTTGTGCGTATTTTCACTTCAGCTATTATAACTATTTTTATCAATTATATTCAATGTCATAACAATAATAATAATAATAAATATCAATACGATTTTCGTAGGTGCCATATACAAGTACTATTTAGATAGATCATAGGAGACTCTAAAGGTAAGTCAACAAAGTGAAACGAACGTGACGTCGAGTGCAGCGTGTGTAGTTAATCCAGTTGCTCATCTGTGACCAAGTTTTGGCCAATCCTTTACGATGTTTTTGTTCAGTTCAGTACTTTATATCCAAATTGTTCAAAGCTTTCCCACTGTTTTTTCCAGCTTTATTAACGTACTACATAATCTAAATGGATAAAGCAAGCAAAAGTTGCTGACAAAAACATAAGACTTTCACTTTTAGATATATTTTCCAAAAAATAAGATTTGATTGTGACTCAATAAGATCAATCCATACTTCTAATTAATAATATTTATCCTAACACTTTTGGATCAAATTTTAATTATTTGAGTGGTAAATTAATCTCAATTGACTCAGTATTAACCTTTTAGAGGTATAACTTAACATCAATCAAGCCTTAATAACTTTGTATCACTAGCTGAAACTTCCCAGCTCCTGTGTACCAAGTAGCAATCTCCTAATTTTTAAACACATTCTAAACTGAAGGGATAGTGACAGTAGTTTTCTCCCCTAGAGAAAGCATTTAAACAGTTTTGACAGTCCCGCAGCTACGTCAAAAAGGCAGTGTTTGAGCATGCACCGTCCTAAAAGCCATATCTACCAATAACAGAAAGGCTAATCCAATTAACTCTTCTCTTTGCGGCGAACCTTGGCTAATTTCTTATTTTGTGGTGGGGGAGGTTTTTGGGGGGTGGTGGAATAGAAGGAAAAGGATAGAAGGAGGTGCAGTTTTGCAACCCAAACCGCTTCTACTCTACTGAAACTTCATATGCCTTAACATGATGCAGCATATGCTTTCAATGCATTTGTTCACAGATATACACAAAATTAAGTGGAACCGATTACTATATATATATATATATATCTGCACCTTGCATATCCTGTGTAGAATGGCCAAAAACTTGATGCTAGGAAAAGCTTGCTACTCTTCATTGCATTTGTCTCTCAGAACGATTATGCGTTGTTACTATGAGGTGCATGGGGAACTTCATGCGTGTTTTCCATGAGAAGGAAGGTAAATAGTGAGTTCATCGAAGGTGGGGCAGTTAGTGATGCTTAAACAATGCTCATTGGCTAAATGCAATAGGCAAATGAAGCACAGATGAGGCGAAATATCCTCCGGCTGTGCAGTTTGGCATTCTTCAGGAAAGGTGGCTAGAACATGTTTAAAAGATACCGTGTCCTTGCAAACCTTGCAACAAAAAAAACAAATTATCTGTAATAACAAACCAATATCAACTCACACAGATCCAATGGTGAGCTAACCACGAGAATGACAAGCAAATACGCATGTCTTAAACAATATAAGAAATGTCTACCAGAAAATCAACAGAAGCAGATTGTTACAAATGTTCCATCCATAAATGCAAAACGACTAGTTTAAAAGAATTTAAGTCCCGATAGGTAAGCAATTGAACTGATGTTGGCTTATAACAAAAATTGGAATTGCCAACTTCCATTGCCAACAATTATAATGTGAGGAGCTATTGACTGTCATGACTCGAAAAATATAGATCAAGTCCATCAGAAGTATAAATGATGAAAACTTATGTGATAGAATATAAAGACTACATGTTTTTTTTTTTTTTGGGTCAGATAAAGACTATATGTTGAACATGTAAAAAAGATGTGTAGGTGTAAGCTTACTGTTTCTGGCACGCAAACAGATTCTTGTATGTGATCCCAAAGGGTTTCCCTGAGCACATGCACATCAACTTGTTTAGAAGTTTTGTCATACTGAACTTCAATCTTAGTTACCTGAGTTGTTAAGATGACATGGCGAATTAGTCCAAAATTTCCAGAGAAATATGGTCAATCTATCTTTACCAATGCCCAAACATAATGTCCATAACCTCATGATGAAAATTCATTCAAATATTTGACCATTAAAATTGCATTGCTGATAATAAGAAAATTTAGATAGTAATTTACAATGTTATGGTGATCCTTACAAAGAAAACACAAGGGAAAGAAAGTTCAAACAGCTTCCATAAAGCTTGCAACACTTCCCTGAGAAATAACTTATTTGGAATCCGGCTGATCTGGAAAATAATGTATATTGAAAAGGAACTATCAAACACAAACAGACCTGACGAGGATGAGAGACAAGTCCGTCTGAATCTTCCAGATCACTATGGACACAGTCATCATCATATTGGCCACCAAACAGATTGTCATTGTCCCATGTAGGCAATTGTTCATCAAAATTATTGTTGTGTTGCCATGAGCCATCATCTAAGCAGGAAAAAGAAGGAAAACATTTTTTAACAAGTTAATTAAGTCTTCTCTGTTTCTATCTTTTTTTGACCCAAGTCCGAGCCCCAAATGAATTTAGGCCATTTATTCAATTATCTAACTGTACCTCCCAGAGGCATTATATGCCATAAGTAAAAGAAGCACACTATTACCTAGATTAAACAATTAAAACTAAATGCAAGACAGATCCTACACAAAGTTGACAGCAAGGTCAAATTAGTGTCCTAGAAACACCTTATAGTCAAAATAGACAAACCACAAAAGAGTCAATAGAATGAAATAGCAAAGGAGAACAGATTATGAAATCTCCTTCGCATCATTCATTATTGGACAGAGTGTACTGACTTCTGCCAGACTCCGCTAGATAACTTGGTCACCCAGAAACATAATCTCTATTAGAATTCCCTGCCTAGAAAGACAAGCCGAATGATGCTAACATTAGCATTGTTTCTCAGATACAAGTACTCCACTATATCAATATAAATATGTAACCCAAACATGTAAAGATCTCATCCTTTTTTACGGGCCATCACTTGGCAAAAAGGTAAAGCTCGGTTGGTATAACAATGTGGGTTTAAAACGCAGACACGTAATGCATGCAATGCCATAGTTTAGAAATGGGTAGCTTTTGAGCAGCAAGATAAATTTAATAGCAGTAGGAGGAGGTTGAGTTAAGAGCAATTAGAGTTAAATGTTCCATTAATTTACCCCTTCATGGTTTTGTGTTTACTGACATAACCCTTTATGTTTTCAGTACACATCTTAGGATTATACATATAAAATGTAAGGTGAGAGACAAATGTGGTCCTCCCTTGATTCATGGTAAAGTATACAAAAATTAAATGTATATAAAATCATTCTATTGCTCCATGTACACATCAAAGTGAAAAAGAAAAAAAAAACACCTATCATAGGGAGAAACTCATACCTGAAAGTTTTCTTCTTCTTCCCCAAAGCACTGGAAAATAAAACAGTATCATTTATCAACCGGAAAACATAATTTAGCAATGATTGTAATTTAGACAATAACTTGAGATGTATAGCATGAACCCCATCAATCACCCCATGGTATGGAGGAAACCAGAGCTAGTTTAAAGATTTTAGACCTGTATGAGCTCAACATCAAAATCCTGAGAGCTCTGGGTAAGCTCAGGCTGGCCTAATCAGCCTGGCTTCAAGTCTCTGAGTATAATTATATAACCTCATGAGAGTTTATACAATGTTATACACAACATATCATACTATAAGCCTGTGGATAGCATATGATCTAACAGTAGTTTTGGATAAGCTTACAGTACCATAACATTATGAAGAAGAAACAACTTGACAAGATCTTCTGGTTGATAATGGCAATCTTCAGGAAGTGTGTTACTCCCAGGCATTCTATTTGCAGGTAGCAGAAGCGACCTGGGATTTTTTGGGGGAGCAAAGATACCTGGAAATTCTTGATCCAGAAACTTAATAAAATCAATATCAAGTTCCAGAGGTGTACTGTCCGTTGGCCTCTTTGTTGACAAACCTGTTCTGCTTTTGGTGGCAGGAAATTCTTCTGAACCTACAAAATAAATATCATACTGAAAACCAAAACCCCCTATACAGTTTGAGCACAATGATACTGCCTGTACCAACCCTTGGGCTTCCGATACTTCCAATGATCAGGACCAGCCCAAGCATTTCATTTTGAAGTGAATCCCAACCCATGAAACAAACATAAAGCAAATTCCTCATATTTTCCTTCCACATCAGCCTCATAGGATGCATAGCAATGACTCTCCTACACAGAAAAAACAACCAAATTTGAATACACTTTCTTCCTACTTAATCTTCTCCTCTCCTCTTCGAGAAAGAATCTAAAGCAAGAATTTGAAACTTAGATAGAATAAGAAACAAGTTATCAGAGTAACGAAAACTGAAACCATTTCATGTGAAGAATGTGAGACATACCTCATTATGACTTAAAGAAGTTGTATCTCCAAAGTTGAAGCTTTCATCAACTACACTTGCATCCTCATCAGGACCAAAGTTCCCTGTCTCAAAGCTTCGAGATGGATTATCATTCACAGGATGATTAATGTCCTCAACAGAATCAGCCATAACTACAGATTTCTGGCCTTCAGTAAATGCATGTGAAAACTTTTGATTATCTTCTTCAAATTGGCAAACTATTTTCCTGAAAGTTGGAGAAATTTCATTTTTTCTGGGCATATTCATGAGCATCTGTTCAACGTATTCTGTAATAAGAACAAGCAAGCAGCTAATGAGGGGGAAAATTGGATTTTGAGCCCAGGTGATTAAAAAAAAATGAGATTGCCCACAATAGCAATGTTACACACCTCTGGCAAAAGAGATATCAATCATATCGGAATTAGTGTTTTGAATTGAACATGACATACACTTTCTTGGTACTTCTAGGGAATCAAATAGTACTCGACATCCTCCATAAACTCCAAGATTATTCAATAAGAGACCCTTAGCTCCACCTTCATCAAATTGTGCAGATGTTTGGTGATAAAGAGGATCCACTGCAAATGCAACTGGGAAAAGCCAGAGAAGAATCTCAATTATCAAAAGGGAGAGAAAGAAGAAGAATAAGAAGAAGTTCACAACTAAATCATAGATTAAAAAGAGGCAAGAATAATAATAAATTACCATCGAACTTCTTCACATTCAGAGCTTCAAAAGATGGTTCCAGTGTCGACAAAGGTGACATCTGCACAAGCAATTCTCATGAGATGCAGTCTTAAGCATTAGCTTGCTGAAGAAATAGAAAACTAACAACCTTCATCTCTATCTCTTTCATAGAACGACCCTCATCTTGTCCATTCTTGATGTTATCACCCTCTGACACAGTTTCTGTCACACACCCACAACATAAGAAATTGCAAAAATGAACAGAAGTCTGATCCCTCCCTCCGTGCAACAAGATGCTGCGAGTTGAAGAAAATAATCATACCTATGCCAGTGCATTAGTTATAGAAAAAAAATTACATGAAAAAGCTCCACCACTAGCCACAATTTTTCATAGCCATAAACAATTATTTTCTGAGAAAAACTCGTAAACTGTGTTCTTTCCTTAATAAAACAATTGGTGAGCGTATTATTAGTTGTGACTACTAGTAATTCCTATATCATACTCCAGTCACAAAGATACCTTATTGAAATCTTTAAAATAGTATTGCACCTGAATTTGACGAACAAACACTACCTACAACCACCACCACCAGAGTGACATTGTGCAAGGGCATTGCATGTCCCCAACTCGTAATTTGTATTTTCAAAAAATGTGAGATAAGCATGTTGTCTCGTTACAAGCATTTGAAAAGTGATGGCCTCTGGGAACTTGATTTGTAGGGCAACATTATTAGTTCCTCAGATTGTGATCTTATTGGTTTATATTGTAAAATAAAATAGTATATTGGTTCTTCCTTGCTTTGTCTATACTTAGAATTTTGATATCGTGTACACAATGCATGATAAAATTCTACTTTCTCACATATGTAGAGCTTGAAATCACTAGTTTCTTTACTATGAAAAAATTCAGGTGCACCCATGCAAGAAATACATGGGTGAACAGTTAGAATGTGCTAACACCATGGAGCAACAAAAACTTTTCGATTCAAGTAGATTATGTTGCCAACTATAGGACTAGAGTCTGTACTATATGCTCCATATCACCTTATCAATCAATCAATCCAGAAAATAAGCTTAGATTAATCCAAAGGTATGCCTTTTAGCTTCAAAAACTAAGTCAAACTAGACGCATGTTATGTTCCTATTTGAAGCAATACAGAAGAAATTTGTTTCCATTTGAAAACTAAACAATTTTGAGACTCATAATAGCTCAACGACTTATTGCTCACCTATCACACCCTAACATCGAAATTAGGAAAAATCACACTAATTAATATTAGCTTAAGCACAAAAACTTCATGTAAATGCCAAACCTTGTTCATCTTCTCCTCCTGCTCGAATGATTCGACCAAGCACCTTATATGCTTCTGAGTGAACTGAATCCACTCTCAGAGTATATTTTCACTCCAGCTTCCAATGTGCAACTTGCCTGGTCATTAAAAAGTAATCAACCAGTAAACAACTAACTTATTGAATAGGTATTCTTATATTTGCTTAACTCCTTAGAAAAATGGGTAAATGAACATCACCCAAACCTTTAGAAAATTTGTCTCCGCATCATCCACCGGTTGAATAATCTCGCTCAGATGATCTATAAGCTTCAGCTCCCAACTGTTCTTTTGGTTTATTTTCTACCTTACCAACAAACAAATGATAATGAGAAGAATTCGTCCAAAACCAAGAGATGATCATTTGAGAAATTCCAACTCAGAAAGAATTTCTAAACAGAAACAATATTAGAGAAACATAAGTCACGTCATAAAGGAAGTGAAGAGAAACTGGTAACATCAAATAGCCAGAGATAGCGAATATCATGCAAAGAGAGAGAAGAATATGAACGGAATTTGTGTGTGTCAAAAACAAGAACACAATAACTGTGTTGTGAAAGTCTTGAACAGATTTTTATGAGACTTTGTCCACGTTAAATACACAATACAAAAAGAAGAAAAATAGGAAAGGATAAATACAAGGAAAGCATAAATAAGAGAAAGTCTAATCCTACCCAATTTCTATACAATTACAACTCCTAAATAAATTCTATTGATAACTGTCAATACTCCCCCTCAAGTTGGAGCATGAAGATCATGAATGCCTAACTTGCTGAGAAGAAATTGAAATTGAACTTTACCCAAAGCCTTGGTGAATAAATCAGATAACTGAAGAAAGCTTGAAACATGTCTGGTCTGCAATAGGCCTGACTGGATTTTTCTCTAATCAAATGACAATCCAGTTCTATGTGCTTAGTTCGCTCATGAAATACCGGATTGGCAGCTATATGTATGGCTGCTTGATTATCACAATATAAAATAGCAGGACGTATATAAGGAACACGTAACTCATGTAACAAATAAAACAACCATGTCACCTCACATGATGTATTCGCCATTGCTCAGTATTCTTCCTCGGCAGATGACCGCAAAATGGTTGTTTGTTTCTTGGTTTTCCAAGAAATAAGAGAACTTCCCAACTTAATGCAGAAACCTGTAGTGGATCGTCGCGTCATCGGACAACTAGCCCAATCTGAATCACTATAAGCTTGAAGCGTAAAGCAGCTCGAACTTGAAAACATATTTCCTTGTCCTGGCGAACCCTTGAGATATTTCAGAATTTTTAGTGCAGCTTCATAGTGTGGTTGTCGTGGAGCTTGCATGAATTGACTTAAAGTGTGAACAGCAAAAGTGATATCTGGCCGTGTAATCGTCAAATAAATTAATCTTCCAATTAGACGACGGTATGAGGCCGAATCATGGATGAGATCACCAGTATCATTTGACAATTTTAAGTTTTGCTCCATAGGAAAATTACTTGGCTTGGGCCCCAATAATCCTGCATCAGATAGAATATCTAAAGTGTATTTTCTTTGGGAGATAAAAATACCTTGGCGAGAACGAGCCACCTCAATACCCAAAAAATACTTGAGAATACCAAGGTCTTTAATTTTAAATTTTTCTTGAAGGTAAGTTTTGAACTTACTGATCGCCTTGGGGTCATTGCCTGCCACAATTATATCATCAACATATACTAGAACTGCAATGAAGGAACTACCATGTTGACGAGGGAACAAGGAATAATCAGCTTTAGAATTTTTGAAACCTGCAGATTGCAATGCAGAGGACAATTTGGCAAACCAATTACAGGAAGCTTGCTTTAGGCCGTAAATGGATTTTTTAAGACGGCAAACCCGAGTCTCCCCCTGTTTGCCAAATCCAGGTGGGAGAGCCATGTAAATATCTTCATCAAGGTCGCCATGAAGAAAAGCGTTGTGCACATCAAGTTGATGAAGAACCCAATTATTAATCGCAGCCACAGCAAGAAGGCAACGAATAGTAGTCAATTTAGCAACTGGAGCAAAGGTCTCAGTGTAATCAATACCTTCACGTTGAGTAAATCCTGTGGCAACTTAGCGTTCAATGGTACCATCAGATTTATGCTTGATTTTATAGACCCATTTGCATCCGATAGGCTTCTTATGAGGAGGTAAAGGGGATAGAGTCCAAGTGTGATTAGCTTCCAAAGCAGCAAGTTCATCAGACATGGCAGCCTGCCAATGAGGGTCATGTACTGCCTGTTCAAAGGAAGTGGGTTCTGTGGTAGCAGTTATGTGAGCAACAAAGGAACGATGGGTGGAAGAAAAACGATTGTAAGAGACAAAATTAGATAAAGGATAGCGAGTACCTGAGGAGGGGAGAAAACCCGGCGACAAGGCGGACGAGTGGTGAGGAGGGCCTGATGCAGTGAAGCAATGATAGTCCAGCAGACGAGCTGGAAGCTGTCGCGACCGGGTAGAACGGCAAATAGATTGGACAGGAGAAGTAGTAGTCGTGGTGGATGGCTTTGTATTAGAAATGGGACTAGACGGTGGAACAGTGTCATTTAGTGGAGTCGATGTGGCTTGCTGGGGCGTAGTAATAGTGGGCTGTAATGGAGAAATGGAATGGGGTATTGGGGAAGGTGGGACCTGTTCGTCAAAGGGATTGGACGAAATTGGGTGGTTTGAGAAAGGAAAGTGTGGTCCAGTGTTCGCTGTTTGCGAAGCCATAGGAAATTTCGTCTCATGGGAATATAACATCGCGACCGACAAAAACTCAGATGAGACTCGACGTCAAAAAAGCGGTAGCCTTTTTTACCAAAAGGATTGCCAATAAAAATACAACGACGAGCACGACTATCAAACTTATTGGTGTGAGAAAGCTTGGTTGCGTAACAGAGACAACCAAAAACATGTAGATTGGCATAATTAGGATGCTTTTGGTAAAAAACTTCATTAGGGGATTTCCCATGTAAAAATTAAGTGGGCATGCGATTAATGAGATATGCAGCGGTAAGAACACAGTCTCCCCAAAATAGTAGAGGCAAAGAGGCATGGAATCGAAGCGCACGAGCAACCTCAAGGAGGTGACGGTGCTTGCATTCAACGATCCCATTATGTTGAGGAGTACCAACCCAACTATGTTGTTGAACAACCCCTCTCCCACGAAGAAAAGCAATAAATTCATTGGAAAAAAATTCCCTGCCATTGTCACTACGAAATTGTTTAATCTTGCAATCATATTGGGTTTCGACCATCAGGAAAAAGGATTGGAGTAAAGTATCAGCATCCGATTTTGTTGTCATTAGAAAGACCCAAGTGCAGCGAGAAAAATAATCAACATTAGTTAAAAAATAATGAGCATCACTTATAGAAGCCACCGATTGAGGACCCCAAATATCATGGTGAACCAAATCAAATATTTTATTAGAAGAAATAACACTATTATTGAAACGTAGACGAGACTGTTTCGCCAATGGACAAATGGGACAAACTAAAGGCGAACTAAAAGAAATATGAGGTATGGATTGAGATAATACTTGAGACCTAGAATGAGACGGATGTCCAAGGCGTTGATGCCAAACTTCAGCGGAAACAGTAGAACAAGTAGCACGAGCAGGTGGCTGAAAAATATAAAGTCCATTGGCCTCTCTACCCTAACCAATCATCCTCCTCGTGACTAGGTCCTGAAACACACAAAAATTAGGAAAAAATGTCACGGAACAATTAAGGTCTCTAGTAAGGTGACTCACTAACAAGAGATTCACATTAAAACATGGTACGTAGAGAACATTATGTAATGACATATTTGATGCTGCTATAGTGACAGAACAACTAGAATGAATGGGAACAGTACTTCCATTGGGAAGTTTGATGGGATTTTTCTGAAGGGAGGACAAGGCCGAAAATTGTGCATTCAAGGAAACCATATGATCTGTGGCACCGGTGTCTATTATCCAAGAATGAGACGGTAAAGAGAAAGAAGCAGCAGACACAAGAGGAGTAAGGAGTTTACCTGCAGCATTTGCAAAGGAATTGGCAGTACTAGTATCTTCATTGAGAAGTGTCATAATTTGCTGGTATTGCTCTGGTGTAAAATTAGGAACTTTGTCAGACTCGGACATGGGATTGATGGTATTTACAGATAATTGAGGACGAGAGGACTTGTTGGTGTCGGGGGTTTTGTACAACTTGTGACCCTCGAGATAGCCAATAATTTTCCAACATGTATCAACAGTATGCCCAATTCCAGATTGACCAAGACTTTGACAATGAGAGCAAATAGGCCACCTTCCCCGTTGACCAAAACTTGGTCGGCTCACATTTTTGGACGTGAATGAAGAGTGGGTGACGGCACTGCTGTGAGTGGAACTATTTGGCTGCTTCTGACTATTATTGTTGCTAGAGGCGGAAGTTCGGCGTGCAATCATGGCAGCGGTATCCAAAGAACTATTGGTATCGGCAATTTCGCGTTGCTTTTCCTCTTGTAAAACCATGGCATAAGCTTGATTTACAGAAGGCATAGGTTTCATAAGTAAAATATGTCCCCGAATTGCTAAATATGTAGAATTCAACCCCATTAAAAATTTCATGACTTGTTCATCTGTTTCTCTTTCAGCAAGAGTTTTAGCCACTTCACAAGTACAAGCCAAAGAAGGTAGATATGTTCTCAATTCATCCCAATATCCCTTCAATTTATTGAAATAAATTGTAACAGAATTTTGATTTTGACGAAACTCATATATATTTTGACGGACCTAATAAATATAAGTCTTACTACTTTGTGAGTATCGCTCGTGTAGATCTTCCCAAGCGTCAGAAGCATAATCTTTGCGAAAAATTGAATCTTGAAATTCTTCGGCAACTGAACTGACAATCCATGAATGAACAATGTCATTACAACGTTGCCACAAAGCGCGTTCGTTTGCAGGTGCATCTGCATCGGGCTGTTCTAGTGTACCATCAATAAATCCTAGTTTATTCTTGCCGCTCAATGCAAGTTTCATGGCACGACTCCATGTGGCATAATTGTCTCCGGTAAAAATCTTCGGCACAATAGAAACACCAGGGTTGTCTGAGTTGTTGAGATAATAAGGGCTGTTAGGATTTGTGGCAGAAGTAGTTTGTTTGACTGGGGTGTTTTCACCCATGATTGGAGAGGATTAAGTTGTGGCCGAAGTCGGGAAAACACAACAATAAAATCAAGAAACAACCCTAAAATTTCCAGGATAGCTCTGATACCATGTCAAAAACAAGAACACAATAACTGTGATGTGAAAGTCTTTAACAGATTTTTATTAGACTTTGTCCACGTTAAATACACAATACAAAAAGAAGAAAAATAGGAAAGGATAAATACAAGGAAAGCATAAATAAGAGAAAATCTAATCCTACTCAATTTCTATACAATTACAACTCCTAAATAAATTGTATTGATAACTGTCAACAGTGTGTGTTTGTAAGAGAGACAGACAGAGGGAGTAATTGCTTGCTTACATTCTCACTCGCAAGCTTAATGCAATTTTGGAACAACTCAACGATCTGATCTTTGCTAAGACAAGGATCGGACGGAGTAGGAGGAGGAGCGGCAATTGAATCTATTGCTTTGCGTCTAATGGCAGCGGCACGGACGGCCCGTGACTGAGCTCGTTCGAGTTCATCATTGTTTGAGGCCAAAAAGAAGGGACTAGTTGGCGATTGTAGACGCGTCGCCGTCGGAGGTCTCTGCTTTGAAGCCTTAGGGCTTAGTATCTCCGCCATTATTTTTCCAACTCTGTGCAATTCTACCAGAAGTTCTCTCTCTGGTTTCCAAACCTCTTCCTCTGAACTATAGATCTTCCGAGAGACGGTTGCTACTGGACCAGGGGTACGGAGGGAAACGACTGATTCGAAAGCCAAAAGGTGACATCAACTACGCAAAATGAAATTTTCAAATAAGACGTCGTCGTTTAAACTATCATTCCGAAATTTAGTTTTTCAATAATATATTTTTGTGGCACACTCGATGTATTTGTGATCGGATGCGCTGTAATTTAATGCGTATATAACACATGAAAAATATTATCACTAAGATATTTGACAAGGGCGACTTGTAAATTCAGGCGTCATGAGTTCGAAACTTGACACTCTTTTGGACTGGACGTTAGCACAATTTAGTTAATAGGATGGGTCTCCATTGACTGGACGAATCATATCCAGACTTCGGGTGTAGGCTCGAATTCTTACCAATTATGTGAGTCTTAATTAACCATTACACATATTAAGAGGTGGGGCGTGTGACATTCTCCGAATAGGAATTACCTCCTAGAAGGAGCTAGGGTTAGCTTTGGGTGGTAATTCCTTCGAAAATTAACTCATTGCTCTTTTTTGGCCTTCCCAATTTGGCTTGGCTTAGTTAATACGCCAGTTAAACTTGAATAATTACGTGAATGCAAGTTAAGTTTTACATGAGCTTAAGAAAGTCAAAAGATCTCCACAACAAGTTGGAGAGTTTTTAGATCCCGCGCCTAAAAGGCCATTCTCGTAGAATTTCGAAGTGATCCTTGGTACAAGTTTCATTACAACACAACCAAAATTGGGCCGATGGTTATCAGGAGAGTATTGCCCAAGTTAATACTACAACATCAACTACTCTTTTTCCAAATCAAATAAACTCTAAATTTATGTTGTTAATAAATGAATAATTTCTTAGGGACGTCATTCATTGTTGTTATTAAATTAGTTGTGAATTACAATATTAAAGAAAATTCACTTTTAATTTGATAACTATATTTGATTAAATTCTTAAATTAGATTCAAGTAGTATTTTTTTAATCCAGGAAAATGTAGGATTTGGTATATTAATAGTTTATTTCTATTAACTAAATTTTAGCTAACTTTTAAGTAAAACATCCACACATTTCTTTTCTCTAATTATCTTTCACACACGTTTGTCTCACCCTTATTTCTTACACACACTTTCGTAACCCTTATTTCTTACACACACTTCATACTAACCAAAATGTATACATAAAAATATATTTTATTTCACTTCACTTTTCATCTTCATTTTTTATGATGCTCAAAAGATATTTTGCCAAAATTAATCAAAAATAAAGTAAAGAGGACTCAACACAAACAAACACAAAGACTAGAAATTGTTAAAATGGTTAGAGAATCTTATTACTAAATATGTGTAGTGTACTGAGATGTGTGCGATGCCCTCATTTGTAGACGGAATTTACAATTTATAGGTAAGTCAACTTGGTTGAGTTTGCCGTCCTCGTAACAAAGAGTGAGGTGGTTTCTTAAAGCTCGTCTTACTCTCGTAACAGACGAGGTGATAACAATGTGATTCCTTGAAACTCGCTCTATCTCTTAACGTGTAAGATGATCTCGTAAGACTGAAGATATACCCTTAATGACTATGTCCCCACGAATTCTCTCTCCTTGAACGAAGATTCCCATGTGCGCTGATGATGAGTTGAGTCTCTCAGGAGGTAAGTTTGATCCAACTAAAATTATTACCGGACATTTATTAATCTACATCTATAATCTAAATTTAGTCTATAATTTTGAGCATGATCCGGACAGAACCCATCAATTTTCTACCTAACCAAACCAACCTTAAGGATTAAAAAAAGAGCGATGAAAGCTCCATTCACGTGGCTTCAGGTCCCACGGCACCTGCAGAACCTTCCAAGCTTGGATAATATTCTATAAAGTAGCCAGTCTTTTTGTTTGCTTCAAAGTGTACCGACTGACCACGAAATTTCTTTTCGTTTGTCCTCGGTTAAGCTGTTTTCGAATTCCAATCTTATCCGGAGGAGTCAGAGAAACCCATCATGTGTTCTGTTAAGCCTGTACAACTTTGGAGATATGCTACATAGCATATGCTCAAATGTGGCAATGGCACAGTTAGTGTGAGGGTAAAAATTCTTTATGTGCTATCAATATTGTTACTGTTTGGGTTAAACCCTTTCCTTGTACACCCTTCATCTCTATAAATCATAACATAATTATATAATATACAATTCTAGGTGAGCCGGTCAATGAATTAGATTTTCATTTGAATCTGATTTAAATTTAAATTCGAATTCGATTAATCAAATATGAATTAATATTTTTTATTGATAATTTGCATCCGATAATAACCCGATTCGAATTATTTTTTTTTCAATGATCAAGGTGTTCAAATTAATTTAATCACATATCGACTAATTCACTCCTTCTTCCCATCCTTTGACATAGGCATATGTATATTAAGGTTTGAATTGCACCACGAGTGGACTGGTACAATATAATAATTAAAAAAAAGCTACTAAAAAAATTAGAGTAAACGTGAATCATGCCCCCCTACTAAAAAGTCTATTTACATATACCTGCCCCATATTTTTCCAAATGACTAACAAAAAAAGGCCAAGTGAAAGGAGATCATGGATGACGAGTGCAAGTCTTGGACTATACATAAACAAATATGATACTGAAAAATTATTTTCTAGTATTAACAATCTTTTTTTATGTGACCCATGGTAATTTTTTTTATTTAATTATTTCAACTAATCAACAACTTTAAATGCTAAAAAACAATTTTAAAAATTTTAAAATTATTTTTTAGCATTTAAATTTGTTGAATAGTAGTGAAAAATTATTAGGCTGACCTCCTCTAATTTTATATGTAATGTATATAATATAATATTTTATGATTTCGAATATTCTAACCTCCTCTCTCCTTTACAGGATTTACGGAATGACCCCACAAACTAGATTGTTATTGTTGAACTTTCTAGAGAAAGATTATTTGCTTTCCCCGAAGCCAGCCACATTGAACCCATGGTGTCGTCTCGACCAATTATTTTTTTCTAATCAAGTGGTACCAATTCCTTCAGCCACGTGACACTTAGTCCACCTTAAGGGGGTTGAATTTTCGATTGATCGTAATTTTTTATCCTACTCAATTTTATCTTACCCTACTGAATGATTAGCCGTAAAAATTGGGTACGAATATGGAAGAGTTTTTGATCTTCCAACTAATCAGGTAGAAATACGAAATATTCATCAATTTTCGCATTCTTACCCTACCTTACCTGCAAAAAAACATATTTAACTTTTTTATATTTTTTTAGTAATTATAAAAGTATTTGTGTGTTATAATTTATATTATAATATGTATGAGTTGCTAAAACATAGACTTATTTTTTTTGTAGATTACATGATTTGTACTGAACTAGTGATTTATTAAAACAATAATGATTTTAATGTATTTCATATGATTTAAACTTAAAATAATTGTTATTATATTTATGTAATAATTATAATGGATTGATGTTCACGTTTTCTTATATTTTATTGTAATTGTTGTTGTAGTTGTTTTAGGTTTTAATATTATTAATTTATTGTGTTGTTAAATTAGTATATATTATTTAATTGAATTATTAAAATGATCTAAAAATTAATAACTATAAAAGTGTTTACCTGACTTCCTACCCGATTAATCAGGTAAGAATAGCACACCTGATCGGGTAGGATAGACAAAAAAAAAAAATTATTCCGCAAAGTATCGGATAAAAAGACGAAATACTATATTTTCTATTCGTAAGGTAGGATCAATACCCCTAGTCCACATATCACAAGAGAATGGAAATTACAATCAAAGGTTTCGTGAGATATAAGTGGACCAGAAAAAAAATGAATATTTGTTCAAATTTGTTTTGTTTGAATTAGAGATAAATCACATGTATTATACGATAAATGTATACAACAATATCCGTATAAACTCGTGCAAAAATGAAGGCGATAATGGACTGAAACTCATTCCCGTCTTGCCTCCATCCTATTATATATATATATATATATATAATAAAACAAATAGGAACTTAAAATTTTATCCCTAATACATTTTCCCCCCCAAAACCTTCATATAATTCATTTTTATCACATGTTCAATCATTTAATATTTAATTAATTTGTAACTTAACGTAATTTTTATTTCAGACATTATCCATATATGATAGTATACATATATTGAGAAAATTTTATCAAATTATGTATTTTGAGAATATTTTTAAGAAAATAATAGGTAAAAATAATTTTTGAATGATATAATCAAAGAAATAAAAGAAAAATAAATTATTATTTATAGTGAGATTGATTTTTTAGAGCTTAAATTTTATATTTTGTCGTGCTTTCAAGTACATGTTATGACTAATATATATATAAAATCCCTCTCCCTCACTTATTAATAGATATATATATAATAACACAAATATTAATCTCACATTCTTCTCTTTATTGATATTTTTTTTATATTTCTTATATAATGGATTTCATTTTTTTTGCAAAATCATTTGTGAGGTTTTATTATTTTATTTTATTTTATTTTTTAAATCATAAAAGTTAATTGTTATGGACTGGAACAGTGGTGGAGATGGGGATCAATATTTACCTATGGGATGGAGGTGGGAATTAAACAAACAAACACAATATGCAATACCGAAACAAGAAGAAAAAAAAAGATACAAATAAACAAACCGAAACAAGATAAAAAAAAAAAAAAAAAAAGATTAAAGGAATAAACAAAACTATAAAACGCAAAACCACAATATGAAAAAAATATAAAAGTATGAATGCAAAACATAAATAAGATAAAAAAATAAATAATTTGAAAGCATATATATATATACACAGACACAGACACATAAATTATAAATAAAAAATTATTAAACTTAATAGAGATATCAAAACATACTAAAAATAATGAAAATTTATACAACAAATATGAAATCAAATATAAAATTAAATTGAAAAGTAATACTAACTTGTATTTTATTGAAAAAATTCATATAAAAAAAATATTTTGTGAGTGAATGAGATTAAATAGAGAATGAAATCTTAATTATGACAAAATATAAAATAAGTTTACTTATTAAAGCAGATGTATATAGTATGGAATAAACTTAATTACTAATAAAGTTGGTATAAAAAGAGTGGTCTTAATTGATGAGCCCAATAATCAACTGGGTCAGACCCAATGAACCAAGAGGGACCTAAGTCGCTAGCGCTCAAAATGGGGGTCGCCCAAGCCCCAGGTGCTGCCCAAGGGGGCACCGCCCATTTGGGGCCCTCGTGCCTCTCATTTGTCCTCTTCATTTTGCCATTCCGATCTGATCCAGCTTAGAATCCAAGAAGTCCGAAGGAATAAGAACACGTGAAAAAAAATATTGTAATACGTATCATAGAGATTTAATCATACCTTAATTGTATTTACCAAAGAAGTAGAGTTCTCTCTCTCACGTCACCGCTTCACTATATTTATATAATGTAAGCCCTCTTCACATAGAGGGCATGACCTTGAGGTCTCTACACTTTGAGATCCCTATACACACTACACCTCCCTACACACATTATTTATCTCTCCTCACCATTGTAATTTTCTCAAAGTGTATTTTCTCGGTGACTTTTATTCATTAATAAAAATCTTCGGCCAACGCTGCTATTTCCGAAAGTGAAGTAGATCATTCGGACCGAACCGCTATAAATCTGCGTGTTTACTCCATATTTATTGTTTTACCATTAATTATCTCATTTATTATTGCATATTAATTATATCTCTTCATATACTTGACTGATGATCTTGCACGATATTAATTTGTGCATCATCATTAATATTTTGATAATAAAAAATTAAATACAATAAAAATAAAAATAAAAATAAAAATTTGTGTGGTAAAAATAACTCCACCCCACAAATATAGATTTTTAGCAAGGCTAATTTTTGTAATTTAAAATCCGTACGGTTTTTATGGTCCTCAGTCACCGGGGACCAGTTGGACGTAAAAGCTGTGGAGAAGACAGCCCATGTACCAAATTTCGCCAAGCGTATCCCACCCCCGCGCCCTTCCCTCTCCTCTCTCTCTCTCTCTCTCTCTCATTATTGTGTTTATATACAGTTGCATCAAAGCCACTCTCACCTTAAAGAGTACCAACCACGGCATAACCACAACCACAATTCATCAATATCTTCAATAAACGCACTCTCTTATCTTATATATAACCCTTCTCTGCCTCTCATCTTCTCACAATCCCCAACCAGAGGTAGCAAGTAGTATCAAGCAATCAACAAAGTCCTCCTTCTTCCTCATCCTTAAGCCATAGGCAGAAGATCTTCACAACCCATTTTTGCTTTTGCTATTAGCTGAAAAGGGTTGGATTTTAGAGAGGGAAACAGAAAGTTGGCGGTTTTGAGAGTAGGGGTAAAACCCAGGGTTTGACAAGTTGTAGACATCACGGCTATATACGGAGTAACGCGGCCTCTAATTCATGTCCGGGCAGTACGACGCAGGGGTTGTGTAACCGAGAGCAATCCTTCGCCGCACGGCGGACGTGGCGCTTTGCCGTCCGAAGGCGGTAGCCCTTCCGACCTCCTCTTTCTCGCCGGCGGTGGTTCCTCTTTTTCCTCCCATTAGCTAGACTATTGCATATATAAGCATATAAACTATCAAGATCTGCCTGTTATATCTACTTCGCTCGAAGGACTTCTGTTTGTTTGTTGCGGAAAAAATGATGTTGAGGATTAAGAGGGTTCCTACCGTTGTGTCCAATTACCAAAGGAAGAGGCGGAGGAAGGTGCTCGCCAGGGAGGAGGGTGCGGTCGGAATTGCCTCAGAAAGTGTTGCATTCCAGGTATGCCGAATTTGGGTCAATCCTTTGCTTTTTCTGTTGGTATACCCATTTATTTATTTTTTGGATACTCATTAAATTTTGGTTTAATTAGGATCAAAGCTGCCTTTGTATGCTTTTAAGATGGTGAATAAGAATGTCAATGAAAAGACTTCGCTTGGCTATGAGAACAAAGAGCCCTCCGTTTCCTTCTTGGACTCGCTCCTCCTCGGGGAGGTAAAATTTGTTCTAGTTTAGAAGCAATTCTTGTGTATACCAATCATCACATGGACTAAACTTTTTCCACTTGATGGTAGTGGGAGGATCGTGTGCAGAGGGGACTCTTTCGCTATGATGTTACTGCCTGTGAAACCAAGGTCTTGCCATTTATATTCTCTTTTTGTTTGCTATCTTAAGTACAACACATACTTGCAAAATAAGATACTTAGGCTAATCATGGTATGAATTCTATCTGAAATATGAGATAATTGTGGTGTAGGTGATTCCGGGTGATTATGGCTTTATTGCACAACTGAATGAGGGTCGTCACCTTAAGAAGAGGCCGACTGAGTTTCGGGTTGATAAGGTCCTGCAGTCATTTGATGAGAGCAAGTTTAACTTCACTAAAGTTGGGCAGGAAGAAGTGCTTTTCCAGTTTGAACCAAGCGAGGATGATGAGGTCCAATTCTTCCCTAATGCACCAATTGATATCGAGAATTCGCCAAGTGTTGTTGCCATCAATGTATGCACTTTCTAGCTTTCTGTACTCTTAAGAACTTGTAGGCAGAGAAAATTTGTGGTAAGACGGTAATTTGTTTTGTATTATTTCACAGGTTAGCCCTATTGAATATGGGCATGTGCTATTGATCCCTCGGATTCTCGAGTGCTTGCCTCAGAGGATTGACCGTAACAGCTTGTTGCTTGCACTTTACATGGCAGCAGAAGCAGGGAACCCATACTTCCGATTGGGTTACAACAGCTTGGGTGCGTTTGCTACCATCAACCACCTTCACTTCCAGGTTCCTATTCACCTTCACTTTCATATTCAACACACTTTCTCACATTTTTTGCTCATGACATTCTAATTCTTATTCTTGCTGTAACAGGCTTATTACTTGGCTGTTCCCTTCCCTATTGAGAAGGCTCCCTCTAGGAAGATAACCACTTTGGGTGGTGGGGTCGAAGTCTCTGAGATTCTTAATTATCCAGTCAGAGGTCTTGTTTTTGAGGGAGGAAATAGTCTGGAGGATTTGTCCAATGCTGTCTCAGACTCTTGCATTTGCCTTCAAGACAACAACATTCCTTACAATGTCCTTATATCTGACTCTGGGAAACGGATCTTTGTCTTCCCACAGGTAAGAATATCAGAGTCCATATTGATTTGTGTGATCCTATTCACTCTTTACCTAGTTGTAAGCTGATCTTCATGTCTCTTTGATTTGGATATCTTATCGTGACATTTTGTTTTCTGAAAATATGAACAGTGTTATGCTGAGAAACAAGCTCTTGGAGAAGTGAGTCCTGAGCTTCTGGACACTCAAGTGAACCCTGCAGTTTGGGAAATTAGTGGTCACATGGTATTGAAGAGGAAGAAAGACTATGAGGAGGCTTCCGAAGAAAATGCATGGAGGCTTCTTGCGGAGGTGTCCCTCTCTGAAGACAGATTCCAAGAAGTTAAAGCTCTTATCTTTGAAGCAATCATTAGTGATTCTGATGAAAATGAGTGTGTTGCTGAAAGCTTGCTTGAGGATCCAGATGCCGCAACTCAATCTCTTAAAGAAGTCGATGCCCTTTATAAAAGCTCCCAACCTGCTATGGTTCCTGGGAAGCAAGAATGCCTGGTTCTGGACTGAGGAATGGGCTTTGAAGAACTGATCTGTGGTCTCTGTGTACTCAATTATTAAGTATTTTGTTGTAGTAGCTGTGGGTTGCTGTGTGCCATTCCCTAAATAAAGCAAACTAGATTTGTTAAGTTGTTGGGAAGTCGTCAGCTTTGATGTTTTATTTGCATATGCATTGTGGAGTTCTGTAAAATATCTTGTATTGCTCTGATGAGCTAATGAATGAATGTTTTAGGCTTTGAATTCTCATTGTGCGCTTTTGAAGAGGGTTCACTTGGCTTATGATTGTTGTAAGAGGAGTCTGGTTGATGATTTTGTGTGATGCATGATTGTTGAACAAGGTTTAATTACCGATTTCTGGATTCATTGTTCGTGTATAATTTCGGAGGCAGGGTTATTAATTATACAATATATATAGTAACACTGCGTTCCAAGAGATCATTTTACCAGTAACCCGTAGCCCCCATTTTTTCATCTTCTGCTCTACAAATAATGTAAGCACTCCCGATTATGTAGAGATTGTCCAGTACAGTCCTTCCTAATGCTGGGGTGGGGGGTTTGGATTTGCTTCTCCAATGCCTTCTAAATCCAAACTCTTTTTTATAAATATGAGATTTAACATTCAATTTTGATATGCAACACGTACACATGTAAGACCTACGGATATAACATAATTATTAATTATTATTTGTCTTATAAATAATTATTTTATTCTTAACTGATCCAATTTGTACCATGTTAAAGGGTATAATTATCTTTTGTATCTTTAATTCACTAACATATCTTTTCAAACCCATCATCATGGTTTTAACAAAATTCATGATCATGGGTTTAATCTTCAGGACAAATACGGGACGGGTTTGAAAACCCGATATTAAATTTTCAATCCAAACATAAAATTTGAAAGTTCCTTAAATTATTTTTCTCAAATTCATTTTACCAAGCCCTTTTACCCCCTTGCCAAACCTCCCCTTATAGTATCTCTTTTAAATATTAGTTGGATGCATTTATAACAATTGATTTTTGAAAATAATAATATTGATAATTTTACACGTGTTTGGATGATAAAAATAAGGTCTAAGAGTAAATATTGGGTGTTCAACTATGCTATCGTAATGTAACCATCTAATAAAAAAATTATAAAAATGAAATAAATAAAAATTATTTTTTATCATAGAGGTGATTATATATTAAATAACTGAGTGATTATGAATTTTGTGATACTCACTTATTTATTTATTAGTGGACAGTAATGTTGTGTAATGATTACGCTCAATATTTCTTCTTAAAGATGAACACATATTCAAATGCCTAAGGGCATTAGAGTTAGCCAACTCTTTTTAATTATTGATGTGGAGAAAATCATATGGCAAATTATAATTTATTTTCTTAGAGTATGCACCTAATTTTTATTTAATCTTTCAAATTTTAATTCTTAAAAATAATGCCTTCTCATTCTATTCTATGTTTAGTTTAAGTATTAAGAAACAAAAAAAATAAAAATCTCGATATATTTTACCGAGAGATTTTTTGCTAGACATATATACCATTACAGACAAACATGTGACGTCATTCTATTGGAACAAATTAATAGATCTGAATGGAAAGATTAAATTAAAACTTTAAGAATGAAATTGGAACAATAGGGATCAAATAGAAATTAAGTTCAAACTTTGAGGGTATAAAACATAAATTACCCAAAACTAGAGCCAATAAGTTGAAACTTGAAACCACAGTGAAAATTGTTCTCATCTTCTTCCTTCTGCAAGAGTCAGTGACACAAACCCTTGATCTTGCGTGGAGAGTTTTATCGCCAGTTTAACGAGGCAGGTGCCCTTTCTTATTCTTCTACCTTTTTCTTCTTCATCTGCTTTATATTTTTGGCTTTTTTCACCGCGAGTCTCCACCCAAACTATAAGCAACTATTGGTTGAATATCATTGTATTCATTCCATAAGGCCTATATATATGTACAAATGCAATCATACTGTTTTCAGCTTTGTAATGCATATGTATGCACACAGGGGTATTGACAAATGTGCTGAACTTTTCAATTGACCTCTACATGTTTGATGATTTGCCCCTACGAAATTGAAGCCTCATACCATTTATTTTTGAGGATCTGATGTTTGCATCATAATTCTTAAATTCTGTTTATCCACATTGTATTGTTGGTGGTGGCTTTTCTTTTAACATAGTTATATGCGCTACTATGTAGAAATTTTGTTTCATTAGCTTTTCTTCTGCCTTTGTCTTGGTCAAATTAGTTGCTCTATGTGCAGGATTTGGAAATTTAGGTGTGATGTTATATCTTATACCTGTGTTTTGTTTAATTCTTCATGAAGTGCGGAAAATTAGAAAAAAATGAAGAAAGGAATACACCCCCAGATGCAATGGATATCATACGTGACACAGAGTGGCCGATTGATGCATGTGATGATGACTAAAATACACCCAGTTGGTAAAGTTTACCACTTTAGAGCAAAACGACAGATGGCTCAAAGTATGTCGCAAATTGCTAAGTTCAAGCGTCGCTATGAGCAACACAAGGAAGAGGAGAATAATGAAGAAAAATGAACTTTCTATGGTTCAAGAGAAATGGTATGTTATGCATTACTCCAGGGTTCCTTTTGTGTTCTCTATTTGGGATTATCTCTGAGTTGCAGCTAGATCATCGGATTTCTTTATGATATCTGTATTCGAAAACCTGCTGGGTTGTGCTTTAAACCACATTTGTTCCTCTGTGTGATTACTGATTTGCTGGCTCTAACTTTGGACTTATATCCATCTTGATAAAACAAAAGGGTATTAGTAGCAGTTGAATAGTGATTATGCTTGGTGCTTTTCATTCTTTAAAGCTACCACTTTGTTTCACGATTTTCTATTTCACATATTTGTCGGATGAAAATGATGGAAAAAAGGGGGGGGGGGGGAAGAGAAAATAAAATTGGGGTCCTCTGGCACATCTGGCTCTTTCTTGCCATCTTCAGTTTGTGTTATTTTTACTGTTAAGGTCTCATCGTTGAGAATTGAGATGTAATAAGCCTCTTTTGATATCCTTATGAACCCCATCCAATCTGTGCAGATTCTCTTTTTGGATTTCCCATCAGTCACTCTATTTCTATATCTTTTGGCAAATACATCGTCATCTTCTTGCCTTTGATGATCTTGCAAAACAACCATAGAAAAGAAAGCCTTTTGATTTCTTGTTGTTCCTCATTTACCATTCCTCGTCCTTCTGCTTCCTTTCTCTTTAACAATTAAAGAGTCTAAAGACGATATATAGGATAGCATGTTTACTCGGATATTCTTTACTGTTGTTAATTATTGAAGCCACATTACTGCAGGTGCTTGATTTTCGTTGCTTGTGGTAACATGAAGATGTTTTGCTTATTTAATTTTAGCTGCAATCCTTTTTTATTCAAAACAAATCAAAAACTGTTCATAGGAAATGATTCACAAACTTGGTGTTTTGATGCCCTTTTAACCTAATATTGCTATCAGCACTATGCTCGCTATAGCTAGCCAGGTTGGATGTTTTCAGATTTTTTTGCTCATATTAGGGTCTAGTTGTCAAGGTTTGTGGAATTTACCAAAGTTTCGGGCTTATGTTGGCAGAAATTTTTTGATGATCGTAAATACATTGCAATCTTCTGATTCAATGTTATGTGCTCCTCCATATATGCTGGAAGTTGGATGGGATGCTGATTAGTGTCACTACTTCAAGTCTTACTGGTGAAGTTGCGACATACCTAGTTTTACATCCCTTATTGGTCTGTTAGGTAATGCCTGACCATTGTGCTTCCTAAAGTGGGTGCGTTTGCGGATTTGCCAGTGTGGTGCATTTTGTTTTGGGTTATTATATGAAAGTAAGGTTATAATCCTGCAGTGTTTTTTTTAATCAGAACCAGTAAGGTGTAGTTTGATTCTGCCTAAAACACACGCAGTAGCATAAAACTACGGGGTTAGAAGGGCTCAACCTGGTTGGTGGTCATTATCTTCAACATGGATGAATGGTTGGCAGTTGGTCTTTCCCTATCAAGGGAGAGCCCATCCTCCATTTAGTAAAAACACACAACTACCATGCATGAGATATGTTAACTGTTGATTTTGACGCATAATCCAGCTTAGTGATGACCCACAAATATGCTTGATTAGGGGTGTCTTGAAAAGGACACTATTAATCAAGTCAAATAACAAATGAATTGGGCTAGTGTTAGACTTGAGTAATCAGTTCAATGGCACTATATATATATATAAAATAAAGTATAATACAATTCAAATTTAAAAAATAAATAAAATAATTTTTGTTATTCGCGGTTGAGATTATTTTAAATTTTATTTTAAAGTTAATCTAACGACTAATATTGACACCTGAAATTTAATAGGAAAAATAAGGTTCTAAAAATGTGTTCAGAGTAATTTTTTAAAAATATTTTTAAAAATTATTTCTCATAAGTACTTTAAAAAAAAAATTAGTGTTTGAAACTGTCCAACCACTATATCTACCACCCCCACCCCCACCCGTGCCGTCGTCGCGGTTATTATTGCTATCCTATCCTACCCACCACTATCACTCCCACTGTTCCACCACCACCACTATTACCACCACCCCCACCATCGCTGCCGCCGTCATCATCTCTATCGTTACCCTACCATATCCACCACCCAACCACCACCCTCGTCACTGCCACTACCATTACCACTGCCATATTCCCCACCACCACCATAACCACTACCACTACTGTCTTGCCACCACCACCACCACTTCCACCGTGCCACTACCACCATCCCCACCACCACCGCTGTCGCACCCAACCATTATTACCACTGTTGTCGCACTTTACCACCACCGTGACTGTCCCACCACCCCCACCCCCATGACCCTTATAACTACCACCACCATCGCCAACCCACTATTATCACCTCCACCATCGTCACTGTCCCACCTCCACCCCACCCTACCCTCACTGCCCCACTGTAACCGTTACCACCATCGCCACCCACCACTGATTACTATCTTCGTCGTCCATGTTTACCACCCACCACCATCGTTATTTTATTCTTATATTTATTTATTATTACCACCATTATCCCACTACCACCGTCGCCCATCGTCAGCACCCACCACCACCAATCGTCGTCCATCGTCGCCATTAACCACTATCACCTATCCCACCACACCAACCACCACCACCTGTCATTGTGCACAACTGTAGCCGCCCATTGTCACCTACCCTCACCATACTTACCATCCATTGTTGTCCATCACCACCATCATCATCACCGCCCATCATCATCACAGTTGCCACTATCATCATCGTCACTCAAAAATCACCACCACTGCCACTCACGATTGCTACCACCACCATGGTCGTCGCCTTACCTATCACAACCATCACCGTCTCTCACCATCATCACTGTTGCACACCACTATTACCACCGCTCATATTCACTACAATCGGTGCTTAAATTTATTTATTTATCTTTTATATTTGTGATTTGATTTTAGGTGTGAATACAAATATATTGACAATTTTTTTTATTACTCTATGTCTAAACTAATATATATATATATATATATATATATATATATTTTTTTTCATTTTCTATTTCTTGATGTGATATTGTATTAATTATTGTTAAATTAAACAGTTTTTGATTTGATTTTATTAGGATTTGGATTAAGGAGGGCTTTAATTTATCAGAGATTCATGTCTGGTGGATTTATTTGAGCAACAAAAGGGGAGGCTTCTAATTCCTCGTCAACACGGACATGACACAAACACAATTTGAATATGACACATTACGGCTCGAACACCCCTGTACTTTGATCGATGTTCTATGTGCTACAAAACTTAGAAAGTTTTGGAGGTTCGTGTGATGGGCTTCAGCCCATGGGCCCACTGAATAGGACCCACTAATCACCGAGGAAAGTTCTTTATCTTGCAAGAGCAACATATGAAGGGATTGAATATTTTCTTCTATGCCGTTACAGTTGCTTTAATCATACAGATAAGTGTAAAAAGCAAGAAGCCCTGGAAGAGCAATCACACCATGAAAAACCTCCCCTCACGTAAATAGCGATCACACCACACCAAGCCACCACCTACAACACGAGTCCTTGAAGCAACCCCTTGTTAGAAAAACATGAAGTTCTCCGGACTACATGCCCTGAAAGCCTCTTACACCACCTATTTAATCACAATAACTTCACTTACTGCTCTCAAATGCATCAGAAAAGATGCAACCACTTCTATATCGAATCGACACATTGATCATAGCCCCATTGCTGCCACTGCTACTACTATATGCACGAGCAAATCCAATACTTGATCACAGGTTGCAAAACAACGCCACGAATGGGTCATCACCATCATCTGCTTCTTCTTCACCATGGTTGAAGAGAGTCATGAATCCAAGAGCCACTGGGTGCTGGAACAGGCCATGGATTTGTAACGAAGGAAAATTTCCACCGAAAATAAAAAAACTGTGTTGTAAAAACCGTTGCGTGGATGTCACCTCCGATGTGAATAATTGTGGTTTATGTGGAATTAGATGTCCGTTCAATTGGCAATGTTGTCACCGTCTATGCATCAACACAAATGTGAATCCATTTCATTGTGGGAGGTGCGACCACAAATGCCCATTTCCTAGCTTTTGCTTCTATGGGATGTGTGGATATGCTCAGCCATTGCCACCCTTCCCATTTCCTCCTAAACCATTTCCTCCCAAGCCATTTCCTCCTAAACCGTTTCCACCGAAACCATTTCCTCCCAAGCCATTTCCTCCTAAACCATTTCCTCCCAAACCGTTTCCACCGAAACCATTTCCTCCCAAACCTCCTCATGGCCCTTACCCTCCACAGCGTGGTCGACCGCCTTCATCGGGCTGAGGTTCTTTCATTGATCATGGTCACAGTTTCTAGTCATCTATGATCTGTTCGAATGTTGCACCATTTGGTTCTTGTTCTCACTCTCTCTCTCTCTCTCTCTCTCTCTCTCTCTCTCTCTCTCATGCTTCAAGTCGATGTTTTGTATGTTCTTGCTTAGATGCCATGGGAATATGTTATTTTATGGAATCGTGGTTCATGTATTTTTGTGTTTTGTAGCCATCTGATAATGCTTTATGCCATTTAAGTTCATTTAAATAAATTATGTGTTCGTTCAAATATATTACATTCAACTCTCTTTAGAGGTTGTAATAGTAAGAATCACGTGTATATATTTGTGTTCATGTTGAGTATCCTCTACCTGATTCGTGGACATGACATGCACCATGCCACACTACCATCCAATATTAAATAAACAAGCGGACAAAATAATCCCATTTTTTTTATATAAGGTCACTAGTTATTGTCTACACCTAAAAACACAAAATAATAAAAAAAAATAATAAATAATAAATATATTTATATTCACACCTAAAATCATATTACAAACATAGAGGAAAGAGAAAAAAATTTAAACACCAATTGTAATGGAAGTGAGTGGTGGTGGTGGGGTGGCGATGATGGCGATGATGGTAATAATGGTGATGGTTGTGAGGCGGTAAGGGTAGTGGTGATAGGATAGTGACAATGATGGTGGAGTAGAGGTGACAGTGGTGGTGGTGGTTATGGTAGGGGTAATGGGGATGGTGGTGGTGGTTGTTGTGCAGAGGTGGTGACGGAATGGCGGTGGCGGTGGGGGTGATGGTATGGTGGCGACAGTGTTGGTGGTGGTTGTTATTGTGGCAGAGGGGGTGGCAGCAACGAAGGTAATGGAGTGGGTGGGCGGTTCCAATTTTTTTTTTTTTAAAGTACTTATGAGAAGTTATAAGTTCTAGAAGCACTTTTAAAAAGTTATCTCAAATACACATTTAGAGACCTTTTTTTTCTATTAAATTTGAGATATTAATATTAACTGTCGGATTAACTTTAAAGTAAAATTTAAAGTATTCTTAATCGCGAAAAATAAAAGTTTTTTTTTTTATCTTTTAAAATTTGAATTGTATTATACTTTATTATATAAATTATTATCTTACATAAATGCAGTTATTTGAATGAGTGTGGTCTATTTTTTTTATTTGGTGAGTTATCATTAAATTATTACACCATGTGACAATACCGACATTGTGTGAAATAATTAAACAAGAAGATAATTAAACCTTTGGGATAATTAAGCAACAGTATAGGCGTTGGTCAAATAAAAAGGTAAATGGGCCTGGACTTAAACTGAAGCGGACTGCCCCGTCCGCCCCATTAAGTGATAACCAGCAAACCGTAGAAACGTGGCACTTTACAGGTGGTCCAGTCTCTTTCTTAACAAGTCGAGCATACAGAATATAGCTATCCTCTGGATCTTTCTTTATTCATCTTCCTTCCCAAAATCCGGCTTTTCCCTTTCTTTTTCTTTTTTTTTTAAAACCCACGACCACGACCACGTCTTTTCTTTGCTTTTTATTTTCTTAATCGATCTGCTAAAACACTTCTCTCTCTCTCTCACTCTCCACTTTATATTTTCGCGGCAAACAAGCACCGGCGTCAAGGTTTTTCTTTTCCGACTAGGTTTTTCAGAGGTACAACTCCTTTCTATTGCTTGACTCTGTTTCTGCAATTACCACCGAAAGGTCTGTTTTTGTATCTGTTCTTCATTTGTCTGTTTTTGATCGAAGTTTTCAGTTGTGTTTTGCTTTGTTCTAACTTTTTTTCCGGTAACCAAACAAAACCTTGTTGAGAAATATTCGCCAACAGACCTTTTTGACCATCTGCGGCTCTTACCTTCTTTTGTACTTATATTTAAATTTAGATAAAAATAATATAAAATATTTCTCCACACCTCTAAAATAAATTAAAATAATTTTCTTTAAATTTGAGTTTTATTTGTTGGAGGGTTTATACCAAATTAAATTTTTTATTTTTTTTTTCAACTCAAATTTAAGTAAAGGTTTAGATTTTGGTGGGAGATGATCTAATAAAGCTTAAAATGGACCGACAACATAATTTATAATTTATCTCAAATTATTTTAAAATTATTAATCTAAGATTGTCTTCTTCCAAAAATTTTAATTTTAATGCCCCTGAGTTCACGGCCTAATGCATAAATCAAGCAGTGTAATTATTCACTAATAAATAAATAAATAAATTTACAAATAAAACTGTAAATACACCCACTCCGTCAACCCCTCTCTCACGATCTCACTCAACGCCAGCAACTGACTCAAACGCGCGCGCGCGCGCACACACAGAGACATTGCCACAGTCATACACAAGGCGTACCTGTTCGCCTCGTACTCCGCCACCGAGATAAAGGTATCTCCCTCTCTCTGTCTATTCTCTGCCTCTCTCTGCTCCTCTCGCTCGAAGCTCCCCTAGAAACCATCGCCTCCCAAAGCACGACCTAAAAGGGTTTCTTGATTTGGGTTTATGTATTATGCCTTTTTTTTCTTCTTCTTTTAGCTTAAACTCAATGAAGCTTTCTGTAGTGTAAGGGATTTTCTTTGGTTGCAGAGGTGTCTCACTCCCACCTTAATTTTTGTCATTTCTTCTGGAAAATTGTGATTTAATTTATTTTAGATTCCATACAATGAATTATTATTATTCTTATTGCTAATTTGGATCTAGTTTGTTCAAATTTCTGTCCAGGTTAAATTCATTGGATCCTATATGATTGTCAACTAGGCCCTTTGAAACCCAGCTTCAACTTCGCTTCGCCCATTTGCCAACTTCGACTTGGAGCTCTCTTGCATTACTGTTTCTTCACTTGGTGTTCCTTAGCAGGTCCCTTCTCTTTGTCTCTTTTCTTTTCTCTCTCTGTATATGTCTGGCAATCTACCTATATTGGTGCGTGTGTACTAGTACTTTTGTCAAGTGGGTTTGTTGTATGTGTTTTTTTTATCTTTTTTTTCTTAATCACTATAATGTTCTTATATTTTCTTAGATTATAGTTCTGAACTACTTTTTTGCGTTAATTTTTTTTACTCTTTCCAAAGTAATTCGGATGAGTCTGCGAAAGCTATGTGAATTATAAATCATGCTTTCATTGTTTGAGTACAAGTGTATAGATATGTATTTATCTATTAAAAAAAAAATCTGCTCAAAAACATTCTGAACGATCCTTAATATTAAACAACACAACCAATACATCCCCCAATGCCAAACAACCCCCCTAATCTAAACTGCTCTCTCTCCTACATCTCTCTTATTTTCTCTATGTTTCACATTTTAATTTTAAATTGTATAATTAAAAATATATATTTAAAATATAAATGTAGTACCAGTAATGCTTGATTTTCGATATTGTAAGGTCTCTTCAGAAATGGGGTTATTACTAGTATGTCTATAATATTATTTTAAATCTTTTCCTTGTTTGTACCGTTCATCAAGATTGGATATTTTTGAATGACAAATAGTTGCATTGTTTCAATTTGTTGTATTGATGCTTCATATTTCATATGATCAAGCATTGTTTGAATGCAACTATTGGTTTTATTTCACTATATAATCTTAATATTAATCTTGAAAACTCATCAAATCCAGGTTGTTCTACTGCAATGGCTTCTACTTGTTCTTTGCCTGCTTTTAACTTGCATCAGGCTATGCCTACTTCCAAGGCGACCATGTGTTATGGCAAGTTTTTGTGCAGTTATTCAAATTTAGTCTCTAAACAATCGGTTCAATCCAAGCCAATTTTTATATCTACTGACTCAACATATGCAAGGGTGTTACCCAATGCAATATCAATGAATAGGAGAGAATGTGAAAGGTTTTCACTAAGGAATGGACTCCTGTGCAAAGCATTAGAGATCGAAAATAATTCTCTGTTTCGGGTGGGCAATAAGTTTCAACTTGATGACGTGATTGAAGCTCAGCAATTTGATAGGGATACCCTCAGTGCCATATTTGAAGTGGCACGCGATATGGAGAAGATTGAGAAGAACTCGTTTGGCAGCCAAATTCTTAAGGGCTATCTAATGGCCACTCTCTTCTACGAGCCATCAACTAGAACTAGGCTTTCGTTTGAGTCCGCCATGAAACGGTTAGGTGGGGAAGTTTTGACCACAGAAAATGCACGTGAGTTCTCATCAGCTGCAAAAGGAGAGACACTTGAAGGTAGTTTTTCATTAGCTTACTTTGAGGTGGTTTTGCTGACTTTATTTTCTGATTTTGGAGCTTGATTGGCAGATACTATAAGAACCGTCGAGGGGTACTCAGACATAATTGTGATGAGGCACTTTGAAAGTGGTGCAGCCAGAAGAGCCGCAGCCACTGCCAGTATTCCTGTTATTAATGCAGGGGATGGCCCAGGACAGCATCCAACTCAGGTTTAATCTGCCTCTTTCTATATGCTATACTCTTGTAGATGATTGATGTTGTTTTGCTTGCGGTTTTTTGTGAATTTCGTTTAGAGAGCCTGTAATTAGATTCTGTTGGATATAGTTATCATCATTTAGATGAACAAGGGAAAGAATTACATACGGTGTATGTAATAGTTTAGGGGTTCCCAGCTTAATGATTCTGCTGTCCCCCCTTGGCGAGTGAGGTTATCTCTTCATTTGAGCAACTTTAACATTCAAAAACTGAGTTTAAACTTCTGCTTGAATAATTCGATGTTCTCTACTGTGCTTATTGTGTTAACCCATGACATTAATAGCTAGGGAAGAGAATAGGTGGTCGGGGAGAAATGAAGGGCCTAGTCTAATTTTTGATTTTATCACAGACTATATTGCAGTTGTCCTATTTTTTAATTATAAATTTGGAATTCTTAAGTACGTAAAAGTTCGGACACTCTGAAATAAAAAGAGCAACCTAATTAGATGAGTATAGATGTTTAATAGGTATCTGAATGTATAGCTTCTGGTTAGAGATCTATTCATTTTATGCAGTTTTTGTTAGAAAACATCAGTACAAAAGCACTTCGTTTGAGTTTGTTTTTCAGTAGTTGTAATATTCATACTACATTGGCCTGAAGAATCTTGGCTGGCACAAAGTCTTTGTGGTCTTTAGGAGCCCCTTACACAGATGTTCATGCACTACAGAGCAGCTTGTTTGGACTATGAATCCCAAAAAGTAACTTTTGAAGGAATAAGCAGTCAATTACTAGAAACCTAAGAAATATAATGGCTCTCATGCTAAGTCGACTCTCGTTCGGGCTACTGTGGATTCCATGTCATGTTCAGGGGCTACTGCAAAGTTTAGGTGCAGAATATCTTTGATAAAATATCCACATCTGCCTTCATTGGATGTTCATTAGGTTCTAGGTACTTGTTTTCAATGCTCTACTCTTATGTTTAACACAAGACAGGCTCTTCTGGATGTATACACCATTGAAAGAGAGATAGGCAAACTGAATGGCATCAAAGTTGGACTTGTTGGAGATCTTGCTAATGGAAGGACTGTTCGTTCTCTTGCATATCTGCTTTCCAAGTACCTGGATGTCAAGATCTACTTTGTGTCTCCTGATGTGGTGAAAATGAAGGTAGGAAAGAGAATAACCAATTCTCATTTATGAAGCTAAACATGTATTGAAGTTTCACACTCTTCTCACTTTATTTTTTTCATTTTTTGTGTTGAACTTAATAAGATCAAAAAGTTTAGAAATATTCTAAAGCTCGTAAAAGAGGTATGGTTTACCCACAATTACCTTTTCAACAATTATTTCAGGATGACATAAAAGATTATCTGTCATCAAAAGGAGTTGCATGGGAAGAAAGTGGTGATTTAATGGAAGTGGCGTCTAAGTGTGATGTGGTGTATCAAACTCGCATTCAGCGAGAACGCTTTGGAGAGAGGACTGATCTTTATGAGGAAGCTCGAGGCAAGTACATAGTGGATCGGAATGTCCTGAGTATTATGCAGAAACATGCAGTGATCATGCATCCTCTTCCAAGGCTAGATGAGGTAAGCCAGTGATGTATTCTGTTGATGCTGAGATATCTCTACTACCTTTTTTTTTTGGAACTTTCTTGATCTATTGATGGTTTTGTTTGTTAATCTGTTTTTTCTTGCACTGAATGTGTTTGATCGACTTTGATGATGATGTTATGTAGATAACTGTGGATGTTGATGAGGATCCAAGGGCTGCCTATTTTAGACAAGCCAAGAATGGTCTCTACATCAGAATGGCTCTTTTGAAGCTTTTACTGGTTGGTTGGTGAGAGAGATTTTCTATCATCAAGTTTTGACGGATGTTTGCACAATAATTGTTAAATTACAATTTTGTTTCTTGTTTGGCCTATACTTATTTTTATTGTAACAAGCTAACCCAGTTAACTCGAGCTGAGTCTGTCAATCTGAGTTTAAAAACTTGTTTAAACTCAACTCATTTAAAAAATAAATCAAGTCTAAAATAAGTCAAATTTGAGCCTAAATTATTTTACATATAAACAAACTAAGTTTTATAAGGTCATTTTAGGTCTGTTTTTTTAAATGACTCTAAAAAATTATTCGTTTAAAACACGAGTTAAACTTAAGTCAAGTTTTATCTCAATCAAATCCGAATAATTTAACTTAATTATCAGTGCAACTAAGTAAGCGGCAAACTCGAGCTTTTTTCCAAAAAATAAAATAAAATAAAATAAAATACATGGGAATCACAAGAGCTGTGAGAAAAGAAAATACATCTGCATCACAAGAGCGATGAAAGTCTCTTCTATCTGCTTAATTTTGTAGTATAAACAACTTCTGAAAATGACAAATACGTGCACCCCAAAAGGAAGACAGTTTTGATGTTTATCCTTCCCTGGTCAGGATGAGATCCTATTTGCTAGTAGGTAGGGAAGTTCGGATCCACATCATGGGCCCATGTCTCCAAGCCACCAATGATATCCTTAGCTGAAGTCAAACCCATCTTGTGAAGGCATTCAACAGCCCTCTGTGAATCATTGCCTCTTCTACAAATTACATACAGACAAGCGCTTGAACCGGTATTAACACCCCGTCGCTCTTCCTCTTTCTTCAAGGCTGAAGATATTTCAGGCAACCTATCCTCAAGAGTCGGAAGTGGGATGTTCATGGAATTGGGAAGAGAAACAATCTTATAGTGGTGCGTTGGTCGTACATCAACTAGTATATGTGCTTCTCTGCCGGCAACTTTCTCACTGTACTCTTTGCTGCTTATTCTAGCAGTAGGTGTAAGCAGGTTTAACTTCAATGGAGACTGCAACCAATTGGAAGGTCACATGACGTTAAACTAGGAGAATCAAAAAAGTTTGATTCCATGTGTAACATTGAAACATGAAAGCGAATTTGAACTGCTAAAAAAAGAATCATGCATGTCCCCGTGAGACAACATGCTTGTTGTGAGCACACATAAGAAAGCCTCGAATTATGATTGCGCTCTAGGGAAAGGGATATCCCAAAAGTTAAGACTGAGAGATGGCTACATGCCTTCTGCACAAGTGGTAGACCAGTAAAGTCCCCAACCTAAGGTCTGTGGTTCAACAAATTAATGGAGTTTGGTTCCAAGAAAGAAATATCAAGTAATGATCCTCTAGATGCTACCTACTAGATTACAGAAGAAAGAAACCTCAAGCAATCCTATTCAACAGCATGCAGACCAGAATCAATGAAAAGTAACAGCAAAACAAAATACCGTGGATAGGGGAGATTGAGTAAATTTCTCATAGTCAAAATTTTGGAATTGCTGTTGGGTTAGTGCTGCATTTTCTCCACAAGCTTTGCACTGCGAAGACCTTTCTCTGAGCTTGACCTAAGCAATATGGTCATAAGATGTTAATTACACAAAATGTATGATTAATACTAGCAAAATTCAAAATGTTATTTGATTGTCAGGTGACAAAACAAATCTATATCAGTAAAATGAAGGAAATATAGATCAACTCCAATCACTTTATCCTGGCTCGTCAAGAAAAGCTGATATACATGTGCATTCATATTTTCATTGGGCATAAAATTGGCATTCTTAATGAGACAGTGGATGCAAAAAGGACATAGGTGGTTCAAGTTAAACCACAAAAATGAAACAAAAGTAAACAAATACAATAGCAGTAAAATTCAGAAGTAAACCAGCAATCTTATTAGTTCCATCAATTAAATTGACTTCCCTTGAGAAACCCACTGCTGGAGAGTCTCCAACCCACGACAACATTTATAGTTTTGTTTTATTATGTCTTCATAATTCTACTTAATCTCTGAAAGCTTATTTTCATTTGCAACATCATCACCACTCTGACAAACTCACTTTCCTAAATCTTTTTACAATCTCCATTAGAGATGTATAGCTTATTAATGTTCTCCAATTCATTTGTTCAAAAACCTGAACAACAAACATAAATTAGGAAAATTGTCAAGGCAACGGATTATGCTTAGTCGTGAAAGAAAATGAAGGAAAAGCAACCAATTGATCACCAAAGTCTAAAGTTGAAGAACAACCAAAACTTCATGGATATGAAAAATGAAACATACGATTCGGATCCGGGCTGACAGTGCATCAAAAAGTAGCATCCGTCCAGAGAGGGGTTCACCAATGACGCTTGCAATCTTTATAGCTTCTAGGGCTTGGAGACAGCCAATGACACCGGGAACTGTAAATAGAATCCAAAACTACATTGACAATTGAACTGTCCAAAAATATAGCAAAAACATGATAAACAAGCGCCTAAATCCAGAATGTCAGAAACGGACATTAGGGAACTAACAATACAGAGACCATTTCCAATAGTTAGTAAAATGGGGCAGGAAGGCATGTCATAATGGACCCTCCCTTGAATCTTCTGGTACCTTTTCATTTAAGTCCTTTGTTGACTCCTTAATTGATGATCCTTCATTTCCTACATGTCACCCAACATTGAAGATTTGGAGGCCTGAGATGCATTTGAAAGTTCAAATTTGTGCATGGTTCATTGCTCATGGTCAGATTAACACCTTTGATGTGCTCCAAGAGAGACCTTATAATAGTCTTTGTCTGCAATGGTGTGTCACGTGTAGAGCTAATTGTGAGAGTGTGAACCATTTATTTTTACATTGTCCTACAGCTTTCTCCTTATGGAATAAATAATTTTGGTTATTTGGTTGTAGAGAAATTCAAGAATATTCTAAGATAAAGAGAAGGTGATGGAAGGATTGTGGGATAAGATCTTTTCCATAGCTACTTTTTGGCCTTAAGTGACAAAGGCATTTGAGAATATTCTCCTTTTTTGTATCACGTCAAATTTGCTTGCATCATGTGGAAGCTAGCTTGTATCTTGTGGGATATAACTAATGTTGGTTGATTTTTCGGCTTTTCTTATTTTCCATGTAATCGGGTTGGACTTCTTGTCCACCTTTGCTCATATTATGTAATGTTTGTTTTCTTATTAATAAAATGTTGTTTCTTATCAAAAAAGCAAAAAACAGTGGAACCTCCCTTATGTGTAGCTTGCTAAAATAACCTTTTGGCTTAGTCACCTTGGTTCACAGTACCTAAAAGAACATTAATCTATACGAACTTTAGAGTTGCACTAAAGTCAATCTCTAAGACCATCGCATAAACTTTTTAAAATTTTCATAACATTAGTACTTGTTGCCCTGTCAAAGAATCAAAACTTTCAACTCCAGCACACCAGATATGTAACAAGAAGGAAACAACAGGAAGATACCTCATGCAAACAAATGAGAACAAAAGGAAGACGCAAACAGAAGAAAACAGAAAGAATTCCCAGCACAAACATAGTTATTATGTCTGCTCATCTAGGGCTGTGAACTGGTCAGCAGTTCGATGCATTAAAATACAACTGATCAGAAACTTACCTACTCCTAGAACTCCACTGTCGGAGCATCTTTGACATGCTGTGGTAGGTGGCGGAACTGGAAAAAGGCATCGGTAGCATGGACCTCCATTGTAATTATAAACTGTGAGCTATACCATTAGTTCGAAAATGCAGTTACAATTAGGCATTCTATATGATTCGTCTTAGAATGGAAGAGAACATTGCCATTGCAAATTATACCTGCCCTTCCATTCCCAGTGCAGCACCAGATACAAGTGGCTGCATACAAGAACATGTATGTGTGAATGGTCTCGATTTTTCACCAGAAAATTTAACAGTCCTTTCAGCTTATAAGACAGAAGAATACCTGAAGTAGTTGTTTACATCTACTCAGTTAAGAAATCTAAAACTATCATGCTCAAGAAAAAAAATAAATAAATAAAAAACAGAAAAAAGAAAGAGAATAAAAAAGCACACATGAACCTTATGAAACATCTACAAAGTCTTGTGCCCTTTTAAACTCCCTTTTTTCGTTTCTTTATACCGAATTCCCAAATGCATACGATGAAATAGAGGAGCAGATTATGTAATTTTTTGACAGTGGCAGGCATAAAAAGCCAAACAGACGAACAAAGTTCTTTTGAGGTAGGAGAAACTATGATGTGAAATTATAACAGAATAGTTTCAACACCAAGTGTCAGAAGAAAGATGACAACGGTCAAAAGTGAAGCTCAGTAGCCAATGACCAGTTAACTGATGAGAACTGATTCATATAAAAGCCAAATTTCAAACAAACTGAGTGACTTATGCTTGTTTTGCTGTGACAGTAAAACACCATAGGAAGCCAACTTACCTTTCCCAAAACAACACAGCAATCATTGATCATGTAGCGGCTAGGAACATTGTCCGTTGCATCCACAACTATATCATATCTAAAGAACGTTAACAGTCATGGAAATCATAAATTTCAACTCCATTAACCAAAAAATAAATCTACATATAAAAAAAATGAAGCATGGAAAGGAAATTATCTTATTTAGAATCTATTGTATCAAGGATACTTGCTCATGATCTCCAAGGCATTGGATGTGCGAAAAGCTTCCTTGTGTTCCACAATCTGAATGGTGGAGTTAACCCTAAGTTGCAGGCAAAAGAATAACATTTTAATATAGGTTACTACTTGATATTAGGACAGTTTAATGCAAAAGTTTGAAGTTTAAGGATGCCATTTGTAACAACATCTAAATACAGGAGTTCCCCATAATATATGCTTCTGTGAATCTCAGCTCTTGGGACAAAAAAAAGTGAGATTCTCCTTCATGTAAATATTCAGTCATTCAAACTTGAGCTCAGGCATTCCAATGACAGTAGATTAATAATCCAGGGTAGTAACATACGAGCGACAAGCAGCAGCAGCAGATTCTACTTTTGACCACCCAATATACGCTTCAGTGTGGATTATCTGAAGTACCATTGTCAGTGAAAAATTAGCAGATGAATCTTAATAATTATAATCTTTTCATCCATCAGAATATAAATACTACCAATAGATGACAATGAACATCAATACGCGCGGACTCAATTGGACAGTAATGATCAGAAAAATCAGCATCATCAAGATGATGATTTAAGTATTACAGAAATTTTACCTGCCTGTGCAGGTTGTTAAGCTCAACTATATCATGGTCAACAATACCTAATCGACCTGAAAAGATATGCCGATACCAAAGTAATTAGTTTCTGAAATAAAATGTTCTGATTGCAATAACACAATTACAATAGTTCCATTTAAATCACTACTCCATTGAAAAGAAAAAGAATGCATTTTCTATGGGAAAAAAGAGTATGGAATCTCTTCCATACAAACAGAGTCGGCCTAAACACACTGTCAATATACAAAAGAGAAAGTCTGCATTTTTTTGGGCTTCCTTTTCTATTAAGAGAGGATTTTGGAACTCGTTAACAGCAGACAACTTACCAACACCGCAAGCGGCAAGATAAAGCAGAGCTGGTGCTCCCAAACCTCCAGCTCCAACAACTAAAATCGAAGACTTGACAAGATTTGACTGCCCTACATTCAAACAGCCCATTGAATTACAGCCTTTAAACTCACTTCATCAAATCAAGTGAATTGTATCAACAGATAGTAGACAGCAACGCAGACCTTGAACACCGAAGGAAGGGAGCAAGAGGTGGCGGCTGTATCTGTAGATCATATTCGGAGACAAACCATGTCCGAAGCTTGAATCGACGAAAGATTTGACTGTGGAAGTGCACGAGCCGTTTGAATTGGGCATCTCATCGTCCTTTTTGACCTTAATTTTGCGGAGCTGAGCTTCAAGAGCCGATATTCGATGCTCGATATTGCTCTTCTCAGTCTTCAGCGACTTGAGCTCATCGATAATTCGGGACAGTTCTTCGTTTCCGTTGGACTCCATTGAAGACTGGAAGTAGTTCGCTTGCAGGAGTTCGAAGTTGTTAAGAAATAACTAACAAGTCTGCTAGAAAAACCCTAAATATGGGAAAAGGACCAGACGTCCACAAAACATAACTTAAAAAAGTTTTAGGTCCAAAACGACAACTTAATTTCAAAATGACTCATGTGCCCTTATGTATTCAAGTCTTTGTCTTCCTCGTGAGCCCCTGGTGTGCCGAACCCAGCAATGAATGGATTGGCAACAACTGGTTGCTTGCTAAACCTAAACTGGATTTCTAAGTAAGGGTAAAATCGTCATAAAAAAAAAATTTATTTGTCAACTGATACACAAACGATAAAAAAAGTAAATGAATGAACTTTTTTTTTTTAAGTCATCAAATTAATCCCTCTAAAATTAAGAAAAAAAATAATTAATTAATTAAATGTGTTAAAATGTATATTATTTATTTATATATTTTTTGATATATACATATATCATATTTATTAATTACAAATTATGCATACAATAACTTTATATATAAATATAATATAAAATATATATTTATGTTTTTTAAAATAAAAAAATATTTTTTTTACTTTACTAAATACAACAAAATTAGTCATTCTTAATTTTCATTCCTCTTACCGAATACAAAGGAGAGAAGAAATAAAATATTTTTCATCTACCCTACCAAACGATCATTAATACCTTAAAACTAAAACTCCTGGATCTAATGATTTATGGGGTGCTAAATTTGCCCTTTTCACCGATTTTCATTTAATTATATAACCAAATCAGAGGATTGAAGTGGTAATTCCGTCAACTCAAAAGCTATGGGCTTTTGTGGCTCATTTGAGTCATTTCTCAAGAGATAGAGAGAGAAACTAAATGTTTGGAATGTGTCTAAATCAGGGCCTGCTCAACACTATGGTCCGTTTGTTTGGAGAGATTATGATAGAAAATAGAAGAAAGATAAATTTTTTAAAATTTTTGTGTTTAATTAGCATAAAATGAAAAATAATAGAAATTTTTTTTTCTTCCATACTTAAATTGCTCACAACTAACCAACTTTTTTTTTATTTATAAAAAACACAAAAAAATGCAAAAAAAAATTGTGATGTATATCTAACTTCTTATTTTACCCTTATTTTTCTTAAAATATTTTATTAGTTATTCATTTTAAAGAATCTTGTTATGAATTCAGTTAATAATATAATTTGACTCAAAGACTTTCGTACTTTATGGTTGTCTGAATTAGGTTAGGAGTAACTTTTTAAAAAATATTTAACTTTTAATTATAATACATATTTTTTTCTTCTTTAAATCGATTTAATATAATTAACAGTAATTTAGACAATTAGAAAAATTTTCCTGTAACTTTCTTTTCTTTCAAACAATAAAATGAATTTCTTTTAAAAAAATTATGACAAATTTTTCATGCTAACTAAATATATGCATGACAATATATTTTCTTTCATTTTATTTTTTTTTCACTTCACTTTCTATCATTATTTTCCTCGTAATCAAACAAACCCTATTAAATAAAACCTGTACATAACTAACCCACGTAAAAATTTTAGGTCTTATAAAAAACGCCCCCAAAGATTTAAGCTCAATCAAAAAAATTTAATGTCAAGAATTTAGGCATATGACCTAATCCAGTAAAACTCCAAAGAAAATAAAAAAAAAATTATTTAAAAATCAACTCATTCTCTCTCTCACACACATCAACCCTAGCAAGGCCACAAGGGCTCCCCTTTCATTCTCTCTCTACTTAACACATCCTCCTTCTCTCTCATAAAAAAATTTTAAAAAAAATATTCTTTTAAAAAAAATTAATACTAAAAATAACAAAAAAATTAATATTACCGCGCCTCCGATTAGCTTGAGCCACCACTGGTCTAGATTTGATGATCACCCTCAATTTTCACAAAATTGTGCCTGGAATGCGATGAGGTAGCGAACTGTCCGTTTGCCACGTTATTACAGCAAGACAGGTGTACTCTATCTAAGCGTAATGCCACTCCAAGCTAATATCTATATATAACCTCCATGACCTACTTTCCTTCTTTCTCCTTCAGTCTCCATATGCACTCTACTGAAACCAACAAGGTTCTGAAAACATGGGATGCCACGTTATGTTCCTCTACCATTCTTCCCGGGCATCGCTAATCCTCCGGTTACCGGCCTATCTCCCCCAGTCTATTATGGTACCATTTTTCTAACTCATTCTCAATCGTTCTTTTCTGGTAGTAATCTATTGGCTAAAAGCTCACCTCCTCGTATTCTCTCTCTCTCTCTCTAATGTAGTGCATGAAGCCACTTCCAGGGTTTGATATTTTACCTAGAGCAATGTTATTGGGACCCGATCTACGTAATATGAGGACTTAGAACACTGTCATCCCTAAACTAAGCAGGGGGGGTTTAAGTACAAAAAATTCATTTATAAAAAAATCGGATAAATCTAAATAGCTATTGGTTGATATGGACATATAAGTCATGTGATAATGATGAATAACAAGTCAAACATTTTCTATTTTGATTTACAAAAAATTTATGTGCTTGGAATCCTTGATGATTAAATAAATCAAGAGGCTATCATGACAGCAATTTTAGAGAGACACGAGCGAAAACTAATGTGTCGCTTCTATAACTAGATAACCAGCACAAAAAACCATCTTTACATTGGATGATTTGGTGTTTTGATTATCCCTACCTTAGTCACTGTAACTTCTGTATTTATTATCGCCTTTTATTGCTGCTCCTCTAATAAATATTGATTGTATCCCTAAATTAGGAGGGTTAAAGTACACTATCAATTTCAAAATTTCCCTTAATGCTAGACTTTTTGTATATTGTTGAGAGCTCATGATCTTCTATTAAGAAAAAATTTAGAGTATGTTAGAGGGGATCAATCCTATACCTCTAACAAGCTAGCATGTAAAATAAAACTACTAAAATATCCCTATTTTGTATTAAATATCATAGCACATTTTTTTACATGGAATTGTCTATGGTGCTCATTTATTCTTGAGAAATCTTATTTAAGATCTAAAAAATTGACTTAATGTGTTGCCGTAACGATGTATTAAGTAATTGAGTGTCAATCACAACAACATTATACCTAATCAGGCACTTAACCTATCAGTCAGTCTCAATCACAACAACAACATTAACCTATCAGTCAGTTTAATCTAATCCGGAATGCTAGTTTGAAACTCAGACCCGCTGAGATTTACACACTTTTTCGTTCTTTATGAAATTACAAAGTAAGCTTCCTAATCAGGCACTTGCACTTGGTACTAATAGCCTATAGAGTATAGAGAGGCTATGGAGAGGTGCACAATTGTGCTTCCTCGCTTCGCCAAGAAAAACAATTCTTACAGGGTGAAGGGTGCACTACAGGCCTATGCTTGTTTTTGCGCAAGAATCTCTGGTTTTTTGGCCGTATTCAACTGAATACGGAACTTACTAAGAAGATGGGGTCTACGGTGTGTGTATGTCAGTCTCCTCTTAGTAGTTTAGGATGGCATCACTCTATAATAAACTAATGAAGACCGTGTTATGTCACCAAAACAATGACTAATGCTCAACACTTTATGATGCTTCAGAGGTATAGCCAAGCAAGGAAAGAAAACAATGGCCATGGCATGGAGGAGAAAGCACCTTCAACAGCTGAGGAGTTCAAAAGAGTTGCAGAAGAGAAGGCCCACCAAGGCGTCACTAATCAGACTGTAGAAAAGGCAGAAGAGGCTTTTGAAGAGGCCACCGTGGGTGACTCTAAAGTTGAATCTGTAAAAGAACGTTATAAGGAGCCTGTAGGGAAAGGAAACTTCCACAAGACCGACCATGAATAGATTTTCTCACTGGAAAATGGGACTTTTATAGTTCTTTTGCAAGTCAAATAAGGTACATGTATCCTGTAGATAATGCTCTTTCTTTTTTTCTTTTCTTTTTTGTGCATGCTTTAATGCCAACTCTTGATATGAATCTCGTATCTGTGAAAGAGAAGAGCGTCTTAAATCCCTACTTGAAGTACTGAACCAGAAGCAGCACAGTAACTATTGGGAGGACACACTAGAGGCAACTAATTTCAAAAGAAGACTGACCAATGTAGTGTATAGCACAGTTCCACGAATTCACAACAAAACTATAGCACCTCCAGTTTGGTGAAGCATTCATTGCAGAACATTTCAATACACTTCTTACCATTAGTGAGCGCACAACCACCACTCATCTTCGTCATCATAACTTCATAAGCACACAATTTGGAAGCCAAAACAATAAAGGAAACACAAGAATTGCCCTGCTTCCACAAACTTTCTTACCAACTGGATTCAAAAGCTTTGAAAAAGGAAAAAAAAAAATAGCCCTAAATAGAATCTATACACTCTGCAAACAAAACTAAACCCGATTTACAACAATAATAATGCTCAATAGACTGCGGATGGATTAGAGATAAATTGATCAAATTAAATAAATCAACCAAAAGCAAGTCCAAAAAATAATCAACAGTAATCAAACAAGTTGAATGAAAACAGAAACATAAAAGTCATTTGAGCGAAACAGAAAAGACCCAAAAAAAAATGCTAATTAAAAGGTAGAGAAGCACAAATACTAAAGCCCTAACAATCCATAATCGAACTACCACAAATGAATCCTGACCTACATTAATCGAGAAAAATTACAAGGATCGAAGCAAAAAATAAAATAAAATTAATAAAGAAAGTATATTAAAATTAAGCGAAAAATTTACAACGAAAACAGAACAAATTTAGGAGGATTACTATTTATTATCCTATCTAAGTATACACACATAAATAATGTACGCAGAGAGAGAGAGAGAGAGAGAGAGAGAAACCTGGTCCTTGACTTTGAGGTTGATAAGGCCCGATTGATCGGCGGGCTTCTTGTCTTCCTCTTGATTGGTAGCACCCGACATTCTTTCTCGATCAGAGCTTTCGCTGCTGTTGCTGCTTGAAAACCACGCCAACGACGAGTCGACGACTTCAGTCTCTCTCGGCACTCTCTCTTGCTGTCTCACCTGACTTCCCCAAATTAAACATAAAAAAAGTCAATGATATTTCTGTATACAAATAAGTATTATTTTTTCCCGAGCCTTTTATTTATCCTCCAACTTTTCATCTTTTTACTTTTTTATCGTACTAAATGGAGCATTGTTATTTTTGTTTTATATCAATCAAATTTTATTCTTGATATTTTATTTTAATTAAATACTAAATTCTATTATATTTTAATTTTATCTTTATCCTTTATGTTCCGTTTGGTCCGATGTAAAAGTAGGAGGATGAAAAATTTGAGGGATAAATAAAATATCATGTTTGATAAGGAAGAAAAGTAGGAAAAATAGAAAAGTGGATGAATTAACTTTCTTTCCAACTTACCGAAATCAATTCCTCTAAAATCGGGAGTAAAATGGATGAAAAATTAATTATTTATATTGAGATGTATCTTATTTGTCTATATATCTTTTTATATATACATATATTATATACATTAATTTCATATAAAAATACAATAGTAAAATATGTATGTATGTGTGTGTGTATATACATATATATATATTTTTTATTTTTTTAAAAAAAAAATTAAAAATAAAAGAAAAAATTTTAAAAAAATATTTATTTTCATCTTAACTAAAGATAAAAATTTTCGACTCAAATTCAATACAAAACGACTCAAACTCGATACGAAAATAAACAAGTCAACTCATAACTCGATACGATACAATTAGTTAATGAGTTAAGTTAGATTGACTAATATTCGACACAAATCCGTAATGACTTAACACGAATCTGATACGACACAACTTGATTGTCATCCCTAATCTTAGTTATTACCAAAAAAAAAAAAATTGTCATTTTTATTTTCCATCCATCCAACCAAACACAAAAGAATGAAAGTGTATCCTTCCTACTTTTCATATTTGAAGGATAGAAAGTGTATCCCTCCTATTGGTGATCAAAATTCTTTCATTTTTTTGCATTCTTAAAATCAATTAAGAGGATAAAAAAACCTTACTTTCGAAATTCTATAAAAAAAACTCAAATAACATAAATTTCATAATAGGACTCAAAGAAAATTCACATTTTTTTTATTTTCTTATCTCACTAGGATACCTAATCTTAAAATTCGAGACATTATTTACTGATTATTTAATAAAATAAGAATGATTAAAAAAACTACATTGATAATATTTATTGATTAATTCTACTTTAATGTCATTATCGATTAAAACACAACAATTAAAATAAATCTCTAATTTAAATATTTTAAATCTAATATAAATTAATAGAATATGATTTGGATAAAAATTAGCTCATATTAATATTGTTGTAAAATCTACAATATTCTATTAATTGATTCTAAAAAGGTAAAAAAATGAAAGAGTTTTTGTCATTAAAGAGTAGGGATAAAATTAGAATATAATAGAATTAGTACTTAGTTGAAATAAAATAATAAAAATATGACTTTATTGATATAAAATAAAAATGATTGGATTTAATGGATATTTGTAGGAAAAAGTAATATTTTATTGATAATTTTTCCAAAAAAAAAAAATAACAAACATAACATACTCAATCAAAGGGTTTTGATCTTTCTTAAGCTATCTAATTTCGTAAATGATTGGGCTCAACATAACATGGATATAAATGAAGTCAATCAAAACAAATACATGATACGATTTGTTTATATACATACAAGACTTGTTTTTATTTTGGTTATATATAATTCATACAAATAATGCGTTAGACACGAAATAATAAACGAATCAGAAATTAATGAAGTACTTTTGGACACAAACCCATTAAGAACTGCCACAAATCTCTCTCATCTAACACAATTGACAAACCTAATTATATATAATAAAATTATCTCTTTTATACTCCGTTTGGTAGAGAGTATGGAAAGTATGAAAGATGGAAATTATGAAGGATATACTTTTCTATCATTCAATGAGGGAAAGTAGGAATGATACATTTTTTTTTTTTGTTTGGTTGGATGGATGGAAAATAAAAATGACTATTTTTTTTTGTGTTGGCTAAGATTAGGGGTTGTCACATCAAATTTGTATTGAGTCGTTACGGGTTTATGTCGAATATTAGTCATACCTAACTTAACTCATTTAACTAATTGTGTCGTGTCGATTTACGAGTTGACCTATTTATTTTCGTATCGTGTTCGAGTTGTGTCATCGTGTTGAGTCGAAAATTTTCACCCTTAGTTAAGATGAATTTTTTTTTTTTTAATTTAAAAATATTTTTAAATTTTTTTAATATATATATATATACATATATATTTTACCATTGTATTTTTATATGAAATTAATATATACATAATATATGTATATATAAAAAAATATGTAGACAAATAAGATACATTTCAACACAAATAATTAATTTTCTATCTACTTTCCTTTCGATTTTGGAGGGATTGATTTTGGTGAGTTTGAAGGAAAGTTAATCCATCAATTTTTTCATCATTCCCACTTTTCTTTTTTACCAAACATGATATTTTATTTATCTCTCAAATTTTCTATTCTTCTAATTTTTTATCCTCCCACTTTTTTATCGTACCAAATGAAACATTAATATTTATCATCATTTATTACCATATGGATCTAATATATTTTCACTCAATTTTCTTTTCCGATAGATCAAGACGGCAATACACCGACCAAAATGTTGTAATGTCTCAAGACAGCAAGTGGAAGTGTACAAGGTACACACCGCCCCAATATTATAAGTACAAAACATAAGCATGCCCGACACATTATCATGTTCTTGGTGAACAAAAGTCTCAGCCGACCTTGTATGAGTCATGTTTGGAAATATTCAACTGTGAGCCGTTAAACCATAACCAAACAGGTCACAAAGTTGGGGGCCAGCTGCGACTCAAGTGCACACCTGTCTCTTGCTTTGATTGTTTTTTTCCTCTACCCTCGCGTGGCTAATTATGAAATCTTTCATTCAAAGCAGTCTTGTAGTTCCTCTAACAACCAAAGAAGAAAGAATTCTATAGTTCTATGTTTCTGATAGACTGTACGACATTCATATTCTATATAAAACCTATGGTAGATACAGTTCAGAGAGAAAAAAACAAAAAAAAATTGTTGTTGATGGTGCTCGAAATTAGTTTGCCCAAGTACTGAATAATGATTGTAAGACCCAGTATAGGGTGGTGTGAATATTTAGGTTAATAAAGAAGTAAGAGATGAAGTTGGACAAAAAATAGGATATAAGTAGTTCACGTTAGCTGAAAGAATAAGGTTACATTCATTGCAATAAAGACTCTTGCTCATTGGGGTTTATAGTGTTTGAAGAAAAAGATTACAGTGAGTTTATTGACTTAAAGCCTTTCGTATACGGTGTCTTGTGAATACCATTTTTTTGGGACTCTCCTATACAATGTATTTGTGTTATATTTATACAAGTAATCATCTAGGGTTTTTTGTGATTCCGTCATTCTCTTGGCTGATTCAGTGGTTCCCTCTTTCTTTGTCTTATAATAGTGTCCGTCATCCTGACGCAAATTGTGCCCACGATTCTTAAATGGAATATGTACAAATATTCCCTTTGTCAAGGAGCTCGTGTTTGTTAAGAGCTTCAAAAGTTGTCTCCATGTTCCTTGGACATGTGGTGCAACAGAAGATGCTCGAGATCTAACAAATACCTAGCATCTAGTTCTTGGGCTGATTTCTGTCGAGCTTGATGTGGCCAAGCAAGAACATATAGATCTGAGTGTTGTTGAACTCTCTTCTTTGAGTTGTGGTTCATTCTTTTTGTGGGGTGAATAGGCTACGGATGGACCGTTTGGGCTGTCATGTAACCAGGGACCCATTAGATGCCCTCAGTTATGAATGGCAGTCTAAACTGAAATTTTATCATCATCGGTTATAATTACCTCAAATTGACTTATACATTTTCAGTCGCTTGTCATTAGGAATCTTGGATGGGATTGTATGTAATTTTATTCTGTATATATTTAAAAAAAAATGTTTCAACAGATGGAGTGTTTGTATATTTACTATTTAACGTTTCGTGAAAACGTGATCTCTAATAAAGAAATGATTAATGTCATTAATATGTTCACCCAAATGAACCTAATAAAGCGATGAGGTCATAGGGGGTGCATGGATTCAATGTAGTTGACAACCTTCATTGCTTTGGAAAACAGGTCAAGATTAAAGAATTGGGCGACTCCCACCTCTACCCGCCCATGGCATTTTCTCACTTTTTTCTCAACTGCAGAAACCAACTTCTTCTGACTTTATGTGGGGGAGAAAGAGACGCGAAAAAAAGTGTATATAGACTTTACTCGAAAGATTCATGCATTCTTTAAATTGAGATCTAGATTTTCTCCATTACATTGTCATTTAAGTTTATTAAATAATAGATCATCTATTGTCAATACACGTAAAGCCCGGTATTTACTAATGAGCCCCTCACTCGTACAAGGTAAATAATTTAACATCGAATGAAATTAAAAAAAAAAAAGGAATGAGGATGATTTCAATCCCTTTGATTGAACCAGAAACTTAGAACACCATGTGACGCATTTGGCGGACTTTTGTGTGCAATTGTCTCCACTAGCGTAACAAATTGAATCTAATCGAAGATAATAATGTTTTTTTTTTATTATCATTGATAGGTGACATATTTATGTTTCTCTCACTTCAAAAAAATAAAAAAATAAATAGTATATATTATAGTTGGGTGTTTCTCGAGATAAGTCTGAATATATTTAATTTTGACAAATTGATTTTAAATTATTGCTCAGATTGGCATACTCTTGCGACCATTCAACAAAAATTGGAGTCGAAATCTATTTCAAGTTTTGAGAAATTGATAATAATTAAATGTTATAACTTAATAATTAATTCTAAAATAACAAATTTTAATCATAAAAAAGTTTCCCTAAATATTCAAATTATGGATGAGTTGTTGGTAATAAATTTAAAATTATACATAAATGGAAAGACTAATAAATTTAAAATGATACTATCATTATATTTATGGTGATGTGTTATCCATCTCCAATTGTTTATACATACATGAATGAAGACCAATAAGAGCATTAGCAATGAAAGAAACACCTCACTTATCTACATATAAAATTCGAGCATTTAAACAATTGATCATATTATATAAAATAATAATATTTCTTTCTTATTATCCTTTATTTTTTTTATAAATCGATCCCATTATACTTATTGGATAATTTAAAATTAATTTTTTGAAATAAAAAATGATTTAACATAATATTTAAATAAAACGTATTGTGTTTAAATCTGGTCATCACTTGAATAATTACACGAGATGAGACGTATTAAAAATGGTTTCTCTTGCCCATTCTTTGTCCGGTGCATTTGCGGCAAGCAAAATTAGAAAAATTGCCAACAATACAGATGCTTTAGGGGTGAAGTGTTATGGTGTGAATCCTAAGTAGCCGTTATGACCAAATAGCATCACTGTACAATGGTCTTTCTGATGGGACTGGATCTTATTATTGCTACCAAACAACAAGAACAGCTAACTAGTCCAACGTTCATATTTGCTGACAAGGACAACCCCATGTCCATCTCTGGTTTCTATTAGATCATGATTACTAGGTGAAAAAAAATAGTCAGAAATTTGGATTTTTAAGTGTATACTCCAATACGATTTTGGATGGCATAGATAATTATTTATAAATTACGCACATTAATTAAAATTGAGGCCGAATAAAATCGACCCAACGTAAATTTATTGAGCTTTTATGGAAAATTTATGGCCTTGGATAAAAAGAAATTTTTTTTAGTTTAATAGTCCGGAGTGTCCGATCAATTTAAGCATATTTCAAAAAATTTTCTCTCAAGTCTGGTTAAAAGCAAGTCATTTATGTTGAAATTAAGGAATTTATGAGATATAAATTTTTCATCAAAATTTGAATTTAGAGTATTTGAATTTACAATTATTTTTATTATTAGTTGTACTATCCTCATGGTTGATGAAAAGAAATTCTAACTTGCCTTCCTCCGGTGAACAATTGTAGATTTTAGCAGTTTCAACGACACAAGATAGATAGATATGCATTGGTAAGTAGGCCACCAACATCCAAGGTTGTATTAGATTTACACGTATCTTCTTACACCTAGATGATTTTTTTTTTTTTTTAACACCTAGATGAAGTGTTTTACAATATGATTAGTTTATTTTAATCTCTAAGTTCTTTCATGAAAAGTAGCAATTTATTCCTACCAATTGAATCACATGGGTTTTTTTTGTCTATATGTTATTTTAGTTGCTTACGTATTATGGTGAAAAAACCGGGATACTAATGTGAGAATTTTATTTTTAGGGGTTGAAGTGTCATTCACTATTTATGTCTATATTGGCTACAAGGGAAAAACAGAGAGTGGAGAGAGAAAAACCTCTTATTTTCCGGCCACCATTTAGTAGAAGGTGCCCCACTTACCCACTCCATTTTCCCCCCCTCAACACCTCCTCCATTTTTTACCCCTCTTTCCCTCTTACTCCACTCTCTCGTTCATTCTCACGTCTCCACAGAAGAGTCTATAAATACACACACACAATCAGATAGATAGCAAACTTTGCTACTATCTCTCTCTCATCTCTTTCCTGCTGTGTTTCTCTGTGATCCAGAGCATGGCGGCCATCAATTTTTCTCACTGTCTCTCCCTTCTCTCAATCTTGTCTCTCTCATTTCTCCGATTCGCACTCTCTGACTCCGGCCTAATAGGAGTGAACTACGGCCGAGTTGCCAACGACCTCCCATCACCATCCCAGGTGGTTCAACTCCTCAATTCTACCGGCCTTAACCGGGTCAAGCTCTACGACACTGACGCCTCGGTGCTCACTGCTCTATCCGGTTCAGGCATCTCCGTCACCGTTGCTCTCCCTAACGAAAAGCTCTCTTCCGCAGCCGCAGACCAATCATTCACCGACAGCTGGGTCCAATCCAACATCGTCCCTTACTACCCGAAAACCCTCATTGAAGCCATCGCCGTCGGCAATGAAGTCTTCGTGGACCCCAAAAACACCACCCCATTCCTCGTACCCGCCATGAACAACGTCTACAATTCTCTCATCAAGTACAACATCAATTCATCGATTAAAATCTCATCCCCTATAGCCCTCAGTGCACTCCAAACCTCGTACCCATCATCATCCGGTTCGTTCAAATCCGAACTGATCGAACCGGTGATCAAACCCATGTTGAGCTTTCTCAGACAAACCGGCTCGTATCTCATGGTGAACGCTTACCCATTTTTCGCCTACGAGGCCAACACCGACACCATCTCTTTAGACTACGCTTTGTTTCGTGACAACAAAGGCGTTACAGACGCTAACAACGGGCTCGTTTACAAGAGCCTTTTCGACGCCCAAATCGACGCAGTTTTTGCCGCATTGAATGCGCTGAATTACAATGATATAAAAATGGTGGTCTCTGAAACTGGTTGGCCTTCGAAGGGTGACGAAAATGAGAGTGGTTCTGGTCAAGCCAATGCGGCGTCGTATAATGGGAACCTGGTACGCAGAGTTCTCACAGGTGGTGGGACCCCATTAAGACCCAACGAGTCTCTTAACGTCTATTTATTCGCTCTCTTCAATGAGAATCAGAAATCCGGGCCCACATCAGAGAGAAACTATGGGCTTTTCTATCCAAACGAGCAGAAAGTATACGATATACCACTCACACGGGAGGCTTTGGAAAGTGGGCAGTCAACGGTGCCGGTGAACGGAAGTAAGAGCCAGGTGCCGACACCATCTAACGACGGTGATGTGACGGTAAGCGCGGTGGGGCAGACGTGGTGCGTGGCGAATGAGGAGGTCGGAGAGAAGAAGTTGCAAGCGGCGCTTGATTATGCTTGTGGGGAAGGAGGCGCTGATTGCCGTCCGATACAGCAGGGTGCCACGTGTTATCATCCCAATACATTAGCGGCCCACGCTTCTTACGCATTTAATAGTTATTATCAGAAGAAAGCACGTGGGAGTGGCACGTGCAATTTTGGTGGTGCAGCCTATGTCGTTACTCAGACTCCTAGTAAGATTCTATTCCTTCTCCAATTTTTTTTTTTTTTTTTTTTATAGTCCTCACCAATCGTGTGTTTTTTAATTTTTTTTTTTGTAAATATTGCATTTATAATTTTACTGAATGGGTATTTTTGACATTGCAGAGTATGGTGATTGCAAGTTCCCTACAGGGTACTGATTACTGAGCGAAGGAAGAAGGAAGCTTTTTGATTAGGGATTTGTTTATTGTTGTAGCTACTATTGGATTTGGGGGCATTTTTCCTTGTATTTGTATTTATTCTTCTATATTCTATACTTTTTACACAGTTGGTAGTAGTTGTGGTGGTTCTTATCTGCTTTTGACTCTTTTCTCTGTTAATACATACCTGCTTTGGACTAATTCGCCATTTCACATTAACGTATTGGACTATGATGTGGGACAGAAATAGACTTTGTTTGTGTTTGTCTCTTCCCCTGTACCTTTGAAACTTTTGGCCCATGTGTACTTGAATACTTAGATGATTATGATTATTTTTGTTGCTTCCATGATGATTAATACATTCGTAAGGTAATTTATTTAACTTCTAAGGGAAGGAATAATAATTGAAAAAAAAAAACTATAATAGCAAAAAAGGAAAAGTTTTGTGCGGGGTCCAACTATATTGAGATTACCCATTGGTCATATGCAGTGAATGATGGTCTTTGTGTGATAAGATTTAGAAGACGAGAAATAAACAATGAATAATCTTATATTCAATTTAAAAGGTTGATTTTCAATAAAGCAATAACACAATGTAAGGAAGTTGTGCCTCATCGATCAAGCTCATGTACATATAAGACCTCGCTCGGGCTTTACACGACTGATAACTCTTTTTGGTGGACTAAAACGGTAGCCTAACCCAATTAATATAATTCACTAATCTTAGTGTCACTGTTCATTTGAGATATAATTCAGAATTTTTGCATTACTCTTCACGTAAATAGCGAACACTACTGCTATTGAGATATAATTGAAGGATAATTTAGGAATATAATAAATTGTCACCAATGAAATAATAATAAAATACATTTAATGATGAGTCCATTGCAACATTAAATGAATTTTACTATTATACCATAGGTGACAACTCATTATATTTTTAAATTATGTCCCAATAGTATTGCTCAATAATAAAACTTGAAAAGGGATTTATGCAAAAAAAAATAAAAATATTTTGAAATAAAATATAAATAAAAAATTTAAAAATTTATTTCTAAAAGTTTGTCTTGACTTTTTCACAATTTAAATCAATTGATGATTATTGATCCAACGGTCTTCATGCGAAATTTTCTAAAACTCATACCTCTCATCTTACTCTTTCTTATTTTCTCATACTAACTAATACAACTCTCTCTAATTGAATTTTTATATTTTTTACAACTCTAATACTCTCATCTTATATATAATTCTCTTTTTTATCTATTATACGTTTTAAACATATACTCTCACATCTCTCATATAACTCCCATTTGGACAGATATATATATATCTAATAGTAACAAAATACATTTAATACTCATTAAAACTCTAATAAAAAAGATTATCTCTAACAAATTATCAACTCACTTAATCTCGTATCTCATATAAATTTTTCTCTTTAAACATCCGCCAACACAAAACATTAATATCAACTCTTATCCAAAATATTATATATATTAGGTATAATGATTAAATATATAAATTGTGTATATGTTGATATTTTTTAGGGGCCATGTTTTTAAAAAAATTTTGTCAAATTTTTTTTAAAAAATAGAGTTTTCAAATTTATTTTAAATTATATAACTAAAAAAAATAATAAAAAATAAAATACTGTTTAAAAATATTTATATTACATGACCGGTGCTTAAAATTTGTTGAGTTGTTTTGTCATTCAAGTACAAATTATTACTAGTATTAAATTAATGATTTATTTGGATAACAAAATAAAAATTAAATAAATTTTTTTCTTGAACAATGGTAAAAAATATTCAAATAAATTGACACGCAGTTCTATTAATTAGGAATGTAATTTGGGCGGGTCAACTTAAAAAAATATAGGGTTTGAGTAAGAATTTTTAATATGAGTTGAGCCTGGGGCAAAAAAACCTCAACTTGAATTGAATTCGGGTAAACTTCGAGTTGAGGCATCAGGTTATCGGGTTGAACCTGAATATTCATAAATATATAAACATATTTAATTAAAATTAATATTTATTTTCACTCTTTAGAGTTTAGATTTTCACTTCACTTCAAGTATTAATTCCTACACCTGCATCACTCTCAGATCCCTCTCTCACTCCTTCTCTCTTCATTGGTATCTCGTTTTTCATCTCAGATCATTTGAAAAAATCAACACAAATTAAATAATCAAAGTTCAATTCGGTTTTTAATTCAAAATCAATCTGAATTAAATAATTTAAATTTAACTCGAATCCGTCCGAATTAAACTCAGAAAATATTTGTGTTGAGTAGCTCAAGTTAAAATAAGGTTAAAATTAAAATTATGATTAAAGATTATATACCAAAAATTGCATTAGAGTTAATCTCTGTATCCGTCCAAATCACACCGCTCTTATTAATCTCTTCTCTCGCAAAAAACAAATCATCCATGAGATAAATGAAATTCTGATAAGCGATTCGGCTTGTAGGGCCAAGGAAATCGATAAAGAAGCCCAAAACAGCCAAGAAAAAATGAAAATAGAAAGAAAACCCTCGACCTCTCCTTCTCTCCGTCACCGGCACACAGTAGAGAGAAAGAATAAGAAAGTTTAGAGAGAGAAAGAAGATTTTTTCCTCTGGTAGTGTTTCGTCTGCTCTCTTCAGATACCTAATCCACGGACTCTTTACATCTCTTTCTCTCTCTATAACCATCTTTATATATCTTAAAGCTCCGGCCATGCGGAGAGTCAGAGCGGCCAAGGCGGCGCAACCAACCATGGTTGCGGCCGGAGAAGCGAACGGATCTGGAGGATCAAAAGAGATAAGGTTTCGAGGAGTGAGAAAGAGACCTTGGGGAAGATTCGCTGCAGAGATCAGAGACCCAAGACAAAAATCTAGGGTTTGGCTGGGGACTTTCGATTCAGCTGAAGACGCAGCTCGAGCCTACGATGCCGCTGCTCTTTCGCTTAGGGGAGCCAAGGCCAAGATCAACTTTCCATTAACCACTCCTTCAAATCCCTACTATCCATTTCATCAGAACCCTAACGATCGCTTTGTCAATCAGCGGTTGTATCCTCAGGAGCACCAGATTATCGCCCAGAGGACCGCTCTTAGCAGTTTGACTGATTCTGTTGAGTCGTTCAGTGGGCCTCTGCGGCGTAAGACGGCTGATTTGCCGTCGCGGAAACACCCTCGGTTGCCGCCGGTGTTGCCGGACGATTTTCACAGCGATTGCGACTCCTCCTCGTCGGTTGTTGATGACGGAGATGGTGAGATTGCTTCGTCGTCGTTTCGGAAACCCCTGCCTTTCGATCTCAACTTGCCTCTTCTGCCGGATGATGTAGACTTTGAGGACGATGATCTTCACTGCACAAAGCTATGTCTTTGACGGTTGATTCTATAAATCTTAACCATTTGATTACTCTTTTAGTATTTTTCTCTTTTTCTTTGGCGGAGAAAAATGAAGAAAGAAATCATAGACATGACTAAAGACTAAGATGATAAAGATGGAGAGTGGGCTGTCTTCTATGAGTATGTTGTTTGAAAATAATTCCTTTTTAATGTCATGGTTAGAGTATATAATGATGTATTGGATTGTGTGATTCGCTCTTAGAATGCAAATCTGGGGGTGTCTTCAACTATTAATGGGCTTTTGAATCAACAAGTCTGTTGTTGTTGAAGACTTGAAGCCCTAATATTTCATGTAAAAGTAGAGAGGATCATCCTTTTGATCTCTGATCCTTATTACCCATCATTTGTTGTAAAAAATGAAGAATTATCTCATCAATGCTACTCAAAGAAGTTTATTATCTCCTTTGCATGTTGTTACATGTTCGATGCAGTACTTTAGTGTGCTTTGTGTGTGGATATATATACTAGTTATAACCTGTATCTGAAGGCACAGTAAAATATAAAATTGGAGCATCTAAAAAATTGATACCACTATATTAATTTTTTTCAAAATACATTAACTACAAATTAATCAAATATTAAATGATTAAATATATGATAGAAATAAGGGATGTGATATTTTTAGGGAAGAAATATATAAATAATGAGTGATGCGATTTGACGTTTGAGTTTGACAAAGAGATGATGGGTGAGGTAAGTGATTAGTGATAGTTTTAAGGGGGAAAATATGACTGGGACAAAATTCAAACACACTCTTATTTTATTATATAGATATATACACACACACATCTATGTATGCATGTATGTGCTTTTGTTGGTCCCTGGTGTTATTATTGTTGGCTGTTGATAGATCACTGGAAGTGTAGAAGAGGTTTGGACGTAGTTTGTTAATGTTATAGTATGGTATATGTGTTTTTTATGGAATGTGTTATGTTGGCATTTACATGTTATATGTAGGAGCATTTTGGGGGATGAACCCTTTTGTTCTTGGAACAATGACATGGTAGGTTTAAGTGGACGTCAAAGTTGATGATATCATTAGATTTGTTAGCTATCTCGATAAGGTTGATGATAAGATCAATTAATTGCACATGTAATGTAGGAGTTTGCATTTGGCACATGTAATGTAGGAGTGTTGCTACTGAATCTTGAATCCCATGTATGTGCCTTCTAAGTTTAGCATTTAGTTATATAAGTGGTTGCTATATTGCATAGTTCTGTTTTTGGAATACTTGGGCATTTGCATGCAAAATATCCGGCAATCATGTTGAACACTGAATTTTGGCATCTTATTTGTAGCATTGGAGCGTATGTTCTGCCCCAACCGTTAGATTTTTCCAATAATTCATGTCATTAATGTGCCGTTTGGTGGTGTATTTGTTGGTGAACCAACCAAATGCCGACAAAGTGTAAAAAAATTTTGAATCTAAAACTTTTATTTGAGCTATCGGCTTCCGCCTTATGTGTTGCTACTGAATCTCGAATCCCATGTATGTCTTCTGAGTTTAGCATTTAGTTATATAAGTGGTTGATATATTGCATAGTTCTGTTTTTGTAATACTTGGGCATTTGCATGCAAAATATCCAGCAATCACATTGAACACTGAATTTTGGCATCTTATTTGGAGCATTGGAGTGTATGTTCTACTCAAAATGTCAGATTTTTTCAATAATTCAGGTCATTAATGTGTTGTTCGGTGGTGTATTTGTTGGTGAACCAACCAAATGCCGACATTGTGTAAAAGAGTTTTGAATCTAAAACTTTTATGTCAGCTATCTGCGTCCGCCTTGTGTGTTGCTACTGATTCTCGAATCCCATGTATGTGTCTTCTGAGTTTAGCATTTAGTTATACAAGTGGTTGCGATATGGCATAGTTCTGTTTTTAGAATACTTGGGAATACAAAATATCCGGCAATCAAGTTGAACGCTGAATTTTGGCATTTTATTTGGAGCATTGGAGTGTATGTTCTGCTCCAACCTTTAGATTTCCAATAATTCGGGTCATTAATGTGTCGTTTGGCAATGTATTTGTTGGTGAACCAACCAAATGCCGACAAAACGTAAAAGAATTTCGAATCTAAAACTTTTATGTCAGCTATATGCTTCCGCCTTACGTGTTATTACTAAATCTCTAATACCATGTATGTGTCTTCTGAGTTTAGCATTTAGTTATACAAGTGGTTGCTATATGGCATAGTTCTGTTTTTGGAACACTTGGGCATTTGCATGCAAAATACCCGGCAATCATGTTAAACACTGAATTTTGGCATCTTATTTGGAGCATTGGAGTGTGTTCTGCAGCTTCTGCTCCAACCGTAAAGATTGCACTTTGTCATTCATGATATTAAGTTTTTTGAAAATCCTAGGACTCATTCTCCCATGGGAAAATTTGTTTTATGGGGAGTCTGCTTGCAAATTTATATGGCATTTCTCAGAATGGTTGGGGTAAACGACATTGTTTCGCTGCCATTTAGCGTAACGTTTGCATGAGAGTTCATGTGCTAATGTTCAGTTCTCATGTTTTAATCCTTTTTCATTCCCTTTCTTCTGTGATCTGTTTCATGATAAATTGGGTCCTCAGCGGATATCAACTAGCCTGATTTACTGGCAAAGATCAAGTTAGCAAACATTGTACAGAGTAACAGAGTGGGAGGGAGCTAGGTGTTTAATTTATCGTGGTGCAGCCAATGCAGGTGGTGTGGTAAGTTTAGATGACCATGATTTTACACTAGTGTCTGGGTTTAATAACATAGAATCTTCAAAATCGGTTGCCTTGGTTGCCTATACAGTTGAGCTCTTATGCTCGTTTTACTGTTGAGAGTTGTTGTGCTTTACTACTACTTCTGGATGTCTGTACCGTTGTGCTCTTTTGCTCTCGTTTTAGTGTGGAGAGTTGTCGTGCTTTGGTTCATATATGTCCGGAAATCATAGACTACGAGGAGGGACTCAAAAAATGGCTTCCAGGCCTATAGCGAACTGTTTGGCATGCATCGGGAAGACCGAGTTCCTTTCTTACCCCTGCGTTTCCTTCTCCTCCCCTCTTTTACAGTGGAGTCTTCCTTCATGAATGTGCTAAACGTGGCTTCACTTTCTAATGCTTGATTTTTTTATCGTAGTTAGTATGTTTATTGAGGTCAAGATGTTTACTACGGTTAAAAGATTACATGTAAATAAACAGATTTATTGTGTTTAGTATGGTTGGAGAAAATTGTTTCTTCTTGTGACAAAAGTAGAAGAGATTTGTTCTAATTGCAAGATACAACCAAATTATGTTGCTTATGGACAACTAGACATATGGATTCGGAATACATGATTATTCTGTTTGCTTACGAATAATGAGATATTTTAAGTTTCTCTTTCTGCAAGAGGCAGCGTGCTAGAGGTTATGATCGATCATAAATTATAATTTTTATAACCGATCCTGACATTTATTATAATTATATTACAATAAGTTATAATTTAATTTAAAAAATTATAAATTATGGCACGATACCATCTTTAGTATCGTAGTTAGTTGCAGTTGAAGTCTTATTAAAGAAGATGATGATGAACGATAGTTTTGCGTCCACGTCAAATGGATCTTTTTCCCAACCCGTGAAAGCCATGTCGAAGATCATGTGCTTCCACTCAGTTTCTCCCACGCAAAGGACTCATACATACCGAATCCGTTTTAATAAAACTTTAATTTGACAAAGAAATGTGGTGTAGGTTGGGTGACTTGGCTACAAAAATTTTACAATATATAAATAGGAAAAATAGAAGAACAAAATGGTTCGATGATTCACCGTTGACATCCCATGTGATTGTAGCCTTGGCAGGTTGGAGATTTGCGTAAATCACGCTCTCATTTACACGTCCCACCACCAATTGTTTTCTCTTCTCTATTCTATTTTTCTTTTATATAAATTATATGCCTACGTTATTAAATGCATCAACCAATTGTAGAATACGGCTCTTAATCAGAGATGTTATTGATTAAAATAATATTATTTTATATGAAAAATAATATTATTTTAATCAACAGCACATCTGCTGTTAATTTTCAAATAGTAGAGGATCCTAACCCATAATCATAATTTTGTTGTTCTAATTATATATTTGATGAATTTATAATTGTAAAATAAAATTTTAAAATATATAATGAAAAAATTGACTAAGAAAGAAGGTATCAAACCAGCACGAAGCAAAGAATTTTGGTCTAAGGACCACCTCGACTCGCATTTACTGGACAGTTGTGTCTAATTGATGAGACTCAGCATGAAAAAAAGTTCTAATAATTACAAGAGACCGAAAATAACAACAAATTAAAGGAGATTGAGATTAGACCCACTTCAATTGAAAAATAACCCCATCCCCCCCAATTATTTTATAGGCTGAACATGAGCCCTTCCTACTAAAATTCAAATTCTTTCACACTTTGTAAGTTTAGCTCCCAAAGGATGAAGAATGTGCGTCATTTTTAACTTTAAAATGGTAAATTTTGATGAAAAAATCAACGAAAAATTAACAAAAGTGTCACGTAACAACACTTTTAATATATTATGGGTATAATATAAAAAAAATTAATCTTTTATGGTATAAAGTGAGAATTTTGAAATATTTTAGGATATAAAGTGTAATTCGTTCTACAAATTATATATATCAATTGAATTTAAAATTTTATATAATAAAGTGACCAGAACTCAGCCTGATAGGCGGACCCACCCATTCAATCTAAAATGATCTGCCCCACCAGCTCAATCAAATACATGATGGAGACTCTCGGATCTCTCTCTCTCTCTCATCTCATGGAGTGCGGCTTGGAGTTTTGTGATTTCAGCTTGGCCCCACTCACACGCCACCTCTCTCTCCTGATGTTTTAGGCAGCTTAATTATTCTAGATTGTATTTGTATCTTGAATTTTCTAGCTTAACTTTAAAAAAAAAAAAATATGTCTTAAAGTTGATTGAATTGAAATTCTCTTTAATTATTTTTAACTAAATTTGTTTAATATTTTACAGTTTAACTTAAATTATTCTCATTATTTGTAAAATTAAATAGGAATATAATGGCGAGTACGTAAATATAATACTTAGGGATGTTCACCTAAGCCAACGAGTAGAAATTTTTGGATTCTACGTTTGAAGGCGATGAGTTATAGAATACTATTTATTTGATCAATTCTACCCAATTAAAGGTAATATTTAGAGTCGAATTCCGTTAAAAAATAGGCTCAAAAGGTCGAATAGGAATACAAATACCTCACAAATTTTTAAATTTTAAGTTGTTAATTTTTGAATCATTTTAATAATTCAATTATCAAAATTTTAGGCTAATATTCTAATTAAACTGTTAAAATATAATATAAAGATATGTAAACTAACACAATAAATGTAATTAATATGTTTTTCTCTAATAGTCTAAAATACTGTAAATAAGACACTATCACATGTCATTTTCTAAACGACTGTCGAAGTCGTTTTATAATACACATTATTTTTTTAAAAAATTTAAATATGGATGTGAAAATTTTATAAATATTTTACATTCTTGATATTTATAAAATACTAAAAAAAAATCTTTTATTAGTCAACCAAAAAAATTTTAAAACTAAATTATCAAATAAAATAAAATCAAAATATTATGAAACGGGTCAAGTCGGCGGAATTTTGAATACCCAGCCAACACTCCCTGGTTGGCGGTAAGGAAGTAAAGGACTAGATTCATCCACCGTCGTAAGCCCACTTTATTCCAATCTCCGAATCCATCCCAATACTGCCACTTTCCCTCTCCTAATTGGTCAGTGAAAACCACGCGCCCCAACACTCTTATTTTTAAATAATCTCACCTCCGACTCTAACTCCGACCCCGACCAATAATAAACAGCCATTCTTCAACCAACCACCTAGACAACTCACCATTTCACAAAATCAATCAACAGCAATTTTGAAACCTCTCCATATCTCTAAGCCTCCGTTCCTATTATATAGAGTAATAGAGGCTTCACAAGACCCGTAAATTTAGCCCACCCCCCTCTCTCTCTCTCTCTCAAGCACCACCATTAGAATAGCCATCAATTTTTGTCATGGGAGACGATGAAAGGGTAGCGTTTTTTAACAGAAACAAAGCTTTCGCTCGTTGCGCTTCGCACGCGCACGATGAATTACACAGCTTCAGATCATGGTTGAAGTGGATGTGTGTGGACCAATCTAATGCGTGGACGGCTTGTTTGTCATGGTCTGTGTTCATTGTCCTCGCAATCGTTGTCCCATGTCTATCGCATTTCGGGCTTGCTTGTAGCGATTGCGATAGCAAACACAGTAGGCCCTATGATGGGGTGGTTCAATTATCTCTCAGTAGCGTCGCTACCTTGTCTTTTGTTTGTCTCTCAAAGTTTATCAGGACATATGGGCTTCGGAGGTTCTTGTTCTTTGATAAGCTTTGTGACGAAAGCGAGACGGTTCGAAAGGGATATACAGAGCAGTTCAATGTACGTTTCTCTTTCAATCTTTCTATGCATTCTCATTGATCTTAAGTGGGTTTTTGTTGGAAAATTATGTGGGACTTTTTTATTTTGTTCTGAATAGATAATATCGACGACTCATTATAAGAATTTTGAGTTCAAGTACTAGTTTTGATGATTATCACAACACAGAATTTCATGACAAGGTCCTCTGTTTTCGTATCTAAACTTTATAGTTATTGTGCCGGAGATAATCGCGGTTTAGGTCCAGTTTTTGAGGATCCATCGTTCACTTAAATATGATAATTGCATGGATTAAGGATTTTTAAAATCATGTGTTTTTGCAGAAATTAAGGAAAGAAGGAAAAGTCCAAAAGAGTTCAACAGATAAAAAGTCCTTAATATTCTTAACCACAGCTGTTTTATTGTAGTTATAAAAATGGGGGACAGACGGGACAACATTCCACAGATTTAATGCTAACAGTTCATATTAACTCAGATCCCAGCTGGTGAGCGAACCAGTTGTGTTTGATTAGGCAACCACTCTTCCCTGATGACTATTCCTATGTACTATGATCCAAAGTCCTGATTATTATACTCTTGTTCATTATGATTCAACGGAAACCCCATATAAGTGGATCTCACTAATACATAAGGGTGGTTTATGGAAATTAAAGAGAAGTGTATTGGAGATGATCGAAACACACATAGGCGTGTGTTTACTTTTGGTATTAGCTTGGATTGTATGGGCTAATGTATTACATACCAGTTTATGAACTGTCCACCCAGTAAAAGAACCCTTTTTGGTTCACGGCAGCTATTGTTGATTATGGTCAGTATTCAACCTAAAAGGCAAAGAGTACACATAAATCAGCATAATGATATGAATCATTCTCAATGTAGGGGAAATGTCATTGTTACTGTTTACATGATCAAAACCGCTAATTAACTATTCCTGATCTGTCTATGTGTTAGTAACTGATTCCATCTGATTGGTGGTGGATATATTAAATGACGAAACCAAACAGATACCTAACTGTGTCTCATGCATGCAGAGATCACTGAAGATCCTCTTCATATTTGTCCTACCTTGTTTTGCTGCTGAGAGTGCATACAAGATATGGTGGTACAGCTCGGGTGCGACTAGCATTCCTTTCTTGGGCAATGTCATCGTGAGTGACACCGTAGCTTGCATTCTGGAACTGTGCTCTTGGCTTTATCGGACTGTGGTTTTCTTCCTGGTGTGTGTTCTCTTCCGTCTCATCTGCTGCCTTCAGATCCTCCGGTTACAGGACTTTGCTCAGGTCTTCCAAATGGACTCTGATGTGGAGTCTGTCTTGAGAGAACACCTCAGGATTAGGAGGCATCTAAGAATCATAAGCCATCGCTACCGTGTGTTCATTTTGTGGGCTTTGATATTTATCACAGCAAGTCAATTCGCCTCTCTTCTCATGACTACACGTTCCACCGCTGAAGTTAATGTATTTTATGCTGGTGAACTTGCGGTATCCTTCTTATTAGTCATTCTCCTTAGAGCTGTTTATTTACTTACTGGTTAAATTTGAGCTTGAAAGTGAGCTATTCACATAAACATCATTAGGATTACAATTCACTGTAGGCCCACGCTGGTCACGCAAAATAATGAAATCACCGCAATAGGTATAGCACATACACATTCTAGTCATGTAGTTAGCTAAGCTCATCCAATTAAGTTGACTTGTTTAAGTTTTTCCCTTATATGACAATTTCATGATTTTGTGATAAGGGTTCTTCTACCATGTGAGTACTCGTTGGATAGGAACTAGAGTACTCTATAGGGACACCCTTGACATCTTCACTTCAGTGGAGATGAACACTAAAAGCCGTCTAGGACAATTGTCATGGTACAGCCCTTTATTTTCGTTCAAGTAGTTGGTTCGTAACCTATGACCATTATGGGGAAGATGCAGTGATTGCAAATCCTCTCATCTAAAAAGATGGGGATTGTTGCAGATGTTAAATCAGTTCTTCTTAGTTTTATTTCTTACGTGAGCACAAATGCTCTGACTACAGTTCATCTTTCTTTTCCTTCTCTGGTTGTTTGTATGTTGCTAAACTGAAGTGAGTTTGTTGGTGGATTTGTGTGCAGCTCTGTTCTGTTAGTCTTCTTGCTGGAATCTTGATACTACTGCGGAGTGCAACGAGAATCACCCACAAAGCACAGGCTGTGACATGCCTTGCGGCGAAGTGGCATGTGTGTGCAACAATAGACTCCTTTGATTCAACTGAAGCAGAAACTCCAACAACCAGGGTTGCCTGTGACCAAGTTTTTCCAGTGAGTACTGAAGGATCGGATGCTGAAGATGTTGGTGATGAAGAAGACGAGTTAGACAACACTAAACTAGTCCCATCATATGCATATAGCACAATCTCATTCCAGAAAAGGCAAGCCTTAGGTGAGTCGGATTCACTATGATTGTATGAGAACCATTTAGCTCAAGAAAAAGCTTTACCAGCTAAAGATATTAAACTATCAAACTTCAAGTGATTTAATGATTTTTTCCCCCTTGTATTTGCAGTGACGTACTTTGAGAACAACAGAGCAGGAATTACAGTGTATGGATTCATGCTGGACAGGACTTCGCTTCACACCATATTCGGGATAGAGTTATCCCTTGTGCTTTGGCTGCTCGGCAAAACCATCGGTTCTCTTTGAGAGACTGGCTTATTCAAATATTCAAGATTGTGTTGTTCCTTGTCCTGTGGATGCTTATTCTTTGGAGAAAACGAGCCGTGGAGAGAGAGGGGGGGGGGGGGGGGAGTGATTGCCTAGCTAAAGCCATAGACCGAGAAAGAGAGAAACGACGGCCGGTGAGCATGTACAGTACCATATATTGGATTTGAGTTAGTAATTTGTCATTGTATTCTTCTTTCATTCTTTTTCTTCTTCTAGTTTCTTGTTGCCTTCCGTCTTGGTTTGGCATTTTGAATGACTTGGTATGCCTTTCTTATGGAGGTTGTATTTCTATTGCCCTCTCCTTCTTCCGCGCGGGTGGGTGGGAAGAAGGGTTCTCTGTCTATTGTTATGTTGATCTTTTTTTCTAAGTCTTGTTATAGTTATTAGGCAAACTTCACTTTATCCCCTTGTTGTTCCCTTGTTGGTATACTCCAAATGCACTTTACCTCCCTAACATTTAAAAACCTCCACATAAATGTCACGCAGTTTATAGACTAAAATGCAATGTCACACTTTTCATCCAACTTAACAGGGTGTGTCCCATGCACAGGATTTGACAGTTGATATGTGCGTCTCTATCTCTCCGGTGTCCCAACTCCGATCGTCTCTCTCTCTCTCTCTCTCACACACACACACACACAAAGAACACACGTACCCACCCACACATAGGGATGACAATGGGCCGGAGAAAAATAGATATTCGTCCAAACCCATCCCATTTGGACCGAGGATAGACCACACGTATTAAACGATAAATGTATACGGGATACCCGTATAAATCAGTGTGGAGATGAAGTTGAGGATGGATTGACACTTACCTCCACCCTACCTTGCCGGTTATATATATATACTCCCAAATCCCAAACGAAGTCCTAATGGACTCCTCTGTGCCTCCACCTCCATTGAGTGTCTCCATTGCTAGTTGTCTCCCTCCTACACTATGTGTGTGTCTCTTTATTGTTAATTGTAGATCTCTATTGTTGATCTCCATCGTCTATCGGTGGTTGTTGGCTAAAGATGGGGAATCGGGCGGTGGCGGGGATTACAAATTTACCCGCGAATAGGAATGATGATGAAAATTATACATATTAACGGGGATGAATCAGGGATGAACGAAGTTTTTTTAAATGGGTATGGAGATAGAGACTACACTCTCGCCACAAACTTCGTTCCACTGTCATCCCTATCCACACACATAGAACACAAAACACACCCACCCACATGCACAACACACAATCTTTCTCATAGACATACCTTCTACACCCATACACACACACAAAACATAAAACATACATACCCACCCACATGCACAACACAGTCTCTCACACGCAAACCTTCTTCTGCACCTACCCACACACATAGAACACAAAACACACACACCCACCCACACACATAACACAGTCTCTTACACATACATAACACAATCTCTCTCACACACATACACACAAACCTTATTATGCATATATACACTCACAAAACCCATAATTTAATTTTGGTTCTAATCCACCTTGTTGCACACACACAGTCTGCACACAGTAAGGGAGGGAATGGGAGTGGGTATAATTGGTTTGGGTTTTGACTTTGATTTCAATTCATTTTTTAGTTAGTTGGTGTCTAGAGGTGATTTATGAACAAAATGGCAGGGGGAATGGTGGTGGTATAATTGTGTTGAAATAGAGAGCAGGATGAGAGACAGAGGGGGGAGAGATTTTATCGGGTTAGAAGAAGGGGATTTGTCTTCCCTAGAAGGTCTTCAAATAAGAGAAGAAAGAAGGAGACAAGTAGGGGTATTAACATTATTTTAATTTTTTTGTTAACGGTGTTAGGATTGCATTTTAGTCCACAAACAACAAGAAGGTTATGCGGTGATTTTTAAATGTTAGGGACGTAAAGTGCATTTGACGTATATTACAAGGGGGTAAAGTGAAGTTTGTCCTTTTATATATGTGAGCCCCGCTCCAAACAACACCATGATTCAAAGACCTTGATTGCAATTGCACCTCTAATTTGATGAAGGATATGTATCCTATTTTATGTTTATTCTCTATCAATGGTAATTTTTAGGAATAGTTCCGTGGTTGAGTTTGATCTTTGGTAATTCAGAGATCTTATGTTCAATTTTTTTCCACACCTTCTAAAGGACGATAACTGTTGAGTTCGAGAAAGTAATCGATATAATTTTAGACGTCCTGTAAAAAAACACTAAGGATAAATGGATAATGAATATTAACTAACTTTTTGAAATGTCTATTTTGGTGAGATATTATTGATTTGATTGTGAATGAACATTAACAGTGACAATGATAAAAATAACAATGATAATGAAGAGTAGGGACAAGGGTCCATTGTTCATTCAAGGGATGAAAAGGTTGCAACCTAGTTTTCCTTTCCTTTCCTTTTTTTTTTTTTTCTGTGGTTATGGTTTCTCCATTTCAAAAATGCCAAAACCGAAACCATGGAAAGGATACCACTCTCCTTAGCTAGTGCCCTGAGTTAAAACTTAAAACGCAATAAAAACGTCTTCCTCTTATATTGCGTCCCAAGTGAGAAGATGAATTAAAGGGCCTCGATCCTATGTTGAATACCACACACATAAACTTATCAAGTGTATTATATATAAATTAAGGGTAGTCCGTATTTGAAGGCATGGTGTAATATAAATAGTTTTGAGATGAATGTTGGTGACCGTTGGATGAATTTATTGAAGTTTGGTTTGTTTTATATTAAAAATAACGATCATTTACCCGTAATATTAAAAAGTAAATTGTAGAATCCATATAATAAAGTAGTTTACAATTCAAATTTTAAAAGAGAAATAAAATGATTTTTGCTTTTTGAGGTTCAGATCCCTTTAAACTTTATTTTAAAGTTAATCTAATGACTAATATTAATACCCTAAATTTAATAGAAAAAATAGGTTCTAAAGGTGTATTTGAAGTGACTTTTTAAAAGTATTTTTGCGAATTATTTCTCATAAATACTTTAAAAAAAATAATGTTTGAAACAGCCTTACCACTACCTTTATCACCACTACCACCTTCGCCACCGCCACCACAACTACCACCACCATTGCCATCGCCACCATTGTTACCACCATCGTCGTCGCCACCACCACCACCACCATCACTACAGATGTTGCCGTAGCCATCGCCCCCACCACCACTGCCACCACAGTCATTGTCACCCATCACAACCATCATTGTCTTCTACCACCACCATTGTCGCCCACCATCTCTTATCCCGATTACAAACGATGCTTAAATTTATTTATCTCTCCTCTATATTTGTGATTTAATTTTAGATATGAATACAAATATATTTATTATTTATCATTTTTTATTACTCTGTGCCTTCAGTCACAGACAATAACTAGTCATAAAATATTACAACTCTTTAATACAATCTTATATTATATTTGATTGTCAAAAGCACTTCAAATAAGTCATATCTGTACTATTGAACCAATTATAATATCATACGGAGAGGTGATATTATAATTTAGTTGAAATTTATTATGTTATCAATTTACTATTTTATTAAATGTGGAGGGTATGGCGACATTGAGGGTAAGTGCGTACTAATGGACCAACGGCCTACATACTTGAACAGTTTTATGAGTGTTTTTAACATTATTCTTCGTCTCCCGATACGACATCGTAGTCCTTTTGGAGTAGTTTTTTTTTTGGTAAGATCCTTTTGGAATAGTTAAAGAGTCTCTATTCACCAATTAAGTCCTAAAAACGACTTCGTTTTTGCGAACTTCACCATTTTATGAAGGGTCCTAGCGACATTTACTTAAGCGAAAAGGCTCTTCCCCCCAAAATAGGTATGAGAGAAGATTTTATTTTACCATTTTCGCACTTCTCGCTCAGAAGATAGATCTCCAAATGTTCGAAATTTTGATAAAATCCCCAAACGAAGCCGCTCAAATCGAAAGTGTTTGATTATTTGAAAGTATGGAGATAGATTCGGCTCCGATGAGTCGTTGCTCCAAAGAACACCAGAAGATCTATCAGGAATGGTTTAATTATGCTGATTCAGGTTTGTCTCATATGAACATACATGATTTTTGTTCCATTTTTTTGTTTTTTTGTTTTTTTGTTTTTTTTGCACTGAATTGATCGTTATTGCATTGTTTAATTCAGATAGCGATGGACGACTTACTGGAGGAGATGCCACCAAATTTTTTGCCATGGCCAACTTGCCTCGACCAGATCTCAAGCAGGTAACAGTTCTTTCTCTATATCTCTTTGCTCTGTTGTAGCTCTCTATTTGTACTTTTTTTTAGCGTTTGTGGTTTCTCTGGTCGTTATTCTCTGTTTGGTTACCGGAATTGGAGTGGAAAAGAGTTGATAATTCAAAATTTTAACTCTGTTGAACATATTAGATTTCACTGATTGTATATGATATCAACTGGCGGTGTTATTCACACTCTTGTGGCCCAATTTCACTCGAAAATTTTCAATCTATTTTTCTTAAGCAACCAAAAAAAGGTATTTGATCACGCTGAACCTTATAATCTTTACTGTTGTAAAAGCATTGGAAATTTTACGGTGGATGAGTGTGAGATTTGAATTTCTTGGTTGTTATTTGATGAATTGACTTGGCACTGTCGCCGAATTTTGTTGCTCTTTACGCAGCTTGGTACAATTATCCCAATAGAAATCTATACTATATACAGAAAATAATCAAAGCTTGAGAAGCCTTTCCTCCTATTTTTCTAATTTGTAAGAATTTTGAATTATTAAATTCTCCATTCTCCAATCATATTCTATCAAATGCCTCGAATAACTACCTTAAATAACTACCCATAAACTCCCTCTAACGACCCGTTTATTTAAACTTGTTTTAAACGTCAAATTTTGTAATCCAATAATTTTTACAATATTTATGCTAACTAAGAAAATAGTGGGTGGGAGAGAATAAAGGTTGGAAAAAGGGATTGGGAGGAGAAGGGGATGGCCCATGCATCGCACGGGGTCGGACTCTAGTATCGATATATATCAGAGCAAAATGGGTAGTAGTTCTTATGAGGACTTCAAATCATTTTTCATGCTGATTCAGGGGATTTTGTCTATTGCCTGTACAGTTCGTATTAGTTTCTGTATTTATAATTAACCCAATTGATTAATGAACTTATGTTTGTGTGAAAGAATTATATACTAGCTCAGGAACATTGCTCTGTGCCAAAATGTCTTTGTATATTTATATTGTGATATCTACACTCAAAAGACATAAATGCGTACATATGTGAGGCTTGAATATTTGTAAGTTGGTGGCATCCTTCATTCATTAATAGTTTGCTAGCCTACCATCATACTTGGATTCGTTTATAGCTGCTTCTGCAAATAGTAGTGATGTACTTTTTTGGCTGAATCAACTGGTTTTTTCATGTATGGAGCCCTATATTTTTCATGCATTTGATTTATGCGACTAACTCCAATTTTATATGCTTTTCCTCTAGGTGTGGGCGATTGCAGACTCAAAACGACAAGGCTTTCTTGGTTTTAAAGAGTTCATCACTGCAATGCAGGTTCTAATTGGTTCGTCTGTTCGTTTTCCATAGTTGCAATCCATTTTCGAGGAGCTAATATCTCTATTCACCCTCTAATTTGTAGTTAGTATCTTTGGCACAAGCTGGGCATCCACCAACTAATGATCTCTTAAGTGCTGAAGGTAAACAATAAGTTTGGTTCTTGTATTGCATGCTCGGAGTGCTTCGACCAAAAGTTCAGCTATTAAAACTTCATTCATGCTTACAATTTCTTTCCAGCTATTTCAGTCTATAGTACGTGCCGTGTATGATGATCTTATTGGGGTTAGAAACTTATGACATTACTGTCTATTGCAGTTGACTTTGAAAATTTGAAACCTCCAGTCATGGAGGGTTTGGATGTATTGCTAGCTGTAAGTATGCTACTTCTATTTTTCAGCTTTTCTTATTATACAACTTGTGATAGTATTTGTTTTTTTTTATTGCTAATATACAGAAGAAAAAGCAAACTGCGAAAACAAGTGATCCCGAATTGAATGGTAATGGAGGTTTTAGAATGAAAAGTTCATTTGTACTTTTTCCTTTCAGTTCATCTAATTGGTTATGATGTAGGTAGTTCTCCAGTGCAAACTTCTCCGTCAGCTCATTGGTTTACATCTTCAAAATCTGCCAAGAAGGTGAGATTATGCTTACTTATAATGATTTCCCCTTTTAGAAGAATAATTTTACTTAGATAATTGAGTTGCCTCGCTCCCAATTTTTAGTTGCCAATGTTTCCAATATTTATTTATTTGACCTTGTGTTTCTGTGAGTGGAGTTTATTAGCAAGTGATGATTTTGATGATCAGCTGCATAATTGTTGGATTTTGTTTCCGATGTGGTTATTCCAGTGAGTTTATATAGACACAAAGCACCCAACCTTTAAAACAGTGCGGCCCTGCCTTACTTTTTGGGGGATTCTTCTTTAGAAATGCTTTGCAAAAGTGCAAGCTTTCAAAAGTCATATTATCAGTTATTAAGTATCTTTTTTTTCAAAGAAAGAAAATTTACAAAATTCTTTGCTGATTGAGAAATCCTAAGAGAATAGTTTTTTAACACCAAAATATCCAATTGTTAAAGCACCATTTATTGACTCTTAATTTAAGTTCTTTTGTTAAGAAAAAAACAAAAGGATTTGTTTTGCACAAAACAAAGTACTTTTAAAAAGCAAATACGTATTTTTTTTCTATTTTTTGCTTTTTTCTTAACAATGTTCGTTCCTCTCCCACAAACCTAATTTTGTGTGCTCACAAGGATTAGGTCAAGAAACACACAAAATTCTCTACAGAGAAATATTTTGTTATTATATCACTCTCTAATAAAAATAGTGGGGTATTACATTGATATTTATAGCATAAGTTGCCTACCAAAATAAAAACTATTCTCGTATTAAAATTCTAAAAAAGTTTCATTATCAAACTCTTAAACTCATATACTACTAAATCTCTATAATAATTCCCTAATTAAACTCTAATTAATACTCCTAGTCAAACAAGTACTCCTAAATTAAATGATAATAACACTAATTCTAATAAACTACCAATTACACTTCGCTTTGGACCAAAAATTCCTAGTTTTTCGGCTAAACTTCCAAAATCGATTGTATTGGTCCAATCAACCAATGGCTGAGCCATCAATATTGTTAGTGGTTTGACACAACTTTTGTCTTTTATCTCTACCAGATTCTTTGTTGTGGGCTCTTCATAGTCACCACCTCTTCTAAGAGATAAGGATCTTTAAGATTCCATAATTGGTGATTTTGCACATCCTTTCAGTATTCTTTGTATCTTTTCAGGTATCTTTAACTTCTGTTACGTCAATCGTCGATGGTTTGAAAAAGTTGTATATTCAGAAGCTGAAGCCATTAGAAGTTACATATCGTTTCAATGATTTTGTATCCCCCTTATTGGTAAGTGTTTCATCTTGCAATTACTGTTGTATTAAGGGATAGCATAGTACGGTCTAGTTTTTTTAAGGTCAACTTTGCATTATGTCTGGTTCGGAGATCAGCAATGCCTATAACAGGATGTCTCATTTTTTGTTTTTCGTAGACAAATAGTGATTTCGATGCCAAGCCGATGGTGATGCTTTTAGGTCAATATTCCACTGGTAAAACAACATTCATCAAGCATTTGCTTAGAAGTAGTTATCCAGGTAGGTTATTCTCCTCTTTCTTTCTATCTTGCTGGACATGGGGAAAAAATCTTTAACATTTGTTATACATTCACTTAACAGGTGCTCACATTGGACCCGAGCCAACAACAGATAGATTTGTTGTTGTTATGGTATAGTATTAGACCCTTCTCTCTCTTTCTCTCTCTCTCTCTCTTCGTTGTGTGTGTGTGTGTGTGCAAACTTCCCTACTGATTTTCACTAGCTAATTGTGCTTGGTCTTGTCTGTTGACTTTTATTGATTCAACTGTGCTTCCTTACAGAATGGACCTGATGAAAGGAGTATCCCAGGGAACACGATCGCAGTTCAAGCAGACATGCCTTATAGCGGCTTGACAACTTTCGGAACAGCATTTTTATCGAAATTTGAATGCTCTCAAATGCCACATCCTGTGAGTTATTGTTTAGAATTTTCTTTTGGGAATTTCCGATTCATCCTTCCTGGTTCTAAAAATTTCTCTTTTCTTTCTTTCTTCGCTTTTTCTTCAATGTCCTAAGCTGTTGGAGCACATTACTTTTGTGGATACTCCTGGAGTTTTATCAGGAGAAAAGCAACGAACACAACGAAGCTATGATTTTACTGGTGTGACTTCGTGGTTTGCTGCGAAGTGTGACCTCATTCTATTACTGTTTGATCCTCACAAACTCGACATCAGCGATGAATTTAAACGGGTTATTTCATCTTTACGAGGTCACGATGACAAGATACGAGTGGTTTTGAACAAGGCTGATCAAGTTGATACGCAGCAAGTAAGAAAGTGCATTGCAATCTCCCCCCCCCCCTTCCCCTTTTTTTTCCCTCTCTCGCTCCCTTGTTAATCTGTTTTTAAGTGTTAGCTGTATGATTGCCTTACTGGTTGGTGTTGCATTATAGCTGATGAGGGTATATGGAGCATTAATGTGGTCCCTTGGGAAGGTTCTAAATACGCCTGAAGTTATGCGTGTTTATATTGGGTATGCTCTACATTTTGGACATGATCTTGTTTTTTTCTGTAGTGAAAGTTAAGGCCACCTATACGAAAGGCAAAAATACCCTGCGTTTAGGCACTCTTAACATAGTTCGTTGAAAATATTGTGGTGACAGCTCTACTAAGAATGTCTTGGATGTTTTTCTTCTTGCTCCCCTCCTGCACTGTGGTTTTTCACCTTTCACATGTATATGATACTCCGTCCCCCAACTTTGGCAGCTCATTCAACGAAAAACCTATAAACGAGGCTGCTGCGGGTCCAATTGGGAAAGTGCTTTTCGAGAAAGAACAAGATGATCTTCTTACCGATTTAAAAGACATACCGAAGAAAGCTTGTGATCGTCGAGTGAGTTTATTTGATTCACTTTTATGGATTTATTTCTTGCCCTTACAAATTTAGTGGTTGATATATGTTTAAAGAGGCAGAAAACTAAGAGATTCTGAGGCATGTTTTGTGCAGATCAATGAATTTGTGAAACGTGCTAGGGCTGCTAAGATTCATTCTTATATCATTAGCCATCTTAAAAAGGAGATGCCTGCAATGATGGGCAAAGCAAAGACTCAGCAGAGACTTATTGATAATCTTGTAGATGAATTTGGAAAGGTACATCTTCTCTCTCTCTCGTGCATGCTTTTTTTTTTTTTCAAGTTATATATTGAAATTTATCGGCTCGTCGGTACCTCCTTTTCTTCCTTTTTCTTCTCCCATACCCTTCTTAAAATAGGTTCAAAGGGAGCACCATTTACCAGTTGGTGATTTTCCAAATGTTGAACATTTTAAAGAGGTCTTGAGTGGTTACAACATAGATAAGTTTGAGAAGTTGAAGCCTAAAATGATACAATCTGTTGATGACATGCTTGGTTATGACATCCCGGAGCTTCTCAAGAGTTTCCGAAATCCCTATGACTAGAAACAAGCTTTTTGGTAGAGAGATTTGGACAGCGGTAAGATCGGTGGTAATGGTGCAGTCTTGCTCAGATGTCACTGCAATATATGTATTTAATTTTTATAAATAAATTTTGAGCTTTCCTTGATTTGATTTTGGCATTAAGATCTGAACAATTATTTATATCTTCCAATGTCGTATGTTGGAAATCATGGCCATTAGTAATATCTCTGTATACTGCCTACTCTCAATTTTATTTATTTTTAGATGTTTCAGATGTTCAAGAACATCGATTATTTGTAAGGGTGTCAATTGAATTGTGTCGTGTCATTTTCGATCGTTTAATTTTTGTGTTAGTGTCAATTAATGGTTTAATTTGGGTTTTATGTCGGGTCGCATTCGTGTTGAAGAGTAAAATTGACATCCCTAGTTATTTGGGCCCCATCCTGCAACGCTGGGCCAGTTAAATACGTAGATGACACCGTAATCTTTCTGTGGAGCATGAAATTTCATTTGAAAAGCAGTTTAATTAAAGAGAATAAAATTCTGAATTATGACAATTCTTAAATGTAAAATTGACTTTAAATCACTTTTTAACGGAAAAAATCACCAACTTTAGCTAATTAAGTTCGAGAATGAAAAGCCCACATGGGCATAAAGAAGGTGCAATTGCCTTTAAACCCATCAGACAGCTTAATATAATGTTAATACATCAAGTGATAATGCAGAACTCTTTGCTTAATATACTCAATATGTTCAGAAATTTTGACAAAAATTGTAAAACTTTGTTGCACTAACTTGATGATCCAAAGGGTTTTAACTTTAACATCCACCCCTGAAGGATCAGTTCAAATGGTAAGATTTCTCTGGTAGTAGTTAAAAGGTCTTTATTTCGAGTTCTAGGACTACCTATCCAGAATGTAAGCCTTGTGATTTACCTAACGTGTGTGGTTAGTGGGGTATTGAGCGAATACCGGAGTTTTTTCTAGTAGCTACATAGGTCTTTGAATTCGGCAATAAATTGTTAGAATTTCCATTGAATTATCAAAAAAAAAAAAAAAACTTTAACCTGCTCAGGGGATTCGAATTGGCTTATTAATTAGTTCATTTACCAGAAAATAAGAAAAATTATTATTATTTTTTTTAAAAAAAATAAAAAATTATTTCAATCACATATCCTTTAAACATGTGGAGTGTAGGTACACGAGTAAGAGAAAATTGCTAGATCAACTGTATTCAGGGATTACAGGCTTGAACCAATGCTATTGGGCCATCTGTTCCACATCAATCCATCTATTTCTAGGCCCATAGCCCAACCCATTACGACCTTTTTCCAATTTAAATTCAACTCTAACTTGAGTAACAGAACTCTTTCTCCACCACTTCCTGGTTGAAGGTTTGCTGAAAATTTGCAGAGTTCAGATACAGCAAAAAATTAGATCACAAGGAAAGATCTGAGCTCTTAGTAAAGGCCCTCTCTCTGAAGCTGCCACCATTGCCGTTAGCTGTGCAATTGTTACTCGCCAGGTATTGTCTCGTTGTAGTTGTGAATCCGTCTTTTTTCATGCTATTCTGCTTCAGTTGTTATTTGAATCTTACCCACGCAACATTTAATTCTTAACATGTTCGTGAGGTGTTTGTTTAAATTTCTCTATTTGGGTCTTTGAAATCAAGCATCAATTTGTGAAATTGATTATACAGGCAATGGAAGGTAAGGTGTTTGTTTAAATTCCACTGAGGAATAAGGTTGAAATATTAAAGATAAACACTTTGTTTCGGATACTGCTCGTTTGAGGGAGGAGTAGACTACTCACGAATTTAACATTTCATGGATGACTTACTGATTGTTCATCCTAGTACCAAATTTCATGGATCTTAGTACAAGTTAGATTACTAGAGGAATCTTCTTTCTAATATTTCCTTAACGGTAAAAGGGTACATAATATGTGAAGAAATCGCTACTCTTGGATCATGCGAATGACCATTCTATCATAATTTGTGTTTCCAGAGAGCATAACATTCTTCAGAACAATGCTGCCGCAACGTATGAAAAAGGCCATCACGGAAAACCCAAAGAAACATGCCAACTTGATTGAGCTTGTGAATCTTCCTTCAACACTTCGAGAGTTCATGGGTCAGTCGCAGACCTCTCGTTTGGGCTGTTTCATGCGTGTTTGGTCATATATCAAGGCCAATAATCTCCAGGTTCTTAATCTCTCCTCAATGTATTTATTTTGGGTACTGAAAAATTATTATTATGGGAATTTCTAGTAAATGCTCATATTTTTTAGTATCAATAAATGGCTTAAGCTGTAAATACTCATTGCCTTATGGCCCTTATCTTCCTTCCTGTATATCATGTGGTTTTCTTAAGAATTTTAGCCTCTTGATTTCCTTTGGCAAATGAAGATAACTATTTTCTGTAATATCATGGAATGTGTCCAATCCTTGTAATCTTGTGCAACTTCTGTATAGGGTCTCGACCATTTTATATATCAAGTGCTTGTTCATTGATGATTTTAATGACATTTGATTTTGTTTGGCAAATGAAGATCTCCCTTGGGGGGCACACAAGATGGTCTGACAGGCTAAAACTCTAGAAGCAATGAATAATGTTGTGTCTCATGCCTTGAACATTTCTATCATTGTGTATTTTAGGAAGGTTTTCTTGTATCATTGTTTATCAAATTTATAGTGAAAGGTTGAATTTGTCATGAGACAACTATTTAACAAAGGTAGACCTATTGGTTGAAGGTGAGATCCATACCAGCTACAGCTTAACGAGAAAGCAATTTAATCTAGACATCGTGGTACCCTTGTGTCCTTGCCAAAATATGTTGCACATAATATTGAAGCATAGATTGACAAAAGGCGATATCTTTGTGCAATGAGTAGAAAGAGAAACCCTGGAGTTATGCTGAATCAAAATCCCTTTTGGATGTGGTACTCTTTAAATACTAAGATTCTAAGTCCATAGCCTGTTAGTGGGTTTGTTTCGGAACGAAATTGTAACACAAACTAGGAACCACAATGTCTTATATCAGAAAGGTTTGCACCATCACCTTGATTGAATCATTTCAAAACTATTTTTCCTTACAAATATATTGGGCTAGCTGGATTTGCTCTGTTTGTTTGTTTTGAATCTCCAGCAAGTGCCAAGATACAGAACTCATAAAAGTCCATGAGAGGCTGTGCAATTTGCTATTAAAAGTATTGAATTTTTCCTTTTTTTCACCATATCTATATTGTATATAACATATGAATTGAAAACTTCTAATATTATCTGTGTCGCTTAGGTTTGGAAGAAATGGGAGAACATGCACTTCGTTGTCTTTGCATTAACATCAATACATGATAATTTTTTGCAAGAGTTTTGATGGATACATGACTAGATTCATTACCTTAACCCTGACTGGAAGGTAGTTCTTTTCTTGTTTAGGATCCAAACAACAAGAATGTGGTCAACTGTGATGATAAGTTGAAGAGTATATTGTTGGGGAAGCATCAGGTCGAGCTTGCTGAACTACCTAGTCTGATCAAACTGCATTTTCCTAAACAGCCGAAATAATTTTCACATTTGAGATTGAGGTGCTTAACTTCATGTTATTAATTATCCTCCTCATTATTTGAGTTCTCAGACACCCTAATTGTGGTGAAAATATTGAGCCTGTATTTGCATGGTTGAATCTGTGACTGCTAGAATGGATTGAGCTTTTGATTCCTGCTATAAACTATCCAACACTAGGTTTGAGTCTCTCTGCATAGCATATTCATTTTGTAGACAATGTTAAAATTATCATATTAAGGAATTTAAATTGTGGCTGAAACATTCTTTTTTCACTGTTATTGAAGGTTATACAGTAGTTCAATGATGAAGAATGTTGCTTTTTCGTCATGAAGAGTGTCTCATATTCATATAATCATTTGCTGTGGTCTACACGAAATATCTTAGTAAAGAAGTCGACAAACAAATAAATATGATCGGAGGAATTATCTCTCTTTCCCTCTTTCTGTGAAATAGGATTCAGTCCAGAAAGTAACCTGAACATTGAATCATTTGCATAGACCAGCATTGTTTTTCTCAGTGGTGGTTTATGGCCTTTATGACTTCGCAAGCCCTCTTCCTTGGCCAGTTCCATGGGATCACCTCCGTTGCATTTCCCCTACCAGCAAGCTAGAAAGAGCACCTGACGGTTATTGTTTTTCTTTTCGTCAATGGTAAAAATCAAACCTAGGAGCACGACCCCCTTATGACCTCTCCTTTCAAATGCCTTAGCTATCATGCAGAAATGGCTCTGGCAGATCCCATGAAACTTGGATGAATAGGGAGTAATTATACAAATGCAGCTAGAGAACTCCTGACCGCGTAATGTGCAACAATGCCATTTGTTTTCTCTGTAGGGTGGAAGGAGTCCCAAAATACATATTTATTTGCATCCATACACGTGAAGGGGCTGAATTTGTTACACATGTAACCCATCTCAAACGTTCCAGTTGCACAACATGCTATTGCTGCATTCTCAAATCCTGTAATTAGGAACAATACAAATACGATCACTTGTGCTAAGAAGGGAATCCCAGAATAAGATATGTGCAAAAACAAAGACAATACAGGCAGTGAAAAAAAGGATGATTCCATAGCCCATGACAGAGGGAGGATTGGGGATATGTATGCGTTCAGGCACTAGCTATGGAAGTTTGAGTGTTTGTGTGCAGGAATGTAGTGCTGGTACTATTTTCTCTATGACTTCCTATCAAAAAGAATTTCTATGATTTGAGATTTCTACAGGACCCAGATGGTTTCTCAATTATCATTCACCCATAGTGACCCATGCTATACCCATAGGGAAATCATAGAAGAGGTGGGTGGATCCATTGCAAAAGTATGGTGTCAGTTCTATGATATACCTGTTGGAATGGACGACCAGAGTTGATTTTGCATGACCTCTTGGCATGCTTATAATGCCGGTTGTGAATTTTATGATTCAGGATAGCAAACTTACCAAAAGAATTAGGGTTCTGAATTATTTCCAATAGAATATCATATGGGTTTGAAAGCACCAATCGGATCCCAGCAAGCTGCTTATTCAGCTTCACAACCAATCTTTGCAACTTCCCATTGAAATCCCTAGCCACCTTATTATACTCTTCTTTGCAGGCTCTTCCATTTATTAAATTTGTGGTTCTCTCCAAAGGCAAACATCCCATAGGAGGAAGTCCACCCAGAGATATCTTTCGAGCTCCAAGCCAATAAAGCTCTGTGATAAAATTTCTTGCAATCCCTACAAGAAAATTCTGGTACTCTTCCACAGAATAAACCGATGATCTGCGCGGATTTATGAAATAGTTTTCTAAGAAATCATTTGTTCCTATGCTTATTAGATACATTGCATCAGTCATGACCTTGTCAGCTTTCTCGTCGCCTAGATAGCCCCTTAGCCGCTTCTGGTATTCTTTGTAATACTCTAATTCTTTCCACAGAGGTATTACAGACTGCAAGTACAGAATCTTTTATTAATGCATTTTCAACCCGCTTTAAGAATTGTTTGAGTTTGTTTGATTCATTAACTAGACTTTTATATTATACACATTGCATCAGCTAACATTTATCTTCTACTAAATTGCTGAAAACAATTTGTTATAAGATTTTAATTTACTCACAAGCACATCTGAGGTAGCATTATCATAACCAGTTCCAGCTGAAGCAAAGCAAACTCCTGTAACAAAATCCGTTATATCATATGTTGGATCCAAGTAGGCAGGTATTGTTGGCTTGACCCCGAACGCCTCCGAGATGAAGTCTGTTGGCATGCGACCATTAGAGAACCGGCCAGTGGGCTTGCCACCGTAGAAATCACGTCCATAAGGCTCAAAGTTGCTCTTCAAGACTGTGTGTATGTGATCGTTGTTCCCCGAATCAACAGAGGAGTCTCCAAACACTATGATTGATGAAACTTTTGCTTGGATCTTGAGAATTTGCAACAGGAGCTGAGCAAAGAGGAGCATAAAAATGGCCATATATACCATTTCGGGGTAGATGCAAGTTCTAGTTAGAACAATAAGGGGTGGAGTCAAGAAGGAAGGAGATTTTTTTCTTTCTTTTGGCTAGTATGGAAGGAGAATTTAATACAAATCTGCCTGTATGTAGTTTGTTGTGGGTTTAACTATTATTTGTGGTATAATTGATGGGTTTGGTGAGGAAATGACAGAGGATCGGCTGCATGCTGCAGAGGACACGCTCTTCTTCAGTTTTTAACATTTAATGTGGGATAAAGGAGACTGACAATTGAGATAGAACTACTTTTTGTCTTGAGAAGAAATTAAAGTAGTATTGATTGAAGCCCCAGATTTCTGTAATCTTGTTACCTTCTCTACCAACCGGTGGGTGAAAATTCTCTTATTTTTTTGTGGGTTATGTGGATGTGATCCTGATCAGTGATTGAGGGGCTATGAAGTGGAAGCGGTCTGAGTTTCAGAGGTCAGGTTTTTTAGCCAATTGAGGTAGGCTAAGTTTTGTTTTGTTTTGTTTTGTTTGCAAGTTTAGTAAGGTTAAGAGGTTATGACCTCTCTATGTGCATAAGCCAAGGGATTTGAATCATCTTGAGTATACTTTTCATGTGATATATACCCTTCGCGTGCACTGGCATGCACTACCTTAGGTGACAGTCCCTTCAATGGTAGTATGACAGTGATATGGGGAGGCCATGTAGTCCTGAGATTCTGGCCGAGGCAGTAACCAATTCACAACGAGTGAAGGGGCTCACAATACTCATATCAGAAGCTTGTGTCTTGTTATTGACCAAAAGCTATCGTCCTCTCCACAGCGTTACCATCTCCTTATGAAGTAAAAGGATTATAACTTTTTTTGTCAACATCTTAAATAGGCTTTAATAATGTTTTGTGTGTTTTTTGGTAATGAAGACTCGTCTCATCTCTTGTGGATTCGTGGCGATAACACTAACTCCAAATGTGCCTTACACCTCCAAATCACAGGAGTTCTGGAAATGCTGTTGTTAGATAGGAGGAGACTTTAAGGAAAAGCTTTCTTAATGAAGCTACCGAAATTATTTACACTGGTTTACCACCCAATCAACGCGGTTTGTCACCTTTTTTGAAAGTAAGGGGTCACGTGTTTTAACCTTGGCCTATGCATTCTTCTTAGCCTCTTGCCATGCATCTCCGCGTTGATGATTTTCTTTTATCCTCTGTTTGATAGGGAGAAAGGAAATTAAGAATGATGAAAAATAGGAGAGATATATTTTCTATCCTTCAAGGATGGAAAGTAGGAAGGATAAATTTTCCTTCATCTGTGTTTGGTTGAATGAATAAAAAATAAAAATAACTAATTTTCTTTTTGTGCTCGCTAAAATTAGGGATGACAATCGAGTTGTGTCGTTTTAGATTCGTGTTGAGTCATTATGAGTTTGTGTCGAATATTAGTTAAACTTAACTTAACTCATTTAACTAATTGTGTCGTATGGAGTTACGAGTTGACTTATTTATTTTCGTATCGGTTCAAGTCGTATCATCGTGCTGAATTGAAAATTTTCAACCTTAGTTAAGTTAATTTAAAATTTTAATTTATTTATTTTTAATATATATATTTTATCATTGTATTTTTATATGAAATTAATGTATACATAATATATGTATATATAAAACGATATATAGACAAATAAGATACATCTCAACACAAATAATTAATTTTTTATTCATTTTTCTTCTAATTTTGGAGGGATTGATTTTGGTGGATTAGAAGGAAAGTTAATCTATCTACTTTTCCATCCTTCGTACTTTCTTTCCTTATCACACATGATATTTTATTTGTCTTTTAAATTTTTTATTTTTCTAATTTTTTATCCTCCCACTTTTCTATCGTACCAAATGGAGTATTAATCAAACCGGGGAGAAAATTGGTCGAGTTTTGTGTAATCTAACTCAATCAACATTAACTGTTAAATTAAAAAAGGAATATTATGCATAGAAGTGCTTTTTAAGGCGTACGACGTCGTTTTGAAGCCCTGTCTTTCCCAATGTAAGGCTGTGCTTGTGCTCGGCAAAATCGTCTTTAACAATTCTGACCGAGACCGATGCACCCCCAAATATCTTCTGGACGCTTCCAAAGCCAACCTTTGTTTAAAACCTAAACTTTCGTGGACGATAATACCCTTGCATATCTCCATTTTTTTCCAATTGAACGAACTTGTTTGGAAATGTTACCTTGATTAACAAAGTGGATTTGTCTTTAAGTGATTAAGAGATAGTCATAATTTAATATTGAAATTGATAAGTCTTACCCTTAGAGTTATAATTTCTAATTTTTTTTATTATTTTCAACCAATATAAATTTTAGAATCAATCAAAATAATCAAGAAAAAACATATGAACATATATTAAGAAAAATACATAATAAATTTTTTTTTAGCATTTCAAATAAATAATTGATTGAGCCATTGACATGAGTGTTATGCACGCTTCTTCAATTTTCAAAAAAATAAAAAATAAATAGTAAATATTTACAAATTTAAAACTTAAATCATGATATGAAATAGATTGATAAAGTATCAAAAAATTTTAAAATATAACCAAACAAGGGATAATTGTACAATAAGTATGTGACTCACCCAAATCAAGGTCTTATTATAGGCAGTATCTTGTTAGTTGACCATTATGCTATGTTTACTGTTTTCGTATAAAGTTTCAATAAAAAAGTTCAAAAACTATTATTGCAACAACAGTATTAGAACACATCACTGCTATATCGTTATGTTAGTAAATTAAATCAATTTTTGAGGTCCCGATAACATTAATGCTAATCTTCTTAGTTGTGTGTTTACCAAAATAAGAATTCTTCTATGGAGGAAAATTAAAAATGAGTTAGGGTTAGTTTGGTCAATTGGAAAAGATCATCCCACACAGCTCTTGACTCTTCGCTGTTCACCCACCTTTTCTGCCTTGTCTTTCTGTCCAAGTACGCCCTCAGTTCTAAAAACCCTTCTCCTTAACCGCCATAAACCCTCCCTCCCTCGCCTCTTCTGTACTCTGAACCTATTTTATTTTCCTCCCAAAACAGATAAATTCAAGTTTCGGAGATGTTCATTGGTAGGGTTAGCTCTCGGCTGTCGAGGAACGTCTTGACTCAGTGCCGCAATTCGTTGCTTCTCTACGCTCGACAAGAACAACCATTTGTACCCATCTCCTCCAATCAATTTCACTCTCTCCGTGATCTACAAAACAATGTAAGCTGTCCGTGAAAACTCTTTATTTTCAGTTTCTGTATTCTGTGGGGTTTTAATAGGGTTTTAGTTTTAACCTTAATTTCCTCAGATCAATTCGCTTCTTTGCTGATTTTGTCTTCAATTGAATGTGGAGTTTATTGTGGTATCGATCTTGTGATGTTTTTTTTTTGTAAATTTGGCATTTTGTGCGTGTATTTGGGGATCAGAGTTTGTGCTTTGGAATTGAATTTATAATTGTTTTTGATTAAATTTTGAGCTAATTTGAATGTTTCGGGGAACTTATTTGATTCTCTGTTGCTTCAAACTTCGCAAGTCTCGATATTTTTTCCTTCTCTGAAAATGTAATGGTTTACTTGCATTGTATCTAAAGTAGTTTTTTTTATTAAAGCCTCGGCTGGTGTTCATACAAAGACTCTCCTGCTAATAATCTAATGCATTTGTTTGTAGTAAAGCTCAATTCCTAAATTACAGCATTGCTTCCAAATTCTATTTGGTTGAGTAATGGCAGGGGTGGGCTACTTTTTGTTCCTGTATTTTGTGAACATATATGTAACTTCATGTAGTTCCGTGCACTATTGATGCTCTCGTTCTAGGCAGATTTGAGTTTTGCCACTTTCCCGCTCTGACTCCCATCTTCGCTCAATATGATTTGTTATTTAGTTAAGTTTCGAGGACTTATAAGAGTTTAATGTGAGGCCCTACACAACAGACGTGAAGTTGATCACACCCCGGCCTGACTTTTTTTGTGGTGCTAGTAGCGAGTGAAACTCCATGAATGGGCAGAAAGGGTGTTGAAGAAATCTTCGATAAATTCACTCGACCACTACTTAACGAGGAAGTACACGTAGACTTGACAATAACTTGTTAGATGAGTTTTGTTGCATTGCAATAAATCATTCCTGCCATTCTCCCTTCCACGTGTCTGCCCCGACTATGAAGCGGTGGAGAAGAGTTTCAAAGTACACTTGTTTTTTCAACTTCATTCATACACTTTTCAGCCTTCATGCATCATTGATCTGCAAAGCTAGCTGTGCTGGTCTTCTGTTTATTCAGTATAGCATGCCATTGTGTTTTGCTGGAAGGCTTGCTGCCTATGCCCATTGGGCACATTACTTGGCAACAAGTCTGAAGTAATACTAGGGCGTCCCACTATATATGCATTTCAAGCCTATATTACTCTCTAGTTTATTCTTAATACAAGTTAAGTAGCCTTATTTAAGTGTCATGGAGTCACAAAGCAACCTTCTTGGTGATTGCTTCCACACCTAGGCATTCATAAGATGTTTGGGAATCAACTTATCATGACAGGGTCTGCTGAAATTGCACACATGTGGAAGTGCTTTTCATTTAGATTGTTCTCATGTGCTTTTCATTTTTTTTAAATGATGGATATGAATTTTGTTCCAGGTGGTTACCTGTCAGGTGTCACTTCTACATCATTCAATTCTCAATACATCTGCCATTCAGCGCTTTGGATTCTCGTCATCTGCATCTCCACAATCCAATGACAAGGACACTTCCCAGCCTGGAAATGAGCAAGGGAGCACTGTAGAGAACAGTGAAGCTGCCACAAAACCAAGTGGAGATGCTGAAGTTCCGGATCAAACAGACCAGAAAGAATCAGGTTCTAGTACAGAACCTAATTCTACCATGTCCCAATCTGTCAAAAGAAGGAGAAGAGGTACTAAACGAACTGCATTTTCTGATTCTGATTCAGATTTGGAAAGTGAATTGTCCAGGGATGATCTGGTGAAACTTGTGGCGGAGAAGGAAGAACTTCTGAATGTAAAAGTTAAAGAGATTGAGCAACTGAAAGATAAGGTTCTCCGGACATATGCAGAAATGGAGAATGTCATGGAAAGGACCAGACGTGAGGCGGAAAATGCAAAAAAATATGCCATACAGGTTTTTGTGTTTACAGTTTCTGCCACATAATCCTGCCTACTGTCATATAGGACCTACAGACTTCCTGTAGCAGTGATTCAGAGTTTGTTTACCTTGCTTTTTGTTTGAATATATGTTGCAGAATTTTGCGAAGAGCTTGTTGGATGTCGCAGATAATCTCAGTAGGGCTTCATCAGTTGTGAAAGAGAGTTTTTCAAAAATTGATGCATCTAAAGAAACTGTTGGGGCTGTGCCACTTTTGAAAACACTATTAGAAGGTGTTGAAATGACTGAAAAACAGCTTGCAGAGGTAATATATACCGTCATCACCTCACTGCTATCAGTAAATTTTTAGGGAACTGACCTACCTTGTGGCGTGATGAGTTGGTTTTGATTCTGTGAATCCTGACTATATGGTGAAAATTGAAGTTGTGTGATCTAACTGAGTAGGGAAATAATGTACATTTGGTTGAGCTTATGACTTGTTCTTGCTTCCAGGCATTCAAAAAGTTTGGAGTTGAAAGATATGATCCTACAAATGAACAATTTGATCCACACAGGCATAATGCAGTATTTCAAGTGCCAGATCCTTCTAAGCCTCCTGGTACTGTTGCTGTCGTTTTAAAGGTAAATGCTTTGCAGATTTTGTTTTCTAGAAGATTATATGTGAACTGGTTTTAGAATATGCATTGATTATGTATATGTGTATCATCAGTCCAGTTATGTGATTCACTGTGTTTTCATTGCAGCCGGGGTACATCTTGTTTGACCGAATTCTTCGGCCAGCTGAAGTTGGCGTGACAGTGGACAATAAGGATGCAGACGAAGTATAATCCTGCCTGCATGATCTGAACAAATTTTGCATGTGCTCGTTAGAGATGAGGGAAATCGAGACTCTCCTTGTTAAGATACGCGTTGGGTACAATGCCTGGTGTTGTGGAGGAAACAGTTAATTTTTTTCCTTTTTAATCAATTTATCCTTACTTATTCGATGACGAGGGCTTTAGAATGTTTGAAACCTTAGCTTTGTAAAACCTGTTTTGACACAGCACGTTAACATTAAGTTAGGTTTTATAGGTTTTGATGCAACGGTTGGCCTAATCAAATTCCTGCCGTTGGACCTAATGGTTATGGTCGTGGATTCGTACCTCATTGCTCCTTCAACTCGTACATACTGTTCAAAAAAAAAGAACAAAGCAAGCTAGTTCAGAAGGTGAAATATATGCAAGAACAGCAAGATGGGGGTCCTAGTTGTCACCTATTTGAGTTTATAGAGAGTATGCCTCTCTGCCTCCAACAAAGGCTACATTATATTGTGCAGAAACGGAAAGAATTGCAGCAAGAACTCGTGGTCATGCTAAAAGAATACGAAACAACCCTATTTGGAGAGATCTGATTGCACAATAAGAACATGAACAATTGTTAAAAGGATGCCCACGTGAGCCATTGCTTAAATTAGTCATTCCATTTTTGTACAACCTAGTGAAACTGAATTTACATATCAACAGCAACCATAAGCCAAATACCATGCATAATTACAATAACAACTTCATTGACCATTTTGTTTTGCTTCAGTTCTCTGGTTACCAGAAAGACAATGGTCTCAACCCGAACTCTCTCTCCCCAGCTCAACCTCATTGTTTTCGCTTTCTAAATCATGGTCATCATCATGGCCTTTCAAGCACAAATCCAAATCCAATTGGCTTTTGTTTGAATGTGACTCGCCCTTGTTTGATTCATGCAGCAAAATACAGGAGAACTTATCAAGAAGTTGAAGAATTATGTAATGGAAATGTTTTGATACATAGATTTGAACAAGACACCCCTACGTGAAGAAACATAAGACTTGGCACGGAATGGATGCACAAAGCACCCTTATGATTTATATTGTATATGAGAGGGTCATCGTGAGCACATTTTCGTCGGTTTGTTTAAATACCTTTTCCTCGACTACAAAGTGTTCCCTAATTTTGCTCAGGATACTACAAGTCAGAAGTGGAATGGACAAAACAGGAGACCTGTTCTGCAGCCATTCCTCTGCATCCTTGCCCTTATGTGCAGACGACAATACAGATATTTTGACTTTATGTGGTGAAAACATCAGTTACATTTGTAATGTGGTGAACAACATTAAGGTAATAGATCATAAATATAAATCAAAGGGTTGAAGCATGCACACTACCTTTTGGCTAAACCTGTATTTGGAAGGGATAGATATGTTAAAAAGTTCAAAAGTGTCACCTTAGTTTCTTCTGTCGAAGCATCATCTATGATTGGTTTTTCAAAGATGTCATCACTTTTCGATGTTGCACTTGCCGTAGATTGATTCATCTTGATTGTTTTAGCTTCATTGTCAACCTTTTTGGCAGCACCCTTTTTCCTCTCTTCTAAGACCACAATCTGCCCCACAAAAGCCATCAGTTATTCATTGCAATGGATTTATCGACTCTCGCAGATTTCAGGGGGAAAAGGCAAGGGTGATAGAAAGAAAATGGTAGTATCCTTCGTTGTCCTAATGAAGGGCAGAAACAACACACAACAAGTACTATCATTGAAATGCTACAGAAGCTGAACCAAGTCTAACCAGCATTTGTGTTAAATTGCCTCAATTTCGCTTCTACCAACCTTAGAGCCCCCCCCCCCCCCCCCCCCACCCAAAAAAAAAAACAATTAACCTGGAATTTGATTTTCAAAACTCAGCAGGTCTTCAACAGCATCCTAAACTCTAGTGCTTCAAAGATGTTCTTCTTCATGATCAATTAGCTGACCAATGTAACCACGTTCGACTAAGCAACGCTATAAAGCAATTACAGAGTTTCTTTATGCTGGTAGATATAAACGCCGAAATTCTAAAATTGAAGTTTTTAGAGATGTTTGGCTTTACACCCATAATCGAAGATCAACTTTATAATATCTTATGCATCCTCAGCGGATCTCATAATTAGACACCTCGTCCAAACAATGACAGTGTCTGAAACCCAAAATCCCAAAAGGTCTGAATGGAACAGCAGCTATCATCTCTGCTCGTGTTAAGATCATATGATTCAAATGCTGCAAAACCCTGACTAAACCTCACAAACAAATCCCACCGTGATCCAAGTAACGAAAGCAATTTATGAACTTGGAAACATAATCAAAACCCTAGAGCTCCAAACACAACCATCCAACTCATTGAAAACACTGCCACAAATAACGAAAATATGAAAGATGCAAAACAACCCCAAAGCTTCTCTATCAAACTAAACCCTAAGAACCATAACAAAAATACAACACCTACTAACATGAACCGTAAAAATAATGTGAAGAACGCAGCTTACCGGAGTGTAACGGAGCTTCCGCTTCGGCGGCTCTTCCGGCATGTCGGAGTAGGTCGAAGGAAGTGGGGTCCACCGACAGAGAAGGAGGGTGTGGTTGTTGTTACCGTTGCCATTTTTGGTCTGAGAGTTGTTGTTCTGGTAAGAGACCCACTGCTTCTTCCACTTTCTTACTGGGCCGCTGAACACTGGCGCCGGCCCGTACCGCGACGAGGCCCGGCCGAGTCTGGAACCCACACCTTCCATTTCTCCGGTAGAAATTTCGGTGTTTATCGGGAAAAGAGCCACACAGAGCACTACCACTCTTCTTCTCACGGCATCAGAGAGAGCGTTTTGAGTCTTTGACACAGACTGAAGCTCTCTTTGCCATGTGAAATTGGGAGTAAATTACATTTTCATCCCCACAACTATGGATTTAATTTTATTTCATCGCTTAAACTATTAAAATTTTACATTATCTTCCCAACTATTTGAATTATTTCACACGGCCATTGGCCCTCCACTGGATGGGAGATGACCTTCGCTACACTTGCCACTGGGAAGCTCCAGGAAGGTATCGACTTTTTCTATTCTGATGACCCCAATTTTAAACATCCTCTATTTGTTTTTTTATGGAAATTATCAACTTGTTAGAGTTAAAGGGATAAGATAAAATAATTTTTCATTAAATATATAATAAACTTTAATTACTCTGGCAATGTGAAACAAATGTGAAGGTATAATATGAATATTATGTTAGTGAAAGGAACAATATGGAACAAGGTCATAATTAAGGAGTTGAAGTGTAATTTGTCCACAAATTGGCGATTTATCTACCTTGAGATCACACCGTATAAAACGACGTCGTCTATTTTTAACTTCCTTTTGGGTTGAGACCTAGCTTTGGGTTGGGCTCGAGAGTCACACAGCTTGAAATTGGCCTGTCGAAGCATGTGAACAGTTCTGTTCAAGCTGGGCTCGATTTTTCCCGTTTGGGCTCAGCTTTTTGCAAGGTCTTGTTTAGCTGAGTTTAAATAAAAATTTGACCATCAAAATCAAAAGCCTGGGGTAAAATTGGCCAACCAACCAAGCTCTCGTCGACTCAAGCCCGAGTTTAACCAATTACAAACAAGCCGAATCCCAATTTACGTCGTCGTTTCAATCAGAAAAAAAACGCCGTCGTTTTACACCCATCCTATCCATTAAGGTTTTTCGGAAACTATGTTCTATCTTCAACAGTTGCAGCAAAACCTTGGTTAGACGAAGAACGAAAATGGCGCTGTGTAGCTCGACAATGGCTCTAACATTCCTCCAATTCAAAACCTCTATTATCTCTCCTACATCCTATTCTCTTTCTCTCTCCAATACACTCTTTCAAACGCAGAACAACAGGTTCTTCACATCGCTCAAACTACGCTCTTCTTCTCACCATTTCTCTCTCCTCCCCCTTCCATTTCATAGAATTGCATCCCGCTTTGTAGCTTTGGCATCTTCTGCTGCTATCGACACCATTGAAGACCGTCTACCAGCTGATATCGAGGTCACAGAAACCCAAGAGCCCAACTCTACAGTGAGTCCTACTAATCTTCATCACGATGCTCTCTCAAATACCTAACTTTCAGCGTTCACGTCTACTCTGAATTCTTGTTAGCCAATTCAATTGGTTCAATTGGATCACTCTTGCTTCTAAGTATTCTTTTTGTGTCCAATGCGGGTTTTAAATTATGTGTCAATGGACTGACATGCTCTATTGCTTCATATATAAGTTGTTTGGAACACGCTTGAACCCTGCTTATGTGATTTTCTGTTGGGGTGATTTTATGAGATAAAAGTTCAGAATGTTGTTGCTCTGTCTGATTGAGAATCATATTCTTACAGATTTTTCTTGCTGCAGGTTAAGTTGAGTGTGGAAGTTCCCCCTGTTGTATGTGAGGATTGCTACAAAAGGGTCATAAATGAGTTTATGAAGAAGGCAAAGGTACACTTCTACAACCTTTTAGATTCAGTTCTCAATAAAGGGTTCATCAGAAACACAACATGATTAATGGCATAAAAATATATATCAGTTAGATTCTATAAAATAGTGGACTGTTATGGTACTATTGGACTTGGGGTCTAGAATTTAATTACAATAAGGACCCATGTTCCTTATAGCCTACTGTCTGATAGTAGTGTTCACCTGGGACTTACGGCCTGGTTGAGTGCTAAAGCCAGAAGATGACTTTTGTGTAACAAGGATCTTCGGACTTATAGCATCTGTTCATCATGCCAGACATCATTTGGATGTCATCACTCGTACTGGAGCTGTTTATATTCTTTTGAGGTCTCGATGTCTGACAGTGACGCGTATTTGATGTACATGGTACATTGTTTCACCTTTCATTCGATTTGTATGGACCAGCTTAAAAGAACAAAGGAAAAGCAAATACAGGGCTTAGAAATTTCTTCTGATTGGTTAAGGGTTTATGTGCTTTTCTCTTTTGAAAAGAGAATGTGTAAACTGTATTCATATGTACGAATTGTTTTTTTGTGACCAGGTTCCAGGATTTCGGCCGGGGAAGAAAGTTCCAGAGAGTATTCTTACAAGTTATGTTGGCAAGCAAAATGTTCAAAAGGCTACAATTGAATCTATTTTGAAGAGAACCCTTCCACATGCCATGACCTCTGTAAGTTGTGCTATTCATTTGCTATTATCTTTTGTTTTCTATCAGCCATTGCAAATTATCTCCTCTCTTAATGTGTCTTGTTTGATAGGTGACTGGAAGGGCTTTGAAGGACTCCATTCGAATTGCAACCAATTTTTCTGACATGGAAAAGTCTTATTCTTCTCTGAACTCCTTGAGGTTTGTTAATTATACATCTTTAAGTTTAATCATCCCTTGCATGTTCCTTCTTCAAGCAAATTCACTTATTATGATACAAATAGCCAATGTCTGCCACAATTTTCTCTTCCTGGTTGTCAAAATCCTTAGTTGAGGTCAGATGAGGGGCTCACGGGCAGCCCATGTGTTTTCTAGCCCAAGAACCCGATAGGTGGGCGTAAGAAATGTCATAGCTTATGTGGTTATATTGGAACATTATTGCACTATTTGTCACCTTATTCTTAACATAAAAGTGTTGGCATTTGTAGTGTATGATAAAGAAAAGCTTGTTGTTGTCAAACCTGATAAATACAAAATTGATAAGGATACAACCATACAGAGGCATCAAATTTGGGCAGAAAATTATGAAGATCAAAATTGAAGGGGAGAGTGAGGGTACTGTTTTTGTTGTTTAAGTTAAGGCTTGTTTTTAAACTTTCTATGTGCTGTGAATCCTTGCTCCCATGGATACCAGTGGTAAAGCTTCAAAGGGAACAACTTTTTAACATTTTATGAACCAAATGTGTGGTATATACTATATCTATGTTGTTCTGCGCGGTGAAATTTTTGTCTGGTCATGAGGATGGACTTAGGTGTAAAGGACATTAAATGCATACCTTGGTGATTGTTTCATGTCATTGCTTGGGTGCATCAAAAGAAGAGTCATTTATTTATGGATTTCAATAGTGTGAGCTTGTATGTCTCCTTATGTGCATCTGTGTGGGGTGTTCATGGTAATTTACTTTTGGTATAGATATGATATCATAGTCGATGTGGCACCAGAAGTAAAATGGATCCCTGAGAATGGGTACAAGAATTTGAAAGTAGTGGTGGAGATAGACAGTGACATAGATGCTCAGATAGCTTCTGAACAGGAGCTAAGACGTCGCCACAAGTCTTTGGGTTCGTTGAGAATTGTAACTGACAGAGGACTACAGGCAAGTCATGTTTAACTTACCTGAGGCAGATAGATAGATTTCAGTGTTTTCTCCTTTTAGGAATTATAGACTCAATTCTATATTTTCAAGCTTCATGAGTTGATCGGCTTAAGATACATTCTGGACAAATTTGACAAAATCAAGTGCTTGTTTAGGAATTGTATAGCTGATTATTAATGTAGAATAAAAGGTGTTTGAATGTATCTTTTCAACTATCTGAGACTACACCACATAATGGAAGTTAGCAAAGATCGTGATATGTGTTCTTTGGACTCTGCTAAGTTCATCAAGTACCCTTGTCGGACACACCTGACACCTCAGAAAGGGAATGTATATGTGTGACACTTCCCATCGGATGTGCACCTAGCAAAACGTACGCAGTGTCTAGTTTTCTATATCATTGTATGCAGAATTCTCTTGACATGTTTCCCTTTGTTGCATAAGTGCTTCCCTTTATAATGAGTGATGCTTGCCTCATGTCCCTGGACTAGAGATGAGATGAATCTAACACTTGATATAGATACCCACACCCAACACTCATGCCCAAGTCACATAACATATATCATGACCTACGTTTCTGTTACGTGAATTCATCATATGGATCATAGTATTGTTTTGATACGTCCTAGTTAACACAAAATTCAGATGCATTTCGGATTGTATCGATTGAAAGACTTACCTGTTTTAATGAGGTTCACTCATGGAATTCAAACTAAACTAGCTGTGACTAAAAGTTTCTTACTTTCCATGTAATGATTATTTGCTTGGGCTTTTCCCTTCCACAGGTTGGTGATGTGGCAGTCCTTGATATATCAGCGACCACAATTGAGCAGGATGAATCAAAAGTTCAAAAAATTCCATCTGCAGAGAGCAAAGGTTTGCTCGTATGCACTAAGCCACTCTATCTGTCAGTGTCTGTTTTGCATTTCATCATTAGTGTTGTTTCGCTCATGTATATCCCATCTTGATTGTATTTCATCCTTATTCGTTATAAGAGAAAGTAGTCTTTGATTTCCACCAGAAATTGATGCTTTAAATATATGCTCTAGGACACAGACAAGGTCGGCTGCAACCTAGATATGGTGCATCTAAACCTCTATAAAAACTGGGTGTGATACTCCGTATGAAGGTGAGCAGCCAAAACCAATACAGACTTGAGATGCCCAATGTGGTAAAACAGCAAAATATAAGTATAACTGAAGCATAGCCTCAAGTATTCTGCAGATACTCTAAAGTACAGCATTACTAAAAATACACGAGAATGTATGGGCAGACGACTAGGGAACATTCCTCGCTTTTCTGGCTTAGAACACATCGAACATGTTTGACACTGTATTTCTTCGGGTTATGAGTTTGGCCGAGACTGTATGAATGTATCACTTCTAAATGACATAGAGTTCGTTGCGATATCAACTCATTTTTTGAATGATCATGCTCGTTTTATTGATCATTACAAAAGCTGAGAGAAAAATTGTTTAGTAATTTAAATCCATTGGGCTAATTTGAACTTTGATATCCCCTTGAGAATCATGTCCAATTAGGAATCCAATGCTATAATTGGTGTACCTGAAGTGTAAAGAGGCAAGGTGGCATCATTTGTAGATGATTCTAGTTGTTTAGCATGAACTTTTTGTCTGATGCAAGTGGTTAAAATATTATTGGGCTCATTCTTTATTATTTTATCTTTGGTAGGATAGAATTAGCTTCACAAATTTCAATTTCTCAATACCTAAAGCTCTCATGGATCATAATTTGGTTGTTTCACCATTTGAAAATTATCAGTGAGAAAACTTTCTCAAGTGGCTCCTACATTAATGCTGTTTTTCCAGGCTTTCATTTGATACAGAAGATAGAGATAAAGTTCTTCCAGGCTTTGTTGATTCTATAATTGGAATTCATCGAGGTGAAACAAAATCCTTTCCACTTGTATTTCCTGAATCATGGAAACAAGAAAATCTTCGTGGTGTTCATGCTCAATTTACAGTGAGTTCCTCCTTCTTTTGAAAAAGTTCAAATATCAACAAAATAGAAATCTTCCTTTTGCATGTTCTTTTGTCACTACATTGCTACATGCTTTTTAGTTTGTGAAATACGGTCCAGGTTTTGTTTGACATGAACCGGTGTATCCAGAGCTGATATGGAAATTTACCTGTTCCTTATAAATTTGTCCTAAATTTCCATAAATTGAAGATCTTGTGAATTGATGGAAATATTAAAACAGCTGTTTTTTACATATGACATTTCCATCTTCGCGGTGTTTCCTTTTAGGTTGAGTGCAAAGAACTCTTTTATCGAGATTTGCCTGAGTTGGATGACTCTATTTCTGATAAACTTCTTCCTGGATGCACCACCCTTGAGCAGGTGATCCATTACACACATGGATTCTCTTTGTAGTTATAACTTATAACTGAACCAGAAGATTCTGCATCAACATTTCCATCTACATGAATCTGCAGGTCAAGCAATCTTTACTTCAAAAATGCCTAGAAGTGGAGCAAACAGCAAAAGAACAAGCAACAGATAATGCCATTCTAGACCAGCTTCGCAAGGTGAATTATTTCTCAAGATTATGTAATAGCAGCTTCAAAATTTAGTTGGAAAATATTGACTTTTCTTTTTATGCATTCCTTACTCTAAATATTGGATTTGCATGGCATTTTCCTCTCTTTTTTTCATTTTGTTTTCCTTTTCTTTTCCTGATACATTTCTTGCATAAACATTCCTCTAAGTAGTGTTACGAAGTTTTGTTACTTTTGCTAATTATTCAGTGTGTGCTGGACACTAGGCTTTTCCTAATTTTCATGAATGATGATTGTAGTGTTAGAGCATCCAACTCAAAATCAATTGGTAATGGTTGTAGTGACCCTTCAAGTTTATAAACCAACTTTAGTGGTCCTAATTATTCAATGTGGGGTACAAGCTCTCTTAACACCTTTTCTCACGTGGGACCCACAAACAAACATACACCCATGCATATGTGGGATGCAAGCTCTCTTAACATCTAGGACTTATTTCTTGATGAATCATGATGAGATGGATGAGAAACAATGCTCTCTGTTGCAATCATAACTGCCAACCTTATTATTTGTTTGTCAACATAAAGGGGTAGTAATTGGCCATTAAATGAAATCCCATTTCTCTTGTGCGATTAAAATTATGGTTAGAAGTGGGGTTGAACCTGAGAGTGAATGCTTTGTGCACATAATGCAAAAAAGTTTGGTATGAACCTTATCTACCCTTCCTAGATTCCATCAATGGAGACTAAACTTGGAGTTATTTTGCGTGTGTATTGGGAGGGAGGGAAGGTGTATGACTCATTATCATCCATAGGCTGTGTCCTTTATCCCCATAAAAATGTATAACCTTTGTTGCATTTTGACTTTTTTTTTCCCACATCGAAATCATTTCTTGTAATTTTTCAGATGATAGAAGTTGATATTCCTCGATCTTTGTTGGAGGAACAAGGTAGGCAGTTTTATGGAGCTCAACTTCTACAAATACAGGTCAGCAGTCGGAGAAAGTTCCTGTTTTCTATTAGTGACACAAAATTAACTGTATGTGTGCATATATGTGTTCATAGGCATTCTCATTTAAGCATTATGTTGTTGTAGGGAAACATGAAACTTACTGAACAACAGTTGGCAACTTTATCAAGTCCAAAGGCAGTAAATGAGTATCTGGAAAACCAGCAGGAGAATATAACAAATGTGATAAAGCAAAATCTTGCTGTTGGAGACATATTTAAACGTGAAAATTTGCAGGTAATTTCAATAAACCTGTTATGGTTGTCGAGGCACTGCTTCTGACTGTGTTTTTTGTAAATTACAGAAGGACCTTGATTATACTATTGCACATCCACTTAACACAAGTAGAATGGCTCGCCTTGTTTGACCAGATATATTTTTCTTAATTAAGGACGAGACCCTTTACATGTAATATCTTCTTAATCCAACAATAAATATATCTATGTTACTTGTTGCAGTTTTCAACAGAAGAGCTGGCCAAGGAGGTTGAAACCTCGATTGCTGAATTTAAACGTCATAAACAAGAATATGATGAGGAGCGTGTGAGAGAACAGGTCAGTGTACTATAAAAGATTATCAATTGTGATGCTGCACTGACCTGTTTGGAAACTCGAATACATGTCAAAAGTCATCTCCAATACTCCTCCCCCCCCCCCTCTTCTCTTCTTTTCTTGATTGGGAAATGATTAACTGAACTTTAATACTGTTGGGTGTTCTATGAGCTGTGGTCTCATTTTGCAACTTCTATGCTCTTGTCTCCCATATCTAACATTGCCAAGGATTTCTATAGATATTGTGAATTTCAATATTCTACAGGTGCAAGAGATACTGGAGGGAGCAAAAGTGCTGGAATGGTTGAGAGAACATGCGGAAATTCAATACACGACGACGAGGTGAAGTGGAAAGTTAGGAGATTTGGTCATTCTTGCAAGGCAGAATCAAGTAGTTTTTCCATTGCTCTGTTGCTCCTTATAGCTTTTTGCGTCGGCTAGAGCATCACAGAAATAGGTGATTTTCAGTTCTTGCTGTCAAAAAGTTAATGTGATTGGCCAATGCCATCATATGAGAGATCAGAGTTCTCAGTTCACTAGAGCCACGAAATGAAACATTAGTTTTTATTTTACATGTTCATGAACATTGAGAAACAATTAAAGGGTTACCATTTTTGTCCAGCATGCTGGTTGTAGAGCCATAAATATATAAAGTTGAGTGTTTGAGGCCATTAAACATTTAGTCCGCAGAATAGAGGGGAAAGGGCTATGAAGTTGGGAGTGAGAGCCCTCCAAAAAATTATGTTACCATGCATTCAAGGGGAATATAACGTATACAAGTGGGGGGAGTGAAATCCCCTCATAACCCCAAAGCATAGTTTAAGTGGTTATAAGCACGAGCTGTAAATTCAGATGTCTTATAACAATTCTTTAAGGTTAGGTCACGAGGGATTTTATTCTCATAAATACTTTAGTCTCAATGTAAATGATTTGTTTTTTATCAACTTGAAAAAGGGATTAATCAATATACACGTAAACTGGTCTGAACACTCTTACTGTTGAACCAAAAAATAAGAAAAAAAGTGAGATCCTAAGATATATGAGTAAATGGCTTGTTTCCACTCTCTGTTTTATTCGAAAGCACTTAACCCTATTTCCACTTTGTAGATTGATTGGAGTCAATTTTAATCTTTAATGTGAACCTAACACAAATTAGAAACGGAGTACTAGTTAGTAGAGATGGCAATCTTAAATTATTACTCATTAATCTGTCTAACTCGTTTATAAATAAATGAGTTATGTACTTATATTAATTAATATAAGTTATAAATGGATTGAGTAATATGATTTATTTTAATTAAGCAGGTTAATATGAATTATAAATGGGTACCTAGTAGGTTGAATATTTATTTTTTTATTAAATAACACAAGTAATAAAATTAAATAAATATACTAATATACCAAAAAATATACACACTATTACACCAAAAAATACACACTAATATACCAAACACATACATACACTAATACATCAAAAACACACACTAATACACCCCCCATGACCCATGGGCTGACCCATGATCCACATACTAACCCATAGCCAACAATTGATCCCGACCCATTATGTGTGTATTTTTTTTATTAAATATGTTTTAGTTTTTGTGTTAGTATATGTGTGTATATTTTTTGTGTATTAGTTTGTGTGTATTTCGATGTATTAGTGTGTTTGTGTATGTTTGTATTTTGGTATACTAATGTGTTTATTAAGAATTTTAATTATTTTATGAGTTAATTGATTTAACTCAGCCCGTTATAAACTCAACCCATTATAACTCATTTACTAGGTGAGTGAAAAATATATTTGATTTATTTTAGCTCAATCTAATTTAACCCAATCCATGACCAACTCAACTCAACTCACCCATTTGCCACCCCTATTAGTTAGCAAAAATAATAAATGGGTAGGATCAGTAATAATACAAATAAGTTGTGCATTTTTTTCTTCATCTATTGATTTAGTATTGTATTAATTATTCAAAAATTAACTATATTTTATTCTATATTGTTTTGCTAGAATTTAAGCCCTGTAGATTTTCAGTTTAGGTTAAATGTGAGTTTAGTTGAGAGATTAAGAAGAATTAGTCCTACTAATGTTTATACAAACCTAGATTTACACGGTTCAATAGCAGAATTACACTAATTTGATATAAATTCAAAATGATATGATTAAAAATGACATGTCACGTCGCTAAACAGTGATGTTGGTTGCGTAAGTGCAAATGGGGTAGGTCCCAACTTCTTCTGTATCTTTGTTTCTGATTAACAAACCATTTGTCTTGAGTCTTTTATCACATGAAATCTGCTCCAAAACCGAGAAGACAGCCAGCCAGAGAAAGTTGATGTATAAAAAAGGTGTAGATTCAATGGATATAATATAAATCATTGAAGGAATGGTTGTCACATGGTACAGATTACATTACATGCATATGTATGCATTAATAATCCAAATTTAGTCTAAATTATTCTGACATCTCGTCTCGGCAACAGAGAACAAAAAGACATAATGCTCTCCAATTTCCATTCATTCAAAAGAATATTCAACTAATTATAAGGTTAAATTGGGTAATATAAGTGGTAATAAAGACGAATTATAAATTTAAACGTTATGAGTTTGAATTTTGATAATTTTTTAGGGTCAGTTTATGAATAATTTATCTCTTATGAATATTTTAGTTCTGGCGTGGATAATTATTTTTAACCAAACCGAGAAGGTAATTAATTGAGATGCGCATAAGTTGATTTAGACATCCCTAACCGTTGAACTAAAAAAAAAATAACTATAAGGTTAGGGGTTACTTTAACGGTTACCGTTCCCGTTTCGGTTGCTGGATTTTAAAATCATGGATTTGAACATTTTCATCTATTTCCATGTAATAGTGTCCGAACCAAAAAAAATAAAACCCTATTTTAAAAAAATAAAAATAAAAACAAATGTAACTATCATTCACTCAAATTAGTGGCTTAATAATAGTACGAGTGAAATTACAATACACACCAAAGCCAACAACCATCCTTTACAGTATGGTTAAACACTTGGTGCATCATTTTGGTGACAAAACAGAAATTACAACCAGTAAATAAACGTGAACATGGAGTAAAATTGAATATTAAAAATAACCCTGTATTTAAAAATATTTTATAATACCAAAAATTGAATATTTATTATATAATATTTTATATTTTAAATAATAATTTTTTTTAATTACACAATTTAAAATTAAAGAGAAAAGAGAGATAACGGATTAATAAATAAACGATAACATGACCATTACCGTGCGCCCGAACGAACCTGCGGTGACTCCGCCTCGGTCCAGTCAACCAAGCCTTGTTGTGGGTCAAAGGTGGTGGGCAAATGCTCGTCCGTCAGTTACTCTGACAGTGTCATGTTCGTAAATAGTCCCACAAACGGGCCTGGATATACAGGAAAATATTCAGGACAATTGCATATAAAACGACGTAAGTAAAGGCCCCACCTACACTCCACGTTTTCTCTGTCCTTAGCTCTCTTCCACCATCTCTCTCTCGACACAATCACTCAGACTGAAACCACTTAGATCTGAGACCACAAAACCCAAAAACCTCAGCTCAAAGTACGATCTGGGTAAGCATTATCTGCATTTCAGCTTTTCTTTGTTGATTCAGTAGAAAATGCGGGTTAGTTACTCTGTACTGTTACTGTCGCTGTGTTCTCGTGTGGATTTAAGCTTCGTTATTCCGATTCAAAAGGTTTTGTTTTGAGATCTGTGTTATGAAGTTTGTAAATCACTTGATTGTACATTCAGTATTGTGTATACTGTCGGATTGATATGTATTTGTGGAAGAACAAAGGGGTTGGGGTTACCTTTGGCTCTGATTGTAGTACACCGTCTTAGTCGAGTGAATTACTTGAATATTGTAATTTTGCTGTGCATTACTCTGTATAGGTTTAAGATCCCGTACTTAATGCTTGATTGTGGTTACTTAAGTTGTAAATTTTCGGTTAATGGAATAGCTTAGTTGATTTAATGGCTTTGAGGTGTAAATTGGACTTGTTTTAATCGGTTTGTAAGTGTAGGAATCTTGAGAGTGGTGTTCGGCGTGTCTGTTTCTAATTGTGAAAGTAGAACATGACTAAAAAGATCTGCAGTTGGTACCTTATTTACGTACCTGATTGAAGTCAACAGCGGTGTGTCTGCATGGGGCATGGATCTCTCCTAATCCAAAAATGTTAATTTCTGTGAGACATTTTTATGATTTTTTTTTTTATAGTAAACAACAAATTTTTTAACGAAAAAGAAATTGGTCTGGCATTGTGATTTTGCTTCTAATTTCATGTGTATATGGATTTTAATGTTCTGATCATGTAAAAAAGAAGGTTGAGAATGTTATTTGAATTCTCTATTAGATATTGGTTTCATTGCAGTAATAGCGGATGGCAGCTGTTGGAGACACTACATGTGGTTCTCTACTGCAGCAGTTGCAGGTAATCCATTTTTGAAAGTGATACATTTGCAGTCTTTGTTCCTTTAATGTGCCATTTTTATGGGACAAAAAAAGTAGTTTTATGTGTTTGTACTTTGCATATATACAAAACATATTGTTGCAGGTGGAGATTATGTCATTTAAGACACAATAATTGGCTATAATTGACACTGTTTATGTTGTAATGCAGCAAATTTGGGATGAGGTTGGTGAAAATGATGAGGAACGAGATAAGATGCTTCTTCAGTTAGAACAGGAGTGCTTGGATGTGTACAAGAGGAAGGTTGACCAGGCTGTGAAGTCAAGGGCGCACCTTCTTCAGGCATTGGCAGATGCTAAAGTTGAACTCTCAAGTCTTCTATCCGCCCTTGGAGAGAAATCTTTTGTGGGAACTGTGAGTAACCACTTATACGCTCTCCTGGAAATTGAGAAATAGAAATTATTAGCATTTCAAGGAATAACACTTCAGCTTTCTTAAGTTTACAATGGGTGTCACAAATGTGATGCCTCATTATTTTCTCTGGTTTGATTTGCAGCCTGAGAAGACTTCAGGAACTATCAAGGAACAACTTGCAGCTATAGCACCGGTATTGGAACAACTTTGGAAACAGAAAGAGGAGAGGATAAAGGAATTTTCTGATGTGCAGTGGCAAATACAGAAGATACGTGGAGAAATTGCAGGAGGGACTAGTGAGCAAGCAGGGGGTCCTGACGAGTCTGATCTCTCTCTCAAGAAATTAAACGAATTCCAAGCGCAACTCCAAGAACTTCAAAAAGAAAAAGTAAAGTCTCTTCCTCAATCCACAGTCCACTAGCTTAGCAGTTTGATTTTCTACATAAGCCAGATGATCACTGTTCGGTTTTTTCTCATCTTGCAGAGTGACAGGTTGCACAAGGTCCTCGACTTTGTGAGCACAGTGCATGATCTTTGTGCTGTCTTAGGGATGGACTTCTTTAGTACTGTCACGGAAGTTCATCCAAGCCTGAATGACTCAACTGGTGTACAGTCTAAAAGCATAAGCAATGACACCCTATCTAGGCTGGCCAAGACTGTCTTGGTACTAAAAGAGGATAAGAAGCAGAGGCTGCAGAAGGTAACTATATAGTAGTTCAGCTCTTGATACTAGTGAGAGAAGTTCATCAGATATTATCATGCTTTTCACCTTTATCGCATTCCATTGAGATTTGCAGATGCTAGAAAGCGCCTCATGTTGTCTCGTCAAACATGTTAAATGCTATCAGAAGATATCGTGACATGCATAAACCATGCTGCTAATTATTTTTCATTAGAAGTTGGACTTTGAGCACCATGAAATTTGTAAGGTGACCATGGCACATAAACATATAGATATTACATGGATTTTCCGAATGGTTTCCATGTTATATGTTTTCTGCTTTATTACTTTCTTTCAAGTTGTTGGTACTTATGTTATCTGTGCTGTCCTGAAAGGTTCATTATTAAATTTAACTAGTTAGCTTTCACATCATATGAGAGGTGCAGTGGTGCTTGAGTGTTTAGAGTCAAGCATTTGATATTTTTTGGGTCTCTTTTTCCCCTATTCTTGGGTGTTTAGTGTTAAAACTTTTGCACTTATGAATCCCTCTCTATCTACACTCTCCCGTCTTTTGACTCGTATCATCCTTCCACAGCTTCAAGAATTAGCAACTCAGCTAATTGACCTTTGGAATTTGATGGACTCTCCCCAAGAGGAGCGGAGCTTGTTCGATCATATGACCTGCAACATATCATCTTCAGTGGATGAAGTGACAATCCCTGGAGCTCTTGCTTTGGATTTGATTGAACAGGTATTTGGAGTTCTCTACATTGTAAAATCTAAGTCGAATAGACAATGAAAGCCTTTTTATTCATTACTTATTTTTGTTGTCAAGGCTGAAGTGGAAGTTGAAAGGCTTGATCAGCTTAAGGCTAGCAGGATGAAGGAAATTGCTTTTAAGAAGCAAGCTGAACTCGAAGATATTTTTGTTCAAGCTCATATAGAAATTGATTCAGAGGCTGCTCGAGAAAAAATAATGGCACTTATTGATTCTGGGAATGTTGAGCCGTCTGAATTACTGGCTGACATGGATAATCAGATAGTAAATGCAAAGGAAGAAGCCCTGAGCAGAAGAGAAATATTGGACAAGGTGGAAAAGTGGATGTCGGCTTGTGAAGAAGAGAGTTGGCTTGAAGATTACAATCGGGTATTTACTCTCTCTCTCATACACACGCACGCACGGACACGTTTCTTAGCCTCATTGTAGCTAAACTTTTGTTTGCGTTCCTGGTAATGCATGTTGTGTTTAGGTATATATCTCTGTTTCCTCAACATGTACCACAACTCACATGCTTATTGGTCAAAATTATATTTTTGGGCTTTAGAATTTTTTTTCCCCATGGCCAACTAATTGAATTTTCTCTCTCGATGGATGAATTGAATAATTTTCATCACTCATGAGTTTCTATTTTTTTTTGTGGCTTGCTTATGCACCATATTTCAAAATTTAATGAGGCTGGTTAGGGTAATCCTATCCGGGGACAGAACCAGTATTTCATCATTATTATTATTATTATTTTTTTTTTTGGGGTGGGGGTCCAAATTCTGTTCACAGAAAGTCATACCAACAACGTGGATAATGTTTATACTTCTATATATATATATATATATTTAATACTTCTTATATTCAAATTCACAATTTACAAAAATAAATCAAATAAAAAATCTATATAAATAAAGTTATTGATAAAAATGAAAATAAACATAGAATACTAATCTACTAAATCAATTCACAAAACAACTTGATTCGGTTCCCTTTGCCTGTTATTTTGTTCTTCAATGCATGAATTAGTCTGTTGAAGGCACAAATCGATGTGCATTGAAGCTCCTTGTACTTCTACCTTGTACACCCTTTCTCTCGGGCAATGGTTTATGGTTTTTAGTTTTTGTTTTGTAAACAAATTAGAACTCTTATGTTACTCTATGTGGGATTGGGGCATATTAGAAAATTACTTTTTTTTTCATTGAAGACTTACTAACTGAGAGTTGTATTGGTGAAAGAGTTTTTCATTATTTATTAAGATATTTGGTAAACTTTGCAATGTAGTATTATTTTAGTACTTTCTTACTTACCAAGTTTGAGTGTGGGGGCCAAGGCATTGTGTGGTGGGTGGGTGTTGATTTTGGAATACAATAGACTATGCATGGGGTTCTGTGGAGGATTTTTTAGGCCCCTCTTTAGTTCCGTCTCTGATCCTATCAGACTTTATTGGTCTGGGATCATGTCCTTCAGCATCGGTAAGGTTGTGAAATCACTTTTTCCCATCATGGTGTTAACATGCCACTGCTGTTGCTGTGGTGAAACAGGATGAAAACCGGTATAATGCGAGCAGAGGTGCACACTTAAATCTCAAGCGGGCTGAGAAGGCCCGGATCTTGGTCAGCAAAATTCCAGGTAAATGCCACAGTAAGGGGATAGCCTAAAATTATCCCAACTTTTTCATTTTTTGAACATTATCACAACTAAGTTTTGCATTCTGCTGCTTTTTAAGCTTTACTTGTTATACATTTTGGATAAAGTATATGCTATGAATCTACTGAGGATCTATCTATGTAGGTTTTTTAGAACTTCTGTTACGTACAAATTTACCTTGGTTTTGGAGCTATCCAATGGTCTATGATTGATGATGCCTGTTTTGAGTTATTGATTTTATGCTTGCCTTGGGATAGACACTTAAAAATTCAACTATTGAAATCTTGTGTCAAGCAAGACCAGCCATTGGGATAGCCAAGACAAATTGTTAAGCACTACCCTCAGGCCTCAACAGGCATCCCGAAAACAAATGGAGCGTTAGTTTGCTTCAAGTTGTGAATAATAATTTCAAGCTTGATTCTATATCGCATTGATTTCTCTTATTGGGAGTAAACATGTTACCTGTACTGTTATAGAATTGTTTATCTGATTCAGGGTGTGTAATCTCTGCTTGATAGCTATCCTTATGAGTTTTCATGATAGTTATTGATTGATTTACCGGCTATATAGCTCTTGTTGACTCCTTGGTTGCCAAAACTGGGACATGGGAACAAGAACGTGGCATATCATTCACTTATGACGGGGTTCCTCTACTTGCCATGCTGGACGAGTATGCAATGCTCAGGCAAGACAGAGAAGAAGAGAAAAGGAGGTTGAGGGTAAGTCCAAAATGTCTGATATGTTGTCTGGCTGGTCAAATCTCTGTGTAACATTTGAAAGTTTTGGTGACATGGATCATTCTTTTACATGAGCTTAGAACTAATTTCGGTGTTACAGGATCAGAAGAAGTTCCATGACCAATTTAGCAAAGAACAAGAAGCTATTTTCGGTGCAACACCTAGCCCTGCTCGACCACTTGGTACGAAGAAGGTAGTAGGCCCACGTGCAAATGGGGGTGCAAACGGAAGTGCAAGCAGACGGCTCTCTTTGAATGCTCATCAAAATGGTTCCAGGTCCACAAGTAAAGATGGGAAGAGGGACAACACAAGGCCAGTTGCTCCTGTGAACTATGTTGCTATATCAAAAGAGGATGCTGCCTCGCACATATCTGGCATTGAACCTGTTCCAACCACACCCTGATAAATATGAGAATCTGTAGGTTTATACCATTGTGAAATTGCTGTTTGTTATTACTAGCTTAGTTGCTGGAATAGGGATAATCTTTGAAGAGTGAGTGTTTCTAAAGTAGAGAGACTGTGTAGCTTTTTGTGTTATATTAGCACTAAACTATTAATCTCTAACTAACTCATGCTCGCTTTCTTTGTTTGTGCTCACGATCTATTTGGGATCCCTAATTGGAGCAACCTCCTTCACCCGACTTGGTTTTTACCATACCCCGATCATGTAGCATGGCGATAGTTACTGCCTCTATTATTGAGTGACCGATACAGTATTGGTACCTTAGTTCTGATTTACAGCCATCAATATCCACTGTCTCAACGAGAATGCTCCTGAAAGTTTGGTCGCCAATAATTGTGTGCAACTGCAAAGTTTTGTTTCCTGTAAAATGATCAAATGGAGAAAGTTAATTCAATGCAAATACCTGTTCCCCGAAAGAGATGATAAAAGGAGGAAAAAGGGAAAAGCAAAAGAATGAAGGATAACATAGAAATGTGGATTTTCATTGTGTCTCGTTGTAGCTTACACTAAAAGAATGTTGTCGTAGGAGTATACATATCAGAATGTTTTCTGCAGATTGCACTTAATGGTATGATTGTAGGCTTTCTCATTTCAAATGGAAAGGCAAAGGAAGGAGATGGTCTGAATTGCAATTTACGAGCTTTTCTTGTATCTTCAAAAGTATACCCCTTCTGTCTCAATTGATGTGTCAGAGGAAAGGGGTAGGGATTTGCGGAGTCTGGCGTTAAAAAAATTTAAATAGAGATTTACCCCTTTTCTAAGCATATGAAATACCTCTTGATCATCCTCTCCGGGGAAAGGTGGGCTCACTAAGTCCCTCCAAATGAAGCATACAATTCATTAATTGGCGCATGGCTTCTATGATGGCAAGAAGAGCAAAATATCAAGGTTCCAATTGTATTTATAGTATTAATCAAGGATAATACAAAAAATCAGATTTTTGTAGGAGTGCAATTCAGGCGGGTTGGACAATCAACCATAATCCAACCCTAATATATATAATCGTTAACTTTAATCCTACCTCGGGTTGAGTTCTTTAACCCGAGCATTGCCCAAATTTAATTCGGGCGGGTTCAGATTAATGATTTCGAATTATTTTACTGGTTCAATTCGGATTGAGTTCTAGTAGAGTTAAAAATACACTTGTTCTTCTAAATTTAATATATATATTACGTAATATTCACCTAAATTAACGAACAATAACTTCAATCAAGTTTTTAACAATGCTAATGCTAGAACAAAAATGAAAATGAACGAGAGAGATAGAGAACAATAGAACAAAAATAAAAAAATCAGTACTAATGCTTTATATATATATATAATTTTTTTTTTAATTTGTTGGGTTCGAGTTGAATTCGAGGCCTTAACCCGAGCCCAACCCAAATTAAATTCGGGTTAAAATTTTTGATTCAAATCCAACCTAAATATTAAAAATCCTTGTTCAAGTATTAATTTTTTCGGGTTGGGCTCGGATTGAAATCAAGTTACCCAACCCAAATTGCACCCCTAGATTTTGCAAGACCCGCCCCTTTTTTTACCCAGCAAAAAAATTAAAATTAAAATATGAATAATACAAACTATAACACAAGACGACGTCGTGTAGAGCACTGACTTGAGCAAACGGCGTCGTATAAGGCGACTTCCACTGAAGCAGCTGTTTCTTCATTAGACTGCTCTTGGCAAAATCGAATTAACCACTCTCTCTCTCTCACACGGTTTGACTATGGCGAGCGACAATGAACCGGCGAAGCTCTTGCTACCCTACCTTCAACGAGCCGATGAACTGCAGAAACACGAGCCCCTCGTCGCCTACTACTGTAAGTCTCTTTCTCTTTCTCTCTCTGGAATAAAGTCAAAAACCTGAAAAATTAAATAACGTTAAACCCTAGCTTTCAATCTTTCCAGCTATTAGAAATCGCCTTTTAGCCCTTCTTTTTTTTTTTTCACTGCTTTCTTAGAATTCGACATAGTTTTACTCGGATTATTGCCATCTCTTTCAGGTCGATTGTATGCAATGGAACGAGGGTTAACGATTCCCCAAGCTGAGCGGACTAAAACTACCAATGCCCTCCTTATTTCTCTTATGAAACAACTTGAGAAGGTCAATTATCTGTTTTTATGTTTGTCTTTTAGTTTAATTTTGAGCCTTTTTTTTCGGTTAAGTAAAATTTTGGGGTATTTTTTGAGCCTTCTCTGGTACTTGACCGGAGACTATATGAAATAACTTGTAGACCTCTAATTAATGTTTGAGTACTTTTCATCGCCTTATAATCATCTGGGTCTGTTTGGTTGCTCAGAAAACTGAGGTGTAAGAAAATCGAATTTATCGAATCTGTTGTAATCCTTTCGGTTAATAGAACCATTCGCTTCCTCTCAAAAAAACAAAAAGAAAGAAAAAAGAAGGAAACCCAAAAGCTTGGATGCGTTTTTAGGTTGAATTAGCTTCCAAAAGTAGAAACTCAACTCTAGTGGGCCAAAAAGTTTGTTTCAGGGTGCCTCAGAATAGAAGGTTATTCTTTTCATGGCTCCCAAATCATAAGATCATATGATTGATTTTTTCAACTTTTCTTTTTCCTCTCCACAGCTGACTATCGTAATTATGGTTACTGTTGTTGGTTGGAGCTTGCAAACTTATGGGTCCTTTGTTGAGTGAAGTCAGAGATTTAGAGTTGGAGAGAATTGCATTATTTGTTGTTGTACGATCTTTCCAGCTATTATAGCTTTGAATGTTTCGAACCACTTTTTTGAATTTCTTAAAAGTTAAAACTGAGATTTATAACCTTGCTCGAGATTGTGTAGTTTTTTTTTTTTTTTTTAAATTTCTATTCTTTTCTTCTCCAATCAATTTTGAAGAAGTGCATGTATTTTTTGGGTGGCTGGGTGTTTATTGTTATGCTTGTGTATATTGCATAATGTAATATGTGAAAATTAAGATACTACCAATTTCTTGTTTTCTCTTTGGACAGTAAGAGGTTTGTTTTTGGGACTTGAAACTTCTTATTTGAAAACTAATGATGGGAGACCCATCCAAGTTCATTCATGGTCAGTCACTATCTGAAGATACATTTCTAGCGGTGTCCGTAATGTTGGGTTTCTTTTACAGGATAAGAAGTCGCTGAAGTTGAGCCCTGATGACCATTTGCACCTGGAGGGATTTGCCTTGAACGTGTTTGCAAAAGCAGACAAGCAAGATCGGTCTGGGCGAGCAGATTTGTATGATTTTTTGTTAAGTTGTATTATTTTAATAGGAATCAGACCTGTGCAATAAGTGTTTCACTTATAAAGATTTAATTAGGTGTAATACTTTCTTCTTGTGGTCCATTTCTAAATTATGTCTGTGTCGCTCACTTTTTGCCCCGAGGGCCAACTATAGGTATTATCTCTATACCTCAAAGTTTGGGGTGCTTAGAAATAATTGTCGTGCCTTGAGTTCTTTCTGTATGATCTGTGCATCAGACCTTAACAAGGGATCTTGTCACAAAATACCAATTAAAAATTTATTTAAACTAAGAGCTTATGGTGGGATAAAAGATATATAGGAACTAGGTTACATTTTATTTTTCATGTTAGTTACCCCACTGAAAAATTCTTGTAGCTTGTTAGTAGTTGCCAGCTGCTGCGCGTGCCAATGAACATTCTTGCTACGCTACCTTTACTATTTTATGCTTGCATTAAAATTTTCATGGCTTATTTCTTGTTGGGGTTCCCTTCCTAGGTTCTTTAAGTGGTAAGAATGCACTGACATTATAATGCCCCCCTTATAGAGCAGTTTGCTGGGAAAATGTTATCATAGATTCATAGCCAACTTTAAATTGTGTTATAATGCCCTTTATAGAGCAGTTTGGTGGGAAAATGTTATAATGCCCCTTATAGAGCAGTTGTTTGACTGCTAATGCATTTGGCGCTTGTAACAGGAATACTGCAAAGACTTTCTATGCTGCAAGCATTTTTTTTGAAGTTCTTAATCAATTTGGTGAACTTCAGCCTGATGTGAGTTTTTTCTTTATTGTATTATTAATTTCCATATTGATGGTTTATTAGCTATGTATGTTGTTTTCATTTATTTTTGGCTCAGTTCTCCCTTTTTATGACCTTTTACAGCTCGAGGAGAAACAGAAGTATGCAGTATGGAAAGCTGCTGATATAAGAAAAGCTCTGAAAGAAGGAAAGAAACCTGTACCAGGCCCCCCTAGTGGTGGTGAAGGTTTATCAATGCCATCAAGTACACAAATTAATGAATATGTATGACTCTATACTTGTAATATTCATTGATTTAGCTGAGCTGAAGGATGTGGTCATCATTAAAATGTGAGGAAAAAGTGTGTGGTTTGCTTGCTGATAGTTTAAACCATATGGGGAGTGATAGTGGTGACCTACATGGAATTGTATGCCAGTTTCGTAGGATTCTCCTTTGATATCCATTGCATGGTGTCAATGGATGTAGCTATTTTCCCAAAACTTGTGGAGGATTGAACCAATTTAAGTAATACTTCTTTTGTGACTTCTGATAACTCTGGAGATTTTTGGCTACTCACCCTATCTTCACCTTTGAGCAGCATTTTATACATATTTAATCGCCATTTAGGATGATGAAAATGTCAGTGCCATTATGGGAAGCTTAAAGTACTCAACAAAAAAGTTTGACATTGAGAACAAATTTAGTGAACTTTGGTTTCACTATGATTTATTTAGTTACAGAGTATCTAATGCAGAACACTACTGAGGAAAGAGTCTCAAAAGAGAAGTTATGCATTATGAGGTAATTCTAATTATTTACTGTCTTCGCAGGATCTTGAACTGAGCAGAACAGATCCAGCTATTAAACCTGCACCAGATTCTGATGCACGACCTGAGCTGTACGATGAATTCAACAACCCCCAGCATTATGCAAAAATTTCGCCATCTGCTGCTTCAAACATTCCACCTTCATCTCCTTCAAACATTCCACCTTCATCTCCTTATCCTACTGAAGAGTATCCTTCCCATAATCTCCATCAACCTCTTTCGACCGACAGATCAGAAAATTCTATTTATTCTCAGCCATATCACAATCAACACTACCCACAAGAACCCCAACAGCAGTTGCCTCACGATTACTCTTCTCATGATATTCCCCCCAACTCATATCCCAATTTCCAATCTTACCCAAGTTTTACGGAGAGTAGCCTTCCAGCAGCTCCATCTCATTATCCATCTTATTATCAGGGCACTGATGCTTCTTACTCCACCCCTGCAGCTCCTAATATGACGAACTACCCATTGACCACACAATACAGTACCAGTGACAGAAATGGGACTGTTCCTGCTGCTGCGCCAACTTCATCACAATCATACCAATATGACATCAATTACCAGCCACCACCTGAGAAAATCGCTGAGGCACACAAGGCAGCAAGGTTTGCTGTTGGGGCTCTGGCATTTGATGATGTTTCTGTTGCTGTGGAGCACCTTAAAAAATCACTTGAACTATTGACGAATCCATCAGCTGGCCAGTAAGTTTTTTTTTTTTTACAGATATGGGATTTGTTCCAGCGGTTCTTTTTATTTTGTTTGTTTTGTGTCATATCACATGTAAATTTCATCGGATTTAATTCACGAAAAGTCAAAAAGTTGTATTATGGGCGAATCCTTTTTCTTGAATTGTGTGATGATATATTCATGTCCTAAGCTAATAATGGTAAAACATTTCATTGTGTACTTGTGATGGGTTTCTATTACACAGCTGACAGGTTGATTTGTCTATGGGGTGTAGGTTTCAGAGGAGAGTAGAAACTGTTTGGTTTGTAAATAGTGTTGTCCATGGCCTACTGGCTCAAGCCTGTACAGCTAAAGGCAGCGGGCCGAGCCAGTATTGGGTAAGTGTTCTGCGTCACAGCCCAGTTCATAGTCCGCGACTATTGTTGTCAGGTGGGTTCATGAGTGGGCCAGGTTGGCCTCATAGACTGTTTTTAATGCAAAAAAATAATAATAAAATATCACTCAGAAAATTGTAATTTTTTAGTTTAAAAGTCTAATTTAATTTATAAAGAATAGAAGTGTTATCGGAACCTGTTAAACCGTGAACCGAGACCTCAGCCGGTCCGGTTCTTAAGTTGAACCGCTTAAGGAGTTAAACCGAAATAAAATCGTCAATGACAAAAATCGTAAACCAGACGGTGTAGTCAAATTGGGTGTTTTTACAGCATTTTTAATAAAAACCCCCAAAACACCCCCAAATCCTTAATTTTAGCTCAATTTCTGTCATCTTCGTCGTCTTCTCCACTCAAGTGTTAGTGGACTTGACCAGATTCAAAGCAGCCCAAGCCCAAGCCTCACAGGTCACAACTTCACAGATCAAGCTTCACTCCATCGTCTTCTCCACTCAGGTTTGATCGAGCAACTCCTTCACTCGATCTCTCTTTGCTCAAGCTTCACAGGTCACAGCTTTCGTTAACGGTCTTTTAGGCTTCACAGTTTCGATCCTTCAAGCTTCTTGCTTCTTCAAGCTTTTTCGCTCCTCCTTCAAGCTTCAACTGAGTGGAGGTCTTCTCTCTCTCTCTCTCTTTCCCCTCTCTTGTATCACAATAGGCTGTTCAACAGTCGCTGTTGGTTACTTGGTCCGAGGCCTCAACATGGCTCTACCAATTGATCCTCGGAGATGGCAGCTGGTTATATAAACCAACCACTTGAATCATGTCTTTTTCTACGGTTGATGCTTTGAGAAAGTTGGATTCTTGAGCACAGTATTTTTCATTTTTAACGCAGGTATTTTTTTTATACTTAATTAATTTATGGTAAATTATATCTATTAGGTACATGTTTTATATTTTTTTAGCTAAATTATTATATTTTATAATTTTTTATCTTTTTATTATTCGACCGGTCCAACCAGTTGGCCCCGTAGTTGAACCACTAAACCATTGATCCAGTCCTTCTGTCAGTTTGATTTCCGATCTGGTTTTGATAACTATATTAACAATAACTTCAAAAAAAAAATTAAAATTAAATTGGGCTGGTTGGTGGGTCCAGGAACACTGGCCAGCTCACATCTGAGAAACCTCTGTGGCCCACACCATGGATATGACGTATATGGACTTGGGTTGGGCGGCCCAAAATAGTGGCCAACTCGATCCATGGACAACCTTAAAACTTGTGCTGACCACGTAATTTACTATAGTCTTTGAATTAACTATAAATTTTATTAAATATTACAACTTGAAATTAATTCAATGGTTATAATGAAATTACATCATTATGTCAGATTTTTAGATCTCAATAACATTACTCTTAAAAAGATAATTCTTTATACATCAAATTTGTGGAGCAAAACTTGCATGTTTAATTAGTGATAATCCAACGACTATTAGTGATTTGTTACAAATTTTGGTGCACATTTTTTGTGCTCATAAAATAAGTAGGGTCCATTTATTTACATATTAATTTAATATTTAATGATAACATCACATAATAATAATAATAATAGCCATTCCTAGACCAAAGCAACATAGATATGGGAACAACCGAACAAGGCTTATTAGTCATCTTCAAGCGAGAAGCTTTGTCTCTTCGTCATTATCTTTATGCATGTTAGTGAAATAAACAAACCTGTCTTTGTTATTATCAGCAATATTTTTGACACTGCATGCCTGGCCTAGAAAAAGGTTGGATATGTTAGTCCACCACACTCTCGTCTTTGATCTTGACTAATCCCTTTCATAGTCTGGTCAAAAACAAGTCATCCGCATTAGGATTAAGGTTAAGGTATTCACGAAGAATAAACAAGTCATCAGCATCAGCTGTTGAAATATACCAATCAGATAACGCTACAGGAATGGCTCGTAGCTTCACCGGGGTTCAACAAAGGTTGCAGTACCAATGGATCAATCGAATATAATATTGGTGGTGGTGTTGTAGAATTTCCAGGTAGGGTTTATCCATCAAGACATGGAGACTTTGAAGTCTTGGCCGCTAGCTCTGGACATAGAGAGAGTTTCTCAGTTGATAGGCCTATGATTCTGAAGGTTGATAGAGGTGAAATGGAGGATACTTCATTTAGCAGAAGCCAAAGTGGGAAGATAAAGAAAAGGGTCAGATTCAAACTGCCTGAAGTTGCTGATATATTCATATTGGATTCATCAAACAACACACATTTCGAGAAATAACAAAAAACTTCTACTGTATCTTTTTTTGGGAGAGAAAGAGAGATCTGAGAGAGGGAGGGCCAATTAAAATTGATAAATTACACAAACCGATAAATCAATGTTGAGATTCCTAGTGAATTTGTATAATTCCTAACAAATTTTGATTAACTATGTGTAAAAAATTTATTCTCTAAGAGAAATTATTACTTATTCAAAAAGAGAGAGTACTGCAGAAACTATTTGGTATATAAATATTTTTTCCCTGGGCAATGACAAACTTGAAATTTAGTAATTTACCAAAAGGAGAAGAAAAACTGTCCTTTTGATTATATATTTAAAGAAGGAAAAAGATACGTAGTTATGACATTTCTCGGAAAATGTTGAATAGACTAAAAAGGCTAATTTAAAATTTTGACTTATTGAATCAATATTATTGGACATCGAATAGGTAATAGATCCTAATAAATACTAAGATACGCAAGTTAAATCAAAGACAAATATAACAACTATATCATCGTGTCCAATTTTTAAGTTATTGCTTGACATTTCCCTCGAAAAACTTCTTGACTTGACCTAAATATAGTAGGGGAATGAGGTTAACCAGTTCATCATGGTGATTATCCTTAATTAATCTGCTTCTGCTGAACCTAATGGCAACAATTCAGGGTTTAAAGCTTGAATATTACCTTGCAAAGTTGACAAAAAAGATTGTCTCAAATCATGTGTAGGAACAGAATATTGTTCCGGAGAGGACACAACATGGGCTTTAACAAAAGTTAGTGTGGCTAATATTAGTTAGCACTGATTCAAAATATTCGGAATCGATACTAATTTGTTACGATCAATCTCAATATTCACAATGTCGTTAAATCTTAATTAATTTGGAACTGTTAAAATTGATCTCAAAATTGTTCATTGAATCGTATTAGTTGGTAAACTTATTTTTTTCTAAAAAGATAAAGAAAACAAAAGAGAACATGTCAGAAATCAAATAGCATTTCACAAGAAACTGATGTACAAAAAGCAAAACCCATAAATTCTACTAGTAGATAGGTAGACCCATAAAGGAAGTGAAATCAAGAGAGTTTACTGACTTTTATTTACGCTGTTTTGATTAAGGGAACACGAAAAGCACAAAATCCATTGAGTATAAGAATAACTACAGTCAGTAACAACACACGAGAGAGAGAGAGAGAGAGAGAGAGAGAGAGTATTTCCTTCTCTTTTGCATGTGGATATGTTTTTGCTTCTTCTTTATGCAAGAGATAGAGATGCAACTATGTGAAAGAACTGTAGCTGCTCCAGAAGCTCTTTTGCATGGCCTGTGGCTCGGCACTCAACTCGCGAGAACAGCTCTTCACTCAGCCACTCTCCAATGTGGGCATCAACTAATACACCACTCACGCTCCGGCAACTATTGGCTAGAGCTCGACCCACCTCGGCAGCGTCGTCGGGACGGTTAACCACTAGAGGGCTACCTCCCCTGAAAACTTCAAGCTTGTTGATGGTAAATGAGCCATTGGCTTCAACTACCTCCTTGAACTCTTGTAGGCTCGGTGCATACACTGGGATGTTGAAGTTGTCCCGTTTCTCATTAGTTATCAGGCCCTGTATGGTGCACATGGTGCAATTAATATTTTGTGTAGTTTCTTTTTGTTTGGAAAAAAACACACATTCACTGCGATTCTACCACTAGGCCCATGATTTTACACACAATTGTAACACGTGATATCAAATTGAGACGGATCGAATTGACGTGTTTTAATTTAATTTTAGTGGATTATTAGACTGTAATAGTATAGCCTAGGCCATATTGTAAACGGCTCCCCATAGGCCACTGCCCCCCCTCTTTCTCTCCCCCTCCGCCATCCTTTTCTCTACATGCATGCCATATATACTCCTGTATTGATTTACTGCAGCTCATCACATCCATCCTGACAATGGAACTGTTTAGATCATCACCGTACAATATTCCTGATTAGAGATGATGAAAAAGAAGATACTTGTTTGCAAGGACGTTCTTGGTCCCACATTATCCTTATTTGACGGGGAAAGGTTACGGGATACGATTGAGAAAATTATAAGTTTTTAAAAATATAAATTATAATTTTAAAAGAAATTATCAATCATAACAAATTAAAATTAATACCAATATTTTCATGATTGATAATTAATTTTCTTTAAACAGTTATAATTTTTTTTAAAAAAATTATAATTTTACTCATAAAATAATAATTCATCGTAGGTATCAAATTTTTTTTTAATTTTTTGAATAAAGTAAAATTTGCCTATTTGATGAACTATTATCTGACAGATTAAAGTGGCCACTTTTCACGATTATGATTATGCTTCTAAGACTTCAATCAATATTGGTAGCCATTGACCACATGGTTGTTGCCGACAAACAGATGGGGCCAACGATTGAATCGGACGGCCACAATTGTTTGCTTAGAGGGCCAGGTTTACACCTTTTTGGTACGTCTGCCGAGGCAATAGTACAACATAAAGTATGGTCGGTCCACTGTTCACATTTTCAAACCCTAGTTGTAAATTAGAATGATTTAATATGATTACCTCTTGGACAAGATCATTCCATGCATCCTGAAAGTGGGTCCCAAAGAGAAGGCCGGCCCCTCCTTGGTCTGTGGGATCCACAGAAGTCCTCCCTAGGCATACCAGGAACATCGACCCACCTCTCTTCATCTCCTGTGATCTTGACCTAAGAAACCCAGCTAGATCAGTCTGAAACTGCTTGCTGTATGCATTTGCTGTGCTCTCATTTGCACCGTGGATGAATATTCTTCCTTTGTTATACGCAGTTGATCTCCTGTCCACCACCATTTCTGGTACCTGGTCCAACAGGGAGAAACATTCAGTCCTAGAGTGATGAACAGACGTCAAAGATAATACTATTTAGCTCTCTCTCTCACACACACACATACACGCCTGGTCCTGAACATGTAAGAAAAGTGGTTTTGATCAAACCATGGGCATAATTGAGTGCATTAACTTTTTGACCTAGCAAAAGAAAAACGAAAGATGTTTATACATTACATATATCATCCTGTGATTTATCTATAGTAGATGAGGGGAATATCATCCTCGGGAACTATCTATTTTATGTTAATTTATCATTATGTCTATTATTTTCCACCAAGTAAAATACATTTGACGAGAGAGAACATGCTAAAGTTCTACACTAATGCTATTGGGACATAATTTAGAAACATAAGTTGTAAGAATTAAGAATACCTGAGAGAGCCAGTGCAGTGAAAAAGCAGAGTAGAAAACATCAATCGATCTTGCCGGAAAGAGTCGCCGGTAAAAGGAGCCGGGAACTCCGGCAGCGAAGTAGGAACGATGGTTATCGGCGGCTAGGCACTCTTCCATGCTACCCCCATGATTGGCTAAAGGAGGGAGGAGCTGAAAGAGATTGTTGAAATCATTAGAAGGGAGGTCGGAGAAGAAAGCCGAGAATTCAGGTGCCTCATACCCTAAGGCCTCGTATCGCTTGATCATGTGTTTGATGATCACGTCGACGATGTAAATAGTGTTACTGCCACTTGAGCATCCCAAGTCGGCGACGACAAAGGGAACTTCCGACGAGTTTAACTGGACTCCATCTAGGGTTTCTTTGAGTAGGTGGAGCATCGATCGAGCATGTTGAGCCTGCACCCATGAACATGGACAGAGATTAGACGATAATCAAATTAGCATTTGAAAGTTGTCATACTTAAGGCAATTCAACGTCCGAGATTCTGGTTCCGTTATTGAGGGTTGAGGATTTAGAGAGAGTTAGATGAACAAAACCTTATAGTTATTCCTACGAACGAAAAAGGCAATTTCCAAGACTTAAGCTGTGATACCCAACCCAAGTGACAGTAGAACAATCTTACTGTGTGAAACTGCACACTGACACACCCCTTAAACATATCTATACTAATGGACTGCATACAATAACAAAACCATTGATTCAATGCTAGATACAAACTAATTGTATTTTTTTTTTGGGTAAGTAAGTGATTTTATAAAATCGAAGATAAATATATGTACACCATATGCATAACAGATATTTACAAAAAATACAAGCAAGAAACACAAACAAGCAACAACAAGATAAAAGACAAGAAGGATGGCAGATCACCTAATCCAATAAAAAAGAAGACCTGTTAACCTCTATCCTAAAAGGAACCAAAGAAAAGCCCAAGAATCAGACAAACCTGCATGTTTGATACATTGAAAACAATAATTTTCTGAAAATTTGTTATTAGTAAGATGGGTCTACAAATTTCTACAAAATATCTGTTGAATGGCTCCGACTGTATCAGAAACTTGGAAAAGGTAAGCAATTAAGGATTATATATTTCAAATATTCAGTCCTGAAACCTGTTTCATAATTCGATTACTTAATTAGATATAAAAGAAGGCCATATAGGCTTACTAAGAGATGTAGGAGAGCAAAAGGAAAAATTAAAATTAGGGTTAAGGAACCTGGGCTTGGGAGTTATTGGCATAGCTAGCCTCTCCTTGGCCTCCTTTCATGCTAAGCATCCTCTCAAGCTTCTTGTTGGACACAACAATGTTATCTCCAATATGAGCCATATTGCTGTGTTTTTAGAAATGAGAAATGGCTATGGCTGTGTGGGAGAAAAGTGGGTATGGGGAGAGCTGAATATATAGAAGAGGCGGGTTGTGTTTGTAATCTGGTTAGGGTACAAAAGTTGAGTTATTTCCTGAATTAAATAAGGTAAGTTATGTACTGAATTAAATTCTAGATAAACTAATTAAAGGGATGGGGGGATGATATGAACACATAAAAATCAACACTTATGGACATCACATGCAACAAAAAAGCAGGCCCAAGATTGACGCTGGATTTCCATATTCATCTCCACCCAGTCCGAGTGGTGGTGCCATGGATTCCGACATACTATTTTAATATAAAAATTAAAAAAAAAAAGACGAAGATCGGACGGAACGATTATTCAGCTTCATATACCATCAATGGTGTTGTTCGAATATATATCATGGGTGGGCACCATACATATAGCCAGAAGAAATAGAAAACAGAAAAGGGAATAACTGTTTTAGTTTCATGTGGTGATAAATTAAACAATGATATAACAAGTCTTAACATAATTTGCTACATGCATGTCATTATATCTACACCTTTAGAAGGGTTTATTTGTATTGGCAGCCATATAATCAGCAAAGGGTAGTTAGCTTTTGATGATAACTAAACAGCTTTAATCGTGCTTCAATTGAATCTAATCCGGTTTTGATCAATACAGTTAATTAACGGTTACTAAACAAAGAAAAGAATTTAGAACGTGCTAGCTTTTGAAAATCATTCAAAAAGAGCAATTTGTGGGTCCAAACTAGCAAAAATGAAAAACCACTTTAGGCCAACCTAGCCATGTAAATATGCAAATGGCATAAGAGGCCTTCTATTCAGGACCTCATATTTACAGTAATTCTATTTGTACTTATAAAAAAATTAGTATAATTTGTTAATCTAATAACGTGATACTGATATTATCCAATAATATTGTTATAACTGAACTTTTTTATTGGGATTTGATTACTTAAGACATTATTATCACAACAAATTAATTCAATTTTTTTTAGATCTAATAACATTACTCCTATATTTACACATAATTACAATTCCTTTATGTATTAATCTCTCTATCTATATGTATATACCAATACATATAGATGCTATGAGGTGTACGTTTATTGCAAGTTGTTGCCTAACTTGCTTTGTTGTTTTAGATGGAGGCAAGTGATTAAGTGCTAATCCCCTTCAAGAGTACGTATGACTGCAAGAACAATCTGATGCCCCAAAAATGACAATGATGTTTCTTTGAGTTTTGTATTTTATACCCAAATGCATACATTTTTTGACAGTTCATATAAGTGGCAACAGCTGTGACCGTATAATTAAAATTTAATTGTACTAGAGATCCCTAAAATATGAGGTTTGTCTTCTTTTAGTCTTCAATGTTCTATTACATTATTTTGGTTATTGAAGTATTGAATATGTTTTTATATGGTCCATCAAACAGACAACAAACCATTAATATGCCTTTCTATTTTTATGTGGATGTCATTGTTATGATAATATGATTTACAGAAGGTTAACGATTGGTCTAATAACGGTCCAAGCCTCACCGTCTCCCTCTGCATAAGTGTCTGACCTAAAAAAAGGGTAATATGGTCGGCAGAGTAATCAAGATTAAAGAGGTCAATTAAAAGGCAAATTATGATTGATTATTCTAATTAGCAACAAACCATCGTCCCAGAAATCAAGGTTCAGTTTGTACCTATAACACTTGATATACTACTAAGTAGACTAATAGAGTTTGTTGGGTTGGTGTTGGTAATCCTAGGCCTAGCAACACATCAAAGCCAAGACAATCCACGCGACGCGCTTTATTAGTGCATGTGTACGCACTAAGGGACCTCAATTTGTCCCGTGAAAATCATGGTTATTTTGACTTAATTTATTAATCGTAAAATCGTTAGATTGAAAGCAAATCCTAGTGATGGATGGGGTTCACCATTATGCAACAACGATAATGTATTAGATCAATAAATTAGTCAATAGATTAAGTCTAGATAGTGTTAGTCTTCTAGGAGTAGACACCTCCAAAGAGATGAAAATTATAAGTTTAAGACACGATGAAGTCTTAAATATTCACTAATCAATGGTTTAGGGTGTTGGGGTAGGGCTGTTAAATGAATTGATTCGCTTGCACTTAGCTCGATTTTGGCTTGTTCGAGTGTGTTCGGACAGGAAAATGAACTGCATATGATCAAATTTTGAGTTCATTTAATATTCAAGCCAAGCCTGAGGAATGTGTCACTTGGCCAAATAAGTTTGAGATCAATTCATTTATAATATTGTAAATATATTTTGTTTATTGTGAAGCAATCACAAAGTAATTAACTTCTTTCAAATTAATAGATAGATTGTTTTGCTCAAATAAGTGTGTTTTTGAATTTGTTTTAGCATGAATTCGAATTCCAACTCATAGTATAATTACGTATTGACCTTAACTGAATTTAAACATAATGATGTAGAAATCGAGATGAGCTTGAGATCGGATGACGGAACCGATTTTGTGCATTATATCTCTTCTATATTAAGTGAATTGACTCCTTTGCATCATCAAAAAGTTGTCAAATTTACATGGCAAGTTCTGTTTTTCTTTTTCTCCCCCATCAAAACGGGCTCTAGAAGAAGACTGTTCTAACTGTAACCTTTCTTTATGTTTTAGTCCAAAGACCCGGAAAATTGTTCTCTTCTTTCTCCAACAAAAACTTCCCTTTTTGCAATCTCTTTCTTCTTAAAGTCCTCAGTGGATGCCGTGATAGTCGCCGGTTCACGTGACACTAGGCCGGACCGTTTTCTACAGACTAGCCTTTATCTTTGACGTTCAACTACCCTAATAACAAAGGCTTTGCTTTTTTATTATATATATCTTTGAATACCCTAATGACAAAAAGGCTTTGCTTTTGTGTTCTACTGTGACAACACTGGTTAATTTGGCCCTTGTGTGAATCGATCCTAGCCCTTAATCCATGGACTGGTGTACTTGGATTGACTAAGTTGACCACACAGGTTGATCAGCTTTGTGTTGGTTTGTCCTGAAAAGGATGAAAAAGAGACATACACAATTGAGAAAAGAGAGGTGGTGGAGTGGTCAAAAAAGACATGGTAGTTATGTTTTTTTTGTCACGAAGTCTTGTCTAACATTACTAGTCATGGCAGGCCCCCCACATAGATTTCAGTTGGTTGATCATCAAAGGTTAGACGAAGGGAATTTCTGAGGTGGAGTCTCAAAAGAAAAAACACTAGTTTTGTGGTTAAAATTCTGTTGAGTAAGTGAGCGTTTGAACTTCAAAAAAAAAAATACAGTTTGTGCAAGGCCCAAAAAATAGTTTGGTATGATCGTGACACCAAATATTTACTACAATTAATGGTCGCTAAATCCAGCATTTGCTTAAGTTCGAGTTTGGGATATTAAAGGATAGATGGTGTCAATTTTAGTCCCGTTTAAAGAATATGGTTCATCCAAATCTAACTTGTAATTGAGTCTAACTTAATTAAGACCCCTTGATTTTCTCACGTCGATTTTTTGAGAGTCCTCTTATGCTCCTCTCCCGAGTGAGTTTCTGTTTATCATCCACTATCTGTGTATTATTTAGAAGAGTAACAATTGATTATTCATTGCAATAGTAATCTACAATTGAATATCGAGGGAGTCTAGCAAAAGCCCATCAACTTCCACCTCTTGTTTGACACCTTTTTCAAAGCATGGTCTATAAAGGTTAAACACCCCAACACTCTTCCTCTTAATTGCCTTGAAACATATTAAAGCTTTTGTTTTGGATATATCAGGCAGAACCAGACACGGGCTAAGTTGTGTAATCAAGAAACAAGGACTGAAGTAAAGAAGAAACCTTTACTAGGTTATAGCCCCTATCTTCATTTGCATATTTTTCTTCTCTCTTTTTCTAGTTTAGTGATCAGATCAGGGATGTTTAAGTCAATTTACGTGCATCTCGACTAATTCTCTCATCGATCCGGTCAAAAACAGATCATCCATGATGAAACTAGAATATTAATCAAACTCGAGATATCTAAGTTTATAATTCATCTCAATTACCACTTAAATTACCCAAAGGGATTGCATATTTTCTTCGTAGACATATTAATATAGTTATTATGTAACTCATGTAAGAATAAACTAAAGATTAGAGTCTTGCGTTAGGGTTGATTGATTGGGTGATTGATTCGAGGTCTCTGAATATAGCGGCGATCATCCCCAGCTCTGTATACAAGTATCATAAACAATGCAGTAGCAACTTCGATGCCATGTTAGAAATTTTTTTTTTGGGTACATTGGAAAGTATGCCATGTTATTTTAGCCACAGCTTATTTAATCGTATCACCAATGTCCAAATATAAACAAATTCGACTCCTTCACAATCAGATTATGAATGTATTGAACCCATAAGTGGGACATGTGAGATTTATTGAATATTAGGTAGGGCTCTTAAAATGTGTCGTATTGTTTCGTATCAAAATTTATCAGACTCATGTCTTACATGAACTATGTATCGATCCAATTATTAAAATGGTCTACTAAATTTATTAATTTACCTTCTTAACTCATTCTGAATATAGACTCGTTAAATCCATACCCATTTTGTATCGATTTACGAGACCCAATATCGGGTGCCAAGATCGAGATCTCTGGATCTAGAAGTGTAGTTTCTTCATAAGAGCATCCAAAACCCTGCATTAATGAACATTGATGATATTCCCATAGCCAAATGGTCTATTATGAAACCAGGTGGGTATTAACTCTCTCTCTCTCTCTCTCTCAGCTGAGCTGACAAAATATTCACACATCTGGATTGGTGCTATGATAATGAGAGGCAAACCTTGATGCTAGTGGATTCCATGAGAAGTAAAACGTCTCGTGGAAATGGACATCCATTTGCCATGAAGCTATGGCCTATCCAATAGGAACTAGAGTCCAAAGGTATTGGGAATGGTAGATATGCATGAAATTTAGCGTTCTGCATTATTGAAATGACATTATGCAATCAAATCGAGACATCAACGTGTATGATTAGACTACTTTCGAACTTTATTCAATTACTGGTATCTCCTTCCTGTAAAATTTCTCCAAGAGGAAGCCCTTAGAGAGAGAGAGAGAGGCAATCCTAACAATGATGTTATACAATTACATCAATGTATTTATATACCCTGAGCCTAGAAGATAATGCATTTCATTGGGGTAAATCCCCATCCAAATCCTGTGGTAGTAAAAAGTACTCGCCTTCATCGACTAAAAATTATAACTTCACGGTAAAAATGACATTTCATTGATAGTTTCGCATTTGATGAAATAAATGAAGACCATACAAATTTCAACCCGATTCACAGATCAGACAATTTTCCTCCCTTGTTACAAAATTCTGCATTATCTGACCAAACAAAAGCAGTTTTCGTATCTAATTAGTAATTCAAACCCCCAAGAGTACAGAGCGGAGGACATACCTATCATACATTGTTTTGCCATATCCAGAAAAGGGCTTGGGGCACCAATATGGGCATGAAAATGTTTGATTTGAATTACTGCCAAGAAAATTATGAAGACTAGGCCAAACGCTCTACATATGGTACAGGAAATTTCTGAATTCAATTACTGCGAAGAAAATGAAAGACTAACGCAAACCTACATATTGTACAAGAAATTCAATATTGTAAATCCCTTGATCAATTGTCTAAGAGGATGCTCTGCAACTGGCTACCTGTTTGAAAATGTATACACTGGGTTAAAATCCTTTTTGGACAAAAAAAAAAAAAAAGAGAGAAGGTATATATGAAAGCATGCTAAACATTTCCGGAATACCGTAGCACAGGAATATCCTAGTGTGCTGTGGCCTTAGGTTTCATGTTCTCACAATTCACAATAACCATTAGAATAATAAATAAATATGACCTTATCACGTGGGGCAATTCGCTTTAATAAGCTCCTCTATAACCTTATACAATAATCTTAACCTCCTCCCCCCCCACCCCAAAAAAAAAAAAAACAAAACCCAAAAAAAAAAAGGGGGAAAAGAGATTAGAAAGCAGGGCGTGTCATAGCCTATATTATCACTTCCTAGTTTCAGCTAACCATAAGCCCAAGTTCTAAGTAATTGAAGACTTCAGCCTAGGAAAGCACCCCGAAAAGAAAAACAAATAGGAATGGGATCAAGAAAGAAGGTGGAATTTATACCCTATTGTCAACATCACCATCACCAAAGCATCTAGAGGTACATGCATCTTAGTAATGTGTTTCTGGATGAATTATTCTAAATTGCCGCATATATATCCCTCTCATTAAAAAAAATGCAGAATAGAAACAGCAAGCATCTGAATAACCAAAATACGTTTTTCTAATTAAAAATATGCCCTTTATACCCACTAAACCTACAAGCACCTTACTAGAAGTGACCAGATATCTTCAATGCATAGAGTAGAACTTACGAACAGGGAAACTGGCACACATCGTGTACCTGATCAAAGGGAGGGCCATGGCATAGCTGCAACAAGAGCATGGTAAAGAATGTCTCCTACAAATGTCTGACCTTTAACTAACTGGAAACAGCTCGGAATAGCCGTTTTCGTTCATCATAAAACCATCTGCAAAAATTCATTCTGGTAAAATCAATGCAATGAAAAGAAAATTTGCTCTACCTGAATAGATTAAAATAATACCCAGTGTACCATGATAGAACTAACACCAAGTGCAGGAAGGCGTGTTTGTCTTTTGCAATTAGTTTAAAGGAGCACATTTTTGTCAAAGTCGTTAGTGAGCAACTACTATCAGCTGGTTTATCAGGCCGAGTGCAATGTCAGACTAGTAAGACCCCTCAATATTATGAAAATACCTCTCCACTGAAAATTTCTTGTGCAGGATTCACCCATCTATAAATTAGTTAGAAATATTTGTATGGTGAATTTGGGTGGGAACATTATGCACAATTGTACATAGAACCTTTGAAAATTTGATTAAACATTACATATAATGCCTCAATACAGTATTTTCTACAGCGGAAAGATGAGGAAAGTATAAATCATCAAGACCAGATTTTCTAATCAAACAAGGGATAATAGAAACAATTTCTTTGTAAGCCCCAACACAAGCAGAAATGTGAACCCTTTCACGCGAGCGTTATGACAGCTTAAAAAGGAGCAGAAGTTTGAGTGTACAGGGACTAGGGTCAGACATGAGTTCCCAAACGGCAACATATGTTGGGTTGATAGCATCATTCACAGGACCATTAAGAGAACAAGAAAATTCCAACCAATCTCAACAAGCAATGTCTCAATTGGTCCCACAATAATCAAGAAGCCCCCCATCATGGCAAAGAACTGGGGAAGCATTCTTCTCACACCCTCAACTTGCCTAAACCCACTTGTAAAGAACTATGCACTGTCTGAAATTCCATTTATCACACACAACGAAAGTCTTGCGATAGCTAAGGATTTCTAGTAACAGATCAGTGACGAAAACTTCTAAATTTTATATCCGAATGTGCACTTCAAAACGTTTCTTATGAATAAAAGGATGAGTTAGATAATCAAGAGGAGCAGGAACAATGATAGCCCAAGATAGCATGTGCACGAAATAATACCCGAGATGGACTCTGTTCTAGGCGCTTCAGCTGTATGCCTAGTTCATTAAATAACAAAACTCAGACCATTTCAATGCTCATAATTCCCACTCTAAGCATGCCATTTACAATCCCTCCCACAGTGGGAGGTAAAAAGGAAAGAAGTAGAACCTTCTACTTGTAGATTTTTGTCCTTCAAAAGAAGCTACTCTGTTCAACGTGAGATATGATAAATAAAACCAATTTTCATGGTATGATAAAAAAAAACACCAAATTTCCTTTCCGCTGACCAACCTACCAAAAGGCAAAAGTCCATATCCTTTCCTCTCTCGCCTACCTGTCCCTCCAGCCTTATCGTTTCTCTCAATCTCACATCTTTCCTATTACACTCGCACAAAACCTTGGCCATGCACGCTAACATGTAGGCATTTGATAAACAAACAAGGTGACCAGCATGAAAATTCTATAATGGAACACATCATTCGTGACTTCAAGATTTATAAGTCTTTTCTTAATGACATTGTTGTAATTTTTCTTTTTTGTTTCTTGGTTTCAAGTAAGATGGAGTGTTTGAGGAGTGATTTACAGGGCATCTAATTTCATGCTGAGTAGGTTTTGTAATAAGAGATGGGACTGTGTTTGTAGATTCGTAAAGCCTACAAAATAGGTTTTTTATGTTAAACAGAATCAGGCTCCTGATGAAGAATATTTGTATTTTGAAGAGAGTCTCCCCCCTTCCCCCCTTCACTCCATAAAGCATGAGATAAAGTTGAACTTCCAAAAGAGTGCTCCAAAAAAGCAATTGTAGATAACTGAAAAAAAAATTAGGAGCCAGAGTAAGGAACAAGACCCACTTGCACAGGAAAAGTGGTTGTAAACCATCATTTGCCTCCATCCCTAAAAGAGTTCTCCTTTCACTTTCCTTAATAAATTGGCGTGGGGGAAGAACTTCACATGGTCCCTGAATCAAGCCAGCCATTACTGTGCTTTCATGATTAGACTCGTACACCTACAAAAAGCAACGGTCATAGGAAGTCTGAATGTATAACATGAACCTCTTGCTTTAATGCCCATCTAGTTCAAGCATAGGACCTTTCTCCGGTGCAATAAACTTATCCAGAAGATACTCTATAGGCTTAAGATAATAGAATATATTTCAACACATTTAACTAATCATTTTCTTTAAGATTCTTAAGAAGATCTACTCACAGCTAGTCATACAAACTCCATGCTTGGTCTGAATTATGCTTTTGTGAAGGGATTGAGGAGAACGGTTCGACAGTTGTGCACATAGACAAGAAAAGTGATAGTTTATACTCAAAGGTGTGAACATTCACCTCGTTGCTTTCTGGCACAGGAGGGCAGCCAACCTCCTCTGGTAAGTCGTCAGGAAAGTAACAACGATTAACCATAACCCATTTTGATCTGGTTTTGCTATCTTCCCACATGGCCTGCAGTAAAAAGGCAAGACTTTTCCGTGTTAAAAAAACTGCATTATAGAATTCACAATGAAAACTTCTCCTACAGCTCAAGGGCAGAAATTACAAATAATTCCTATGAGCAGATGCAATAATAAGTCTACAATTACGCATTGCTGCTCTACTGTAGAACATAGCACAGGGACGGGTAGGGCAAGTTGAACAAGCATGAACTAGCCAACTCACTCCAACTAGTCATTTGTTTAGCAAGAAAACATCACAAACCCATTGGCTTGGCAGGTCTTTGTGGTTCACAAGGGTTCAAGACATAACTCTTATAACGCAGAACCAACCGCAGACGTAATCTGGAAGGTATCAGGGGTATACCTTATACCGGTACCTGAACCATGAAATGTTCAATAAATGCTCACCTGAAGTTTAGATGGCATCACTTTGCCGTTGATAGAACGACAAAGAGCATAATCCTGAACTTTATATTCAACTCCATTGACATGGAAAGACTGGTGATATGTTTTCTCATCCACAACTTGAAGTATATTGCCTATCCAATCAACACTATGCAAGCCATCTAATGAAGACCTATCACAGTCTGTAGTCCCAGTACTGGTCCCAGAAGTTTCAACAGGATTAGCTTGTGCAACTCCTCGCTCATGTTGCTTAATTTCATGATTTGAATTGCAGTTCAAATTTTCTCCACCACAAGATTTCTCCGAATCCTTCATCATATGTTTGTCATTAGAACATTGCTTAAATGGAATTTCAGCACTCTTTGCTAGGTTTGTTTGGTCATTATCTTGAGCTTTGCTAGGGGCTTGTGATTTGTAAGTGACTGTCTTAGATTTTGCTGGGGGGCGTGTGCTTGATTCAGGAACCAATTCCTCTACACATGTTCTTTGGACTGATAAGCCAGTAGGAGAAATACAAGCAGCCCCTGAGGATTTCGTCAAGTTGCTTGGAAAAGTTTCAGGAGATGGATTGTCATCCATTTGAACTCTGTTTGATAAAGTATCATTCCCTAGCATTTCGCCAACATTTACCATCTTTGAACCAGATGCTGGATTGCTAATAATATTCGTAACAGTTAGAGGACTTTGTAAATAAGGATTTCCATTTGCAGTTATCTTCTGCTGACTGGCCTTCTCATCCAAAGTCCCCACTTTCTTCTCTGCAGATGACTCAATCAGAGCTGTGTTCGAAGAAAGTTTAGGGGCATTTATGTTCCTCGTGACACGACCATACTTAGGGGGTAAAGGTTTCCCCTGGCTTACCGTCAAACACATTCCACAATGCCACTCACCTCTAGGAACTACCTTCTGATTAGAAAGCTGAAGACATTTTAAGTGAAATCCTTTCTCACATGCGTCACAAACAAGTACACTGTCCACATCATTAAAAGTTTGCTTGCAGATTTGGCAAGTCAAAGCCTTATTCATGTAATCCCTGGAAGGAGGGGTCCAGGTGGGATGCTGTGGAAGATGTGGGTGCAATAATTTCTGAACAATTTTACTAATTTCATTGTGCCTATTGCCTAAAGAGGGAGCTTGAACAAAGTTCATGCCCTGTAAATGCTGATGCATGCTCGGGGACTTTGCAGATGTGGTTTGAGTTGAAAATGGTTTGGATGTTGCTTGAGGGGCCATCCGTGACGTATTCATATCAGCAGCTCCCTCAACCTGAATAGAGGTATGAGCCAACTCCTTATTATCTGATACAACTTTAGAAGATGAAGCAGATTGGGGTTGCACGGACCACGTCGGAGTTTTCACCATTTTGTGATCACTAGAAGAATTTCCTGCAAATAGATGGTATTTATGTTCCCACTAAAAGATCAATACAAAGAATAGAAAGTTGGCAATGGAATGCACAAATGTGCATAAGATGGTAGCGACATGCTAAAACTTCCTGACAGAAAAGATAAAACGGCACTTGTTCAGACAAATTAAAGTAGAATGTTGAGAAGAAAAACAATACCCATACTAGGTATACTCAACTACGTGCAATTAATATTTAGAAGAGACCACGTAATAATGCGGTGACAATGATGATTATGACAACAATAGCACCATCCAAGAAAGTTTGGCATTAGCAAAAGAACCCTCTGTTGAGAATGGCCTTTCCACAAGAAGCATACTGAGTGCATGTGAATTTTGCCTTCTACAATTTCCTAGTTAATTCTTGGCTTCTGACCGGGATCTTCATATGATGTCCGCAAAACAAATCTTCCACCATTATGCATAGTTGAGAGGGGCAAACAAGGATTACCTGGAGCTTGTAAAATATTGGAAGAACCATTTGATCTTCCATCCAACCTGAAACGCGTTTGTTCAACTCTAGGCAATGCAAATGAAGAATCCCTAACCACATGACTGCTGGGCAATCCACTAGAAACCATTGGTCTTACTTCACTACTGGGCAATTGATATGGCAACCCTGTAGAATTTGCTGCAGAAACGTGACCTAAATTTTTGCCTTGAACACCTGCAGAAGAAATTTGCGCATGATTTGATTTATCTGCTGGAAACATTCGAACAGCATGGGATGTCCCACAGCTTTCAGTGGCTGCACCAGAGTTCATTTGCAACCGTTGAGATAAATGTGGACCAGAATGCAGAGAAAAATTCTCAGATTTTTCCATCTGAAACACGAGGAAAAAGAGAAATAAACATCCAAGCAACGTAAACCGCAATCTAGAGGGCAGCATATTGATCAGTTATAGAATGGCATGCAGAACAAACATCATTCCAATAGTCTACTCTGATCAGAAAAGTAGCACACCACATTCAAAATCATCAATAAACAGTGGTGTATTAGTATATAAACAACAGATCATCCAGTCAAAAGCTTCAATATAAGCTATGTAATAAGTTTGTATCATTTACAAAATTCAGATTCTGCCTATATACCGCTTCCTTTAGTGTCAAGACACCAAGGCTAAAGAAACAAATTCTAGACCAAATACTATCAAAAGGGAAAAATTGAATTCCCAAAGGCTACTTCTTTAATGATCCATCATATTTTGAACTAGTCTTTGGGAACATTAATTGCCAGTCTGCAAATTTCAAATGTAAAAGAGAACCCTGAGATATATCAAATATATCCAAAGAACATTGGTTGTTTATCCAATCTCCCATAACAATGAACAAAAATCAGATTTCACATATCAAAGAATCAAGTGGTTACATTTTGTAAGCCTTTACGTACTATAATGTCTTTCTTCATGAGCCTCCTCTCTCAAATCTTAATTTTTCCCATATTCTCACATTATGCATAATATTTACCATTTCCATAAAATGTCTTAACTAGTTAGTCCCACCAACAATTGTTAATGCTATTTTCCCACATCATGTAGATTTACCATTTCCATCTATGTTGTTTCTTATAGTGAAACCAAATATGAAATCGAAATTGTCTGTCTTTGTTTCTAGAAATTTTACCCGTGAATGAGGAAAATATTAACTTTAAATATCAAGGCTTCCTCTTTAATCTCTGAGTAAGTGATTCTGTTGTTCATATGATGGGGATTTCTACACGATTACATGGATCCAATGAAGCAACATTATGGCCTAATTAACATAGAGACAACATTCTATGGACGACTATTATAGCTTTTGCAGTAAAATCACCTTCCATACTCCTCCAACCCAGGTTACAAGAACATGAACACACAAATTACTGGATTGTATGCTTCTAACAGGCACTGAAGAATTCTTCTACAATCATTCATTTCAGCCCATTATTCTATATGACATGTCTAGAGCTCTCACAAACTTTACCTACAGCAGACAAATTCCTCATGAAAACTCGAGCAACATTATAAATCTTGCCACAAGTGCTTACGTTCTTCAAATTGAATCATCCTCAATCCAATGCAAGTGACTTAAACAAAAAGCCAACATGCACGTATTCTTGTAGACTACAAATATGACCTTACTAAAGATAAATTGAACGATTAAATCAGACCTAACCTTTTGCTTGGTGAGCAACAACTTCTCAGCAATCGAGAGCTTAGGAGGCCGAAACCCTAACCTTTGTTCCCTCAACTTATTGAGCCCCAGATCGTCAATAACCGTTCCAAATGCATCCCTCGGAAACAGATCCTTCGGTGCAAACCCTTCACACACCCCGACCAACTTTGTCCTCGCCTCCGCTATCATCTCCTTCTCCGCCATCGTCGGACTCCTCCCTCCCCTCATCTTCCCCATCGCCGCCAACACCAGCACAATCTCCGCCATTTTCTTAATATTCCCTACCACTCCACCACCAATTCTCGCCTTCTTCGCCACAGGTCCCCCCAATTCAACACCCTCCCCATTCTCCACCGGTCTCTTTTCACCTAAACCCTCCGATCTCACCTCCAACAAATCCCTAGATTCAACCTCCGCAGTAGATTCCATTATCTTCGTATCGCTCACCTGATAAAATCCATAAACATCGTCGTTCAGGCGTTTTCTGACGAAATTGAGCCAAAATCACCGGTGTTTCCGTGCGAAACCTGCAAAGGACAGAGAGAAGAGTAGTCATGGCAACAAGAGAGAAGGAGAGGAAACCCTAGAGCGAGCGAAAGAGAAGTGAATAGAGATAGAGAAGAAGGAGAGACGTTTAGAAATTTGAAAGTATGAAATTTTAATCCGTTAAATATATACCTTTTGGCGGGTAATTGAGAAGGAGAGAGAAGATTTGTGGTGTGTATGGGGTAATGTTAGTGGCGAGGTCCTTCGTGTGTGTGCGGGAGAGCCATACCATAAAACTCTAGCAGAGGGATAGTGAGAGAAAATTGGGGATTTATTTTCCACTAGCACGGTAATATAAGCACGAGCCTTGCACACTCTCCGGTTCGCCCCGTTCGTCTTATGCTTTTTATCATCCGAATTTGCCCTTTGTCATGATTCTTAATGACAATAGTGCTATTAATTTATCCCATACTATTATTAATTATTAATATTTATCTAATTACGGCTAAAAAGTTAAATCTTCATTTTATAAAAATACAGTAATGATTTAGATTGACCTAATAATTTAAAATTCATATATTATTAAATATAAATTTAATATTATAGTTAAAAAAGTTAAATCTTCAACGTGTAAAAACACAACAACGGTTAAAATTTATCTAACTTTCGTATATTTTGATCCAATGGCTTAAAATTCATCCCAAAATCTTATTTTCTTCTTAGATACACATACCTTCCCTTTTGTAATGATCATAGGTTAAAATTCCAAATTTCATTGATCACAAAACATAATATTGCCAAAGGTTGTCGCACAAAATATTTGATTACATGGATCAAGGGACAAGCAGAGGCGATAAATCACCTCCAAGAACCGAAAAATCATTTTATTATAACATTATTAGTTATGAAGCACGGATACTTCGTCAAGGTCGACATACCTATATTGGATACGATACTCGTCGGATACTCAATGATACGCATCATCCGTATCCGATAATGAATAAAATATGTGACTACTTCACAGATACTTATAAACATGAAGCAAGATATACAATTTTCAATTTTAAGCTATATCTATTCTTTAGAGTTCCCATACAATATAAAATATCAACAAAATTTTATTTGATTTTGAAAACACCAGTGTTTTTTAAATATTATTTATTATTACATGTTAAGGAAATATAAAAACAATGAGTCATTTACACTATGCCTTTAAAAATAAATACTTGTAAAACTAACTAGTTAAATATGGTTATGATTTCTTCAATTAGTCATGCTCATTTTATGAACACATCATAATAAAACGATATTACATCATTTTTATGGTAAAAATTTCTAATTTTACTTACTAATATTAAAGAATTATTAACAAATTATAATTTCTAAGTCGTTAAATAATAATAAAATATATAATTTATTTTATTATAAGTGTATCCTCGACGTATTCGTATCCTATTTTTTTCAAGTTTTGTCGTATCGTCATATCCGTATCTGTACTTCCTAGATTATTAGCTATGGATACTTTCAAATCATATAAGCTCTCCCTCCTAAAACTCACTCAAAAACAAACTTCGCCGAGAATTACCTAAATCACGAGTCCCTTAAATACGAAAAAATATTCATTGCAACAATAATACAACGTTAGTATTACCAATTAATAATATACAAACAAATAAAAAATAAAAACACACAAATCAATAACTATTCATGTATATAAGCAAATAACTACTCACTCTTCTTTCATGCAAGTCAATAACTATCACAGTGGAATTCACTTTACCCATTTAGAGTTTTATTATTAATTGACGATACTATGTCATCAATACTAACATGGTATCACTCGGGTGGAAGACCCACATATACATAGAACGGATCCCACTTAAATTCATTGTGTGCGCGAGAGAAATTGAAGGAATAAGTACAAAAGGGATTCAAATCCATGTTCAAGTTCACGGAACCCAGATTCATATGAAATGCCAGCGTTTGCGGTAGACGATATCATGAACAGAAGGCACTGAATAACAAAGTCATCATGATCATGAAGCATCCTCATTGCCAAACTAAATTCTGTATTTCAAAGATAACACTAATGACACGTTCACATGTTTTCAATTCAACTTTTGTTGCCACTACTGCCAAAGATGGCAGTGAAGCTTCGTTCCTGTGAATTGTTGTCTATTAGACTATTTCAATGTTCACTGCCACATAATGTTATACACACAATTACTTCATGAAATATCAAAACCTGAAAATTTAATCGAAAGGGAAATAGCAACGCAGCAAACAAAAACCGATCAAGAACCCAATAGTACCATTTTGGATGGCAACCAAGGAGCCGCCTGTGCAGAGCAAGTCCACCAATTGATTCCCGTGGTATCACCTGAGATCATCTTCATTATGAAGCTAAAGAATCATCTTGACAATCAATCCAAGCATATTGGACGGTTAAAGCTGAAGGTTCATGATCCAAGCTTCACAAAAAGTAATCGGGTGGTGGTTTTTTGGCAGGAGCCCCTCTTGATTCCTGCATTTCAACATAATCCTTTAAAGAACCAGATACAACAATCAATAAGGAAGCTTTATATGTTAATGTAGAAATGCAGCAAAAAACATTATGGTTCTCTTATTGGCTAATTGCTATAAGAGTTGAAGGTACTAATCCAAAAATTATTTGTTACATAAATTGGCATCGTGATGGTTTCAACTTTTGAACAATATATCTGGCGTATATAAATGTTGAGTCCTACCATCACAAGACAGGAGCATACATCACAGTGATCAGACAAGTACTTGCTAAACGAACTGTTCCAGGGCTAACTCCTAGTCATAGACCCCATATTTTTCAACAATAACTCATGCAATTTTTCCTTTCATTCAATGAATGTCCGGAACCCCCAAGTGTCATCATCTTGAAATCGAAGCCAACCAACACACAAAAATTCATGTTGCAAGGAATATTGCTTCAGATAACCAAAACCAAATCTCCAACCAAGTGCAAGCAAGTTAGATGCACAGACCTGTGGAGCTGCTTCAAATACACGAAACTGCTTATTAAGATTCTCATCCATCTCAAGAATTGCAGCTACATTCCCACATCTGCAACACATTGGAGGACTAAAAAATTAGACTGCCAAAAACATGGCAGAGGAGAGAAATAAAAATCACTAGATTTACCTGTAACAATAATTTGGAGCTGACCAGACAGTAACTATTTGATTGTTGAACATCCATTTATAACCTTCCATCACCAACTGATGGGCCCGACATATATAGTCGATGTTATTTGAGTGGTTAAAAGAAGTGACAACACTTCCACCAAATAGGAAACCAGCACCACGGGGACTCAACCCCCAACCATCAACAATATCTTCAGGATCTGACCATAAGAGGTCACACATGCCACCATCATGGGGTACTTCTTGTTTTCTATCAATTGTTCGAATCTGGAAAGTAGCCAACATTAATTTCCTAAATAAGGCTTCAAAAAATAAATTAAATAATACAAGAAGAATTCTCAGACCTGGTCTAACGTGGAAATAGCAGGAGAGAGACCACCATGAACAGAGAATATCTTGTTTTCAATGAGAGCCGACAAACTGGATTAAGTCACATTGAAGCAGAAAGTTCAGTTAAAAGTGAAGCTTACATGGTTTGAAACACACCACAACATGCACAAAATGAAAATCAGGGCACCTGTTGAGTAAGCTGATCTAAATGTGCATTAAAGACATAGTGGTTGAGCAAAAAGAAGAAAGAGGAGAATACATGTCTGAGGCAAATGCAGTATCATACACCTGGCTTGTCAACCTAAAAACTCAGAATTACACAACCATGAACGAATTAATTGTTATCACCAGGTAACATACGTTCCAAGGAATATGCAAGTAATGGGTGTCCTTGTAAAGTTTATAGTCATTAATTTCACCAGCATGAATCATACTGTTAATATCACTCTCACTAACTATTTCTCAGCCAGAAACACATGTATCAATTGAGATTGAGATCTAATTATTCAACAGATTATTATGGACAACAGTCTTCAACTCCTGACTTTTAAAGGGATGAGGCAAGATTAGGTAACCTGGGCAATAATCCTTTCATGACAGGTGCCCTGTGTTATTTATCTCTACAGAAAATTTACAAACCTTAAGTAATCAAATATATCGGTGCAATATCTCCAAACATTCACAGAACCATACTTCCGTAGGCACTCATCATAGAATCCATATACCTGAAAAGGGAGGATAGCCAATAAATATATGCCAGGCAGATAAGTAAAATTCAGCTAGGAAATCAATAAATAAGACTTAACCTGTGTAATTTGGCGGCTCTCATGGTTCCCTCTAATAAGAGTTATACGATCTGGATATCTCACCTGATTGCACACAATCCATTAGTTAAAATAGCCACACACAAAAAAAAAAAAGGAAAAGAAACAGTAAACAACAAACGTCTAACCAAGAAAAACATTTTTGAATGAGCATAAGCTCTAATGTTTGAAATGTTAGGTATGGACAAGTCAGACCATACCAATCACATAAATTTAAGTGATGGAGAGCAGTCCCTTTTTCTGGAGTATAACTCAACTGTCCCCCACATGCATGACAGGTTTGGGACTCTTATATTTCAAGAGGATACATGGTCAATTAATTTTAATCATTGATCCATCAATGTGTACTCTTCTAAGAAATTCAGATGTACGAGAAAGTTTCTTACTGAAGACAAACATGGCTAAGGTCAAAAATAACACAAGCATGGCTTAATTTAGGATTGTTTTAAATTCAGAACTTGTTTTAGGACTTTGATGACCACCTGTTCACTCCCTCGTTGTTTTAGTGGCGGGAGATCCTCTAAACACATAGCATAATGAATGACAAATGCATCACCACTTTGTACAAAATGGTACAATTCCGGCCATATCAAAAGAGGGGAAGTCAAGAAAAACAGAAACTACCAAACAATTAATTGACCTCTTATTAGGTAAGTCCTCTCTCACTAAAAAAGCTTTTATTCTCTCCCAGAAGAGAGAGGGGTGCATGAATGTTACCTTCAAAGCAAGTAGAAGCAGAAATGTCTCAACTGAGTAAAATCCTCTGTCAACAAAATCTCCAAGAAACAAATAATTCGTTTTTGGACAATCACCTCCTACTCTGAAAAGCTCTTTCATGTCATAAAATTGCCCATGGATGTCACCGCATATCTACACAAGAAAATGAACTTGGTAAAAACCAACTAGCCAGAATTGAGACTAGCAAATTTATCATAAATGTATGACATTCATCAAGTCAAAAATGCTTATAAGTGACACCAACACTTACAAGTTACTCATCGCTTTCTCAATTAACATCTATCAGGCAAATCACTAATTGAGGCCTTTTTTTGCTTGTGTCAAAGATTGTGTGTGTTTGTGTGTTAGAGAGACGAAAAAAGGGAGAGGTGGAGGAAAAGTAAGAAGCTGAGCAATAGTAGAAAGAGAATTTGTTGACCAAGATAATAGCAAGTCCTAGGATCTCCACCATCGCTTTTAGAGCCATGTCCAATTTAATTGCCAATTGGATTAAAATTTTTCCATTCAATGTATCAAATTTAAATAACTTCCAACGTTTCATGATCAATTGAAACAGATAATGGACGAATGTTAGTATTATAAATATCATGCAGACATGTAGTTTCCAAATTGTTGTGGGAATGAAAGTTTTCTTGAGATGAGTGGGGCCTTCCCTTACATCTGCTTGCGCAGAAATCTTGATAGTTGATCACACAATAAAAACCTGTCTGTTTAAAGTCAATGCAGGATCTGCACAAACTTTCAGCAAGTACAGCATAATCCTGAACGTTTTATGAAGCTGATTTATATAGCGATACTAATGTAGCCCAGAGTTGAGAATCCAATGCTACAAGTCTAGGTGGGAAGGATAAACACTGGAATCAAGGCTGCAAAACCTGAATTTTCACAGCATATTTCTGCAATTTCTAGCAAGAAAGAACTCGGATTCCATGATGTATGGACTCGCTCAAGCTATCCTTAAAGGAAACGGAAGAAGGAAATGGGTTGGGGGACTGGGAAGGACTCAAATCTGAAAATCCACTCCATAAATCTTTGTTCTACTTCAAAAGAACCCAACACAACAATCATATGTACATGTGTGTGCCGGTGGGTGGGTGAAATCATAAAGCTTGAAAACCAAAAAGGCATTAAAGGCTAAGCAAACTTGGTGGAAAATGGTTATTTATCAGCCTTTTCTCAATAAGTATATTGTATTGCCATAAAATTAGTTGCTTTTTGCTGATTCTTATCCCATTGCCTCCAAATTCCATACCCTTGCCCAGACTTAGTTCTACTATTAAACTAAAAGATCGGACCATCGAACAAAAGTAAATGCGGTTCTGTATTCCCAGATAGGCAATCTCTAAACCTCGTAATAGAGTAGAATAGTCTAAGTTTTTTTCTCATAGCACTTCCCTTCAATTTGATCTTACATGTCCACAAACCAAAAGGGATGTTTTGAACACTTAGGCGAAAGTTATATAGCCCGAAAATTGGTACCTAAAACTAGATCGACTTCACAACCCAGCAACAGAGATAAATCAAACCCTTGAACGTCAAATCACCCAGAACCAAACTAAACATAGATATATGTGCTCAGATCAATATCAAACATGCACTAAAAATAGAGGGGAATATGACGACTCACTGTGACTGGTGCGTCAACCCTTTGAACGTTGCTCTCTTCAACGAGAATTTCCATGGCCTTGAGACAAAGAGCCTTGACTTCGGACTCCTTCAAAGGCTCGCATCTCTTTAGCTGCTCTATCTGCCTGTCTAGGTCTGACATCTCTCTCTCTCCAAAAAAACTACACGAATCCAAAAATAAATGGACGAAAACAAGCCGATTTGAACTCTCTACACTCTGAATCTAAGAAATACCCTCTTTTTCTTCTTCTTCGCCACTCAAATTATACTGCTTCTCTTCTGCTGTGGTTCACTTCTTTCTGTGGGCTTTCCTCTGGCGCTCTAGTTGCCTTTGGGTTTTTCGCGATTTGCGCCTCAATTTTGGGTTATTTTCGTTCTCCCCCATAAGTTTTGTTTTATCTGTTTTTTCCCTACATAGCACCTTTTTTTTTTTTTTTTTCAACCTAGATCACATAAATCGAGAACAAAGACAAGAGCGAGAACGAGAGCCTGAGCACAAAAATGACAAAATTGAAAAATATTTAAGGGTGGGAGTGCCTTTAGAGCATTGTATTATATGCATCAAGATAACTATTTACCTATAAAAAGACAATAATCAAAAATATAAAAAATAAATTCTATACGCAACAGTGTGAAAAAATTAGTTAATTTTTAAATATTTTTTGATTATAAAATCCTGAAATAGCAATGATAGGTTATAAATATATTTATAGTTTGATATATATCTTTATGTTTGAGTCTTTACTTTTCAAATAAAAATTTAAATAATAATAAGTAACCATATAAGAAAGTAAGAGCACGAATTTGCAAATTAAGAGCCCATTTGGTAATGGGGTATTTTTTTTCATCTTTAGGAGAAAAAAATTGCATTTGGTAAATATATTTTTTTTTTATTTTATTTTGAAAACAATGACAAAAATATGAAAACATCAAAAATAAAAACACTTGAGAGGCACTGAAAGACCTTTAACAAGGTCCAACATTCGAGTCTGATTAATAACAAACAAATGAGTTTTATTACTTAAATATAAAAGTCTTTTACCTTTTTCATATCTGTGCCTCTTTCTCCTCGCCCCCACCCCCCACCCTCCTCTCTCTCGTTAGTGCATTATTTAGCAAGAGGAGGGTTTTTGGTGGTGGGGATTTTCAGATGGTTGTTAACAATGGTTTTTGGTGGGGGTTGGTGTTGGGGATGAGTTTCAGGGGGTTTGGAGCCGGTGGGTCTTCAAAGGTGTTGGGTGGTGGGTTTAGGTGGTGTTAAGTGGTGGTTTGCAAGGGGCTTGAGGTGAGTTTTCAGGGGCTTGGTGGTGAGGTTAGGTAGTGGATTGCAAGGGAATTGAGGGTGGGTTTTTAGGGGTAGTGGGTGGTGGGTTTCACGGGGTTTGAGGGTGGGTTTTTGAGGATGGTGGATTATAGGGGGCTTGGGGGTGGTTTTTCGTGGTGTTGAGTGGTTATTGGTGGTAGGTTTAAGTGGTGTTGGGGTGCTGGGTTTTAGGTAAAATATCAAACATATTTTTTATTTTTGTTTTTTATAATTTTTTAAATATAAATTACTATCAAATATGTTTTATATTTTTTAATTTTTATCACATAAAAACAAAAATTAATTTTAAAAAAATAAAAATATTACTCAACGCACTCTTAAATTTGTAAATTTTATAAAATAAGGGAATTTACACACAAAGTGACTAAAGGTCGATTGTTTTGAACAATTATGTGACTAGGTGGTCAACTAGTTTCAAGGCCCAAAAAATAAAAACAAACTAACTTGCAATATAATTTAAAAATATTGGACTGTCCTATGATATGAAATCAGAAGTATTGACTCATTTAAATATGAGATTGTAAGCTACCAATCAAAGAAATCGAATGCTTGTTGGCCTATCAATCGCTTACCCATTGCTTTTTTAACTTGCCAAACAAATTGTACACTAATTATCTTCTTTCTCTCTTTCTCTCCTTTTTTTTTTTTTTTTTTTTCTCTCTATATAGCATAAGTTATGGTAGTTGTATCCTCAATAAACATTAGGTTACAATTACCTAAGAAATAGATAGCACAACTAATAAATAAGTTGTAGGAAATAAATTATACCTTGTTATCATTTTCTTTCTCTTGGGATTTTTATATTTTATCACAAATATTACACGTTGAGTTAATATAAACTCAATCTAAATTTAGTATTTAGATCCGAGATTGTTTTGTAATAATGTCAATTTATCATGAATTTTTTTTTTAATATTGTAGTCAAGAGTGTCCAAAGCAGTGTACATTTCAACTAATCTTTTATTCGATTTAATCAAAGACAAATAATTTATATTAAAATTAGAGAATTTATAAAAAAATATCAAATTTAAAATTTAAAACATTTGAACTTATAACTCGTTTCTATTTTTATTGAATTACCCTTGAATTTTCATCTGTCCCTAGGACCAAAAAAAAACTCAGTCATTGTTTAAAGAAAAAGAAAATAGTTAAAACATAAGTTGGGTCAAAAGAATTAAATATACATTAGGATAAAGCACCAACTAAAAAAAATAAACACCAAAAGACACCTCATTGAAATCGGAAAGGGAAAGAAAGAATAAACAAAGATTAAAACACCGTCGACGTACACCGCCCGTTCAATCATACGGCTTATTCATTAAGCAAACGACGAAAGGCCGGACACCCTACGGTGGTCATTGGTGGCGCCCTGTGTCGCCTCCACCTTAAAAAGCAAAACAGTTCGATCATAGATTGCCAATTCCAATCTCAATTCAGATCACCGATTCAAAATCACAGAGGTAAAAGGTTCGTCCTTTAACATCTTCTACACAATCTCTTTTTAATTTCAGATTTTTAGGGTTCTATCCATAGGCTTCGGCAATCACTCGTTGTGTATTCACACATACGACCATAATTCGGATTGTCCTTCGATGGAGTCGTCCCCTAGTTTAATTACCGCAATGTATTTTGTGATCCTGTAATTCGATTATGTTTATGGTGATTTTAACCTGATTTCTGACCTCCAGATCGTAAATTGTTTGTGTTTTTATACTTAAGTGATCCCTATAATTTAGCTGTTTTTGTGGTTATTTAAATTGGATTGTTGACCTTTCGAATGTAATAATTAATGTGGTTTTTTCTGTTCAAGCCATCCATATAATTCAGCTGTGCTTCGGGGGATTTTACCTTGATCGTTGACCTTCTGAATGTAATTACTGTGCGAATTGAAGAGCGGGAGGATTGGATTTTGTGTCGATTCTGTATTTTCTGTGATGGGATACCTTAAATTTCCTTGGATTCTTCTTCTTCTTTAGCAAGAATTTAGCTGCTTATTTTGATTAGTGTATATGGACAAATAATTGAATACGGAACATTCTTGTGTCTGGCCTGGAACTGGTTTTGTCCTCCATTCATAATACAGGATACCATTAATTGTTCATGTGTGTAATGCAATATCAATTTCAACTTCAATAAATTGGACAGCTGCTTGGTAAAGAATTTGCGTCAACTACCATAAACTACCATGGTTCTGCTTCTATTATGCTTAGTGTTATTAACTGTGGCTAGTTCCAACCCCAGAGAAAGGGAAAAAGTTGTGTTTCATAGCTGCCATCCACTTAAGCCAAAATCTATTTTGCCATGTAGCATTTTTTAAATGGTATGTTTTGTCTTGGCTATTAATTAGTTTGTTTTATGTCTCTCAGAAAATGGCATCTTCCACAGATTCATGGATCAAGGAATATAATGAAGCGTTAAGACTTGCTGATGATATTAATGGCATGATATCTGAAAGGAGTTCATTACCCGGTTCAGGCCCTGAAGTACAACGCCATTCATCTGCCATACGGAGGAAAATTACAATATTAGGAACTAGACTTGACAGCTTACAGTCTCTTCTATCAAAGCTTCATGGGAAACAGCCTCTGTAAGTCTTCAGAGTGGACGTATATATCTTTACGTTGCTAGTGACTTTTATGTGCTTCCAGTCTTTTATTTGCTGGTGGAAGTTTCCGGTGATGAAACTGATGCTTTGGAATTCGTTTTCTTTGCAAATAATCTGCTTTGGTCGTTCTACTCTAACGGGAAAAATTTTTCACTGCTTCAAGGCCAAAAAAAAGATTTACTTCTTTTCAGAAAAATTTACCATGGTTTTTGGGTGAGAATCATTTTGTGAATGGACTTCTGTTTCTTCACATTTTAATAGGGCTGAACCAATAAAAGAAATATGTGCATTTTTTGTCGAAGGGATCCGTTCGTTAGAATTAGTGTTAGTGGTGAAGCAGTCAAATTTAAGGCCAAGAATGTCTTATAGCACTTAGCATGTGTGTGAAACTTTTCCTGATAATTACTATCGGTCGTATCACCTTGGCTAAGCATGGCTCAGCCCCACTGAAAGCGGCCTATTATTACCCTAAAATGTATTGTTTTGCTTTGGGCTTGGTGGGAATTGGCATGAAGTTAAAGTGGAGATCGATGTTGGCCTTATGAAAATGAAGTTGGCTCTCACCTCCTCCAGTTAACCTTCAGAGATGTTTACAAAAAATCGATAGGTTTTTTTTGGCTTCTTCTTGTCTTTGAATGCTTGTTGAAGATACATCTTGTTGTACACAGGACAACAAAAGAGATGAACCGTCGTAACGACATACTTTCGAATTTGAGATCAAAAGTAAACCAGATGGCTGCCACATTGAACATGTCAAACTTTGCCAATAGGGACAACTTGCTTGGGCCAGAAAGTAAGGAAGCAGATGCCATGAGCAGAACGACAGGTTTAGACAACTATGGCATTGTTGGCCTTCAACGACAAGTGATGAGAGGCAAGTTTTTGTGACTTCTTTAGGGTGGAACATTCTTGCTTCTTATGTTATTTAGGTTTTGGCATCATGGCTCATTTGTTGGAATTCTTTTGAAGCAGAGCAAGACGAGGGACTGGAGAAATTGGAGGAGACAGTGATAAGTACCAAACATATTGCGTTGGCAGTCAATGAGGAACTTGATCTACATACTCGATTAATTGTATGTGTTTTTGTTTCTTGATTTGTCATTTATATGCCTCTTTTCATCTACACACTAGAGTCCTAGATTTGTTTCACTTTGTAAAATGAGATGAATTGTGATCTTGCACTTTCTGCTTCTTTGCTCTCTTGCCATGCAGGATAATCTGGACCAACATGTGGATGTTACAGACTCCCGGTTGCAGGTGACAATCTTCTTTGTAGTTTGCTTTTATGAGTGGTTTGCAAACCCTTGTTTAGCCAGTATGTTAAGAGCTCGGAAATGGGGAGTAAGGAATTATAACATCAGCAAAAATAGAAATGAACTTTAGTGCAAAAAAAAGACGGGCTCATGGAAGAATGCATTTGTTTGAGAATCTGTGGAATAAACTGAACTATCATTCCTATTCCCAAAGTTGTTTAGAAATTTGGCATATTTGTGAATAGTCTTTAATTTACTTGGTGATGTGGGAAAACGGTTTCTTTCAATAAGCTGTTCATAGTACTTCCCTTCGATGTAGAGCAAGAATTTTCCTGTCAGTCTTAATTTTCCTCTTCAATGAGCTTTCAATTTAAATTCCATGTGTTGACACTGAAGAAAAAGAAAATAAGAGGCTCAAATAGAGAACCATAGATTATGTCTAGTAAATTTTGCTGTCTTGACCTAGTGCTAATTTGGAGGCCTACTTTGGATTGGATGCCTCAAACCCCATCACCTTAGGAAAATAAATATCTTACTGATGGTTTTGACTAGATCTAGCCGATGCACAGGTGCAATTGTTCTGGAAAGTAGAGGTGCAATTGTTTTCTCTACTAAATTTTTAGTTATTCTTGGTAGAACAAAATATAAGTTAACTGCTGTTGTACTATCATTTGTTGGGTGTCGGTAGGGCCATTTTCTGGAGCACTTGCTCTGCTCCTATGTGGATGGGTGTAGTTTTTTGCTTCTTTTTTGGGGGGTTTGCTCTTTTCCCATCTTAGTAAATATTTTTCTGTCATGTTTGATTAAAGTTACTTTATTTCTCTTGGTTTTCCTCTTACAATGAAAACAGAGAGTGCAGAGGAAGCTTGCAATTCTGAATAAACGCACCAAGGGTGGTTGCTCCTGCATGTGCCTGTCTTTATCAGTCCTTGGGATAGTGATTCTGGTTCTGGCTATATGGTTGCTGATCAAATATTTGTAATGCAAATATCGTGAACTCGAGCATCTTGCCCTCGTATCGGTGTGTGATGGGGTGAAAGCGGCTTTTATCATTGCTGTTGTTACATTATTTACATTCGGCTTTATTGAATTGCTCAGTTTCATGCTTTGTTTGTGTTGAAATGTGATCTATTGCTGAAAACACTCCTTTAAGTGTATATGCTATTTATTACTTTCTCTATTCCTAAATATCTTTCGTTTTATACAATTTTTTTTGTTCCATAATATCTGTCGTTTAATGAAACCAAAGCATAATTAATATTTTTTCTTTTAAATTTACCCTTAACTTTTCAATGTATTAGATTTGGTGGAGGCTAAATGTCTTTCATATTCTTTTTCTTTCCAATACGTATTGAATAAAAGTATTTTAGTCCTGTGCAATTATTTTTTACTATTTAATAGCTTTCTTAATCCCTGTGCAAAAATTTTAAACGACAGATATTTAAGAACGAAGGGAGTATGTGACAATTACAGGTTGGGTTTGAACTCAGATAATTGGGCATACTACCTTTTCAGATTTTTTGTGCTTGAAGGCACGAAGTAATAAAAATTGTCAATAATAAATATATTTGTATTCACATCCAAAATCAAATTACAAAAATTGAGAAAATGATTTAAACATCGGTTGTAGTGGTGGTGGACGATAATGGTGGTGGTGAGAAACGGTGATGGTTGTAATGGGTGGTGACGACTGTTATAGTGGTGACAATAGTGATGGTGGTGGGCGATGATGAAAGTGGTGGTGGTGGGTGATAATGAGGTATGGTAGTGGGTGGCGGTGGTGGTGGGCGACAATGGTGGTTTATTGCGGTGGTCAATGGGCGGTGGTGGGTGGCTATGGAATAATGGTGATAGTTATAATAAATATAAGAATGAGGATGATGGCGGTGGGTGGCGGTAATAGCAATTAGTGGTGAGTGATGACGATGGTTGTGAGTTATGGGTGGGGGCGATAATGATGATAGTGGTGGTGGTGGTGATGATAGTGGTTATGGCGGAGATGATAATGTGGTGACAACGATAATAGTGGTATTGGTGATGCTGGTGAGGTAATGGTAACGATGACAACGATAATGGTAGTTGTGGTTGTGGCAGAGATGATGGTGGGGAGACATCGATGGTGATGGTGGTGGTGGTGACGACGATAGCAACGATAGTTGTTATGGCAGATGTGGTGGTAAAATGATGACGATGACAATAGTGGTGATGGTGGTAGGAGTTGGGCAGAGGCAGCGGTGGTAGGGTGGCGGTAACGATGGTGGTGGGGAGACATCGATGGTGATGGTGGCGATGGCGATGGTGATGGTGGCGATGGCGACGACAATAGCAACGATAGTGGTTATGACAGAGGTGGTGGTAGAGTGACGATGGTGGCAATAGTGGTGATGGTGGTAGGAGTTGGGCAGAGGCGGCGGTGGTAAGGTGGCGGTAACGATGGTGGTGGGGAGACATCGATAGTGATGGTGGAGGTGGCGACGACGATAGCAACGATAGTGGTTATGGCAGAGGTGGTGGTAGAGTGACGACAGTGGCAATAATGGTGATGGTGGTAGGAGTTGGGCAGAGGCGGCGGTGGTAGGGTGGCGGTAACGATGGTGGTGGCGTGGCGGTGGTAATGTTAGGGCAGTGGTAGTGGTGGTGGTGGTGAGGCAACGATGATGGTGGTGACGGAGATGAAGGGTGGTGGTAGGATGACGGTAACAGTGGTTGTGGGGCAATGGGGGTGATGGCGGTAGGGTCATTTCAAACACTATTTTTTTTAAGTACTTATTAGAAGTATTTTTGAAAAGTTACATCAGACACACCTTTAAAGAGCCTATTATATCTATTAAATTTGAGGAGTTAATATTAGCCATCAGATTAATTTTAAAATAAAATTTAAAATAATTTGGACTGCGAAAAATAAAAATTATTTTTTTATCGTTTGATATTTGAATTATATTGTATTTTATTATATAGATATTAAGGGTAGACACCTGCTTGCGTTGGTGCAGTATTTTGACATTATTTCTCTTAAACTTTTTTAATGTTAGATCAGTTATTGTGTCTTGATGAGAGATTTACTTATGTATGATAGATTTCACTTGAACTTGTGCAGATAATCTGCCATGGGGAAGCAATGCATTCCATGGATGCCCAAATACTTTACTAATGCTATGACACCCACTGTCAGTCAAGCAAAGCTGATTGAATGTTGATATCTTCAGTTTAGTAGGTTGTGATTGGCTGAGCTCGAGTTAAACTTTACTATTACTGACATTTGGCTTGGCAAAAGGTTGCGAGCATTTGAGTCGAAATTCAGTTTAGATTCTCGGCACAAATTTTTAAAAATTAAAAACTAAAGTTTCATAGTAAGTCACTAAATAATCATTTCCTCCATAAACATATTTCAAGTTGAGTAATCATAAAATCAATTCTAGAAGTTTAAACTTATCAAAAATCCATTAAAAAAAGTATAAGTTGTCGGAAATTATTCGAGAATAAGTTGGAGTTGTTTTATTTTCACATAAGGACTGTTTTGTTTGACTATAAATTTAGAATTAATTATGGATAAGTACCTATTTGAGCAGAGGAAAGATAAGTAAAATTGAGTATACTCGAGTCAAACTATACATTGATTGAATTTAGCCCGTCAACGAAATAAACTTACAAATTGATCAAGTTTGATTTGTTTCACAATTTAGTTCAAACCACAAGAAGCCAAAACCCAATCAAACTCGAACCATTCATATCATTTTAACAACCCTCAATGACGCTTAAACAATCCTCAAAGTAGTTATACTCCGTATATGAAGGATTTCTTCAAGTTTTGGGGATAATTAAGTTAAGACTCCAATTTTTAGTAGATATCACTCTTAATATGAGTGATTTACTCTATTGAGAATCTTTATGATTAGTATTGTAATTAAAAAATCTCTGGAATTGAACAGAGTCAGTCTCAATAAGAATATTTTCATAATATTTTCTGTCTTTGTTTCCAGAAAATAAAAAGGTCTGATCCATCGTCATAAATCAATTAGCAATATAGAATGAATCAGTCATCCAATTATCATATTCACAATCAAGAGTCATTATACTGTTATAAGCAGGCAGTGTATGTAATTCAGTATAGTTTAATTTGGGTTTAGCTATTAAATTTGGATGTTAATGGATCCGTCCAGAGTTTTTGCTGAACGTTCCAAGCTCAAGGCCGAAATTAATAGAATGGGCCTTAAGCAAAATCCCACAATGGGCTACAAACTACTTTTTAGATAGGCCCAACTGTTAATCTTCTACTTATGGGCCCAATAACCCAACTAAAGCTCGAACCGTCGTCTCCATTATTCCCCTGATCAAATTCATCATAGAAAAGCCCTAGAAACCGAAAACCAGAGAGGGGTCAGAGAAATTCAAACCTGAAAATTGTATCAACAGAAATTGTGAAAACTCCGGTGGTATAGATACAATCACTCTCTCTCTCTCTCTGTGATTATATATACATATATATATATATATGTATGTATTTGTATCGGTATTATTATATGAGGAATTGAAGAAGAAGTGTAAAGATGAGTATAGTGCCGAAGGAGACAATAGAAGTAATTGCTCAGAGCATAGGCATTAACAATTTAGACCCCGATCTCTTGCCCGCTCTCGCCTCTGATGTCGAGTACCGTGTTCGCGAGATCATGCAGGTACATAATTCTTTCTTATTCCAATTACTGTTCAAATTTCCTTCTCTTGTAAAAGAATGTAGTACTAAGAAGGAGACTTGCAGTGAAAGTATTCTTATTTAACTTACTATTCAACTGTTTGTGTGTATGTGAATTTGCAGGAAGCTATCAAATGCATGAGGCATTCGAAGCGAACCACTTTGACTGCCGACGATGTGGATAGTGCATTTAACTTACGAAATGTGGAGGTAAAACTCTTATTTTAGTTTGGATGTAATCGTTAATGTGTTGCTGTTCATTTAGTTCTCTCTCCATGTGTGTGTCTTTTTATGTATCGAATGTGATTTTGGACTTGTTAAGTTCTAAAAATTGTGGGGTAATTCATTGAACTAATTTATATTTTTTCCTGGTTCAGCCAATCTATGGTTTTGCGTCTGGAGATCCTTTGAGGTTCAAAAGAGCTACGGGGCATAAAGATTTATTTTATGTTGATGACAAGGGTTTGGAGTTTAAAGATGTAAGAAATTGGTTATCATTTCGGGCTTGCCCTTGTCACATATTTTGGGAATTGCTTACCTCAGTTTCCAGTATCTTGCCTGCTGTGTTTCAGGTGATTGAAGCGCCTTTACCAAAGGCACCCTTAGATACGGCTGTTGTTGCTCACTGGTTGGCTATTGATGGAGTACAACCCGCTATTCCAGAAAATGCTCCAATTGAAGGTATTCCAGTAACTCTGGTTCTGTGCTGATATGAGCAATCAAGGAGGGTATTGATGTACATCATCTTTGGCTGTAGCACTTGCAGTGCCTTCTGATATCAAGAAGTCTGAATACAAAGAAGATGGGATTTCTGTGGACATTAAATTACCAGTTAAGCATGTACTGTCTCGGGAGCTTCAGGTATTCTCAAGGTCATATGCTATATGGGCATCATGTTTGACTATGGTGGAACATCTTATATCAAGTTGTTTTTTCCTTGGTGGTGGTGCAGCTTTACTTTGAGAAAATCACAGAACTTACTGTGACTAGATCTAACTCCATTCTGTTTAAAGAAGCATTAGTGAGCTTGGCAACTGACTCAGGGCTCCATCCTTTAGTTCCCTATTTTACATATTTTGTTGCTGATGAGGTAATTATAAGCTGATTTCAGCAGAGACTGCAGCATAATTTAGGTGGTGGGCTAATGTTTGTGCACTATTATGTCAGGTTTCTCAGAATTTGAGTAATTATCATCTCCTTTTTGCTTTGATGCGAATTGTCTGGAGCCTTCTTCGAAATCCACACTTGCACATTGAACCATATGTAAGTTTAATGTCATTTTATTGAGTTCAAATCTGGATGCTCATACATCTATAGTGGTATAGAAAGTCATTGATGGACTTTTATACTTCAGGTTAATAATTGGATGTATAAGTTCTTCAGGTTAATAATTGGATAACATACTTGGATGTCCATGTTAAAGTATCAAAGCTAACACTAAGCTCGCAGGCATACAAACAGATGGGTTTTAAGAAAGAGATTATGGGGCCAATGTTGTAATTATCAGTCGATGATATTTGAGAATATTTGATTTTTCCTCGACTGTTGCCCCTGTTTTGTTGAATTATGTATACTTTATGCCCCAGCTTGAACATGGCTATGCATCTTGATTTTGAGGGTTGTGTAGTGTTTGTATTTCAAGCGTTGACTTGTTTGTATTTGATGAGGTCTTTTTTTTCCTTTCAGTTGCATCAATTGATGCCATCTGTAATAACCTGCCTTGTTGCGAAAAGGTTGGGAAATAAAATTTCTGACAATCACTGGGAACTTAGAAACGTTGCGGCTAACCTGGTTGCTTCAGTATGCAAGAGGTGAGAATTAGCTTTATCTGCATGTACATAAAAACTTTACATGGCAATTCAAGATTAATTGTAAAGTCTCACTCTTAAACAGTACAACAGAGACCATATGAGTAAAGGTTGTCCAGAAAAAGTATAAACAACCAAATTCTCTCTTTCTCTCTCTCTCTCTCTATATATATAAATATATATATGTATATATATATATTTTTTAGTTTTCAAATTTATTCTGCTTGCCCCATGAAAAATGACCCTGTGGGGTTTTCCCTTTTTAAGGAAGTTATTTTTGGTCAAGTTAAATTTTTTATGATAGGTTGGACTCTTGAGATTATTCTCCACCCTCTATCAGTTATGAGAGCTCTTCTCGAAAAAATGGAATTTACAAAGTTTTCCGCCCAAACAAAAGAGGGTATGGCAAAGTTATACAATGTAACTCCTCAATTTTACAAATTGAACACCAATTGTGGGACATCCTGAAAAGCAAGCAAGGGTCTTTTATGGGACAAGGGAGTAACAATTGAGGAGAAGTGATATTGCAAGGGTTATTTAATTTGTTTCACCAATGCAACCATAGAGTTGGATTACAATTGTTAAGAGAGCTTGTTTCCCACGTCGAATAATTAGGATCACCAAAGTTAGTTTATACTTGAGTGGCCACTCCACCATTGCCAATTGATTTTGGGTTAGATGTTTTAATATGGTATCAGAGCTAGACCTTACGTGGTTAGTGAGTCAAGTCTCTTACTTATTTGAATTTTCCTGTATGCATGGTTTGTTCGTTTGTTGACCCCTCATGCTAGTCGGGTACTAAGTGACGGAAGGTGTTAAGAGAGCATGTATTCTACATCGAATAATTAGGACCACGAAAGTTAGTTACTTGGTTTATATACTTGAGAGGTCACTCGACCAATTGATTTTGGGTTGGGTGCTCTAGCAACAATGATCAGCGGCGTGAGAAGTGCTTCACAAGTAGGTCACACCTGGAGATGTTCTACATCTCTTAGAAAATGACAATGAATCTCTCAAATTGTTTTCCATATGTAGATGACATTTAATTCCTTGGTGTACTTTTACAGATATGGCCATGTTTACCACAATCTCCAGCCACGCTTGACAAGGACTTTGCTCCATGCTTTCTTGGACCCAACAAAGGCATTGCCTCAACATTATGGTGCAGTTCAGGGGCTAGCCGCCCTTGGACCCAGTGTGGTATCCCTTCGTCATTCCCTTCCCTCCACCATCATCTCTCTCTATCTCTGCGTGTGTGTGGAGAGAGAGAGTGTGTGTGCATGTTTATGTCTGGTCTGCAACAGGTTGAATATAAGACGTCAGCAACTTGGTAGATACTGATAATAACTTGATCTCAGGTATAGAGTAATGGTGAAGACTTTCTGATAGGGTTTATTTTGTGGGACCTTTTTTTTCCAGTGTTGAAAACAATATGAGAATCTTCATTGTCTTTTGTGCTAGCTCTGATTTAGTGGTTTTAGACCCTGTTTTTACTTCAACCTCTACATTTTCCTCAGAGTACCCCTCTTCATTTCTCTTGTTTTCAATACAGGAAATTTTATCTCCACATCCACTGTCTTGTGATTGTTATTTTGTGTGGGTCCTTTTTCTCTGTCCTCTTGTCACATTTGACTCTGTTATATTCTCTATGCTGGTTCTGGCCATTTGTGATGCTTCTCAACATTGGGTAGGTTCGTCTGCTTGTGCTTCCGAATCTTGAGCCTTATTTGCAACTTCTTGAGCCAGAAATGCAACTTGAAAAGCAAAAGAATGGGATGAAGAGGCATGAAGCTTGGCGTGTGTATGGGGCATTAATGGTAAGTTCTTAACTGATATGCTGTGAATTGTCATTACATAGTCCCTCTAAGACAGGGCCTTACTGATTAGCTCCTTTTTGATCTTTTATGAACTGAACTTGTCATTTGTTTAAGCACATGAAACTGAACTAACGAGGCAATACTCCTCTTAGCGTGCTGCTGGTATGTGTATGTATGAACGGCTCAAGATGCTTCCCAGTCTGCTCTCTCCGCCTACACGTGCCTTCTGGAAGAGCAATGGAAAAGTCATGACTTCAAGGCCAAGTATGATTTCTGTTTGCTTGTTTCCTTCTGTTATACACAATTGCTAGAAGCTGTCCATTAACATTTACATTGCTATACTGCCACATTACTGTATCTTCTAGTTCTGAGATCCATCTTGGAAGCTAATATCAAGGAACGTATTATGGGATGCGAGTGTCATTTGCATGTGTGAGCTTGTGCTTTTAAGTTTTCATAAGACTAATCACTTTTGAACTCTCTTGATTATCTCAGGCCAATGTATGTAAAATTTTCAAGTTACTTGGTGGGGGAATGATTATCCTTGATGTCTGTTTGCGTTTGTAGATTTTCTTGCATCAGCATGATGTCTAGTAGTATTTTGATTTTCACAATTTGGATTGTCAACGCACTCTCATCCTTCTGCTCCTTTTCAAATGTATCAAGATAAGCGTAAAGCAAGCATGGACAACATGATGCAGCAGCCACCGCTCAAGAAACTAGCAACTGATGGTTCCAGGGGTGCAATGCCATCAAACCCATTGCCAGCAGAAATGCAAGGATCAACTGGTGGATATGGCACAAATCTGGGGGGTGCTACTGTGGGTTTATCATCAATGCCACGGCCATTATTGACTGAGAATTTGTCAGGAAGCAGTGGCAGAATGGAGATGGTTGGTAGCCAAGCTCTTAAGATGTCAGGTGTCTTGGCTCAGTCATGGAAGGATGACATTAATGCCGGGCATATGTTGCCAGCGCTATGTGAATATTTTGGTGAAAGCATGTTCTGCTTTGTACCTGCACCTGAGTTATCATTCTTCCTATGAGTATTGGGAGAAGTTAATTGCTTCAGCTCAGGCTCGGAAGGAGGTGATGGATGCCACCTATTTGCTGTTATTACAAATGGGAACTACATCACATTTATTCTTCGAAATACTAGTGTAAATTAACAAGATGCCATATGCATATACATATAAATTATCCGTAATTGTTTGTACAATCTTGTTTAAACATTCATATATGCTTTCATATTCCAAGTATCACCAAAATCGTGGCAGAGTCCATTGTTGTGTTCTGTCGAATGTATTTGGTTTCTGACGATAGGGTTTCCAATTTTCCTCGATCTCTTTTTCCTTGATGTTAGTCTGTAAAATCATGTTCTGACCCACGTAGTACCAGGTATTATGTGCCTCTAGAAGTGAAAATTTATGTCAAATAGCTGGGGATACATTCAGTGAAAAACTTGTTTGATAAATCCAAGAACAAAACTGCATCTGAATCATTCTAATTCGACTTTTGTAGCAAGCCACTACATATGCAAATCATATAAATGATTGATCTGCCCTTTTAATTAAAAGAAAAACCCAGGGAAAAACAAAGGCATTTGATACAGATGAGAATCAACATCATTACAAACCCACATGCAAACACACTACCACCTACCCCTACCCCTACCCCTACCCCCTTTTCTCGAGAGGAAAGAAAGAAAACAAATGAGAGAACAAAAACATAAACATAAAAGAGGAAAAAAGCGCAAGAGCTGAAAAGGGCTTAGAAGAAGAGCTTTCGTGAAGAGGATCGAGTTGCTGGGGAAGGCAAGGTTGATGAATTTAGGGTAATAGGTACCCTTCCGCTTTCCTGTCCTCTAGTCCCTTTCTCAGCTAGCTTTGCACCCTTTGGGTCAGTAAGAAGAGTCTTCTGAAATGATTGTGTGAACCCAGTGGCAATGATAGTCACATGGATCTCTCCATTGTAGCGTTCATCTACAACAGCCCCGAATATAATGTTAGCAGAAGGATCTGCCAAACTTGTAACAACCTGCAAACAAATGGAAGAAAAAGTAAAAACTCACAGACAGACATCATACGGTTATAACTAAGAAGGGAAAGGGTTTAAGACATTTGGTGAATCTATGTTCCGCAATTAATACTCAATAGCTTTATTTTTATGTGTTGTGGAAAAAAATCAAATGCTTATAATTTGTAATCAAGTTACCAACATTTAAGGTAAAAAAAGGATAAACCTACGGTGTCGAAGAGTTACTTTTCAATGTCATACCAAAAGCTAGTACAAAATAAGAACGGGATTACAACTCAAACTAATGAGGTTACTATAATATGGAGTTGTTTGGATAGATCCTAACACTTCAGGGTTCATCCCAAACTTTAGGTACAGTACCTCCTTCAGTACTATTGCAGTCTTACAAGGAAAAAAATGTGAGCTAACCAGGCAGAGTAACTTGATGCTGACTGGAAAGTGTAGACAACAGCAGGAACCAAACACAAGTATACATTAGAATGAGATCAATTAGTTTGGTGCCATGTTCAAGGGAGGGGACAAATGGAAACATAAATTTAAGTGAGTTCACAGTACCTGTGACACCCTATTCACTTCTTGCAAGGTTATGTCCTTTCCTCCAGTAATGTTATACACTACTCCGGTAGCAGATTGAATGGATGATCCAATCAGAGGAGCCAGAGTTGCTTGTTCAGCTGCTTCTTCAGCACGGTTCTTGCTGGAGGAAACCCCAACTCCAAGCATAGCAGTTCCAGAGTCCTTCATGACTGCCTTCACATCTGCAAAATCCACATTTACCAGTCCAGGTATCTGCAACAACAGCAAACATTTATAGCATCACATTAGATGGGTCAGCAGCACAAACCAACTTTGTGATATCATATATAGAAAAAATAGGGTTGATCCCAGTTTTGTCTGAGGTAATAATTAAGGAAAATGTCACGTGAGGGACCTACAAGACGTGCCCTACACTAACCTCATAAAACATACAAATTCAATCATAAAAAGCAATTTGTGTCCACGAAGACCTCATGATGATGTTGTGAAGGCATTAACAATATCAGGAAGTTCATAAATGGAGTGAAGAGCACCAATTCATGGCAAGCAAGGAAAATTGATGGAAATGTGGTCATGTAAGCTAGTTTGAACCACTTTGCACATTCCATCCACGATAGAACTGTTCAACATCCACTATTTTATGTACAGTCAAAACAAAGCAGGTTATTAATGCTAAGAGCAAAGGTCCACAATCCATGTAAGATGCTTTACCTTCTATTAAGGTCCCAAAATCATGTAAAGAGCTCCAGAAGAAAAAGCCTGTAGTCAACACTAGGTGAAATATAGCGCAGTTCCACAAAAGAACTTACTGTGATTATATCTGATATTCCTTGAACACCTTGGCGTAGTACATCATCAGCGAGAAGGAAGGCATCCTGAAGGGCCATCTGCTCATCAGCAATATCCAGCAGACGGTCGTTGGGAATCACTATAAGAGTATCAACATTTTTTGCAACTTCTCAATAGCCTCCAATGCCTGGGAAAAACATCAAATGAAAGACATGACCGGGTCAGACTTTGGATGAAAATGCTGTTTCCTTTTCATAAAATTTCTGCACATACGATCCCAGAATTTCACAAAAGGTTAATAGACAATACATGAAAATCCTATCACTGTCTCATCATTTCAATAAAAAATAAAAAAAGAATAAAAACAGTTAAAATGGCACCTGCCTGGAGGGTTCTTTTACGCCCTTCAAAGCTGAATGGGTAAGTGACCACACCAACAGTTAAATATCCTGCTTCCCTTGATATCTCGGCAACAACAGGAGCAGCACCAGACCCTGTACCCCCACCCATCCCGGCTGTTATAAATACAAGATCTGATCCCTTAAGTGCATTTGCAATGGCTTCCTTCGATTCCTCTGCAGCCTGTTCACCCAAAAGTGGATTGCCCCCAGTACCTGCATCTCTATAAATGATTCAAATCAAAGGACATAATAAAACCAGCGCGCACAAACAATACAGCTAGACTGTTGATGTCATGCCTGAGCGTGCACCCAAAAACAGACATAAACACACACAGACGAACTTGTGCTATGATACCACTGATCACTAGCTTTGTGATAGAATGGTATGATCACTGCACTTCCTGATAAAAGTGTAGGATTAGGAATCCTTTTGTCAAATAGGAAAGTTAAAGTTTGTGCTTTAAAAGGAAGACTCCTTAGATCATAGTGAAAGTGCCAGACCGAGTCCACGAGTCAAAAGCTCTCCAATTTGAATTGGGTTCTCAGCAGCAGACTGCAGCAGTGCTTGAGCATCTGTGTTTATGGCATAGAAATCCACACCCTAACATTGAACATATAATATCAAAATTTTCATCAGATTCCAAGATGTGAATAACACAAGTAACAAGAGGTAACTAATTGTCTTGTCATAAGGAAATTCTCAACATGAGTTTTGTCAATTAGATCAATCTAAGACAATCCACTAAAATATTAACGGAAAGAAAAGGTTGGTTCACAGTAAAAAGACTGTAAACTAACACTCAGTATGTCACTAGACTCCATCACACAACTAGATTTTGTTTTTATTTTACAATGATGAATCAAGTCGTGTACTAAATGATGTGCAGACAACTTTTTTTGTTGGCATGTTTGATCAACTCAACTAGTAACTTAGAATATGGGAAGCAAATCAAGGGAATGCATGATTTCCCATTATACTGACATTAAGGCATGGGCCAAAGCAGCCTTTAACCAAAAATGGTGTTATTGGAAAAATCACAACATTATCATACGATTCCCACAATAGTGATAATATTGCAAGTGATGATCTTTGCTAAGAAGAGTATATTGGACGAAATTAAGCTATGCCCATAACATAATCAGAGAACCATAATATTTCACTGAAGCACCACCAAAGCAGGCAGAAGACTCAAATCTCAACACAAATTGGACAGTAATATGGACCCAAATCCAATCCAGAGATACATATTAGAAACGCAATTGGGTGTTAATTTAAAGAAAGCAATGAAAAATGGGAAAACATATTAAAGAGTCAGAACATCAAACCCCCATATTTTGCATTATGATTAAGAGTCGGAACAACTGAATTTTATTGTTAAATATTTACAAATAGATATAACGATTATAATAGGAAATGGCAGGAAAATTGAATCACATAATAACATTCCAATAATACTGATATTGTGACACGTAAATCGGCTTGAAACTATATTCTAAACCCAATTCACTTCGAGCACTTTCTTGAGATAGTCATAATATGTTTAACAGGAAAATCCAATCTTATTTTGAAGTAGAGGTAAACAGCACTCCCACCACTTTTATTTAATTGCATAACAATGGCCTTTATAACAGACAGTTTTTGTTCTTCAAGAAATAAATTTCAATTGTATTTCAAGCCAGACAAAAAACTAGTGCGCAAAAGCACTAAACCTTAAAAATTTAGCAATTTAACCCTGAACTGAATTAAGTAGATTACTACAACAACCGGACGTTCTATTCTATACCAATAGCTCAAATGCTGATAAAAAAACCCAATAAAAATGGAAGAGAACCAACCAATAAGCCACTTCCAATCATGCGATTAACGGCATTGTTGCCACCCCCACCGACACCGACAACCTTAATCTTCGCTGACTCCATCGGGGTAAACGAACTACAAGTACAGCTAACCCCTGAACCCTGTCGGTTGGAGAAACCTCTCCTTCGAGCCCTAGGTGAGAAACATGTCTTCGAGACAAATGGAGAGAATGTGCTCTGGTAGAACCCGGTGGAAACTGAAGCTGAAGAAGACGACGAAGAGAAAAACTCAGTGAGGTTTCTAAGTTGAAGCTTGGTAGCCATCAATGCGACTGATTGGTTCCTGAGAAAATGAGAAGGAAAATTTTATTTCCTTTTCCTCTGCTTTTGTGTGAGAGGAGAGAGAGAGAGAGTGTTTTAACTTTTGCTAGGGTTTTAGATTAGAAATTTGTCTCAATTTACGCCTACCCTACCCTAACCCGCCCTTTGTGTGATATTTGGAAACACATGCGAAGGTCTGGTTGGGCCAACGACACTATTAAAAGGAAAGGTTGAGGAGGCTCGTATCAGCTCAATCACTAACTTCTTTTATACTCTTTCTACCGTTTATTTTTAGAGGTTAATTCCTAAATTTATTCCTCATTTCAGAACTACTCTCACATAATTGAATGGCTTCCAATACATCTTAAATTAAATAATAAATTATTTATTTATAAATTTAAGTAAAACTCAGTATATATATAAATAGAAGTGTCCTAGAGAAATGTTTGGATATGTGCTTGGCAAGGCACATGTTTTGCCTAATTTTTATGAGTCAGGTACTTTGCTCAAGTGGGAAATTTAGTGAAAGAGCAATGTTGTTATGCACATTAAATTTGTATACTAGTAGTAAATCATTGATGATAATCGTTGGATTAGTGAGACCCATTCTCATCTAACAATTGACAATAATTTGACGTACACTTTTAGTGGACAAATTTAGTATACATACATTTTTTTCTGAGAAATGAATTTCTCCTATATTTGAATAATTTCGTTTGCATCAATGCTAATCATCGGACTGTCATACTTGCTATATCCCATTCTTCCATTTAAAGAAGGGTTAACTTAAGTTTGCAGCCATAGGAAACTGATTCTCTTTAAAGATACTTTACATTCATGAACCTTTGGAGTCTGGGTTATATTTCCTTGTTCGCCCATGAACATACTCAAAAAAAACTGATGATTTACACTTTCTTTAAAAAAAAAATCTGATCGTAGAACACAACAAAGAAATAGGTTTCATCATGTAACTGACCCACATAGTAGAGATAAAAACTTTGTTAAATTGAGTAATGTTACCCACGATAATATGTCATGCACAGAAGCAACAAGGCAATCATGTTGACATTCTAAATAAGTGCTATGCCATCTATGCAGCAAATGTTACTTAACACTAACTGTCCTTATTGCATGCCAAAGACTGGACCAGTGCAGCTGGGAGAAGAAGAAGAAGAAGAATCAGATAGTATCTGGTAAAAGAAGATGCATATTAAACCAAGAGATCCCCCTCTCTTTGACGATGTTAATGTTCACAGACTTCCAACACTCCACTTATCCATCAATTATTTCTTTTTAAGTACAAGCCTCACACTCTGAGTATTCAAAATTGAATAAAGATATAACAGTCTTACAGTAGGTAGTATCAATCACATGATCTAAAACGATTCATAGTTGTTTGCACCAATGAGAGCTACATACAAATCCATACTTCATGCCCCTGAATAAATTATTGCTCACTCCCCAATAGTCCATCCACCATCCATAAGAGTTTGGTTGCCAAGAGGATGTATATGTTTTTAACAACACAAGCTCAGTCCCCTTCACTCAAAATTGGGACTATGAGTGGGTTCATCTGTGCAAGATATACGATCGCCCACCTGCTCAAGCAAAAGAGATATGCAATGAACTTTGACTAAAACATTGCAACAGGGCAAAAGTACAAGTTCTGTTTCTCAAATCAGCACCAAATATACATGGAGAATAACCAAAGCATAAAATTTACTACAGCAACTAATTTTCGTCAAGGAGGTTCTGTGCCTCTTCACACATCTGACTAATCCTCCACTATGGATGAAGCCCTATGCATCAAGCATATTATCAGATGAAACCCTGGGTGATGGCCTGAAGGTGAGACTCAAACTTAGGACCTCTAGGTCCTAAGTGTGGCTTTGGGACAGCTTGTTTATCCCATGTGATTAAAGCTATGCCATGTCAAGAAGTGAATAATCCTCTCCAAATTTGGTAATGAAAGCTGTCTTGCATTAGTAAATTACAATTGTAGTAGAGAATTTCATTCCATAAATAGGTAAAACCAGCAAAAAACTGCTTATTTAAAAGTCCAGGATCAATAGTGGTGCTATACCAAAACTTAGCAAGCTACAAAGATCTTCTGCTTGATCAGCAGGGGTGCAGGATGCTGCGAAGAAAGTTGATTCGAGGAAGTGAAGGATAGAGTTTTTTTTAAATGATGTTGAGGGTTGAATTTTTTCAGATTGTATGGTTTTGTAAAAAGCAGGTCTGTCTGCTTTTTTCTTACATTGTAAATAATTTTTTGAGAAATGAAATAAAGTGTTGATTTGTTTGAAAAAAAAAAAAAAACAAGCGACAAAGATCATTAAGAAGGGAATCAAGTACAAGAGGAGATGAGGAAAGAATATACACAGAGGATGATATCTCCTCCTTAAAAGACCATAAAAGGCCAGCTACAACAGCAGAGGTACAAGTAACAGCAAAAGTAGGGCTTATTAGGGCAGGCAATTTATTGGCAGAGAGCAGGATGGAAAAAGAAAATAAAAGAAAAAGAAAAGACAATAGCAATAGAGAAGAAAGAGTCATTGCAGCAGTAATACAACTTTGTTTCTGATCTAGAAGTAAAATTATGCAAGATCCACACCTCACCAAGAGGACTAGAGATTGAGACTCGAACCTGATATACAGTGCCTTCTTCCAAAGGACTTGTCCATGACTTGGATCAACTTTAGAGGATCATCCCCAAACCCCACATCAATACATAAGCCACAAAAATTACAAGGACTCAATTTAAAGGTTGTTAAAGTATAAATACTTAAGTTACATCCACTCCAACAACTTGAACTTTTAGAGTAGATGGTGATTTAACATGGTATCAAACCAGGAGTTCATGTTATTGAATCTCGCTGCCAATTGAATTATTAAAAGATTTTCATGTGCTAAACCCAAAATTTAGCTTAAAAGAGCGTGTTGAAGTATAAATACTTAAATTACACACTTTCTCACTAACAACTTAAGTTTTTTGAGTAGATGGTGATTTAACAAAGGCCTTACCATGAGCTAGAAAATCTGAAAAAACTATTGATCTTAGATTCCCCACAGATGTTACATTCAACTTAGACAATAATACCCTCCCAAGATTAATTACAGTCTATGAGGCACATAAGAGGCATCAACCATTCACTCTTCGATAATATCAGGAGGGGGTGTTTTAGTTCAATGCTGATATGTTACAGCTAGGATAAAAGACCAATAAAGATGCCCTTATATTGAGCTCAACCTAACCAATACCTTATACCTAACTCAGCATACTATTCTTAGCCCACCAATACCACAGAAGCAATAATACCAAGGAATGCTTTAGTTCGATCCTTTTTTCTCTTGCCTCTCGTGCATTTCAAAATTTACGCGGCTTACTCCCTACTAATGAATATAACGGTTAAAACAGATTGGCCTTTTTTCCCTATTTATCCAAAAGAAACTAATGAATATAATGTTCCTAGTTGGCCTCACATTCTATACAATTCATAATCACAAGGATTTGAATTTAAGGGTTGACATTTGTCATTTATCAATTGCAACCATATCTTGTGCTTAAGACTGCATATGCCAAAAAAAAGGTTTTTACATGCAAGATGCTTCACATATTTTGATTTTGCTAGTGAAGAAAGAAAGTAGAAATAGCAATCGAACTTACATCATCCAACAGCATACTGTTGCAGTAATAACCAGTGTTAGGTGGAACCTGCATCATAAAATTCATATTAGTCTATGCAAAAAAACAAATCTCATCCAGTTCAGCATTAGATGATATGACTCTCTTCTTTTGTGTGCATATGTAATCAGTCATATCCTTCACAAATACAACACAGATGAGTCGAATGAGCTTGGATTAGTGAATTCTGTTTACAATGTCAGTACAGATTGGATAAGATCCGAATATAATCTATTTCAAACAGTATAATACACATGAAAAGGTACCGGCACAAGGTTTGTAATCTTAGTCCATAATCCACCAAATGCAGCAGTTCAAAACCATTTTTCCAACTTACTAAAGCTTACAACCCTATAGATAACAACCTATAAACAAAAACTTGTAGCCTAGCAAACAGATCCGAATAGAGAGAAGAGTAGCTAAGTAGAACAAAAGAGCATACAGATTAGCAGAAGGCCCTCTGTTGCAGCAGATTCGCATAAACAGAGACGCAATGATTCCAACAACAGTGAAAATTAACGTTGTCACCAAAAATCCCATTTTTCAATCCGATCTCGCCCTCAACAACCGACGAGCAGCTCCGATTTCTGCAATCAATTAATCATAAGTTCAAATCGATTTTCAATCAACAAAAGCCAAACTTCAAATTAGCCGCGAAATTCTCTTTCGATCTGCATCACATCCTGATCGAGTGCGCAAAATGTAAATCCAAACAATTCAAACGAATCCGAACAAGTAAAATCAGATGCATATATATATATATATATAGGTGCGGAGTGAGAGAAAGAGTACCGTAATCTCCGGTGACCGGCGACACTTCTTGGTTAACGTGAAGCTCGTTGATTAGACCTCTTGTTGAGCACATCGATCTGTTTTTCCGAGTACAATAAGCGATCTCTCGCTTCGTCGGTGAAATTTGTGGAGGACGGGTGTTTGAGACCATAATAATGGCCCACTCCACCAATAATGATATGGGCCTAAAAGGCCAGCTTAATCAACTGGGCCCGTGACAAGGAATGGGCCTGTAGTAGTAGCCATATTAAGCCTATGCCAACTGCCTGACCCGTCTGCTGAAGAACCCACGGATCCATAGGAACTCATAACCCGGCAGGACCGTGGGTGTTTTTGGCCCATTAATCTGGAAAGCTAACCTGAGTAAGGCCCATGAGCCAGCATTCGGCCTAATGTATCGAGTGACAATTTTTTTAAAAAAAATTTGGAAAAAGATTACAGTAACTTAAATTTAAGTTTAAGTAAAAAAGGACTAAAAATAACCTCCAATCACTTATTCAAACTCATACCAAATTTAAAAAAACTCATATTTTTACTCAAATTAAAGAAGTCTAAAATCTCCAATAATCAAATTTCATTGTTTTAAAGGATCCAATAGTCATATTTTATATTTCTTTAAATTTGAATTTATCCATTAAAATATAAATCAAGGTCAGAGTACAGAGTTGATCCATTAGGAACAAATCGACATAGTTCCCCTAAAGGACTATTAAAATTGGCATGGAACTATTTCCACACCAAAAATATCAATTCACACCCCATTAAAGTCTCAACTATAAAATTACTAAACTCATCATTTCTATACACACTTCATAGTTCTTGGACAGTTTTTTATTCAAATATTATCGGAGAAATTTATTCTCTTTAGACCACTAGATGTTAGTAATCCCTATTTGAAATAATTCGAAAGTTTGTAGCAAACAATTCTTGCGACTAAATCTCGACACCTTTGACCAGAATAATAAAAAATAAGTAAAAATCGGGTGTAACCCATAATTTCATTAAACGTTAAATACAAGAAGAATTTCCTAAAACAGAAAAAAGATGGGAAAAAAAAAAAACTCTGGAGTATAAAGGAGGTAGGTTTTGGATGGTACTAGCACAACAACTATTGAAATGTTAGAATCTGAAGCTGGGATCAACATCCATTGACCAAGCAAACTTTGCCAGAAGAGACTTGTTGAAGATCTGCATCGGAGAGCAGATTATAAGCAACCATGACCATGAATGATAAAAAATATCCCACTACAATCCCCCCGGACCGGCCCGGGGGAGGGGACCCTACTCCCCCTCAAGTATCATTGCTGACAGAAATTTTTATTTCAAAAAATACTTGAAAAAGCTTTCACCTTTTCAATGGGAACTTCATGTCGCTTGCACCATGCAACGGTTATCCTAGGATCGAGGTAGTTGATCTTTGACGTTCCCAATGCCACTGTTTTCAGATCCTCTTTTGTCTCTTTATCGCGTTCCATTTTCTCAATCTTTGCAGTAGTTTGAGCAATCTTCCTTTCCAACCTGCATATTATATTTTACATCAGCCGAAAGAAGACAGCATCCAACAAAGGTGTACATTAAGCATCACGGGGGACACCAATACTCTTACGCTTCTGGGTTCATATTCCTTTTCGGCTTCCCATCAGCACTCTTCAGTGGGGGCTTCCCTTTTTTGGCCCGACCCAAATCTGTTTTCAGTTCTTCCAAAGCACCCTATAAACAAAACAAAATCAGCCAAAATCTATGAAGCATGACAGCACCATAATCCTCCAGAAAGTACTCTGAAGTTCCCTACAAGTACGTGGCAGTGACATAGTTACGACCAAATACATTTTACACATATTATCAAAGTCTTTGCAGATAACATGCAAGCACAATACATCCAGAGCCGATAAGGCATTGAGAAAGAATAATAGTCATCACCCTTAGTTCGTCTATCTTCTCATCCAACCTCAACATTTGTGTACTGTGAGACTTTGAAACACTACGCTGATGATTGCAAATGATTGCAACCTGCAGCAAGAAATGCCAAATTTCAAGTTGCCATAACCAAACGTGAAACTAAAGCATGATATCTCATAAACTATCTAGCACTAGACTGCTTTTACCTCCTTGTTTGCATGCTGATAAACTACAACTTTCTCAGCCACATCTCCACCCTTGGTTTTCTTACTCAACTGTAATCAACAAAAAATTGTAAGTTGAACCAGTAATATCCCACAAAAGGCAAAACAATTCAAAAAAAAAAAAAAAAGCAGAGGTGAGATGGTACATCAGAAATTAAAAATTCAAAGAAAGAGAAGGATTACTCTAGTTAAAACCTTACACTTGACAATGACTGTTTAACCATGTGCATGATAGGAGACTATTCTGGATAATAAATATTATACTGCATCATGCAAACAAGCTTATATGCAGCTTTGTCATTTTGCCTTTTTGAAGCATAAACGTTTGTTTACTCATGTATCATGTATGTATCAACATGGCCTTCATGTAGATGTTGTATATATATATTGCATATGCTTGTGCATGTTTTAACTTGTGTACTTTGCATCCGAGTTCAGAAGAGTCTCATACCACTTTCATATGCTCATAATAACTACTGAGGCCACAAACTAAATACCATAGACTACACAACAACTGCCCCGTTTTTTTTGAGTGTTTCTTTTGCCTTGTATTTTTTTTTTTTTTGGGGGCGGGGTTTCCTTGCGTGGCTATTGCCATGTACTTCCTCCTTTAGGTAGCAGAATATGCAGCTTTATTAATTCCTCGTGTTATTGCATTCCCCCATTACGCCTCTATTGTATTTTCTAATGGAACTTCCTTCTTAGGCTCCAAAAATTTGTCATTCTTCAGACCTAAGTTGGCTGGCCATCAAAATTTCATATTGAATTAGCTAATATGTTTAATCACCCATTCTGAAGTGAGATCTCTCATGTATGAAGAAGAAACCAGAAGGGATAGTTATAACGGGCAAGTAAGATGTAGTTCACAATCAACATCTGAAAAAGGGAAAAAAAAAATTGCCCTTGCTAGAGAACGGAAAAAACTTTGGTGATGTGACCTCAAGTCTAAGGGAGCCACTATGAGCTAATTAAAGGCTATAATGAATACTGCCTCCAAGTAGTAGTAGTAGACAAAGACGAAGACAGCGCAGATGAAGACAGAAAATGATGGTGACGATGACGAAGAAGAAGAAAGTGTTTTTTTCGATTGAGCAAAGAAGGAGCAGTCTACTGTGTTTATACGAAGAAAGACAACCAAACTCGAGCCCATATTGTAATTGTAGCTGTGAGTCCAAATCCCAGAGTTTCAATATAAGTTTGACCAAAGAAGATTCACTTCATCAAAACCTTCACTTTGACATATAAAAGTTTGAAAACCCCTCATCTTTAACAAAAATTTCAAATAAACTATTTACTTGATTTTCAAAAACCACTGTAGACACCATATCTTGTAACCTAACCAACATGACTTGGGCTTCATTTTTGCAACTTCACCTCATAGTGTATTACCTTTCCATCAAGCACCAGCACCCTATTGGTTGATACTTCAATGTGTTTCCCCGAATTTTAAAACCATAGACAGGCAAATCACACATTAGCAGACACACTCCACAAGTGGGTTTGGGTAGGAAACAAATAACAAGTATAGGGTAGATCACATATAACACAGGACAAGCTATCAGCATTAAAGTGAGAATCCCCAGCTTGCCACTTACCATATCATCTAATGTGATCGATGCATTATAAGTACGGAAAACTTTTGCTGTAAGGCCAGGCATGAGTTCCTTCAGATGAGCATTCAGTTTACTGGTATCTAGCTTGTCAAAAAGATCGTCACCGCCTTTTTTTCCTGGGGAAAAAATTGTCATGCACATACTCAAAGCTCCAGCGTACAAAAGTACAGAATAAAACCTACAGACAAAAATGGCCATTTACTAACCACTTCGGAATTGTTGAATTGCCTTGAACACAGGAATTTCAACTTCAACCTCATTTTGGTATCTAATAGAATCTTTACCAAGGAAGTCAAACTGAATAAAACAGAAAAGGGGTTCACTTGTTATTACTAGTAAGAAGTTGTAGGAGTGAGGAAAAATCTTGCACGGTTACAAGTTTCAACAAGCTTCTATAAATTCCAGGAATTGCTTCCACATTCAGAGGACACAAAGTTCATTCAAACGTGCAAATCTTAGTTACGTTTCTCATTAGCAACCAATCCAACCCAGGGGAATGGTGGGAAACCTTGCTACCCAATAGAAGAAATATAACCGCTACTATACCTTAAGAATATTAGGAGGTTTTGGTTCCACATTTTCTACTTTCAACGTGCAGCAGCCAACTGTATCAGCTTCATCATCATCCTATAGAAGAACAAACAATTACAAGTCAGTCTGGCCAACTTTTTTTTTTCTTTTTCTCTCTTCCTGTTTTTCCTGCTGGGAAAGTCAGCAATATATGGATAGCTATTTGTAGCAATAATTTCCAGATCACAACAATTAAAGAAACACTAGTATCATAGACAATTGTCTGCCTTCTATTGACAACCTAACATGGATTGCATAGTTATGCTCTCTCCACTCGCAAAGCAACACCTCCCTCCACAATCACAACCATATTGATCCAACTGAAAAAACATCTGAGTGCGCAATGACAAAAAGAATATAAACGGGACAGATGGAAGCAAATCAATAGACATCATACCTTCTCATTGCCAGCCCTGAGGGCTAGTTTATCAATAAGATAGGTTGCAACTGCTATTTGCCGATTTGTCGGATCCTTACTTGCAAAATTCTTTGTGTAAGTTTCTCTGATTCCATGTATATAGTCCTGCATTCAAGCATTGAGTTATTGGACTTAGTGAGAAGTCACTGCAAATTATGACACAAAATGAATCAACACTCATCAGAAGCTAGTATACCTTCAACAACCTCGCTTTCTCATACTTCTCCTTGTCACTTTGCCCCTTCAACGCACTGCTAGCTGCCAAAAACACATATTTGAATAACTTTGGATTGATTGGATCATTCCAAAAGGCTAACCATGTCACAGTATTGTCATGCTTTATTTCTTTCCAGCTGCGAAAGATCAAAAGACTCAGAAGTTAACTCTTTTAGAAAAAGAACGTATTGAAAAGAGAACAATAATTTAAGACAGAAAGAACAAGAACTAATAATAATTAGAACAACCTTTCACCAGGAATGGGGCATTCTGGAATTGGAGCATCCTTCCCAATATTTATTGTAATGTCATTCGGTCGGATGCGTTTTTTCAGCTTTCCCATCTGAGATCATAAAAACCAAAATTCAACACCAAATTCCAGATAATTGTTGAAGCAAAATCGCAAATGCTTGCAGATGCAGCCACAATGTATCAAAATACTTCATCTTAGACTATTGTAAATTTTTCGTCGTAGGTAGAAAGTTGTAATCATCACCTTTGGATGCTCCCCACGTCCCCGGAACAAACCAGGTGGCTCAACTCTAAAGTTTCCAACCTGCAGGAAGATGATTGATTCTATAGACATGGTACAGAGAAAAAAATATATTGGACCCTGTTTTGTGCCATATCTAGCAAAACATATATATATTAATGGTAAGGAATCAGATGAATCTTGCACTGTAAAATAGTGAAAATATACAGGCCCTAAATTCAATTCATGGTACAAATACTGCAAACCGCATAGTTAAAATAATCATAGTATAAACAACCAGAACATCATCATTTTGCCACAATATTTGCCATTGTCACAATATTTGAAAGTGGCTCAAACTTAAGAACAAGGAGAAGATGATATTTAAAATAAGGAGTTGTATGAAATAGAAAACACAACTTAAAGAGCTTTTCCCAGCAATTTCAATGTAAATAAATATCAACAAAAAATTAACTAAATAATACCATCCCAAAAGAAAACCTCAAAAGCTGCTTCCAAAGGAGCATAGTCAGAAAAGATAATGCAAATATTAGTGTCCCCAGCAAAAAAAACTTTGCAGCAACCTTGAAAAGGATTTAAATCAAGCAACAGTCCGGCATATTAGTTCCCTGGTTTAAATTTCCATTTCATTTCATGCGAAACATCGAAAACATTTCGTATTTGCAGTCAACTGAAACAAACCAGTCATGTAAATTTGAAATGACAGTGTTTCGGGCAAAAAAGGAACGTTGCGTTTTATTTTGAGCAAAATGTTACGCATCACCTTAGTTTCCTAAGAAAAGTTATTCGAAACTAACAAATAATGGCACAACTTTTGCTGCAAACATCTGACTCCCTAATAAATAAATGAAAGTACATGATTCTTGTCTCACAAGATTTCTTTTAGGCAGGTATTTTCACTTCTGTTTTAGCCAACGGATGATGTCAGGTCTATGTTATAGTGTTGACCCAAATCTATCACCGAGGCCAAATGCAAGTCTTGAGTTCCCAATTTTATTTTGAATCACAAATTGCTCAAATTGATTTCTTCCAGAAACTACAGTGTTAGGAACCAGAAAGCAAACATTTAGATGTTTCCTTGGGAGTTATTCAAGTTATGCTTGATTCATTAGTAATACAAAATTCACACCAATCTATTTGCCACAAGCCTAAGAAAGTATGCCAAAGATAATGGACTACATTTTAAAAATGGTAAAGGTTTATACCTACAAATATCATAATAATTGGTTTAATGTTGTTTATTTACAATTCCAAGTGTTTTTTATTCGCTTCTTCACATTTACAACGTTTTCATTGTGTTTCCGAAACATTTCTAATTTTAACGAACCAAATTTTTTCATTGAAACGAAAATTTGAACCATGATTACTTCTCAATCCACCAATGACACAAATTTCTAATTAAATAAGTACACAAAAATCAGAAGCTTCTCTCTCATGGGATTTCTCTGCTAAGCAGCTGCAAATGTTTCAAGAATTACTTCACTACCTTCACTTAACTATCAGCCTAAAACTGAAAAGTTCAAAAAAATGCATTTCTGGAGTTAGATCTCCTATGTTCTGCCTAGTGCCTAAAGCATTAATAAAAAGGAACTGCAATGGATAGCACAACTCCATTGTGATCATACTCTATTTCGATAGGTAAGCAGCATATCACATACACAAAACAAGACATAAAACCCAAAACACAATACATAAATCAAAGCCAGAGGTAACCTTCTCTTTGACACCGTCAACGATAGCCCACATATATTTCTCCTCTTGCTTCAGTTTCTCTTCTTTTAGGGCCTTCTTCTCCTGCAGAAACAGCAAGCAGCTCTTAGACTAATAATTATGGAAATAATAAATATCAACCAACTTTATTACAGATTAAAGTGTCATTTTTGACAAGTAGTAGTCAAGGCATATTAGCACATTTTTATAATAAGGTGCAAAGTGTTGCTCCATTCTTAAGGACTTGTTTTTCACAGTGTCACCTGAAGTGCCCGTGTGTCCAACACCAACACAGGTATGAAATGGGACGAGTCCGACCTGTCTTGCAATTCAATTTGTTCCTTTTGTTGGCTGACGGATCAAAAATGAGTAAAATACTTCTGTTGAAACACTTTGTCACAGCACACACGAATACATAGGAAATCCATTTAACTCAGTTTGTGAAAAACGCTCACCTATGAAACATGAGCATGGACCATGACAAACCACAATACAGCCAACCCTAAGACAGTAGGACACAAAAATCGTATGGCAATACGAAAGCAATATTATTTCGACATATAATCGCGTATGTACAGAAAATATATGACTTCTTCTAAGCTAATCTCCTATTCCAAGTCAATAACATGGTATGAGTTGTGAAACCCAATAATCATAAAACAATTTGCACTGAAAAACAATTACACCAAAGACATAGCAAGGACCAAATTTCTATGCATGTCCCAGTAGGAACATAAAGTAGATATGTATCTATGAACGAATTTCACTTTCGTAAAGAAATATTAAATATGCATAAACACATAATGACTTCTCTTCTCCTCTGATACTCACTCGTTCAATAAAACTTTCAGAAGTCCCAATGTTCTTATAATAAGAACTTTAATTTGATTTCTCTCCACAATTAAATTTCGATTATAAAATAGAATCACAACTCAACATCCAAGGTTCTTCAAACATGTGTTGGAGGCTATCAAAGTAAGTCCTTACCCACCACGCGTCCCAAATATAGATCTGATTTGTAAATCAATGACACATCCCATATGCGTTGCATGCGAGCCTGGAAATTTCCAAGGTGTGCCTCAGACACAACTCGTCTTAGAATCACCCATGCTTCTTAGGTGCTAACAAAGCAATGTGGCTGGGGGCAGCTTAATTCACTTTCCTAAATTTAATAGAAGTGAAAATTTTGCAATAAAAAACAGAAAAAATAGAGTTTTGGTAGTCCTTTATTCTCGTTGTACATGTTTTGAGTTAATGAATCTCTAGCAGCTAATGTATTGGCTGATGATTTCTTCCAGTGCATAACAATTATTAGCATGAAACCACTGCAATGTTACAAAAAACATAGCAGGACAAATAGGCAATAAACTCCTATAATTTACCAGGACAGGGACCATACACTAAAAAAAGTTTTGAGTATATAAAACCTATAAAAGTTCAATACAATCATTGTTGTTGCTTAGCAGAGCCCACAAGCAACTAGTCAAAATTTTTAGAATTCAAGAAGCAAAGAAGAAAGTATAAGTTGAGTATCCACTCATCAGGTTGAACTTCGATGTCCTTTCTCAAATTAAATTCAGATAGTGTTTAAGGGGAGTTAACTTACATCAGAACTCATTTCTTTCTTCTTCTCCTTTTCCTTCTGATGCCACTCATATATTGGGGTGAAATCACAGTCTTCCAAGTTTCGAATAATGTGATTCTTCCCCAATATCTTTCTCCAGTCAGCCATAAAATTCCCTTTAAATTTAGGTTTGCTCATGTAATCGGTATCTAACATAACCGCAAACATTGTTGCAACCTGCAAATAAAATTTGTAAGTATCATGCAGCTAGGAGTAACTAATGAAGGAGAGATTCTGAAAATCTCTTGTGAATGCAATGACAATGAATGCATAATGCAAAAGGAAATATTTAGGAATCCAAGAATGAAAATAAATGGAGAACTATAATGTGTGTGAGAGAGAAAGAGATGCACCTCCTCTTGTTCAGGTGTTAAATCAACTTGCTGCCCCTTGTAAAGCATCTTAACACCATGAGGCTTGTATGGAGGTGGGAAAATGACGCCATTATGAATCAATGTAGTCCATTTCTGTCCTTCTCCAGAGCTAGGGGGCACGTTTGACGACTTCGAGTATTTTGTCTTTTTAATCACTTTCTTGAACTTCTTACTTGTTTTTTTCATTGAAGAAGACGCAAGTTTTGACACTTTCTGTTGTGTAGCTGACTTATTACCTTGGGTAGCTGATTTCTTGATTCTCTGGGAAATAGGAACATGGTCATCATCGTCATCATCTGTCTTTTTTTCTGCTTTCACAGATCCTTGCTTACCGCTCATTGTGGTAGTTGAATTAGAAAGCTTCTGTTTTTTAACTGAAGACTGACTTGAAGATTTGACCTCACCTGGAGGTCGCTTATTCGACACTATAGAAGATTTTTTAAGTTGATTATCCCTGCTGGTGGGACCATTTTGCTGAAATTTCGAGGCCAAAGGTTTACCTTCATCAGAGTCATAGGATTTGCTAGTGGATGCCCCTGCATAGGACTTATGTTGGAACTTCGATGACAAAGGTTTTTCATCATCTGAATCTTCACATTTATTAATTTTTGGCTTCGAAACTGACAATGAACCCGCACTGTAAATGCCCGGCACTTTGTCTACATGGTTGGAGTTTCCTTTTGATAATCCAGCTGAAAGTCTAGTGCTCAGTGGTTTATCATCTTCTGAATCCTCGGAATCCCCAGCAGATTTACTGGATGGCTTCTCCTCCTTAACAACAGTGGCTGCATTCTGTTGAGATGAATTTCTTGATCGGTCAGTTAATGAAGTAGATGTTTTTAAATTTGTCATGCGCGACTTAGCTGGAGAAACCTCGCCAGATGAAGTTGAAGGCTTGGGGCTTGCCGTAGGTGAATTCACTGGTGATACCTTGGTAGAGGGCACTGTCTTACCCTTTTGTAAGTTGGAACTTTGACCATTGGGGGAACACACATCAGAGACTGCCCTCCCAGCTTGTCCATTTTGCTTTTGAGATGATGACTTCTTCGTCTCCGGTTTTGCTTGATTCTGCTTAGATGTTACATTCCTCCTTTTAAAAACTAAGGGCATATCATCCTCATCAACATCGTCCATTAGTTTTTGATTGGTAACTGACTGAACAGCCATTATCCTGATATGCAATGTGTAGTCATGTATAGCATACCAATTTCTGCAAACCACATGGGTTTTTGTGGTATTTAGATTTTAGCAATTGGGAGGGAGTGGGCAGCACAAGATATTATTAAAACTCATAGAAAACAGAAAACTCTCAAATGTAAATCAACATTTCTAAAAATTAATATAGTCACAGAAACTAAAAATGTCAATCACCATAACAAAAATATCACTCATCAAAAAAAGGGTCACAGTTAACATGTGAAAGTGTTGTTTGCTGGTTATTTTAACACAATTATAAGCATGTTGTCAATGGATTCAGCATCTGTATGACTTTAACTTAGCTCAACTTCAAGCATGTCTGAAGCTGGTATATCTGATTTCAGAATTCCATCATTCCAAATGCAACCATGCATTGGATTGGAGGACTTGAGTACATGGTCTATGGGTCATTAGGTTGACAGGCTGAGTTCAACTGAGTTTCTTTCTTGTGGCAAACAACGACAAAAAATGCAACCATGCTTTGTACCCGACAATGTAAGGTGCATATCTAAGAAGAAACACGCACCAATTTCATATAATAATTAACATCATCTACAAATAAACAGTACTTATCCAATGATTCCAATCTATTGTACACTATTACAGATACCTTGGCAGGTGAGATACATATAAACATGAAACCAGTAGAAATTAATAAACTAACCAAAACAGAATCCAAACAGGTATTTCATATAAACAAGCACGTTTTTCTAGTATGTGTTATCATTCAACCCAGAAAATTCCAAGTAGGGTCAGAAAATGAACAAACTCATATAGCTTTACTGGAAAAACAAATGGCCAAAGGTAGTTCACCTGTTCAGTAAATAAAAAAAAATACCTTATACTATATACCTCTACTTACGTAAACTCCCCATTTATAATTAATTGGACATATAAGTACGATAAATTGCACAAAAGAACTTCTTGCGTTACAAACCATGTTTACAAACTTATTCTTTAGTTTTCGGAAACGTGTGGAGCTTCTCTTGTTTGCTCTCCAAACCCTAGAATCGAATTTTTTCTGTTCTTTCTTTAAAATGAATGGTGCGATTATGCGTCTATAAATAAATAAATATATATATATAGATATATATGTATATATGTATGTATGTATGTATGTATGTAGAGAGAGGAGTGATTACCAGAAAAAGAGAGGTAAAGTGCGCGTTGGATCTGTGGAGAAAAGAGAAGCTTTTGATCAGCTTGAGCGTCCTTGAAGGAATAACAAGGAAGGATGAAGGATGATGATGTGATATGAGAGAGAGAGAGAGAGAGGGAGCTAGGTGTGAGCAGAAGAAGTAGACCGGAACAAATACAACCGACCCGACCCACCAGCCCAACAATAATAAACAGATACAGAACAGATAGCCAGCTAGGTGCACCAAAACAGACCCAAGGGTATTCAATTCAAACCCATACCCAGGGGCAAGAATCAAATCCAAACCCGCAACTTGACCGTGGGTTCCTTTATCTCCGAGACTTCGAGTTGTTTGGTAAGGGAGTACGGGGATGAAGTTGACATGGGTTTGAAAAAATTTGTCTAAAGGATCCCCTAACCCTATATTTAGATTAAAAATTCAATAATCAGTTCTTAAACCCGGTTTGACCCGAATATTAAACCCATAATTATGAATTTCGTCAAACTTAAAGGGTGGGTTTAGAAAGATAGATAAGGGGTTAAAAATATAAAAGGCAATCATACTCCTTAATATGAGTATGAATTGAATTGATTAAAGATAAAATAATCATTTATAAGACAAATAATTGTTCATAATTATGATATATCTGTCGAACCGGCCCAACTGTATTAAAATAAAAGCGTGAGTTTTAGATCTCAAATTTTTAGAAGGCCCCATAATTTTAGGTACATAACTAGTCCACATAAAAAATTAAAATCCATGAAAATCTTATGTCTTACAAAAATGCCCCAAAAAATTTAAGTCCAATCAAAAAATTATAATTTCAATAATTTGGTTCCACAATTCAATCCATAATATTAGAAACTCAAAAATAAAAAAAAATATTCAAAAATCAACTAATATTTACTCACATTCATTCTCTCTCTCTCTCTCTCTTAAAAACACAAATATAAAAACAAAGTATCACATTCTCCTCCCTCACTTAAAAAAAATTAAAAATATATTTTGGTTTTTTAAAAATAATACTAAAAATAAAAAACTCCCATTTAATATTACCACTTTAACCCTCAAATTACATTTAACCGCTCTTGTATATTTGTAAGTCCTATATATGTATTATGTTTTACATACCAAACATAGATATGAACATGATTCAATGTTTAATCTCTTATTTATAAAGAGGAATTTGAGTTTAAAAGAATTTGAAGAAACCAATTCAAACCCTCTCAAAAAATCTATCCAAACAAGTCTTCAGGGCTAAAATAAGCATCCTCTATTTTTAGGCCCAAATTAGAGTCGGGCTAGTTCCCGACTCTAATTCAAAAAACTCTCATTCAAATTTGTTTATGCATAATTTTCAGGCCAAAGTGAGCTCATTCCTCGAACCTAATTCGAACATAATTCCAACCAGAACATTACTGAAGTATCAATAGAACAAGTAGACTGCAACGAGTCGGCCAATATTCTTTATAGGTCACAAGTCGTATTGAAAGTGTAATATAAGACAGCATTTGAGGCTCACTCAATCATGAGCGCTCATAGCGTAGACCAAGTGGGTAAAGAGACGCAAGTTCCAAAAGAATGGGCCTTAAGGGTAGGACTCTTGAGCGATCGTAAAACGAAATCGAACCAACTACAATTTCATCGGTGAAACCACCCTTGTTTATTGAGGTAAAATTGGACAAATGGAAAGCTGAAAACAATCAAATGGAAAGAGTAGATCAAAGCACATACATCAACTGCCAAAGTGTGTGCTGTTATATCACATTAATATTTGAAGTCAGCTCAAAAGACAGTTACATTACTATCAGACCAGACCCCAGATGTAATAGCAGCACCATAAAATGAGGAACTTTCCACCACCCACGCCACGCTGAACAATCAATAATGCATGGCGAAGGAGCTGTCGAACCATCTACTCATTAAGCCAGCCAGATGAGTTTTGTTGTGAGAAGGGAAGATAAGGACCAGGAGCAAAGCCTAATGAATCAGCTCGAAATCCAGGCCGAGGAGGTGGTGGATCATACATGCCACTTCTACTCAGCAAAGGTGGCTGAGACCCCAAACTATTTACCCTTGCAGGGTTTAACTCATCCAGCCGGGGTGCATAACGCTGCATTGTGGATGTGTGTGCCCTGCTGTAAGATGGGTCTCCTGCTAAACCAATATGCCCATACGAAGATGAAAAAACAGGATTATGACCTGCTGCTATATAGCTGTCTCTTTGACTCGAAAAATCAGGATCCTGTTGCCCATAAAGCCTAACATGTGACCTTATATCTGACTCCCTTCCATTCAACAAATCAAGATCTTGTTGCCCATAAAGCCTAACCTGTGATCTTATATCTGACTCCCTTCCATACTTCTCCTCCATCTCGGTAAAGTATGACCTATAACCAAGGCTATCTGTGCTCGCTCTCTGGTGATCTTTCAATTGTTCCTCTGATTTCCTAATCCCGTAATCAGGGCCAGGAGAAGCACCATATGACAATCTTTGAGTCAAAGTTGAGTAAGGCTCCTCACTGTTGAAGCCATAACTCCTTGCCATGTCTTCATCAGAATTCCCATATCCCATCCGAAATTGTGAATGTGATCCAGAAATGCTCTTGCGCTCAAAATGCCCATAACTTTGTTCCCCAGCATCTTTATGTGAAAGAATCTCAAGAAGTTTAGATGACTGACTGTCCAATGATTTGTCACCAGCTATACTGGGTGGAGAATGTCGAGGCTGAGAACGTTGGCCATTCTGGTCATCCTGTGACATCTTGCCTGATCCTCTTTCTCGCTTTCTTTCACCACGATGTCTCTTCTTTGAATTTTTGGTTGATAAATTCTGCCCATGGCCATGATTCTCGTGGCCTTCCATGCCACTGTTCCCGTGACGGAAGCCATCATTAGGACTTTCAGTCAAACTAGCACCTCTTTCTTGGAGGTGTGCTTGTTCATCTGGGACATGATGATCATCCACCAGCATGGGAGTCCCACCATTAAGATCATGACCCTCCACTGTCAGATCAGACACACGTGTTTCAAAACCATTTTCCTCCAGAGATAGCTTTTCTCGTAACTTGGATAAGTGGCCACACTGTTGAGCAATCGCCTTATGTTTGGCAGTCCAATCTGGGCGACTCCAAAGATAAAGAGGTGGTGCATTCACATTCCAATCCTCCAATTGTTTGTCATACACATCAACAGATCCAGGCAGATAAAAAGACTAAAACAAAAAAATACACAAAAGTGAGTCACTGTACAAGCTCACATCCTCATGAGTGTAAACGTGTGTGCATGTGAGAGCACATTTATGTCTATCCACAGAAATAAGCCAGGAGGGAACCTCAGAGAATCCTTCCATTTTACCTTTCCCACAAGCAACTCATCATCCTCCCACACCAGATCATATGGAGATTCCTTCTTATCTAATCTGGTGCAAAACAAACAAATGAGAGAGAGAGAGAGAGAGAGAGAGAGAGGAACACAAGAAACTACCTTTCTGTCTCCCGTGGAACTATAAGGATAAGAAGCTTTGGCTTAAACTCAAGTGCTTTGTTAATAAACTTGTTTGCAAGGGCAGCATTTACTCCAAAAGGAGGGTTTAGCCCCATGATCTACTCAATCAACAGAAAGGCATGATAAGGGATTCTGAATATAACCAGCAATTTAAACATCTTACTTGTTAAATAAAATCAAAGTTTTCTCTCACCAATTGTGACCCCGCTGGTAACTCCTTTTGACGGACACTCATCCAGTCCCTCTTCTCAAAGTTAAAATCACTCTGCAAAAAGGATCCATAAATATCCACAAGGCGATGAAATTAGATCAATCAATGACTTTCCAGAAACTGGATCAATCAATGTTGCCAACCCTAATTGACTTGAGAAAGGTCATTTAATAATCTAACAAGGGTTTGATATCACGAATAGCATCTTCTGTCGTGCGCATGTATCAGTATCGGCAGAGTTTGATATGAGTCGTCTCAGACTCAATCACCTCCGATCCGACACCGATATCCTTACACAAATATCCATACGGCGATGAAATTAGATCAATCAATGACTTTCCGGAAATTAGATCAACCAATGTTGACAACCGTAATGGGCTTGAGAAAGGTCATTTTACATAGTCTAACAAGGATTTGCTATCATAAATAGCATCTTCCGTGTTGTATCCCCACTCATACAATGGCTATGATTGAGAAAAGATTTCCCAACAGAAACACAAGCTGACTTTCTTAAAAAATTAAATATAAAAATCCAACTCATCATATAGATGGTCAAAAGTTTTGACCCACCGTCAAAAGCCTAACAGCAGCAAGATAAAGGATAGCAGCTATAAATGTGAATAGGACCTTTCTAGCTCAAAGGTCGTCATCACCCATATCATTATTCGTCACCATGTCAAAGGGTATACAAACAGATTTCTCAAACTCACTCAGCTATTGTCTATAAGTACAATCATACTGTTATCTTTCTACATTTTTTTCCCCAAAAAAATTTGCACAAACTTCTATCACACAAATAGCACAGAACCACGACATCAACAAAACCACATATGGAAAAACTATGCACCAGAATTGCAATTCTAGCATAACACTTCAATTTTAACTTTTGAGAAGCTCCAACAAGAACAAAAATAAAACGGCAGGAAAAAATCAAAGTTGACTTGGAAAAAGAGGCGAGCCTTGTTTTGTGAAATGTTTAAAGACTCAAAAGTGCCACAAGAAATGTCAAAAATGAAAAATTCAGTAAATCCTCAACAATATACATCATAAGACCAAAGTATCAACAAGTTAACGGACTCTTTATTTGATCAGACAAACATCTGTATGAGTACTACATAATGTAACCAAGGGTAGTGGTGTTCACCTTTGCTTGTAAAACATCATAGTTTTTGTATGTGCAATTCTTCCCCATCTCATCAAGTTTTTCTTTCATAAGGCAACTGAAGTCGTTAGAACCACAGCAAAAATCAACAATCTGTTGAAAGAAACAATAGGCAAGCATACTTAAATTAAGAAATAACAAGTACAACACAAAGGCAATCATGTATGATGAAATTATGAGTTAACTATGCCGAACTTATTTACCAAAATAACGTCGTTTTAACATATTTACCAAACCATTATTGTTTTCAAAAAAACATGTCTACTTCAAAACACGCTTTTCAATGAAAAACCCTTGACATTTCATAAATTAAAATGACACACCAAAAACGGCTTTGCCAAAACAAAAGACCGTGAACATGAGTCGAAATAAAAGAATAGAGATAACCTCGAGTCCCCCTGCCCCCACGCGCAGAGGCATCCTTTCAACAGTCAACATGCCCCAGCAGCCCCTCTTCCCCCTATAACTCCCACCTCGCACTGCCCCCTCCTCAGCCCACAGCTCCTTCATTCCCCTTAATCCCCCTACCCTGAACCAACCCCTGGCCTGATCTCTTCCCTATCATCTCACCAAAACACGAACCCTCTTGTGTGTGCTGTGTGCACGTGTGTGTAGTTGAACAAGCGTGTTGATGCAGATGATGTTTTGGAATGGTACTATCTTGATCCAATGAGGATAAAGGTTGGAATAAGAACCAATTTTGTATTTTTAATACCTTCTGCGGACATAAGCCTTTTCCAGCCACACAACCAAAATTTATGTTCTGTGAAGGGGTCTTACTTCTACAACATCAAAATGTCATGAGGTCATCATGTCAAAACTAGAATGTTAGGAGGTCACGTATAATAAACTGAGTTGTCAGGGCATGATTGCAATTTTTTATATCTAACATGCTTGGATTTATGCTTTTACTATGTTTTACTCGCATCATTTAGAGGCATATGGTAATACATCTCCAAGCTGGATAAAATTGATATAAATTTCTCATTGCTAAAGCAACACTTTTAGTAATTAATTACAATTGGCATGTTAAAGGCAGTCCCACGAGTAAGATAAACAGCAGCTTCACATTGGAAAAGCAAAAACCAAAAAGTTTGTACTGATAACATGATCATTCTCCAAGAAACTTAAACATTGCAATGAACCAAGCCACATTATTGATGAGATCAAGCCCAGCCAAATAGAACATTCTCTACCCATGTGCATGCATGACATAATTTGGCAAATCGGTTATCAAGAGCATGATATTCTAAATGACTGAACATGAATACAACCACTTCCTCATAATGCGTGCACAAAACTAGTCCATAAAAATCTAAGTTGAAATACATTCCAGAAATAGGTTACATATATTTACAGGCAAAACTAACACATGTAAAAAAGGGAAATACAGATTCTCACCATATCACCTTCTTGAACATACCAATGGAGCTTATCAACAATCTGCAAAATGAAATTATGCTTTCAGCATCCACCAAAATTTGATGCAAGTGTTCAATTATTCTGCTCAACATTTGTAGAGAACAAAGCAGAAAGCCAAAATATAGTTATGGACAAAACATCGAAGAATAGTAACCAGTGTTGGCCCCCAATGCAGGGGTTAGGAGAAATGGATTGGGGGTACAAACTACAACAAATATTGGCATTATTTGCACCGAGTGGCTACAATCAAAGTCCAACAAGAATTTTGCCAATCCTGAGTTAAGTAATGGCTTCTTTGTCAGTGAAAACATGCAAACATAAAAGCTTTTTCAGATACACTTACAAAGATAAAACCAACAACATAATAGAGGGGACAAAAAAGGAAGAGGGAGGGGGTGGGGGGGAAGAGAGACAGCATGTTCCCTGAAGCTATGTCCAAACAGTCTAAATGGAGCCTCTAAAATTGTTAATTCAATGCACATCAAATTGAACTGACACTCAAAATATTCATATTTTTTGCAACATACCTCCAACCAGAAGGAATAACAAATAAGGAGAGGTCTAAAGATATCAACGTAGGTCTTCATCGGAGCATTTGCATTCGAACTTCTGACCAAACCCATCCATTTTATAACTCTAGTCTATATGCCCTCCAGGATCAAATTGAGATCAACGTAGAGCTCTAGATTCTTGAAGAAGGGATTTAATGCTTTGTCGTTTTCTACTAGGCCATTCTCCTTTCTATGAATTCCTCGCAAAATTTTAATTGAAAAAAAGGAAACATTGTATATAGGCATTTGAAAACCATAAGGATAAGAGTTGGATTTTTGGGAGCAGTGGGTTCCACATGCAGCAGAATCAAACACAGAAAGAAACTATGAAAAGAATGAACATTAGAAACACAATCCTCTTGAACAAACAGGTGTAATTTTAAAATAATGACCTTTTATCACAAACAATGGGTCCAATTTATTTTGAACCCCTTAGTCACGTTAACAACAAGCTTATGGAACTGCAAAGAGATCAATATAAACATATATTATGCAGATAAAAAATAATTCTAGTAAGACAGTACATGCTTGATTTATGACACCAAAAAAAAGAGAGGTAATCATCCTTGGGATTTCTACACGTGGTAATATGGATAATGATGGCAAAGAATTCTCATCTGGTAAGCAGTTCTTGAGTGGGTCATGAAGTAGAACAAATATGAGTTACTGATAATACCTATAAAGAAAGAGATTTTTCCCAACAAAGCAAAAAATTAACTCACCTCTTTCAGCTTGTCCACTTTTGTGAAATGGCGACCAAAAGATGTGTAGCGCATCCCATATAGAAATGGTGCCAGATACACTTTTAGCTTGTTCTACAACCGTAGAAAACAAAAATAGATTTAAAGACATTTACACCATATAAAATATCAAATTTAATAAAACAGATATAAGAACATGGAATTGCAAGACGAAATCTCAAGAATCTCACATGCTGTTGCAATAACATTCAAAAAAACAAAATGTTAAAAAGGCACTTTTCCAATTCCAAGATACCAGATCTACCATAATTACTCCAGCATTTCTGTTATACAATAGAACATAGTAAAATTATCAAAATGAAATCGCTATACCTAGTTCAATTCACTGAGAATAAAATACATTTGCAATCAATATAATCAAATCCATTTTGTTAAATATCACCATCTAGAATAGAGACAGTACCAGAAGCAATATTTCAAAAAGAACTATTAATTAGTTTGTATGGAACAACAAAAACCTAATAAATATGATATTAATTCTGGATCCCCGTTTCAGTAACACAAAAAGGAAGTGACAAGTTCTTTAAAGAAATAGACCCAAGACTGGCAATTCTGGCTTCATTGGAAAAGCAACACTAAATGGGCTCCAAAATCTCTGCTTTATTTCACTACATTCTCTAATCAATCCAGAAATAAATGAATTCAAAAGGGCCAACATAAAATCAGTTAGTATTATTCTCGGTCAGATGCTTGAATAACCCACCTTGTAAGCTGTGGTGGTACCTATGGATGCTGACAACAAAACCACTCATAACAAGAAGTCACATGATATGTTTGTAACCACGAATAGAGTGGTGTGTTGTCTTTGCACAAATAATAAAATCTTTTGCATTTCCTTAACTTGAGTAGAAGGAGAAAAGGAAGCTACAGAAAATCATATCCCATAAAAGAATGTGGTCTTCCATCGACAATCTGATAAATGTACATTACAAATTGCAGTAGGTAAAGTACCATGGATCAGTATCCTATGCCAAGATGCATCAAGTCAAAAAAGAGAAAATAACCCAAGGAAAATTTTGACAAAACCAAAGATCGGTATACAAACAAGGTTATGTCTAGAACTGAAGCTAACGACAAACTTTAAATAAGGAATTTGTTGAAGAGGAATGTAGTTTTTGTTGGGAAATGATTTGGAGGTTCCCATTAGAGCAAGATTCATTGTGACACTTAGTCATTAAGAGCAAATATGGATTACAAGATAATAGGTGGGATGCTAATGAGGTTGAAAGGGTTAACTTCGATATCCGTGGAAATTAATTTTTAGGGATTACCCTACTTTTTGTCAGAGGATTAAGTTCACGGGGGAGATGGACAAAGGGTTCATTTTTGGGATGACATTTCAGGATTCTTCGCTTTCTAGTCTATTTCCTTATCTTTACCGAATCTCTTGCTATCATGGTCATTAGATTGCAGCTCTTACTTGGTCATACTCTTACGCCGATTCTTGAGATTTTGGTCTCCATACAAGTCTTACTGATGGAGAATGTTAGAGTTGATTGTGCTTGTTGGACTATTGATCCAATCTAAAAAACAAAGACACGGACACGATACAAACACGTAGATACGACATTTCTCAAAAAAAATAAGATACAGACATGTTGGGAATACGCTATGATAAGTAATTGTTATCTAGTGTGAATTTTTAGATTAAAGCATCATAATAGTCAATAATCATTAATAATTTTTAGATAACATGTGTTCAACATATATAATTTAAATGATTGTTATTGTTTTCTCCATTTCTCTATTTTAAAACTTTTTATGCATCTTTTGCTTTAATTATTATATTTTGAGTACGACTTTAACATATCTTGTATCGGTAATTATATGTTCTGTTATAATATAAGATATTTATAGTCAAAATTTTCAATTTTTTTAATCACTTGTCAACATATGTTTATTGTTTAGTACTAGGCATAGTCTAAAAAAGTATCAGACACTTCACTAAAGAAGTTTTGGACACGTGTCTAATATTAAAATTTTTATCATTTAATTATGGACACGGATAAAAGAATATCGGACACGTGTCCGAGAGTATCGGTGTCCGACACGTGTTCTCGAACACGGATACATTACCTTCTTGAGAGTATCCTTACTTCCTAGAATCCAATGGGTGTGTTCTCATGTAAATACATCTTTGTGTCCTTACTTCCATATTCCTTCCTTTATTGAATATTTCAAATGTCAAAATGCCTTTAAAAGTGCAAATTTGTGTGTGGATAATTAGATCAAAATAAGATAAACACTATTGATGTGCTTCAGATAAGAAGACCTAAGACACTCTTCTCCTACAATGGTGTATTACGTTTAGAGGAGGAAGTGAGAGCATAGATAAGCATTGCCCCCATGGCGTTCTCTCCATGTAATAGTTTGATTTTTTTTGGGGGGGAGGGGGGAGGGGGTGGCTTTGTTAGGTATTACCGAGAACCATGTCATCAATGATGTGTTAAGATGTTATGGGTTGTGGAGGAAATAGAGGGATGAAGATCAACATTGCATTGCGTATTTTTGCTACTGTATGGGGCATTTGGATGGAGAGGAAAGCAAGGATCTTTAAGGACAAATGGGAGGAGGTTGAAGGCTTATGATAACGGTTTTATTTCTTGGCTTCCTTTTGAGCTTTGGTGTTTGAGGAGTTCGAGAATGTTCCCCTTTTGGCATTGTTGTGAGTTGTACAGCTTCGCGTGAAATGTAGCATGGTTAATCTCCATAGTTGTGTTGGATGATTGTGTTTTGACCTGGGTTGGACGATTTGTCCACCTTGGATTGGTTTTTGTAACTTTTTATCTTATTTTATTAATAAAATCACTGTTCCCTATCGAGAAATAAAAAAGTATTGATATACAAACAATGAATCAGAAAAATAACAATAGTAACAACGATAACAACATCAATAAGAAAATAACTCATCATTAAACAACATTGATGAAAGAACAACCCAACAAAAAGATTTCAAAAAAGAACAGCCAATAACAGTCAAGAATTGACAATTACCTTCCACCTCATTATCTGGTTGAGAAGCCCAGGCTCACACACAGCTTTTGCATCTTCAATACTGCACCCTTCTTCTAGCTTCTGTAAAGCTGTGCGAAGAGCCTGCATGTATATAGCAGATAAAGTGTAAAATACTCGCAACAACAAGCATCCGCATAAATTTACAGCTCTAAGGCAAATGAAAAGATACCTCAACAGAACCCTCCACCTTTCCCAAGGTAATTGTCTTGTCTACAGCACTTCTGGATGAGTATGCATGTGTGATCGGCACTTTGTGCTTTTTAATGACCTGTTCCAGCGTTATTGAAGATGCAGCATCTTTCATTAAAGCCAATATTCTACATCTCAAAAAACAAAAGTCAGAACATGAGAGTCCAATGTATCATCAGTTCAAATCACACTCTATAACCAGAAGAAAGCAACATTACAATCGCCATTCAATTTGGTTGAGCTCTAATTTATTTGTCTTTTGAGTTTGAGTGAGAGAGAGATGTGATAATGTAGTTATAAAATTAAAAGTGTCACCTCCTCTTCGCATCAGCATCTAAAGGTGGCAAACTTCTCGCTTCCGTTGCAGGAGGTTCAACAGACTGAGTTTCCTCATGTTCACTACTAGTTATGTCCTCCTTCCTCGTTTTGTCTGGATCGGAATCCTTATTCATCAGGGCATATAGCCTGTCCCCTAAAGAGGTCTTGCTTTCATCAGTGTTGGACTTATTGACTTTAAAAGAAGAAGTCTTGGTCAAAGTCTTTCTGGAAGTATCCATTACTTTAAGTTTCTTTGAGGAACTGGATCCAGACAATCTTCCGTCATTCTTTTTCAAAGAATCACCCTGCTTTAAAGCTGAAGATAACTTTGGCGGTTTCACAACAGTTCTCTTCCCAAAAGTATCGTCTAAGGCCAGACTTCTCCTCTTTGGCGCAACTTGCTCTCTGCTAGATGGCAATTCTGACACTTGCTTTTTTTTTTGTCGATCATCAAAAGGGAATTTTATGTGGTTTCTTACAGGGGTTGCCAGTTCATCATCAATCTCATGTTTTCTGGGGGAAAAAAAGAGTCTAAGCATTTTTTTTTCATAAATAACACAGTAATTAGTTTTCAAGATACTGCAACAAAATCACCAAGAAAAGAAGAAATACAAAAGCTCTTACAAGCAATATATCAATATACGATTGGGCATAAGCCCTTCCCAAGCCCTTTGTACGATGCCCTCTTCCTCTACATCTTCAAAGGAAATCATTCTGACCAAAATAACCAAAACATCAACTATCTATACACTAGTCATTGAATTAAAATCATAAATTAAATGATGCTATTGAGAAAGAACATACGAAAAAGAAGTAAGGAATACCTGGGTAAACATTTCCTGTGATACGACTTTGGACACCGTCTACAAATGGCAAACTGCAAGTCAGGATCCATCTTATTTTCTCCCTGTTTACAGACACAACATTTATGGACAGGGCATGTGAAAGTTTCCCCAGAGGCAATTTTTCTTTGAAGCTTTTCGGCCTCAGCTACACTCTCACGATGGAGCAGTTTTGCTACACAACTTGGATGGTAAAAACGACCACAGGTTGCAGAAACACAAGGAAAGACCTGGAAAACATTAAGAAAAATAAGTTTGGTAATACACATGCAGGCCCTGGCACTACTCAGAAAGAACACTAGTTATACAATTCATACGTAATAGTGGATCTCTGACATTCACATACTAATAAATTAACCTTTGTTAATTATCACAATAGGATAACAATGTATCCATATGAAGAAGGCACGACCTCATAGGGGCATAGTACATGATAGCATCCAGCAAGCATCTATGTCAAGGACAATAAAACAGTGATCTTTGAACACAACTCTCAACTTACTAGATTGTGAAGTGCAAAAGAAAGAGCTAAATGTGAGAATATCAATTCTAAGTATTGAAAATAAGAATAGCTGGTTATTATGTTAGAGTTCACAGTTGGAGGGGGGAAAGAGTGGGCAACAGAAGAAGAAGAAGAAGAGCAGCAAGGTTTTCTCTTCCTTTTTTCAGTAAATAAGAAAAAATTCTAGGACATATGACGGAGATGGAGGAGGAAAACAAATAACACCGAACTCCAGCAGACAAGTGAAATGATTGGATCAACCAAGAATACAGGAAGAAGAACCTAAAACAAATGCTTTGTCCACACACAAAGGAAAAACAAGATAAACTAAAAAGAATCCGAATTCACCAATAAGAAACCTGAGGTAGCTGATCCAGAAGAGCTATAGCTCAGTAGAATTCAAGGTTATGCATATTTCAATATGAAAGTACCTCCAGGGATACATGATAAATATATTCCATAATGACTAATCACGTCCCCAGAAACTGTTAAAGTTAGCCTAGCAGACTTATAGGTCTTGTCCTTAAAATATGCAATAAGGTGCAAGACATACTTCCAATTCTTGTAATGGGCTTAATGCACAGCATTGCATTTCAACATTAAAATGTGTCACTTCATTACTCAATATCATTTGGTATAAAGCAACACATCTTTTAATTCCTCAAAATAACTCATACCTCAGCACCAGACAATTTATCAGAAGAACCCAAATACCCACAAGAATAGCACTGGTGTTGTTTATGTTGGCAATTCTTACAAAAAAAATTCTGAATTGCCTGCAAAAAAAAACATATATTTGAAAAACTGCTAAATTTATGGGCAAAGAGAAAATCAAATCCCACGTATAAAAAAAAAATTTTAAAAAGTTGGTATGAATGGTAACTTACTTCCACTTGCTCATCAGAAAGGCCAAGGGATTCACACATTGAATCAGAACCGGCTTCTTTAGTTGCATGAAACGACCTCATGCACCTCCCTTCACAGCTGTACAAGATCATAAACGTACCATAAATTTTTCCAAGAAAAAAAATTATACTAAAAATGATTATTCTTCACCAAGAAACACCAAAAATTGTTTGACCCTCCAAACAAGTTGCAAAAAGAAAATGGATATACGTTCAAGATTTTTATCTAATTCCTAAAAAGTCTGTTGCTAGGCCATATCAATTGCACTACACCATATTGATTTTAAATTATAGAGGAGGAAGAATGACTTAACAGAAAGTGGTGCCTCTGCAAACGATATTGACCAATTTATAGCAGGAATTACGCAAATAACATTACTCAACCAGGTCGATTTTAATGATATCAGAGCACAATAGGCTAACAATCTAAGTCAAGTTGATACAATGTGAACCACAATTCTCATTCAGTAAATAATTTTTTTGTTCTATTTCAATCCTGAAAAGCATTTTTAACAAAGACTTGGGCAGAGGGAGCCTGTAAGGTGATACAATCGAGTCTTAATACTCTAATGCAAAACAATAGGTACGGAATTGGTCTATAACTTCCCTAACAATTTCATAGCTAGCACAACATTCATAATACTTCACTGCATCTCCTACATGATAAGCATAGTGAAGCTCCAAACAATACAGGTGTCCAATCAAAATAACTGATTTTTGTGCTTAAATAAAAACAATTTCAAATACAGTGAAGGCAGTTACAAAACCTTATCACCCCCACCCCTCAGGGAGCGCGCGGGGGAGGAGGGGGGTGGTTCAAAAAGAAAAGTCATACCACAAAAGTTCACCACCATTATCACAAATTGAACAGACAGAATCAAACAGGTCTCCCGCATCATCGTCATCAGACCCATCTTCGTCGGGTTCGTCAATCATATCATCATCAACTATAAATTCAGACTTAACTGTGGTTACAGCATCCTGCCAAAAAATAATGCACACAAGCTCAACACAAAATGTTGAATCAATAGAGAGGGACAGAACAGTTTGGGAGGTATAGAAAGAGGGTGGGATTGTAACCTCTTCAAAAGCTTTACTCTTCTTAGGCTTCTCCTCCAGAAATGTAACTAAAAACTGTTCAACAAATTAAAATTTCATTAATATGAACTTAAACAAAGATCTCCCCAACCAACAAAGCCTTGTCCTCAACTACACTCAAAGAATATCTAAAGAACATAGAAGATTGTAATCCATGCACACGAATAATTTCAGGAAAAAAATTCTATGGATTGTTAACAGAAACTATAAGTCAATGTTATTCAGTATCCAACAAGGAGAGAATATCTGAATTTCTATTTCTTGCGTCTCAAAATTTGCTTCGGACAGGAGGAACATTATATACGCACACACATACATAACTGACAAAATGACAACAACAGATTTCACAAGCATTTGATAACTTGTTGCATGTAACTAGATTTTCTGTTTATTATTTGATGAATCACAAGATGCTCTTACCGAGGTTTTCTACTTTAATGGTAATGGAAAAACAATACAAACCTTGGATTTCCCTAATGTTTCATCCCTTTTAACAGCTTCACTTATTAAATCCATGTGATCCACGAGATCATTCTGTGAAGGCTTAATCTCGTACAAGCTGCAAATTGTGTATTACTGTGAAAAGATGCAAAAAACAACCAAAATGAAAGACAAATGGGCTAAGAAATCCATCTGAAACCTGAATACTTTAGACAAACGATCCCACAAAGCTTTCCCAGATGATTCTGGATCCTTTTTCACAAAGTGTAAGCAGTGCACAGTGATCAAGATCGTCCTTATTACATCTTCAAAACTCTTCCTTGGCTTGTGAAGCTTCATCCAACTATTTTCCTTTGATAGCACTGATATCTCTGGTTCTGCATTTGATAGATCGAACTTCCATGCTGTGACCTGCTTATATATTTTCTGAAGCCCATTATCAGCAGTTCCATGCAAAAATATTTGTTTATTCATGCCATCGAGGCTCTCATTCTCAATCCACTGAACTGGCAACTGCGAAAAAGCAATGGGCTCATCCTTTTCATCCACAAAGTGGTAGTTTGATACAGTATGTGGCAGAGCTTCAACCTCATCATCTGAAGATGACATTCTCTTCTTCCTGCCACACCATGACCATTACTTTGTGGCCTTAACAAGATGCTTATAATAAACATAAATAAATTAATAAAACAAAACGAAGAAACAGAAATAGAGGATGTGTATGCTCAAAAAATGTTCCAAATAATACAGTCAACACAAAATCTGCAGTTATAGAGTGTAATGATATCAAATTTATGAGAACAACAGAATTTCTCGGGCAAACCTATAGCATGAAAAAATAAAATAAATTCAAATTTTCCTCCCCAAACGTTCCATTGCTTGAAATCCCAGAAACACAAAAGCAGCGAATCAACTACGCCAATACAACCATTTAGAATAGTTGAATGAACTTTTTCAGTGTTCAAAAAAGAACCCCATCAAACATGAGACTCAAAATTTTCTTTCGTTTTCCATTCCTTAATTTCCCACGCATCCAAATAGAGAATTATAATCCTATCCTGACTTACAATGGCCTGACACATCCAATTCTCTTAATTAAAGAGATTTATTCACTTTTTCCATGGCCGGCTCAACAGTAGAGTCAAAAAAAACATGGCCCTATATATTAAAAAGGCCCCAAATTTTAGAATTCAATAATGAGATATAGATCAAAATTAAAACCCATTATAATTTAGATTAACAAAAAAACTCCTGAAACTCTCATCATATGATTTCAATTTCAGAAAAACAAAAGAAATTAAGACTCACACAGAGACTGACAAACAGAGAGAGGACGGGGGGAGAGGAAAAGGGAGGGAGAGAGAGAGAGAGAGAGAGAGAGAGAGAGAGAGAGAGAGAGAGAGAACCTGGGATGCTTGTGGCTTCAAAGAGGAGCGGTGAGAGAGGCAAGAGTCTCTGAAACTCGAAGAAGAGGAGTTTCTAGGGATCGATCGACTGAGAGAAGCAGAAAGAAGCGAGAGTCTCTGAGACTCGAAGAGGAGGAAGCGATAGGGATCTTTAATGTTTTTGGTGCACACGTTAACACGCTAGGTGGTGCACGTGCAATTATTTTGAGGAATAGATCATGTATTTTATGCACGTGGATTATTTTTGTATATGCATTTGTTAGTTTGACGTTGGATTTAAGATTAAATCCAACAAAATTCTATTGTCAATGAAATGAATTTGGATTCAATTTTAATTGATATCTATTCGAATTGATTCACAAAACTTGAATTGAATTCGATATATATAATGATTTTATTTTATTTATATTTTTTATTCAAATATATGTTTAGACCCGAAATACTAAATTACAATTAATTTTAATAAATCACGCTGAAATTTAAATTCATATTAATCATATTTAAACTTGATTAAAAAAAAATTGTTGCTTAAAAGAAATATAAAATAATCAGATTAGATTAGAGTGGCAGAAACACCAACATTGGCTCAAATCACCCTCTCCACAGCCTCTCATAACACAAACCAGAAAGAAATAACTAAATAATTTATTACTTAACATCAATGCAATTACTGTCAGAAACATACATCTGAAACTAGCAAAGTTTATTTACAAACGAACAGAGAGAGAGAGAGAGAGATTGTACAAAAAGAAAAGACAAATGTATCTCAAAAGTAACAGGTTCTACAAGACTCATTCTCCTTTATGACCCAGGAACATAGTGCAGTGCATTTGTTCTGGTTTTGCAGCAGCAGTATTTATCTTATTGACCACCTTTACCTTGAAACGATTATTTTTCCTTGATCTCTCTGTATTTCTTTTCATACAATTCTTATTTCTCATTGCTCCTGTCCAATTTCATGCAGTGAAACATTTGCAACTCTCATTCAATCTGTTCTGGGGCGTCTTTATTTTCAACTTCTGAGGACACCGTAGTACCAGAATCCACATCATCAATAGTCAAGTTCAAGAATTCACCACCCGGGGAGCTTTCACCAACCATGGACTTCTCATCTCCACCATTCATAGACGGTTCCTGGGATGCACCAGGACTAGCAGCAGCAGCAGCAGCAGCAGCAGGGGATGGACACAGGAAGTTTTCATATTCACCATTAATAGACGGTGTTGGTGATGCATCAGGACTAGCCACAGTAGTAGCAGGCGACAGAGATGACTCCGGCTCTTCCACTGGCTGCTGAAGGCTCCAGTACATGATGCTAGCTGTAAGAGAAAGGATCATCTTTTGGTTTACCTGCCATAAATCACCACAAATCCCTCCATGATTATGATGCAGAAGATACAACACAACGCCAAGAACTATTATGAATCGTAAGGCTTTGTCAGCGGTTTAATGCAACCACTCTCATTCCATTTGGTGGGAAGATGGTTAGGGATTCACTTGATCGGAAGATGGTGGGAATTAAAACGAAACTCCACATGCCACTATGCAAGTGACTCATTTTTTCATAATACTGCAAAAACAACATTGGCAGCTGAGCAGAGCAATGTATAATTGTAGAAACAAACAGTACAACTTCCATATGAGAATTTGCACTGTCAGCAGAAGAAGCATTCTCTGATATGCAATGACTATTTGATTCTCATAAGCTACATTAATTGTCCAAAGAACAGAGGAATTTCTGAGCTTGGAGATAAAATGTAAAACAAACAACTAAAAAACCTCATTACATTTGTTGCTATCTTACCTGCATGATGTCTTCAGGCAACAAGAAAATTGAACATCCAAGCTTTCTTGCAACACTAATTATATAAGTAGCATTCAACTTCTTCTCTTCATCTATCATATCACCAACAAAAGCAAGTCATTTTTCCAGAAGCAAATTTATATCAGAGTAAGAAATTCACAGAAGAATGGGAAATAGATATAGAGTAACTAAAAAGAACATTCAATTCCATCTACTCTCCATTGGTTAAGTGGAGAACTTAACATCCATTTAGTTGCTATGAAATTGGAGGAAAAGAAAGCACAGAGAGTTTGACGACCTCTGTTGCTTCCAACTCAGCCAGCCCAAAAAAAGGTACTGCTCCTAGGCTAATAAGAGGAATCTACACAAAAACTTGATCACACTACTTTTGTTCCTTTTACTTATGTTTTCAATCAATCAATCAAAGCCTGGTAGCAAAAACTCACGAAGTTCCATTTTCCTCAACCAACCAAATTGGAGCTTATTACTTCCATAAAAGATTTCGCAATGGCAAATAATCATATCACTTTCACCCTTGGTGACAAGATTCCAATTGACAACCCTTGGCTCCACTGCACTGAGAAGCCCAAGTAAAAACAATCCACTTGAAAGGTTCTTATCCTGAACAAGCATTCCAAAAACACACAAACACCTCCAATCAGTCAAAATTCATAATATGATAAGTAATACGGAAAGGAATGCAGACTTTTAACCTTAAAACTCTCAATTTGAGTAGTTCTGCCGGTGCTCTTCACTTTTTTGTTTGCCCAATTTAAGATATCAGTGTCGGCAATCTCTTTCCCTTGGAAGCGAGATCTCAAGTTTTTCAAGAGTTGAAGCATATTAAACCTCATCAACTGCCACAGGAAAGCTGAAACAAAGTAAATAAATTTGAGCTCTTTGGACCACCAATGATTTCAAATACTGCAAGATGCCAAAACTCCTGAAGCCAAGGTCAAAGATGGATGAGGTGAACTAAACTTGAGGTGTCAAGTCCATGTACTTGGTCCCACGCTGTTAGGAAGAATAGATTGCTGGGCTATTTATGTGTTAATCATGCTGTAACCAACGCTTACCATTAAGGCATAAGCTTTTAAGGACTTAGAATCAAACTCCACTCCCCAAATGAAAACTTGTCACGGCCTTGAGTGTAGCAGCTGAAGAACATGGGGTGTGACATTTATCATTTTGCAAATCACTGGTTATAATTTTAACTCGGTTGGCTGCTAATGCCAAAATCAAGTCACAAAGAGCCAACTCCAAAAAACTATTAAAGTCCTAAATTCAAGTCTTCCTCTTGGGACTACCAACACGGACTTCAGTCTAGAATTGTCCAGTGCATGGCTCTAATGGAATGGGTTATGTACTCGGGGACCAGTGGAATTTTGATAGATCTGGACACCTTTGCCACCAAAGAGATAACTAAAAAACCAATATGTGAACCTTACCATTAAAAATCACCCCATTGCAGACATGCAAAACATGCTCAGCCTTGAGAGAGGAACCCAACTGAGATATCACAGTACAAGTTAGCCAAGGCAAGGGAATGTTCTTTTCTTTCTAAATATGTTTGCCTTTACTAGCCAAGAAGACAGGAACATAAGCAACTATGTTTGCTCTACCATTGTAATCATTGCATGTATACATGATCCTACTTTTGGTTCCAAACAAGACTCGGGGCTGCTATGGAAATTAGAGATAGCAACTTTTTGAACCCCGGACCAAACTAGCCAGTTGGTTATCCAAACAAAGTAAAAAACCAATTACAAGTTCCCATAAGAAGATTCTTCATTCCCTTTAAAAAATTTAAAGAAGAAGAAGAAGAAGAATTTCCATCCAGATGATGATGGATGTATCACTTCAACAAGTTAAACCCATCTGTGTATATTACTCTTACCTATTAAACTACAATTATTTGCAGAAAAAATGAAGTTGACATTCCCAACTAGTAATTCTTTTTAAGCAACTATTTAACTGGAATGATTTTTTCTCCCCTGTTTTTTCCGTGTTTGTGTGTGTTGGAACAGGAAATATGTATTTGATTCTACCCTTCACTGCATCTTAGCAGGCTCATTAGCAAATGAATATCCATGATTCAGCTCAATGAACATGAATCAAAATACAATTTCCAGATCTGCATCTGGATTGCGAAACACACTTTATATCACATTTTACTGAAATGAATTGACAATTAGTGTACATTACTTGCCCCACAGCACATATCTAGATGATATGAGATAGAAAAGTCAATCAGGCAGTTTCACTTTTCAGTAACACATGAACAAAAGCAAGGAAGAACAAGTAAAATAAACCACAAATCTGTCAATAATCAGGGTGCTGGGTTGTAGAAAATAAATTTGAATGAGATAAAAGCATAAAGCACATTACCAACTATGAGCTTCTTATTCCCTTGTACAATATCATTTCCAGCCACATTCACCAGGGAAAATTTTAATTGCTTTCCGATCCTAATAACTTGGTCGCAATTTTCTACTTTTCTAAATGGCATTTTAATGGGAGGTTTTGTTGCCTGCTTCCAGTTAACTGATCCCGGAGAAACGCTGTCTAGCACCTCTAGAATTATCCATATGCATGCATTACAGGTCCACAACAAACCAGATAAGAGAATATTGTTGCATCATAGAAACAAATCCCAAGTTTCAAAATCATTCTGACCCAACAATAATAATAATTCATTGCCTGATAATTGATCAAAATCTTATTATCTAAAATAGGTGACTATGATAATGACTAAGAGACTACTAGACAGGATGTATTAAAAAAGGATTTCAGCACAAATTTCAAGTAGAACAACCTACAGTTCCACAAGTAATCTGTAATTCTTGTATTGCATTCGAATCTGAGTACTACAGTGGAATTATCAATAGAGATGAAACGCGCACCCATTTCTAACATCCTCAAATAAGTTGTTCACATAAGAAGCAATTCCAAGACTGTTGATCCATAATCGAAAGCATCTCTCTTCTCCAGATATTTGCTCATCATCGGTCATCATATCCGCAAAGGAGATCTTGCTGCTGTCTGCAGACAAGCCATTCCTGCAAAAGGTTCTACATTCTTGAAAACATGCTCAAACACTCAAATCACATATCTAAAGACAAAAGCAGCGTAAAACAAAAGAAGAATTGACATTTGATCTTGACACAGCCAAATTCAATATAAGGAGCATTAGTCGAAACACGAGTGCAACTCACAAGTATTAGGCTTCATGACACTGAAGAGACGACTTTCAAAATGGAAAAGAGTAGGTAAATCTTCCAACGGTGCCATATTACTTCAAATTGACTAAAACAATACGACAGACAAACTAAATATACAATAATATAGCTTTTATACCAGTATATCTTCAAACATCATATTAGCACTAAACTAAGGGTCACTAATGACTGGAAGATTTTTTTGCCCGTGTAGGCAGCACATGCACAAAACAATAAAGCCATAACCTGCTTTCTGCAAGTCAATCATTCCTACGAATAAAAATGATGCAAGTTGAACTACCGACATCCAATACTAACTCCCTCCATATGCTGTTGTCCGATAGTGTATTCCACCAAAAAAAAAGCGGAAAAAAAAACCCTAAATGTTGACTTTCCCACCATTGGTGGAATATCTGTGCAACGAATGCAAGATTCAAATTGGGTGACCCTTCAACAATATCCTTTGGGGTTAAGTATCTTTTGCAGTCCATTTTTTCTGCATGCTCGAGCACCAAATTAGCCCTCTCATTAGGATCCTTGGCATTTAAGTTAGCCGGACTACAGTGTTCTGGTGCAAGCACGTTAAGCAGGTAAGCATAAGCTTCTCCATCCTGCAGTGTAGAAGCAAGTATGCAACAGTACTGCACATAATAAAATTTGCAAAAAAGTAGTCCAGTAGTGAAGTGGATCAAATATGTGCTACAGATCGTCCTTGGACTGCGCAGTTATTAAATGGTGGTGCTGAATCTTTTGTCTTGAAGTGATGATAGACTTTGTAGTTTCCAATGAAAATAGGTAGACATGATCGGTAAGGCAGAAAAAAGTAAGACTTTAGAGTTAAGTTTCTTTTATGTTTATCCCTGAATAAGCTCCAGCTCCAAGTCTCCAACTCAGACTCTCACCTTATCGGGCTCAACTGCAGCTCTTAGTTATCTTACTATATTTTATCCTGGGAGTGCAGAACTCTGACCCTAACTCACATGATCAGCTCTAAATACATAAATCATTATATTTTACTTGTAGTCTTGTAATTTGACAACCCTCTCCACAATCTCAAACACAAACAAATAGATGAAGCACAGTACTACCTAATTAGTGCAAAAATATGCTACTAGTTGAGCCTTAAAAATTCGTAGTCACTGTTAGTGAAGAGCTTAAAGGATGGCTAGATACCTTCAAGTCAGAGGAGAAATTTGTTATGGGTTTCTTGTAGCCTGCTTTCTTGAGATGGAAATTCATCCATTTTAACAAGACCTTTTCAGGGGCTAATCCCATAAGCTCCTCAACATCCTGCAAAATTTCATAATGCAGAGTGATGCTCTATCACCATACTTCATCCAGAAAATACACAGACGACCAAAAAAAATATTTAACGCTTCAATATCCTGACATATAAGGCAATGAATATTCAATTACATTGCTCTCTTCCACCAATTCCACAAGCTGAGGTGTCTTCCTAAGGTTGAGATCCGCCAAGAGTTGAATCTGAAGGTGCACTTATTAGTAAGTTATTCCAATCGAAAGACGAAATATATCAAGTAATCAATTTACAAACTACAATCTTAATGCCTCTATGATTACGATATGAACCCCCATCATACCAGCGAATGTTTCCGCTATAAGGTAAAAGAATCATAACTATAAAAACGTAAGGTCTAAATGCCAACCTTTATAATTTGAGAAATCAAACCAAGCACCAGATGAGGCTGCAAGATGGAGATGGACAATTGAAGTAACAAATTAGGACTCCAAGAATCCATTAATGCAACTCATATGGATACCTGAATTAGCTCCACTCACTCTTCCTTCAACCAGATCTTGGGTGCCGATGTTAACTACAGTGCTGCCTGTAGCCTTTGCAGAGTTGAGGCAAAGTGTACGGTTCTCATTTCTTTCCCATGGGTTGAGTACTCTTTTGGTGTTCATAGCTCGTTCATCTATCGTATTCAGCACAGCAACATTGATCAGCTTACTGCATCAGGCCATGAAACATATCAAAACCACCGCGAGTTTCTATAGACATAACAATGTACAATATTTCAAAAGAGACCGTGGTTATATACCATAGAAGAACTCCATCTTTTGCAAGATCAAATAGGGCATTTGTAGCTGGATCTATTGGAAGAAACTGCTTCAAAAATGGGTCATCCCTAAGATAGCTATTGATCTGAGAAACATAAGATGCTTTCTCTGATTCACTAACAGTGTGGACAAGGGTGGTTGTGGTGGTCTTGAGGAATGATGAGGAGTTTTTTGAACTACCCAGCTTGGTCGTAGCTAGAGCTTGCAAATTCAGATAGGCCTGCCAATTCAATACAACAAATTAAGATGTCACTAATGATTATTCAAACCTGAATATAAGTAAATTGGCAGCCTGCTCTCTCCAATGTAGACTGCTCAAAACTATACCTTTAACTCTGAAAAATAAAATTTGCAACCTATTAACTCCTATTATATTTCTTTTCATATAACTATATTCCATTGACCTAATATGCATTTTATGAAACTGCGATACTAAAAAGGAAGTACACAAAGGCCCACCCTTAGGAAGCCTTCAAAATCAATCTCCTGACTCATATCAGAACCTGACTAGCCCAATATCCCCCTGATCTCCTCCTCATTGTACATCTCAATGAAAGCCTTTAGTTTCGCCATTAAAGGCGGCAAATCATCAACAGTAACTTTACCATTCTGATTCTTCTGTGAATTAAACTACAAAAAAGAAAAAGAAACCAGTCACACATTAATCGACTACCACAAACTTAATCAAATCAATGGCATAAACAAATTCAAGACAAAGCCAATATACCAGAAGAAAGGACATGCTAAAGAGAAGGGATGAGAGATAGTTACTTTGGATTTGAGGCTACGAAGTTCAACCTGCGTGAACCGGCTCTGAAGCCACTGATCAGAAACAACAACACCCACGAAACTAGACATCTTCCTTGGCCCGCGGGGAAGAAAATCAATTGCTCCCCACCAAACTTCGTCCCCAAAATTCACCAAACTGCTGGCAACTCAACAAGATTCTTCAAAACAGCCCTTCAACAACTACAACCCCATTCGGGGACACGTATTCAAATGGTAATACCTAGGCAAATTGTACAACCACCCATCAACAAACCATGCAAGCAGATAACAAAACGTGAATAAATCTCCAATTACAATCTCTCTAAAAAAAAGATGTAAAAATACTCCAAAAAAGGGATGAATTTAATCATGTCCATATGTTAAGTGTTCCCAGTTATCCAATATCATGCATGGTGAAAAAAAAAATGATCGAAAACCAAGTCCTAAGACTGAAGAGAGCCCATTAATACAGACCTGTAGCATTCAGAATCCCATGTTCTTCGTTATCCAAGTGTTGACCATCTGCTGACTGTAACACCGGATAGAGAGAGAAGGACCAATACTTGCTTCGCCGGAGGGCAAAGGGAGCAGAGAGAAGAGAGAAGTTTCGAGCTATGGAGTGTGGACTGGACACGCCAAGAAGATGAGGCATGGAGACCAGTTAAGAGGGTACTGTCAATCGGGACGTAATTTGATAGAACGTAAAGCGTTCGCGCAATGATATAGTGAAAAATGCGGACGCGCCTTTTGTGTCGAACAGCTCATCAACGGAGTTTACACCTGTATGAACACGTCAGCAACTGCCTCGCCACTTGTGCTTACCCGATCTAAATATAGTTAGACGAAAATAGGCCTGCTTCTAAAGTTTTTTTTTTCATTCAACAGTTCAGAGTTTTCGCTTTTCGGTTGGTTTTTATGTATTTGGATTAATCACTTTTTAATTTGGTCAAAAATAAATTAATTAGGTCAAGACTCGAGGAATTTACAAAAAATAAATTTCTCAAATTTGTATTTAAAATATCTAAATTTACAATTCATTTTTTTATTATTTGAACTAAACCTTAAGATTATTCTAAAAACTTTTAAGTACCCACCATTGAGTGGGGGTGATACATTAGAGTACCGACCAAAATTCTAATCCTAAAAGTAGGGTTTCGAGTTTTAAAGTTTATATTAGGGTTCGATAGTTGACCGTTATATTAGTCTAACTAGATTCGTTTCTGAGATGAGTAATATATGCGGTTAAAGGCCTCGTCACAATTCCACCATTAATAGCCTATCAAGATGATCTTTGGTTGTTCCACTTTGCCTCCATCTCTTTTTCGATCAACGAAAAAAAAAATCAATCTAAAAATATTAAATGAAATGAAATTTCAAGTTTTGGACCCAATTTGAAGATGTAATCAAAAATTTAATTTGTTGTGAGTTTTATAGTTGAGCGGAGTCTACCTTTAATCTGAAATTTATAATTAATTAAATTTAAATAACATTTCCTTCTTATTCTGATTTAACAAAATAATACACTTGCCCTACAAGGAATCAAGGGTTGATTAATGAGGTTACCCTTTTCATAGTAGAAGTTAAAACAATCGAATAGGTCCAACTTAAGTGAGTGTTGACTGGTGGGAGGTCAATAATGTCTCAACGTAATTTTTAAAATATTTAATCTGAGCCTAATTCCCATTTTTTAAATTTTGAACTCTAATTCGATTTAGGTTCGGCTATTTATTTATATACCTTGAATTATAATTTGGTTTAGATTCAAATTTAAGGAATACGTTTGAGCTGGTTTGAGCTGGGTGTCAAAAATCCAAGACTCCAACCTTGAGTGATTTTTTTTTTTTGCTCAAGCTTGTCGCAATTATTGAACATAATACTTTCGATTGGGCTAGAGTTTACTCGCCCAAATTATGCCTCAATCCATTGGTAACCCCGACAAATTATAAATTTTAAACTTTTATCCCTGTTTGGTAGATTGCAAGTGATTATATGACAGCTTAAATTTGCTGCACAGTTGAGTATGAACAAGGAATGATCTAAACAATATTAATTACCACAACCTTAAACATTCTCAATAACCAAATAGTATCATTGTTATTATGTTGCCCTGTCCTCAATCAGATATGTATTGTTTTCCGATAAGTAACAACTGCTAGCCCGCCGACCACCCTCTTGTTCCTATGTTCAATCCCTGTGCCTGCTGGATATCCAGTTTTAATGAAGAGTTTTGAGCGTGAGTTGCCATTCATGTAGCAGCAAAGACCCGCAATCCTCAAAAGGGCCACCAACCGCCCGAATCACTGTAGCAAACTCTCTATATATTCAACAGATAGCGCTTATTCTCTTTTGACCATCTTTGGCTTCAATTTCGATGTTTTCTTATCAAAAACAGCAATGGCTATTCCACGTTAGGCTGAAAAATAGAAGTTGAATTCTCTCCGATACAAGTAGCATTCATTCTCGTCGATAAAAGAACCACTTATGTATATTATATATTGAGTGTTACTTGAATTCATGACGGATAATATGTCAAAGAAAATTGAGAAAAAAGTATGTTGAAGATGGTGTGAATCCTCAACAATAAGAAGTAATAAGGTTGTCATCTAAGAGAAGATGGGCAAAGCAAAATGACAATCTGTACCCTGTTTCTGCTAAAACCTACTGTACTTGTTATTTACTCTGTAGAAAAACCGTGATAGTCAGTCAAATGAGTACTGGTGAGGTAACAAACTAACAATCTTGGTGGTACTAGTGTTTCAGCACCATAAGTAAACCACATAAAAAAAATCATTACAAAAAGTGAGAATTGGAATGCTATTTGCTAGATAGTATCACTTTTCAGTTGGCTAATCTTAAATATACCGGAAGCAAAACTGTCACATGATCAGTTTTTCCAAAATTGGAAACAAAAAGATGGTCATAGCTCAACCATTACATGTATTGCTGGCTAAAGAGCTGACAGAAAGGAGTGCAGCTTGCCATACTTACTACAAGTAGAAGCCTCCTTTACTCCAGGTCTGGATGTGCAGAGAGGCAGAGGAGATCAACAAAAGCAGAGCAAAGATAATAAACAGGTCACTGTCTTCTACTAAATAGTACTCTACAAGAAACTATGCTGCCTTCTTTCCTTCAATTCTTCTTCAACTATATAGTTTCTCAGAGCAATTTGATCCGTGGGATCCAGAATCCTTCAGATTGCAAGTGATAAGAAAGTCTTGCTCTATTTTGACGGCCAATCTTTCTGGATATCAAAGGTATAGTTGATTTCCAAGTAGCACTTGTTATCGTCATCAACAAACTGAGCATAGTGAACGGCAAGAGACACAAAGGTAAACAAGAGGACAAGAAATGTACGGAAAAATAGAACTAAACATAATTTGAAATTATGACAGAAAAACGATGTTTATCTTATTCTGCATGGAAATTGAAGATCATGTTACAGCTTAAACCAGTACTTAGATGCTCTCCCTCATCAAAAGTGGCTCTGCAGGACACTATATATACTTAAATTGTATCGAAACTTTGAGGATCAAGTTACAGCTTAGTCCTTAAATGTTAAAACCTTGTCAAAAGTTGCTTTGAAGGACACCATTATAAAGGCAGTGGTAATGAAAGGTTACTTTTCATTAAGGTACCAGCAGTTACCACAAATTAAAGGGGAGATTATGACTTTCGTGAACATTTCCTAATATTTAGGATGTAGAGTGGGCGGAAGGGTGACTTATCTGTCAACTTTTTCACTATCACCCCCAAAGAACCAAACTCTGTCTTACGTAAAGTTGTCAGAGTACGATTCACCTCTGGATGTGAAATCGCTACTTATATACCCAGTATCGGCTATAATTCACAAGAATATTCTATAGGCTTAGTAAGAGGGAGAAGGGTTAAGGATTTACCCAGTGTGAGATATCACATTAATCGAGGAACTCTACATGCTGTCGTAGTAAAGAATCGTCAACAAGGACGTTCGAGTGCATTGTAAATTCTTATCCAAGACTTGTATCATTTGATGATGCCATGTAAATCGCTAGAACATTTGAAGTGTATGGCAATCCCAATAACGAAAGTTTCGTAAAGGACTAGAGTTGGCTACCATGAGACAAACGATTTTCTTTCTAAAAAGATTCGATTTGGAACAAATATATATCCAAGGTTCAATATTGAAATAATTTCACAGGTTTTCCATGACTTTGTCCGTGTCAACAAACAATTTGCAATACCTCAAACTTTTTTAGAACAAGTTCGAGTCAAATAGCAATGATTCAAAGCACTTATTTTTACACTATTTCAGAAACCCAAAAGCTCAATCGTATAGATATATAAAATACAGGATTTCCAATCCTAGCAGGAAAGGGATGGAAACGGATTCTCAATTTAAAGTGAGTAAACATAATTCAATTTCATACTCGATTCCTAAAATTCCAGAGCCGTTAACAATGTTTTGTAGCCTTAACTTAGTTTTGGAGGGTTGTAGCTTCAAAAAATTGAGTCTTAACCTAAGCCTCATTCTGTGATAACAGTACGATACTGAATTCTGTACCACAGACATTCCTAGATAGCATTAAGGTTATGAACCATCAGGGCTGGTGATATTATAGATCACCCAAACATTAAAACCAATGATTACTGGCAAATACCTTTGTTCTTGCTGAATACGATCCTCTGGCGAAATAACCAGAAGGAGTAGTCTCTTCTGGCATCTCATGAACGTAGGGCTCCACCTGAGGACTGAAGGTTCCAAGCATCACCTTTGAGCTATCAACTGGAACAAAAGCACACATAGAATAGATACAAATATTCAAGAAAGCTGGTGCAAAAAAATAAGGAGAGAGATAGAGAGGTACCTTTGATGCCAGTTTTCCAAATAGTATTAGTGTACTTGAGGCCACAAACAATATCATTCCCGACCTTAATGGAGAACCTTAGACAGTAATGGCTACCTTCCTTTAAGGTAAACCAAAGGCCCTTGGGGTTCCCAGACTCGGGAATAGGAAGAACAAGATCAGGTCTTCCAGGTGACAGAATTGTAAGGCTCAAAATCTTGACATCTGGTTCTTGTGTTTCTATCATAAAGAAATCCAACACATGTGAATGTCAGATGTAGAAGCCAAAACACATTTCATTTGAAAACAAATATCTAAGGCGGTAAGGCCATTTAACATGTATAAGGCACAAAACACCTGCTGAATGGGCATATATAAATCTTATTATATAAGCACAGGGAAAAAAAAGACAGTCCATTTGACGCCCAATTCGGTGTCAATGTTGGTAGTCTTATCCCAAAAAAGAGAGTCTATTTGACGCCCAATTAGGTGTCAATGTGGGTAGTCTTATCCCATGTCCGGAGAGGCTGCTTCTGTTAGATATATTCACAAAAGTAAAAGGGAGTAACAAGGGAATATTACCCTTAATTTTCCTGCAACAAATAATTCTACCGTAGTTGGACAAAATCATGAACAATTACACTAAGTTAAAGATTTTTTACACCAATGAACTATCTTTTCTATTGGAACGTAAACCAAATGCAGTAAAAAATTTCTTTGGTGCTTCTGCGTATGGATCTATGGTTAACTGATTGTTAACAAACAATGTATCGTAATAGGCACAAGAAAAACAAAACACCTGCAACTGCATTGACATCGACGCTCCCAATAAGTTGTTCTTTCCACCTCCTCAAGCTCTCATCATCCTGAAGCAAAAACATATGATCAAAATCCAATACAACACCTTTTGTCAACAAAATGCATTGCTTTCTAAAGTAACAAACCTTGTCTTTCTCTAGATGTTGTTTGATACTCCATTTGGGACCCAACTGTATTTGTCTTTCTTCTTCTTCTTCCTCTTCAGTTGCATAACAAGATGCTTCACTTGGCTGTCTGCTAAGCCACTCTCCCGAGTCAGAAACATCCTCTGGCCCTGCAGATGTTGTGGGCTGTTTTTTTGTGGCTTCAGAAGCTACATTTTGTGCCTCGGCTCCTTTCTCCTCATCAAAACCCATTGTTTACAGAACTTGAAACAGCAATAGTTTTTTCAAACACCTTACACACATATCAACATACATGTAGCGAACAAAAACAACCACAAACAAGGTCGTACACAAAAAGTGATCTGATGAAGGAGATACCTTCTGGGTCAAAGAATCCAAAGAGGAAATGATTATTGGCCATAACCAATAAAAACTAACTAACATAGAGAAACATCATGAATGTCTATATATGGATGACACTCATCAAAAAGTGACAACACACAAAAAGAAAATGGGATGTTGCTTTTTCAGCTTTGTATGGTGGAAAAAATGATTGCAAATGCAGAGATAGATGTATGTGATGCTTGAACAAAGTGGGGAATTGGGTTTGTGGTGATCCGAATATCGATGAAGAAATTGAGAGCATTTTCACTCCAATTTTGGGTTTCTCTACAAGCCCGCAATGATTCTAGCCTTCTCAAACTGCCCTCCAAAACGCAAGAATGGGCAAGAAATGCGGCATTTGACTCATTCTCGCAGATTTTTTGGTAATTAGGGGAATTGTTTAGCTCCATATTCACCTCTGAAGGCCTTCCATTTCAGGGGAATCCTAGCGATAAGTTCCTGTAGATCACCGGAAGAGGACAGTCCTAAGCTCGAATTTTGCTTCTTTTTTCTTTAATGTCGAATGTTATGTTTTAAAAAAAAGTGTCCTAAAATACATATTTAGTTCCTATGATTCTCAAATTTTCAATTGTATCTATTTAATCCATAAAATTTTTAATTTGTATCTAAATGATCTAATTCCAAACATTGTCATAAAATTGTTGACGGTTTTGATCACGCACCAATTACACAGTTCCTATTTTTGTGTCTATTGGTCTATAAAATTCAAAATTTGTATGTAATTGGTCTTTAAAATGTCTAATTTGTGTCTATTTGATCCCACATAATTGGCACGTCATCAGAGATGTTAACCCATTTTTTAATAGATGTTTGTAGTTAGACTACGTAGATAAAAATTAGAAAACTTAGGAACCATATAGATACAACTAAAAAATTAGGGATTAAATGGACATTACACGCATATTTTGAAGACTGAAAAAAAAAACTATTGTCTATTGTAGTGAAGAAAAATATGAAAGAGTAATAAAATATAATCTAAATAAAAAAGATATGAGAAACTAATCCTTGTCATTGACAATAATTAATTCCATATCCTTTGACCAAGAAAAAATCTTAGAAGAATTGAGGGTCCGAGTTTTTTTGTTCACTAGTTTGAGCTTGTACAAAGGAGAGAAGAGTGATGTTTGAACTTAGAATTTAATGATTCAACGAAGAATCAACCGTTGATATCAATGATGTTCGAGTTTCAGTCCTAGGATACTATCAATCTATTGAATTTCATTTTCTTAGTGTTTGGTTTGCGATATTTCCTTCAGCCTAAAAAGGAAGAAGAAAAAAATATGTACCAATATATGAGGTTTTTTTTTTTTGAAGAATCAATCATGGGAGGGGGGGGGGGGGACCAAAGCTAATGGGATTCATCATTACTTTTATATAAGTTATCCAAAATTTATTTTTGTAATTAAAATTATTTATTACTAAGTCTTCAATTTTAAAAGCAACTTTTTTAAATCATTCAAAACAAGATTCACTTATTTAGTCTTATTGGCCTATGATCCCCTTCTATGTGTTTATGAATAAAAAGGAATAAACCAAGCTCACACATTAGATACAAGAAAAAATATTCCCAAAAATTAGGTGTTTGGACTTGGGTTTATTGGTTATTTTGGGCACTTGCAACTACAGAATAACGTTAGATAAAATATTTTTTGAAAATAAATGTAAAAAAAAGTATACAATTGTTTAAAATATAGAGTACTGGTTATTGTTTGTGTCTGAATGCACAGCGTAATAAAAAATGGTAACACAATAAATATATTTCTATTCATATCTAAAATCAAATCACAAACATAGAGAAGAGATAAAATAATTTAAACATTGATTTTTTGTACTAGGAGTGAAAGGTGGTGAGCGACAGTAGTCGTGGTAAGAGGCGGTGATAATTGTGGTGTGTGGCAGCAGTGATGATGGTGATAGTGACGGCGACGACGATGGATGGTGGCAGCGGTGGTGGTAGTGACAGTGATGGTGGCGACGACGGTGGTGGTGGCAACGACTGCGATGGTGGTGGTGACGGTAGTGGCAGTGATAGAGGTAATGGTGGGGGCGGTTTCAAACACTATTTTAAAAAAAAATATATTTATGAAAATTAATTTTTAGAATTACTTTTAAAAGTTACTCAAAACACACCCTTAAACCTTTATTTTTTCTATTAAATTTTGGGTGTTAATATTAGCCGTTAGATTAATTTTAACGTAAAATTTAAAACTATCTCAACCGTGAATAACAAAAATTATTTTATTTATCTTTTAAAATTTGAATTCTAAACTATTTTATTGTATAGAGTTTTTTCATATCCTTATATTATCCTAAAATTATTTGTTTCCCCGGATCTGGATTTATTCATAGCTTAAAGAGTCTTAAAATAAAATAAAATATAAACACCAATAATAAATGGATAATCCTACGGCAAGTTTACTATATGTAGACTTGTAGAGTGACGGATTGGTGCCAAATGTGTTCATAAACGTTCATTATTCTCCTGAACATGGCTATCTCTAATTGGGTCTTCATAGAGTTAAAGCACAACCTGTCATCCAATATCTTAATCAAGGACTATTTAGTCATTTCGATTTTGTATACAGAGAGAGAAGGATCAGCAAAGAGGGGTACATAGAGAGAGAGAGAGAGAGAGAGAGAGAGACAGAGAGAGCAGAGCGGTAGAGAGAGAGAGAGAGAGAGAGAGAGAGAGACGAGAGAGAGAGAGAGATTGTTTCCGTTAATTTCTGTTAATATATGAATGAGTGAGAATGGTGTCCGACCAAGACATAGCCGAGGCTTTGGAGTCTCTTCTTCGCGAGTCGAACCCTAACACCACTTTCACCTCCCTAAACGCAGTCGTTCAACAGCTCGAATCCAAACTAGGGTTAGACCTCACTCCCAAAATCGACTTCATTCGAACCCAGATCCAGCTTCTCTTCCGACCTCAACCGCCACCACGGTTTCTCCACCCTCCAAAAGACCATTTTGCCCTCCACCAGAATCCTAATTTCCACCCATCTCACTCTCCCCAACTTTCTCCCAATTTCGCCGTCCATCGTCCCGAGGAGTTCGATTTCCGCCCTCCGCAGCCACCGCCGGTCTCAAAAGCCGAGGCATTTGCTACTGTTGTCGCCACCACTGCTGCCGCTGCGGCCCCAGCTGTTGCTGCTACTGATGCCCCAAAAGAGGGGTATGTTTTTCTAAACTATCTGTTTGTTTGGTGAGAAAATCGAGGTAATGAAAAGAAATGATTTTTTCTTTGCGTCTCAGACATTTTCTCACCAACCAAAGGGGAACGTAACCTTGTTTTGCAATTGCTTTTTAGAATTCACTTACCAAGTTGCGGAGTGATTGAATTGTTTTATTATCTGGACTATTAGTGCATAGAAAGTAATTGTCTATTACGTAGATGCCCTGTAAGTGGGTTACTGATTGATATTATTGCTTGTCTGCGGTTTTGCAGAGTGGAGAGGTTCTTCTAAGCGTATGCTTAGTGCGAATATAATAATTTAGCGTAGAGATGTGATGTCAGTTGGACCCAAATGATTTCACGGCATGTTTCAGCAAATTTTTATTTTTAAAATTAATCCAGTATAAGTTTTATTGTCTGAACGAATGTATGTTATTTATGTTATATGTCAGAAGCTCTCTAAAACTGTTAACCAACAACTGCAATCGGCTTGCCTTGTTCCACCTTTTGGGAAATCTGACCCCTCAACCGATGTTGTCATATCCCTCTATGGATTTACATTTTCGTATCAATCAGGAAGTTTTCTGTGATATGGCCTTCAAGAATGGCCAAATCTATGCCTTTTGACCTGCACTGTGATGTCCCTTGTTGGATTACACAATCATGTTTCGTCTATGCTCGTAAAGATGCATACTTAGACACTGTGTTACCCTCCCTCTATATGTGTCACAGTGGACCAGAATTTTATTCTGATATCCTAGTTCAATGACCTTATCAATAAGACAACTTCCCAATTTTAGCCAGCCACCCCACCCACACTCCCAACAAGAGAGAAAAGGAAAAAGAGAAAATTCAATCAAAGGAAAAATGTTGCGCACACTCTGTGAGTGCAGCCCCAATCAGGTACCCTGTTGGTGTCAATCTGATTTTTCCAAGCCAGTACTTTTACTCTCTTTAGGTACTTCCATTGCTGTACTTGATGTCATCATCTCACCACCTAAGATGCTTCGGGTACATGTTGGATAACTTCCCTAACAATTAATCAGTTCTCGTGCTAACCCTTCTTATCCAGCTTTGCAAAATTAAACTTTTCTAATTACGATAGTGGAATGAATAATTGCTGTTTGGCCTGATATGATTTTTATAACAATTCTGCTCAGTGCTCAATCTGGAAAAAGGAGAAGAGGTGGTCCAGGTGGACTAAACAAACTCTGTGGTGTTTCTCCTGAACTTGAGACCATTGTTGGCCAGTCAAGATTACCAAGGACTGAGGTTTGGGCTCATAAACACTTTTTTTATTGTAGTGGTATGTGTCTTTTGCTATTGTAGTTTCTGCTAATCCGTCTGGTTCAGATTGTGAAGCAGCTGTGGGCATACATAAGGAAAAACAACCTTCAAGATCCAAGCAACAAAAGGAAGATAATTTGCAATGATGAGCTGCGTTTGGTATTTGAGACAGATTGTACTGACATGTTCAAGATGAATAAGCTGCTAGCTAAACATATTATCCCTCTTGAACCTTCAAGTATTTCTCTGATATAAAAGTGCTTAATTTTCCTTTTTTCTTTTGGTGAATTTGATGCTCACGTGGATTAAGAAATGCTTGCAGAGCAGACTGGTCAAACTTCTAAGAAAATGAAGTTAGAAGTGGAATCTGGAAGTAGAAGTACTGAATCTGTTCCGATTGTGGTAATATCTGAAGCACTTGCAAACTTTTTTGGTACCAGTGAAAGGGAGCTTTCACAACCTGAGGTTTTAAGACGTGTTTGGGAATACGTGAAGGTCAATCAACTTGAGGTTTGTAACCAAATGAACAATTTTTCTTTCAGTTCGTTTATTTCAAAAACAATAACATGGTATGTTTTTGCTAGTTCGCTAAAATAAGATTGATTATGGGAAATATGTTCCACTTCATTTATCCTGGATTGAATTCTTTGTTTGTCTAAGGGTGTTTTGTGTTGAGCTTGGTTTGATAACTTCGTTGTTGTTCTAAGCTGGCCTTCTTATTTGATTTGGTGAAGCTTGGTATGACTGAGAAAGAGTTGTTTTTTATACCAGTAAGAAAATATAGGTAGTTACCCTCCTAGACACTCAGTGCCAGTTCTTGAATCTGATACGTAAACTTTAAGTCTAGTTTAGTGGAAACGCTGACAGTTAAAGGCTGAACAAGCTAACAATCTTTACAAAGTTTTTTTTTCAGGGTCAAAAACTAGGATGTTTTGAAAACAAAGTTCAAGCATATGGGTTGAGATTGGTGGAGCATGTAATGACTAAGCAGTGCAGATGACGTAGAGATTTTCAACTTTGTATAGAGAGGAGCTTTTAGTTCAGTTTCTTGAATAGGTAGCCATTAAATTGAAGAACGTCTACTACTACTATGAAATGTTGTCATCTTCTTTTTTGGCGTGAATTCACTATGCGATCCCAAGGATAATTTTATTTCTAGTGTTTTGTTTAATTTAGTTATTCATCATATATTTGGTATTATGTTGAGAGCCTACTTGCACATTACTTGTATTTTTTGGTTTTTGATTGTCAGAGATTGGTAAGGCTGGAGAATGTAGTATTGAAATTTGTCTGTATCTTTTTCTTCTCCTACAAATAGGATCCACTGAATGCGATGGTGATAGTATGTGATGCAAAGCTTCAAGAGCTTTTTGGATGTGAAAGCATTTCTGCATTAGGAATACCTGAGATGTTGGCTCGCCACCATCTATATGGGAGATCATGACAACTGATCTTGTTGACTGGTTAGTAGCCTATAAAGTTCCTATTGCTGATGTATGGTTTGTGGTCAGGTACATAAATGAGTGGTTGTCCCTCCTTTGGGATGATACATCAAACCCTTATGGTCTATGCATTACTGATTTTGATTGAGAGAGCAGTCCTCTCAATATTTGATGGCTAGGGAGTGATCCTCTTTTTTTTTTTATTTGTTTCAGTTCTTCAGGCTCATTTCCTGTTCATCTCTTCCCTTTAGTTGTGATGGAGCAGATCACATAATAGTTTGTTTTTGTGAACCCTTTCATTAAACATTTACTGTTAATGGTCTGCTTAATGTGCAAGTGCAAAGTATATGCAATTGGATTGAACAGGCTTTAGGTGAACTTCGATGATTCGTTCAAGAAACAATTGAAAACTGTGCATTCATAATTAGTATTGAAAGAACAAATGAATCATTCATCTCTAGGAGATTCTCCAATGCTCCCTAAAATGTTCTGAAATGTTTTTTTAGCATAATTTTTAGTGCCGTTTGAAGTTATTCCAGCCTTATCTACATAGTATAGGAATGCAACCACATGACAGAGAACATTGATGGAATGTGTATTTGCAGGTACAGGTGTTAATGCTAACCTACCTTGTTCTGACATTATCTCAATTAGTTTCCGGAAAACGGTTCATTCAGCTTTTCTGCTTCAGTTTGATGCTTTGTTCTTCACTAAAGTAAGTTGTGGATAGAATGAAAATGTATCATGCTAATGGCATGTTATATGTCATTGCTGGCCACAATCCTGGGTGATTAATTTCTTTTGCATTTTCGGTTACTTTTTCTGTGTGGAGTTCCTCACACCTGTAAAAATGCAGACATTCGGAAATCAGAAGGATATGTAAAAGATTGGTATAAGCCTTTTTCTCTGGTCATGAATGGTCATATTTGCTTGAGATCAAACTTCTTTACCTTTTAATTGTGAATGCTTAGTTTTAAACCCACTGTTGTATTCATTTCCTCTGCACGAAAATGATGTGTTTGAACCCAGAAGGAGTTCCACTGAATACATATGCACAGCTTCTCCATGGCGAGAATTGACAAAAGCAGGCTTTTGAAGTTATTTGTATATGTTGGGTAAGCAAGTAATTGTGTGCTGGTAATGTGCTTGTCTTGGTTCAAAAAAAGTTATCTGTATATGTTAATGCTTTGGATGGTGTCTACATATGCTACTGCCTGCTGCTATGTTTTCGTCCAGAATTTCTTTTGGCTTTGATGAGGTGTAACGATAGAATTAAACTCTTGAATTAGGGATTTTCAAGCCACGACGAGTGGAGCATAGTATCCAAGTGGACCTGCTGTTTGGGTTAATTTACGTTTACTTCGATTAATTCTTTTTTCGGTCTGGTTAAAAGCAGATTATCCATTTCAAGCTTAGGATATTCATAAAATATAAATTCTTCATGACCTAACTTTAAAAAATTATTAAGATTCAAATTTAGGACGTTTGAATTTATAAATTGTTACTACTCGAGCTATCATTTGGTTTACAGCTCATTCCTGCCACTATTTATACGTAATTGCTGCTTCAATGTTTTTTATTTCCTAAATCACTCGGTCATTCCCAACGAACTTTTTTGCGTCCTCTCTTTGCTTTAAGTTTGTGATCGATTACAATCCAATTAAATATTTTTGATTAAAATTTCCCACCGATAAGTTTTTGACACTTTGAAAAGATTTAATTCACCGCTGCTATGCAATGAATCAAATTGAATCTACCACTCTCCTATACTCCGGTTACATTAATTTTGCAATCGTACGATCATTCAGTGGTTGGAGTCAAGAGATCAAATCCCATCATCTATTGCCTAAAAATCCTCCAAAAAGAAGAAAAAGGAAAAGGGGAAAGAAAAGTGTTTGGGTTGCAATTTGCAAGCTGACACCAGCATGGCAGAGTGCACATGTCCAGTGATGTAAGTAATTGATTCCTACGTCCACCCATACTGAATTCACATGCTGTGCATTCGCAAACAAGATATATTAAAGAATACCAATTCACATTCCAAGAAAATCCTAATAACTCCCCAACCCTTGGTATAAATTAACTCTTTGTAACATGACAATGAACTCGAGCTAGAAGAGAGAGAGAGGAAAAATGGTTAAGACTATCAACATAGCTTTGGTACAGTGTGTCCTAGTGATGGTGCTTCTTGTTGCTCCATACACCACCAGTGCTCCCATGTGCAATGTTACAGTATCGGAACTCGCCGAATGCCTCCCGGCAGCAACTGGCGTGTCACCTCCTCCGCCCACAAAGCAATGTTGCACTATAATTCGCAAGGCCGATTTACAATGTCTCTGCAAGTACAAGTCCCAACTCCGCCAGTTCGGGGCTGATCCTGCAACTGCCATGACACTGCCTAAGAAATGTGGTCTTAGAGCTCCAAAGGTTTGCTAGATTTAAGCACTGTTTCAAGGGTTTCTTATTCCTATTTTGTCTCTGTTTACTTTGTTTTTTATGAGTTGGTGAGGCATTAAGGTCAAGTGCATGGCCCTATGCCTCGTTGAAATGAATCAGTTGTTAGGCAATAGCCACCTACTACTCAATATTCCGACTGTAACCATTACTATCTAATAAGAAAGGAGCAAAAAAAATAAAATAAGGCACTTCCTATCATGGAAGTGACTATGTATTATATAATTGGATGGTTAAGAATTTTATTTTAATATTATTGAATCCATTTATTGACTTCACATTGGCTGCTACTGTGCACAACCAGATGTGTGTCTTGCCATGTTTCTAAATTGTCGTCTGTGTTAATCAATTGGAAAAATTAACCAATAAGAAATCTATAATTACATCAGAGATGATCAAATCCTATCTGCCTGTGTTCAGTTCAGATATGATCAAACAAGATTGCAACCGGTGCACAACTTTTAGCAGTCTAAAATTTACATATACTTAACCTCTGCATCCCATTCATGGACCTTAACCAGTTGACTCATTGAACAAGTAGCAGATTCATGGAAACCAACAGAACCTGAAGCATAAAATCCCATATACCATCACACCACCTCATCAGATATTACCATATACCTGGCATCATTACTGACCTTGGTTGTTTCCGACATTCCATTTAATTTACGTATTTGCGTTGATGATCGCCAAATACTGTCTTCAGCAACATTCCCACCACTTTTGTCCACTTGGGTCATTACCCATCAAGGTTAAAAAAAGGGGTCATTTACCCATCATGCACACCCATTACTGCGTGCCCCACCAAATATCGGTCTCATATAGGCATCATCAAACCTCCTCCAGTAATAGTGAATGGTGTAGACGGGGCTTTCTATTAACATTGACAAACTATCCTTCGCCCGGAGGATATTGGTTGCAGCAGATTCTTCAAAGGAGAGCAAAGGAAGCTTCAAATTCTCTTTGGAGACACAAGGTTCTCGGTTGATGTTGCTGTTATTCGTATGATGAGGAAGTAGATAACTCACAAGTGGCTTTGTCAAGATTCCAAATACCTGTGATATCAAAATTATACTCTTAACAGTTGCTTAACAATTCCACAATAGAGACAGCAGGCTAGTTTGCATTAGGATTTGACCTTTTTACATCATGAGTATGAATCCACTCAGAGAGATTTGCTTACAATTGTACTGAAGAGCACGACAATAATAGTAGTGGTGATCATTGTTGCGTTAACTGGATCTAATGTAACTCCAGAGTAAGTGAACTGCATCAGTACACACAGAAAATAAATTACATTTTATTTTATGTGTCTTGCACGTTGCACCTAAAATAGGATTGATTCCAATAGCATTGCTTTTGTACTGTTCCAAACCATCAGTCACAAGGAAAGCAGAAGATGCATACCTGTTTGAATGCCAAAGCAATAGAGACAGCCCCTCTCATAAGGCCAGCCCACCAAATTATAATCTGATCAAATAGCAGACCATAAAAGATATATCTTATTTTTCCTGTGCAAAAAAAACCAATCATACTAAAGAGGGAATTACTGACCTGGTGCTTGAATGTGATCGGTGATGATCCTGCAGCATTTCGGTTCACGCAATTGGAGACCGCAGAGAGAGGGAACACAAAAGCAGCACGTCCAAGTGATATCAGTAGAATCACAGTACTACATATGCCCAATGCAGTCCCAACACTGTAACCAAGAAAGAGTAGGAAAAGCACATCCGAAGAGCAGCTTAGAACTAGGTAGGACAGTACAACCTAGTTCAAAGAACTATCTGCTAGTTCAGAAGTCACAAGAGTAGGTCTTTAAAAAAAAAAAGTCAATATTTTTAATCAACGACGTGAACACTGTACCTTCACCTCAACTTGGGATCTTTCAAGTCACCCATATAAAAACACTAATATTTTTAAATAGGCAGCACCCCAAACTGGACAATCAAACTAAAGTTTTTAACAACAAAATAAAGAGATAAAAGTGAGCAACTCTTGGTAATGATGATTGCTGCTACCTTAATTTGCTCATTTTCCACTTCTCGATGTCCAGAGCATCCATTCCCACGTATAGAAATATGAATGTTTCTGCAATGAAAGACATCACCGCAAACACATGCCTGCAGATTTACCAAATTATAAGTGAGTAGCAAGTTTGAAATTATATGTAGCCACCAATCCAAAAGTAAATAAGGCATGACAACTCTGCAACGGTTATCACCAAATGTTCTTCAATCTCCAGATTATTAATCATACGTGCCTTGTAGTAATTCTTGAACTTTCAGTCACATTATGCCAAGCATAGTGAGACATCAAAATCCCACAAAAGAAGACAGTGAGAATCCCACTAAGATGGAACAGCTGCGCAAAAAACAGAAGTACAAGCACCATGAACATGTGAAATTGGTATAAGATATCTGCATGTTTGAGAATAATTATGCAAGGATACACATAATGACCATGTAAAATTGGTATAACATGTCTACATGTTTGAGGATAAATATGAAAGGATAATGGTGCAAGGATGACCCCAAAGCATAATGCATAGAAGCTATATCAGGAGTATGCTCTATTGCTCTTAAAAGCTTTCCCACTAAATTTGCAGCTGGCATAAGATAACAAGGGCCACAACAACAAAAACAAAAGTAAAAATGAAGCAGCCAAGGAAAAAAAAACAGGAACAAGAGAGAGAAGCAGCCAAAGAAAAGAAAAAGGCGAAGAAGATAGGTAGTATGAGAAAGTTAATTGGGAAAATTTAGGAACAAGGGATATGTGTATACAACACACACATTACGAATAACTGACATTACATTCTGACGGGACAAGAATGTTTCAGCAGCTCAAAATTACAAGGCCTAAACAACACAAATATTGCTCTTTCTTGACCACGAGCTGTAACATCAAGCTAAAGCTGTCGAATATTTTTTGTTCAATTTGGGGCTCATTCAACGATCAAAAGAGTGTTATCAGTGGTATATAGGTAAGGATGTGCAAAAACTCCGTGTCCCAATTTGAAAAGGTCTACTTGTCATCTTCACCTATGAGTTCTTACTTTCCAGCAGGCATGTAATGAAGCTTAACCTAAATTTCAAGATGAGGTACAGCTTTTCTGAATGTTTTGTGCAACGCATGAATAACCAAATGGAAGGACACTAAGATTCCGTAATTGCTAGGTTAGGGGTACAGATCCGACTTCTGTTGCCACAAGTTGATTTATGAGCAGTATTGAAGTTAAACTAAGGGACTCTCATGCAAATATTACAATAAGATTTCCACATAGAATATCAACGATTGCAGATTTATATATAAGTTTCAGGTACAGACATAAGTAAAACGGAACAATTTTTGATAAACAAATCAAATGGAAATGAAGTTCACGCATCATCACCTCAGCCAACATGTAAGATAGATATGCCACTAAAACCATCAGTGCAATTTCACGAACGGTTGAATGTCTGCAGTCATGTAGAAATATCAAAAAAGTCTAAACATGATATGAAAATAGCTGCACCCCATTTGTCACTAGTATTTATAAAAATTAGTATAGTTTTGTCGTCCGGATTATAAATTCCACATTAAGTTACTATAGAAATCTTTTCGTGGTAGTAAGTCTAAACACTTACCTTCCAAAGTACAAGCCTTTAAGGACAAAGGCTGTCAAAAGCCCGGCCTGCAGGACACAGAAAATACTTCAGCCAATGTGTTATAAGGGCTACTACAATTGGACAACCAGCTGAAAAATAAACCAAATGCAGGGCACCCTTGGCCACCACATTAGTTTTGTTCAAATTTTGCTGGCAGGAATTCAAGGCCAAATTAACTACTCGATTTTATATGTCTTAACTCCCTCTACTTTAACTATTCACTGCTACAATGATATCCTCAATCCAAATCAAAGCAATCTACGTACCATAATTTCACTAGTTTTGATTTTAAGGGTGGTTAACTCATAAGTTTTGGTAGCACTCATTATCTTAAAAAAATCATGAGCGAGGAAATCTGTCTTATGCATCACGAAGGAAGTACCATTGAGGTTGAGAATTATTTCGATTATCATGCACTTGCCAAAGAAGTGAAATTACACAAATCAACCTGTAGAATTATAGGACGGCCTGCCAATTAGTAACCACGTGATCAAATGTTCAATACTCGACAGTTTGGGCACTATTATAAGAATCTTGACTTACAGACACTCCAAGAACAGTGCTTGTTGAGAATAGATACAAGAAATCCAATAGGACATGGACTGCAGCCCAGCCATCAATTCTGTTAACATCAAGCTTTTGAACTGCATTGAAGAGAACAACTGATGTTGCATCATTCACTACTCCTTCTCCAAACACTATGCTGTATAACAAAGGAGTCTCATCTTGATGAAGAACCTACATATAAACAATATAGCTCTGAACCACCTGGAAAATAGCTGGATATAACCAAGGAAAACCATCATGTGAATTCACATACACCATGCTAACTAACCTGGAGCGTACACACTGTATCTGTTGATGAAAAAATTGTTCCTATAGCTGTCTCAAAAAAACAAGATATTAGATGTAAGTTAAACATTTCATGCAAGTTATATGACATGCAAACAGAAGTTGACAAGGGTAAGGATCGTACCAAGATACTCACGCGCAGTCAACCCTCGAAATCCAAACCTAGGAAACAGCCACCTAGTGCCTAGACCAACAGCAACATTGAAGTAATAGAAGTAAACACCATAAAACTAGCTTAGCAAAGACGCAAAAGCATCTTACCCAATAGGCTTTCATATTAAGAAATTAAGGGAAAGGACGAAATAGAGTGATATACAGTACTCGCTGCAATAATGGACGATGAAATAAAAACCCCAATAACTCCAAACAACATGATTGTTAAGAAGTTATGGAAGAATTGTTTCTTCTTCACCTGAAATCTGTTGCAAGCAAGCTAGAAAGATTATTGGATGAAACATTAAACAAGCCACTTAACTAGTCGAAGTATAGAATGCAAGCAAAAGCTGCCCTTACCCTGCATTGAATATAATGGGTGGAAGGAGATAGATGAAGAACAATTCTTCATCAAACCGTAGTATGTGAGAACTTTTTCCCTTACTTATGACCAAGATAATTGTTCCGGTCAAGCTTCCCTGATTCAAGGTAATAAAGAATGGAATTATAAAGGATTCCGACGCTTCAAGGATATGATCTCTATAAAAGAAAATAAAAAACTATAAAAGCAATAGCGGGTATAAAAATGCCCATGGGGCATTTCAGCTCTTTATGAAAATGCTCACAAGCCCGAAATCACCTTTGTTGAAATAATGAATTGCCACTCGTGTTAATAGTGCATCACCCTTTAAACAAACATTAGTATAAGGTCAATTGAAAATGACATTCATTTGGACTCCATCTTAAGCGAGAAAATACTCATTTTCACCATCAAAACCAAACCAAATTGACCACCAACTCCTAGAACCAAGCAAAATTGTTGCTGTCACACTAATCAAGATAAGTAATTCAATGCTAGACATCCTTAAATTAGCTCTATTAGTGCATGGGATAATTCTTGCAATAGTTTGAGATAGCAACCTCCAACCTGATAAACCTGAAACAGTCACAGGGTCAAAAAAGGGGGCCAGGTGAACACCCGACTTATCCCCTCCGAAGTTTAAGTCAGTCTCAAGATTCGAAGTTCCAGCTCAATCAATAATATTTTTCTGGATCAATCTTGCATACCTTTGTTCATTTTTTTGATGAGTATTTATACCTGAATTAGTAATGATTGTCAAAAACCTCAATTCTCATCTAGACATTTAATGTTTGACACACCACTTCTTGCACAATAAGTGTTCTCCACTCAAGTCTTCTCCTGCTCAATGCTAGGATTGACAGGATGAATGCTTGGTGTCATGCCGAGCATTTATGCCCTTCCCCGAGTATTCACATCTCTCAGATTGGCGTCTGACACCCGCAACTGAGCATTGAATACTCGGGGAAACAGTTCCTCGGAGAGGACCGATCGTATATACTTGGCGTAATAACTATTAATGCCTATCCATCATGATGATAGGCCTAAACTCCCAGAATGCAGGCGCTCGCAAACGCTCATTAATAGCCTTGTCACCATCACTCATTCTGCCGTATATAAGAGGTCACATCATATTAAATGCGGTGCCAGCTGTCATACTCGGCTCCTCCGAGACATCATACCTCGGATTACCTCATCGTCACCTTTTGGACATCACAAGAACTTCATCTTTCCACGTGTGAGTCTGGGACTGTAGAGCCACCTAGAGTCCCGCCAATTAGACTACACAAGGGTTTACAACAAACATGGTATCGGAGAATAAAGGTCATGAATTCGAACATCACCGTATGACCCTGCTGCTATATACAGCGCGTCACTGAGCCCATTCATGGGGTAAACTCAATAAACAACATAATACCCAAAATCGATGAAAGAAAAAAGCAATTGATCAACAACATATATACCACACTGATGATAAGAGAAATCAAATGGCATTTGATCAGAAAGCTGACAAACAGTTGAAAAGAAAATAGAACAAGAGAGAAAGAGTAATATACGATTATAAGAGCGGTAATGGATTCATTAACCCATCGGTTTTCTTCAAGCAAGTGTCCGATGACTACACAGAGACAGAGAACCGCCACGAACAATGTTACCGGAACCACCTGCGCATGGTCGTTCGCAATGTTTATCGCAAAGTCTGAAAACGACGTCGAGTTCATACCTGCATCTGAATATCTCAACAACCTTGTGGGATGAAAAGGAGAGAGAAAAGTGAAGAACTTTTAGAGAGAGAAAGGTAATCTTGGGTTGGCTTCCGAGGTTCAAGCTCAAGTGGCGAGGGGAGAGAGAGTGACAGAGAGGTGTGTCGATTCCCGGGTGCTTACAATTTGAACGACAAGTGGCTCCATGTGCATGACGTGGATGCAACGTGTCAATTTCTACGCGAGTCTAGGATGTCCTCGTCGACCATTCAGTTCTTTTATTTTTCATTTATTTTTCCTTATTAAGGACGATTATTTTAATAATATTACGTGACTAATATATGACACTAGCAAGGTAACGCAATTCAAATAAAACTTAAAAAATTATAATTTAAATATATATTATTTTTTAAATGAGTGAGTTTAATCAATTTTTTAGTGAAATTCACTTATGTTATACTCATCCAATGAATTTATATTTTAAGTTTTAAATTTTATTTAAGTCATGTAGTATTTTTTAATATTTAATAATTACAAATAAATTAATATTGCAAATTTTAGTTTCATACGAAATTATCACAAAAATTAATCATGTCATGAAAGTAACCCAAAACAACTTTCTTTCTTTTGTTTTTTTCTTTTCTTTTAGTCATGAAACTCATTCAAATGCTTAGGATTCGTTTGTTTAGCGGAAAATGATAGAAAATGCAAGAAAGATAAATTTTTAAAAATTTTCATGTGTTTGATTAGTATGAAAAGAAAAATGATGAAAAAAATAATTTTTCTCGTACTTTAATTTTCTCACAAATGACCAACTTTTTTTTCTTGTAAAAAACACAAGGAAATACAAGAAAGTTGAGATCATATAACTAATTTCATATTTTACCCTTATTTTTCTTAACATATTTTATTGGTTATTAATTTTAAAAAAATTTGGTATGAATTTAATAAATCATATAATTTTGTTCCAAAGACTTTTGTGTTAGTGATTATCTTAAAATTAAGTTTCAAGTCATTTTTTAAAAAAATTTAACTTTCAATTATAATTACATATTTTTTTTAGATTGATTTAATATAATTAAAGGTAATTTATACAATTTTTTTTATAACTTTTCTTTCTTTCAAATAATATAATGAAATTTTTGTAAAATTTTCTAGTAAATTTTTCATTATAATCAAATACGTATATGAAAATATATTTTTTATCATTTTTTTTTCTTTCACTTCACTTTCCATCATTTTTTTATTTCTAACCAAATGTACCCTTATTCTTTGTTTATAAGAAAAACACTAACTCATGTGACTAATATCTTCTATTTTGCTATTAAATCTTCAAGATATTAGGTTCTTTGAATAAACTAATAAATAATTGTAACTATATAAAAAATGTTGAAAATATATATAAAAAAAAATGTGTGAAAAATTTAGGAGAAGATACAGAATTTTTGAAAATCTAGGGGAGACACATGGTGAGTTGAACAAGGCATGGGTACGACTGTTAAGCTAGAATTACAATCAAGAAAATGAAAACTCTCTCTATAAACCTAATTCACAAAGAACAAGACAACATATGATCACCTTATACACCTCAATAACTACAATCATTTTAAGTAGTAGGTAGAAATCACCAACATAATTTACATTCTAAAAAAATCAGATCAATCGGATATCGAAATAAAAAGTTATAACTATAATACTGAAAACGTGTCAAAATCTTATTTTTTATAATACTTTTATAATCGAATTTTAAACGAGTTTTATACTAACTTAGATTTTTGTAAGGATTAAATTACTATTTTATTTTCAAATTTTTTTATCTTAATATTGACCTTTAAATCTTTATTAATTGTGATTTTTTCCATTGCTTAACTTATCTTATCTATTATTACTTTAAATCAATCAAATTACTTACAAAATAAATCATACATTTAGAAAACGTATCAAACTAGAAAATTAAGAAATCTAATACATTTAATCACATAAATAATATATAATTAACTAATCATTAAATATAACAAAATAATATTTTTGATGATTAATCAACAATTTTGACTTGGTGAGTGCAAATAAGATCTTAATCCGGTTTTTGAGATTTCAAATTTTTTAAGTGATGTATCAAAATTCTATGTATTTAATATTTGATAGAGTTAGTGGATTCTATTAATCTAACTCTTTTGAGATATAAAAGAGCAATGTTATGTAGATTTAAAAATTATACTTGATAATTTCAATCGTTGATTTCACTGTAAAATTCAGTATTTATTCGAATTCATAGCTTATTCGATGATTAAGTCTAATTTTTAAGGATACACGTCACATTATTCAATACAAAATTCTAACAAATATCGTGGAGCATAGCATTGGGATAGATGAAAGGGAAAAAACTCGCTAAGAGAGAGAAAAAATGAAATATTTCTTGTCTTCTGCTGAGAGAGAAAGAACAACAAAGAAGGAAAGAAAATATCGAAACAGAGGCGTACATGGCAATGTTGATGATTCTTGTGATACCTCCTCGTTTTCCTGGGAAACAAACAGTCCTTCAAACCCATTCTCTGTTCGTCTCAAACCCTCATGCTCACCAAAACCACGGAGAAAGTGGACATGTTTGAGAAAATTGTATTGCCCAGATCTTCTTCTTTGAGGTTGAAAAAGGTTGTTTTGAGGGCACCGCGTGATGGTTGCTTGAAAGGTCTGTTCAAGTCGAAGCCGCGGACTCCGGCCGATGTTGTAAGGCAGACCAGGTCCTTGCTTATTGAACTCGAGTCCAATGCCGGACGTGGTGGGACCAAACGTGACGAGAAGGTTCGCTCGATCAATACATTGAGTTGATTGTTTCTTTTTTTTCTTTGTTTTGACTATAAATTCTTTTGCTTCATCAAATAGCTTTTCCAAAAGTTTCAATTTGGGTTGGTGTTAACATTTTTGATAATGGAATTGAATTTATAGTGGAGGATGATCAGTTGTTCAAAAAATATACATTTCCGGGATGGCCTCCGGCGGCGAAGTTGTTCACGGAATGAATTGTTTTTGTGGTGGAAATCTTTGATTGTGCCCGAAAAGAAGAAGATAACGCGATTTTTGAGCTGATCAGTTTATATAATCTACTGTAATAGTGATTACATTAGCTGTTGCAAATATGAAATCATAATCACCCTGGAAGCAAAGTAACTTCACTAAAACAGAAACGAACCAAAGATGAGAGATGATTCACTTGTGTGGTATTATCCACGTAAAAACAAATTATTGTAACGAAAGCTTCAACAAGAGGACAATGATCGCAATATGTTATTTGTCAAAATAGAAAATGCTGTATGTTATGTTTGTGTTAGATTAGGCTTGCTTTATATGACTACCATATGTGTAACTTTTTCTAAATTGTGTTAGTTGGAAAAGTTTTTTGTCAATGGTGAACAGAAACTATTTATGTTGCACAATTATTGGAGGTTCATTTCTGGTATGTTGTGCTAGGAGGATTCATTGAGCTGCCAAATTCTACGTTGTTCTCTTTCTTTTTTGATATGTTTTCTCTTCTTCAGATGGCCGAATTAAATAAACTCATCCAGGAGATGAAGTCGATTCTTTATGGAAATGATGAATCAGAGCCTGACGTGGAAGCTTGTGCACAACTAACTCAAGAGTTCTTTAGAGACAACACACTGCGTCTCCTTATTATTTGTCTTCCAAAGTTGAACTTGGAGGTGAGTATAAATATAGCATTGAATCAAATGGTAATTAGGCCAACCAATTGCTTGAATCTGTTGAGGTTGTACATATATCTAGTTATTCTTGGTTTTTTCTTCATTAGGTAATGCGTATGCTAATTATGCTTAGTGGTTGTGTATTTCTTTTTTTGTTGTTGCTTATCATGAACATATCTCTTTTCATAGGCTCGTAATGAGGCCACCCAAGTCGTTGCAAATTTGCAAAGGCAACTGGTTCATTCACATTTGATTGCTTCTGATTATTTGGAAATCAACCTAGATCTTATGGATCATTTGATATCTGGGTAAGTTATTTTTTTAAATTGTTGGGGCGTTGTAGTTAATTATTATTAGATGAAATTATCTGTGGGCTTATATGGCTTTATTAAGTTGAATAAAACACCTAAATATATGCACGCCATTGCTGTAAAATGTATATATTTATGCAAGCCAATTTTTAAAAGTGAAATGTTACTTTTGTCGTTTTCAGATTTTATTTATTGTCCTTGTTAAATTAGTGCAATGTATTTCTCACTAAGTCACAATATTATTGCTTCCTTGATATTTCAGTAAGAGACTAAGAGCTGGTATCTGTTTTGATATCACCCATCCTGAAATACAGTTGTTTATATTGAAATTTGTAGAACACAGTAGGTCGAAAAGGAATTTTGAAGATATATTTACTATTGTTCAAACATCCGAAAGATATTCAATTGTTGGGTTAAGGTCAGGTGTGTCGGACATTTTGAGGGCCAAAACAAGTCAAACCTGGGTAGTTTCAGGTCTGAGAGTTTCGGAGAGTTTTCCTACTCTATCTCAGATTCCGATTCTTCTATTGATGTGGTTGTATTTGGTATTTGGTAATTTTATGCATTTCTCTCGTTTGTCACGCGTAAGCTTTGCTTCTTACACTGAAGTTTGTTAGGTATGAGGATCCAGACATTGCTTTACACTATGGTGGAATGTTGAGGGAATGCATACGCCATCGGTGTGTTGCAAGGTTAGCAGTTTGAAAGAGATTAATAGGTCATTGGACTCCTTGAGTATGTGTTTTGGTTCATTATTTTATTCTATTAATCTTAAGATTGGTTGGATCTTATATGTCCGTTTTCTTCACAGGCATGTTTTGGAATCAGAGCACATGAAGAAGTTCTTTGACTACATACAACTTCCAAATTTTGATGTTGCTGCAGATTCTGCAGCTACCTTCAAGGTTGTGCATGACATTATATAATGTGAACATCAAAAAAAATTTAGTTGATTACTGCTCCATGACATGTCGGTATCTGTCTCTCTTGTTTATTCTGCTTGTGTTAAAGGCTTAGAGCATCAGTTGCATGCATTCTGATGGATTTTCTTGATTCATTGCAGGATCTTTTGACCAGGCACAAGTCTACTGTTGCGGAATTTCTTTCTAGAAATTATAATTGGGTTGGTTTTCTTTTATTGTGTCTAGACATGGTTTTACTATCGCTATTCACCACTACTGTCCTACTTAGATTTGCTGGATAGCTCCAATTCCAGATCAGGGCTGCCACCTGGCTATTTTATTGCCGGTGGATAGGGTGACCAGCTATGTGCCAACCCAATGGCAGTGGCATACTTGCCCCCCTAAAAGTAAAGGCTAATTCCAATAGAATGAACAACTGATACCAACACCTCTTACCCCTTAGTCTTGGGGAACTCCACTCTTTCTCTTTCTTTGTCAAGACTGCTTCACTCTCTGCCCTTTATATTCACCTGCTTACCCTTCGATCTTCATCATGTTCCTTTGGGAGAAAGTCTTCATATTCAGCCTGTGAATTGCCTGACTTAATGTAGTCGTCACTGATGTTCGCGGCATTACCTGGCGGAACTCCTTGGCATGTACTCTGAGTTGCTTATCATGTTCAGTGCTTATATTTTTAAAATTTCAATTGTTTGCCTAGTTTTCTATAATAGTTTCCCAATTCATCATGATGTGACATTTCTCCAATTATATTTTTGGTTCTAGTTTTTTGCTGAATTTAACTCCAAACTACTGGAATCTGCAAATTACATCACGAGGAGGCAAGCCGTAAAGGTAAAACTGCTGTCTGATACATTTTTGTTTGTCAAAGAATGGCAAGTAAAGTTATGCTTGTAGAAACTTAATCTTCCTCTTCCATGGTTCCATTTATTCTTGCGGAAGAAATTTTTTTAGTTTTCACAGCATTTAATACTCAAACATTTTCACCGGACAGTTATCACCAAAAGAAATGGATGGGCATGCATTTGCTTGGAATAATGGTGGTCCTGGATATACTTTTTGTTGTTACCACTTATCATGATTTGACTGCAGCCTTTGATTTCCCTTGATCTTTGGTTTTGCAGTTTGTAGACTGACAGCTCTAATATGTTTCAGCTATTGGGAGATTTGTTGCTTAATCGCTCAAATTCTGCTGTGATGGTTCGCTATGTGAGCTCAAAGGATAGCTTAAGGATTATAATGAATCTTATGAGGGTATGCTATTCTTTCAGTTTGTTCTAAATTCATGTATCATATTGGCAATAAGTATGACCAACCATGTATATTTTGTTGTACTAGCACTGTAAGCACAAAAAATCTACCTACCACTCAGAAAGCTCATCATTTATATAATAGTATTCACAAATTTGTAGAACATTTTGGGCTTCCATAACACTAGCCTACTCCGATGGGAAAAAGAAAACCCCTGATGATTAAAGTTGGGTTAATTTCTTAATATGCAGGAGTCAAGCAAGAACATCCAGATGGACGCATTTCACGTGTTCAAGGTTCTGCCTCATTATTTGATACTACTGAACTTGAACAAAGTATTTACCTTTATCATTATTTGCTTACTTTTTATGTTTCAAATGACAGCTCTTTGTGGCTAATGAAAATAAGCCTCCTGACATTGTCAATGTGCTCGTTGCCAATAGAAGCAAGCTTCTACGATTACTTGGTGTCTTCAAGGCTGACACAGGTGGTAAATCGTTAATTATAACATTATTGTGGCTGCCATGTTTAAGTAGTTGGAACTGAACCAAAATTGATTTGTTGCAGAGGATCAATCATTTGAGGCAGACAAAGCTGAAGTCGTAAAAGAAATTGCAGAATTGGAACCCCAAGCACCAGTGAATGTGTCGGGAGAATTGTATAAAGATCTCGTGATTTAGATTGTCATCGCGGCTTATTCATGAATTTATAGTTTTGATAAACAGTTATATCTGAACCATCTGATAGTGATTGTATAGTGTTTCTCTGTCAAATCCTTTCACCAGTAGAGTTGAAGGAAGTATTCATTTAATCATAGTGATCATTTGATGGAACTGACAACTTGGTATTGATAAGAATGAGATATTAGGCTAATGTGAATAAAAACATCCATGCTATGAACTAAGGCTTTGGAAATTAGCCTTGTGCATTTGACCTTGTCCAAAGCATGGCCCATGGATTTGTGGATGGATTGGTATTACCAAAGGACAAGCTCTGGCAAGTCAGTCACATTTACAAACCAGATGAGGGGAACGGCTGCTGTGAGGGTGGTTTGACCCGTGCCGCCTACTTCTGGTGGAGGAGGGATCCAAATTTTATTTTTTTAATACATAACACCCTCAAACTCTACAATGACACAGAGCCTCTTGAATTAGGTCATTTTTGTACCTTTTTAATGACATATCACCTATCTATCGCGTATTGGCTGCAATTGTATTTGATTTGCATAGAAATGCATATGAGAGATTCGAATCAATCGTAATTGTGCTTTATATCTTAAAAAATTTAAGAATTTTTATTTTATATTTTCAAAGATTAGATGTCTCGTGTTGCATTCTTAATGTATTAAAATTATTACATTGTGATCGTTGAGTGTAATATAAAAAAATTTAATTTTTTAAGGGTATAAAATAAAAATTTTAAATCTTTCAGATACAAAGTGAGATTTCCCCTAACTTATATACAAATTTTAGCGCCAAGAACTCAAGATGTGACTTTTGCCCAAACAACTGCCCCACTTACTGGTTACTGTCTAGATGGTGGTAAAAGTCCAATAAATTAAAATAATCGGGACTTTATTGCCAATAGCCATAGAAAGCGGGCCCGAAAAGAATTCTTGCCTGCGTTTTTCTTTTCCAACAAAAATCTGTAGGTTCAGCAACAGAAAGCAACGACGCACTCAAAGTCAATCTTTTGCCGCCATTGATGTGAGCTTTTCTCCCTACACCTGCAAGCTTAATTAAGTTACATTCATCAGTTAATCTGCATAAAATCTTTGTCGATGGATCTCACATCTGTTTACTTCTGCATATCAAACCATGTTGATGAGTGTGATTAAGTTTAAGGCGAAATTACGAACGCCCATATTATGTTCGATAATATTCCCCAGTCATATGTTTATTACGTTTTCTTTCATTTGGGTTATGCTCTGGTGGTATTGTGTGCTATGCAATTATGAGCTAATGAGCTTTTGGTTCGTTCTATTTCGTTCTGAGATACTAGTGAATAAAATTGGTATATTGTGTTTTCTGTAGTGATTTTTAAATGAATTTATCTGTTCTGTCTGCTTCCTCCTTGGGAAGGTTTAGGGATTTGAATACTTGAAACCCATCAGTAGTTTGACAACTATGGCAACTGTTTTGGGGTTTAAGTGTAGCTTCCCCAGTAATTGGTAAAAGATCGTATCTCTATCGCAATCTGCATAATCAAGTGTTTGACTACACAAAGCCAGTACTTTATTTTTTCGTCACTAATAGTTGTAAGTTTGGTTTGCTATTCACTTTGGTTTCGCATTCAAATAATTCTTTGCCTTGAATTTGTACTTTTCTTCCACATCCATGTGAATGGACCCTTCGAAATAATCTAAGAACAAAAAGAGGCATATAAATCTCACATGTATGTGTTTTTTTTTTGGGTAAGTAACATATATGTTATGCACTCATTTGGTCCTCCACTATGTTTTCCCTTTATTTTCATATGTATATGATGTTTCGCTGCATTTTGTATTGACATTTCCTTTACTGGTGCACAAAAACAATAATCAGATGGTTTCGTGCTTTCCCTCAACACCGAAGAAGTTGGCAATGACTGTAGCATGCTTCCTTGCTGGCATGTCCTTGTTTTCTGTCGGTGTGCATCTTTCATACGTCAACGTTGCTCCTCAACAAGCTCGAACAAAAGCTCGAAATGAATTTGTTAAAAAACGATTGAAAGAGAAATATGGCAAGTGATAAAAGTGTGCTAATTTGCTTGCTGGATCGTTTCTTCGATATTATCTAAGGTACAGTCACTTTTTTTAAGAGTCGGCTGGATCATTCGCTTTGGCTAGACACACTCCATGTTATGATCTACTACTTGTTCTTTACTTTTTTTCGTTATAGTTTGTGCACAGTTCTCTTGAATGGTCCTTAGGGCCAGAGGAATTCAGAGGGATTTTATGTTTTTGGTTGGCAATGATTAAGAACGTAAGCCTTGGCTTAACATTTCTTTCAAGTCTTGCGGTAAATAACCCAATAAATTACAATAATATTGATGTCACAGTAAAAAATTACTGCTTTTAAAACCTCCTCAGGTTTGCTCATGGAATTGGAGGAAGATTTTAAAGTTTAGAGACAATGTTATACCTCTAATTTTGCATAATGTTGGAGATGGAAAGGACCCTAGAGTATGGTACGATAATTTGCATCCACAAGACCCACTACTGCTCAGATGGTCTTCTAGGATCATGTATGATTCAGGCCTTTCCAAGGAAGCTTTGGTAAATTCTATTGTGCAAGGAACTGAATGGTGCTGGCCAGGATCTAATTCTACAGAATTAATGAAAATTAAATCTTCTATTCCTTCCTATCAGCCTGATAATATGAGAATGGATGTTATTAGATGGTCAACTTCAGCTAATGGCTTTTGCTCTGTAGCTCTATCAGATGGCATTCCTCTGTTGTTACAAGGCACAAGTTGGTATGGTTCAGTAAGGCAGTTCCTTGATGGAGCTTTATTCTATGGCTAGCTATTAACAAGAAGCTTTACTCAAAGGATAGAATCCAGGCTTATAAAAGTAATTTGAGTACTATTTGTATGCTTTGCAGAGCTAGCGATGGATCTCACAATCATCTCTTATTTCAATACGCTTACTCAAGTAGATTATGGCAACTGTGCATAGCAAGTGTAATATTTCCTTACCAACTATGCAATGGGGGGCCCTTTGATTACTCAGGTTGCTGCCGAATGGGGAGGAAAATCATTACAGAAAATACTGCTCAGGTTGTTTCTATCTTCTGCTGTGTACTACATTTGGAAAGAAAGGAATGCTAGAATATTTCGCTACTCTTTCAAAGATGTTGACTCAGTTCAATCTGAAATATGCGCTTTGATTAGAAACAGAATGTATGCTTTCAAAATTCCAAATCTCCTCTTAATAGACACTTAATGCAGAGTTGGAATCTCTCGGTGAGTTGTTTGAATGCATGCCTGCTTATTCTACCTGAAACCATCATGGTGGAGCCAATAATAGTTGCTATAACTTCTTTATGAAGAGGTTCATGCTTATCTGGACCTGTAAATCATTAACAAAGTTGTGACCATGAAAGCTTTGCCTTTGTGGATTCTGTCTTCATGGGAAGATTTTGTTGATTGCCAGGGATGGTCTACTACAAGTCTTCATTCACCAATTTCCTAGCTACAACCCAACTTGGACAAATGCCGTTGATTTGATGGAGTCAGTTTAGATTACTGTGTGTTACTGCCTTTGATCCTGACTTGTATTTTTTGATTCCAAGCTAGTTTGGTAGGCTCTACAGACTTGTTGCTATTGTTATTCATCAAGGGGCTTTGCTTATTTTCCCCTTTCTGAATATGTGCCATATTGCCCAATCAATGAACATCAATTTTATTTACCGAATAAAAGTTGCTGCTTTTAAAGAGTCACTGGGAAGAATGAACAAGAAATAGGCCTTCAAATAAAAATGCCATATCATGTCCAGCCAAGCATGTGACAAACACTGGCATAAGGTGAGGTGACCTGCAGAGCAGCCCCTTCATTGTTTCCGGTTAGTGACGGGAGGCCGAGTTTGAACGCGAGAGAGGCCAATAAGAGTGATGAAAACAGGTTTGGCAGATACATGGAACCTAGATAAACTTGAACCTACCATTCAGAATTCCTTTCTGTTAAACAACAATTTACACCAAAAACTTAAGCCGTTAAAAAATGTATAACTTAAATATTTATATTTCAACACTTCCCACTACTGCCTTCTAAATAACCAGATTACTTCGAAGGTAGAAATCTGAACAACCATCTCCGTTAAACTAGATAGGGAATGGGAAGCCAAAATAACCCCATTTGATCATGACATAACAGCCAGAAGTGAAACTAGATGATATTCAACAATCACAGGGTATAACTGTGGTCTAGTTTTACACCCACCTATGACCAACCCCAACATACCACCAAAAACAACAGAATTAAAGAGGAACCAATCCAAAACAGTTAGCATCCTAGCACACTGAGACTCTTCGGCAAATTCTAATAGAAAGAATTACCTCTTCCAAAAAAACTAACTACATCTTTATCAGGAAGCTCCCATCCATATTTGACGGGTTGAAGACATGTAGTAATTCATTGTCCCCTCCAACAAATTTCAATGTTTCTAATTATGTGTTCTTTCCAAGCACAATGTAAGCTGAACTTTGGGTTGCTACCCGGTGGGGAAGATTAGGGCCTTTGACGAGAGGAAAGGGTTTAAGGCGTGCAAAATTGAAACTGGCACAATAGCGCACAACTATGACAGACCCAAGTTTGCCCTGTCAACCAAAAAAGCACATTGATAACACAACAGGTAGAACATTTAAGATCACCATGACAGAGTTCAAGTTAACTATGACGGATCAACAAATCTTTAGTTCCATGCCTTACATAAAGAGTTTTTCCTGGGTGGAGTCTGGGAAGAAATTCTAATTTAAAAAATCGAGATTGGGTAACAAAATTTTATGCTGCACCACTGGCACCTTTCCCTTTCTTCCTCTGGAGCTTCTTCATGTAGAACTCCAGTTCTTTGCCCTCCAAAATGTATCTGTCACAACCAATTTGATCACCAGGTTAAAGAAGAATATACAGCCAACTTACATGAGGTATAAAAGCAACTAAAATCATTCTTGGAGGCAAATTAATACCATATGAAATAATGTTTATGAATTGCCGGGCAATTTGCTCCAAAAAAAAAACTAAAGAAAATGTAAGAAGTTGGGAGATATGGGCAGCTTCCGAAGGGGAAAAAAAAAGAAAGGACAGCTGTAACCCTTATTTTTGCAACCTCTAAGAAACAGTAACACAGTTAAGAGAACCATACCCATCAGCACGACCACACTGGCCAGGTCGCGATGAGATTGCTGCTAACAAACGGCCACTGCCAAACTGCTCTTCAACATGTGGGTCAAGCTTGCGATCCTGTTGGCGCTTCTCAAGTTTCCTCAAGACATGCTTACTCTTCTTCGTCTCCTCAGTAGCAGCTTCACCTTCCTATAAAACATCAAAGAGCAAAGAACATGTTGAAGATCTATTATTGACCAGATTTTCCTATTACTTCCATAACACCCAACAAAAAAAAAAACCCCAGTGAGAGCTCATGAAACATGAATTGATGATGTTCATATGATGTGTACAACCAAGTTTTGCCCTGTCATATGACTCATATAGCTTACAATAACTTTTGCCTTTTGGAGAACAAATTAACATATTGTCATGTCAGTGGCAGAGGAATACAGCTCTTTGAAACTAAGAGAATAAGGTAAATCCTTAACTTAACATTAAGTTTTTAGTGCCTTAATCTCCAATCATGAGAATCCCTCATCAGAGGAATATTGCAACACCGAGCAAAAAACAAAAAACATTTGCAACAGCAATAGTTCGAATTCCCACCCAACAAATAATGATAACGAAATACTTCTGTACAAAACAAACCACAGCATAACAAACAGATACCTTTTCCTGACAAAATCACAAAAATATCATAACAAGCTTAAGACACTGAAAAAAGAGCAATATTAGAATGCAATTGCCTCATCAATTGACCATAAAAGACTAATTGCCTAAAGTAGAATAAATTTCCCATGCTTCATATCTATCCATCAACAATCAAGCACAATCAACACTCCTAAAATATCAACTCTCATACCTCTCCTTCTTTTTTGGCAGCAGCAGCAGTTTTCTTCTTGCGACCAATGTCAACTCCATAGTGCTGAAGATACCATTGTTTAAATGGTGCTGCATCAACCTGAACAATCGCACTTTTCACCAAGGTCTGGGTCCTAACCAACTCATTATTTGATGCATTGTAGACAACATCCAAAATTCGAGTCTTCCGGGTCACTGCCTCACTCCCCCAAGAATAGTTCCCTGTATCCAATCTTAAGGCACGCCACTTTATGTTCCCACCTCGAACCCTAATCCGTCGAACGGTCTTCTGGCTTGACAACTTGGTGTTTGCCGGTTGTCTTCCGAGCTCATACCTTAAAATTCAAAAAATCATACATTACAACAGGGAAGCAGGCTAAATAAAATCAAATCTAATTGAAGTTTTTTGTGGTAATGTTTTATGGTTCCATCCCACATTCTCAACACAGTGTCAACTAATGACCCAAAAAATTGTCAGATAGACCACATAAAGGAAAATTGATAATGATTTGACATGTTACTCAAGAACATAAAAATGAAGCTGACAATTTATGATTCTGAAGATTAACAAAAAGGGAAAATTACACTTTCCCCCACTAAACTATGGCCCTAATCTCACATTGTCCTCTCTATTATTGATTTTCATATTAGACATTCAACTAATCAAATTAGTTTCACATTGCCCCAAAGTGAAACTTCCATTATGTTTTGGACAATGCCCATGTGAAACGGATTAACATATTTGGCGAGGTGACGTGTCATGAACTTTTGCCATTTTCCATCCGAAATGGTCATTGGATTTTGGGACAATATTAAACCAATTAACACATTTGCTAGCAACGTGAAAATTTGACTAGATGGGGATTATCTTCAAGTAAGGTCATGGCTATAAGTTAATTTGAGTATATAGGGGTTAACTCTAATTAACAATAAATAAATGTAAGATGCTTTGGGTGTCAAAAAATATTATCAATCAGAAATCCAACAAATGAAACAAATCAAAATTAAGGCTGTGTTTAAAAGTATGGTATTTGAGCCTTGAAACTGCAATTAGAAGAAAACTAAACATTTCAAGTAATGTGATCTGCAATTACTATTCCAATACTAGAATGCATCTACAGAATTATTACAAACACATTCACCAGAAAGTGAATTAAACTGATCAGGGTTATGGCATTATGCCAAACACAAAAATCCAGTAAAACCCAAGTTAAAAAATGGGGGCAGTATAATATTGCACAACCGTAAATCAGAAGCCAAACGTGGGGAAATCTATTTCCGAAAACAAAGATCTAGCCAGTGCGGATCGTGATATCAAAGGATTATTACAAACCTATTAATAAAAAATATGAATCAAACAACAGCTAATCAAAGAACAACTAGCTAATAAAGCGAAACATACAAAGTCATGAAACGAAATAAACTGACATGCTTATTAGAGATCATATGAAATTCCTAAGAGTGAATCCAAACAAATCAAACTTCGAAATCATAACAAAAAAACTCAATCAGAAAGGCTAACTAACCAAGAATATAAACAAAATAGTAGTTTGCAAGCCAATCAGTCAAAAACAAGGAATGAACATTAAGAGATCGGGGATTTTAAACAAAATTTATGTTTTCTTCAGAGAGATTACTTTCGCTTCTTCCTCCAAGCCTTCTTCTTGCCTCCAGTGGCACGCCTCTTGTGCATCGAATCCCTAGAGATACCTGCAACACATTAGGGTTTTTCCAATATTAACATCAAAAAATTACGTGATTGAAGAAGATAATAGAACGAACGTAGAGTGAATAGATTGATACCCATGTTTCCAGACGGTGGATTCTAGGGTTCCTTTCTGGAGCCCCCAAATGCCTGAGAAGAAATGGAGGTTTTGCAACAGAGTGAAGCCTTCGCAAAACAAAGGTGAGCTTAGATTTTATACTTCCCGCAGAAAACCCTAGTTCGATGAAATTACTGTAATGCCCTCATTTTTTGTTAGAAAGGCGCTGTTTTGTCCTTGAGTGTAACGACGTCGTTTTTCACTTTTTAAACCAACCTACCCTTGGTTCCTTTTTTCTGAGCTAATATGTTCATGTCGATATTTATACTATTTTTTGGGTAAATTTCAATGACACCCTTCGATATTTTTCTTTGGTAAATATCCCCTCGATGCCTATTAAAATAATATGATTATTGTTATGAAACTAACAAGTGGATGTTACTTTTCTAGATCGTATTATATTAAAAACATAAGTAAAAAATTAAAGAATGGACTATATGTTTGAAAGTGTTTTATGTTTTGTATATCAAGTCAATGTTTGTCGTAATAATGGAGAAAAATAGTTATTGAAACAATGCACAACTTGTTGAAAATATTTTTATATTATGCTTGTAAAATAGTTTATTTTCTATATTATTTTGTAATATTACCTGAAAAGCATGTGAAAAGTAAGATAAATTAAAAGTGTAACCATGCAAAATATCTGGCATCATATATAAAAGAAAGAAATAGTTGGTCACTTTAATAAATTTCAAATCTGATCAGCTCTATTATTGTCTCTAATAAAAGAACATAATTTTGTGTATTTATTATCATTTAAATTTTTATTTAACCGTGATTAAAAATTAATTACTTGTAAAAGGACCACATTGACAAACTAGATGACTATTGAGTGTTTAAGTTTACGTCGATTACTCCTTCGAACTATATAAGTTAGCTACCGTAATTCGATCTAGTTTAACGACATGTCTCTTAGAAGGTGTAAGAAGTATCAAACTTGTTCCCTCTTGGTCGCGAGAGGAGAAGACATGCTTGACCAGTAAACCACCCTGAGGGTTGATCTTACACAAAAATTAGTTTCTAACATATGAAGTTTGTTGAGCAAGATCAAGCTTTGACAGATTGGTGACAGAACATAGAATCTCCATTATGTGAAAAATGATATCTTGGTCAATAACCCGATGGTGCCTTTTCACTATCAAACGAAACTCCTGCAACTTTGTGTACCAAAGGATTGAAACCAAATGGGAGAACCAGAAGACAATTCCAAGTGAAGCAACTGATGAAGTGGTCAAGTAATAAGTTGCTGATCTTCAAATCAATGTTTAGCTATTTTGCAGACTCAAATGTCAATTACACAGCATGATGTGTTAAAATTCATACGCGAAGAACCTCAATAAACAGAGCTAACACATATCTGCAACTGATGAAGTGGTCAAGTAATAAGTTGCTGATCTTCAAATCAATGTTTAGCTATTTTGCAGACTCAAATGTCAATTACACAGCATGATGTGTAAAAATTCATACGCGAAGAACCTCAATAAACAGAGCTAACACATATCTGTCTGTCCCATTGGAGGGGAAAGAATGAAACCTGTAATACAATAGATACACACATAACTTAAAGGGAAAAAATAGAAGGTAAAAAAAAAAAACCCAAAAATACAGATTAAAAAGATGATTATGTGCTTGGACCCAAGTAGGGTCTGATGGAAAGGAGGGGTTCAAGCCTAGCCAGTGTGTTGACCCCCACAATCAGCTATCCGACTCCCATTGGCTTTACTTAAATTCTCCCAGTTAATAATGCTCTTGATATATCGCTCCAAATTCTGCTCTCCATGCTTGATCATCATCTGGCTGTGGGGTTGAGTCGTTGTGTGCAACATCAGAATCTTCCCTATATAGTGGTCGTAATGCAGCTTCTGGCAATCGGCTCTCGGCAAGGTACTGTTTCATGGTGATCATCTCCATCTTGTGTTTTCTCTTCAGTTTCTCTATTTGCTTCTTTAAATGCTCATTATCTTCCTGAACCCTCGTAAAGTTTTCCTGAATAGATGAAAAAAAAGAAGCATTGGCAGATAATACATCTGTAAGCTATGACTTACAAGTGCATATAATTAATGTATGTTCACCAGAGGCATATAAAATCATTGATTCCTTTAAGAATAACAGCTCTCTCTCTCCAGCGTGCTATTGGCATGCACATTTGTAATGTGGTACATCTATTATGTTTTTTTTTTATCAGAAACTACTCAACTGCTTTAACTGGTTTATAATTATAATCATTATTTCATTAATATGAATGTATTAAGGATTATTCCTGACTATGTCGGCATCATATTTACTTATGTTCCCTGATTTATCTAAGGTGACTTAACGGATTCATATCATAAATTAGTAAATTATTGCCCATCAAATAACCCTGATTTCTTGGTTGTACTGGCGGGTGTACAAGCAAAGGTCTGATAAGGTTTTACCTCAACAAACATGTAACAATGTACTGTTCATTTGTTTAAGAAAAGAGCATTCTGGCCACAATTGGAAATATTTATGACAGGGAAGTAGAATCATAAAAGCTGTATATATGTACATACCTCTGCAACTGAAGCTGATTGCTCGGCTTCTCTCAGCCTAACAAGAAGTTCACCAGCAGCATGGACAGCTTCTGCAGTGTCTCTAAGTTGAATTCTTAGACTCCTGTTCTCCTTTTTGAGCAATTCCCTCTCCCTCTCCCTCTCAACCCTTAAGGCTGAAAGCTCTGCAGCAAGGGACTTGGAAAAACGAGAGCCATGACCTTTTGCACCTGCTTTTGCAGCTGCCCTTTTCACCTCTGCTATCCCTTCCATAATTGATCGGTGCTTTTCAACCAAGTCATTATACTTCTCCTGAAGTTCAGCATAATGTTCGACCATTCTAGCATGCCCAAGGACAGACCTTTTAAGTACATCATCCAACTCCTCGGTGCACTTCTTCTCAAATCTCAACTCCATCTCCACTTTTTCTGCACGCTGACGGTTGGACTCAAGATCAATTCTCAATTCCTCAGTCAAAGAAATCCAATCACTCTCCATTTCCATCCATGTTTGCCTTTCCTTCTCAAGTTCATCATCACCATTACCCCGAGGATGTGCATAACTTTTTCTCAATTGAATTGACTGTGACAACAAGGAGGATCTTAGTCTATCAGTAGACCTGTGGGGAGATGCATCAGTATATGACTGCAATTTGCTCTGTGGACCTTCAATTTCTTCTTTCTCATTCATATTGAATGATGTCCTCCTGTGCTCCTGTTCCAATTCTTCCCGGATTTCTTTTATTTCGCACTCTTTCTTAATAATCTCTGGTTCAAGATTTTCACTATCATTCCATCTCAGAAGCTGATAAAATTCCAAACGACACATAAGAACAAAAAGAAAATTAACATTCCAAAAAAGATACAACAACAAACAAGATCGAGGAAAATACATCAAAGTAGCGAGGGCAGCGAACACAACAACAAACCTTGTTTTCATCCTTCACTGGATAATTATTTTCAGTTTTCAGATTATCAATTGCTTGCACTTCATTTTTCAAGCCCTCGACACGATGAGCATTGCTATATTCAATGATAGCATTCTGTTCTCTCTCATGTTTGTATAACTCTACCTGAAGAAATATTGAATCATTAATAACATTTATACGTGAAGAAGAGAACACTCTAAGAACACAAGATTGTCACCAGATGATTTAGCTGCTCTATTTTGGCTGTTTGTTCCTTGCAAACATTTTCAAGCTCCTTCTCTCTTTTGATGGATTCTGCCAAATCTTTTACAGCATCCTGATGAAGAAGTAACAGAAGGGACAATCTTCAATTAGAAGCACATAAACAAAGGATGTACAAGCTCAATATTAATAATTTAAGCCAAGACATACTTCAGGCACTTGATCTGCCGCATCTACTGCAACAGTCCATATCTTCGAGCTATCCTGGACTCTATTTGAGGCACCAAGTCCTCTTTTCTGACAAGATGCACACAGGAAAGAAGCATAAGGTCCATCTAAAGATAGTCTCTCGTCAGGCAAAGTTTGGACAGAAGCGTTGGCCTTGTCAGTTATTGGACTCGGTTTCAAAGTCAAGTGCTCAAAAGAGAAAGCAACTGAAGGTTTATTTGGTGTGGAGTTCTGCTGATGGTAGTCAATAATTTGTAAGCCTCTTTGAAGGCTAGCAGCTAAGGACTCTGCGGGACCTGGAAATATTTTACTTGACCGCAAAGATGATCTAATGTGATCACTTTCTTTGAGTGAGTGCCGTAATACAAGTGGATTGAACTTGGAACTCTCTAGCACATTCTCCTGATTTTCCACATGATTTGATGAGATGACTATGCTCTTCCTCTCTGCGTTTTCAATTTTTGGCGACTCAGACAATGTTGGATCTTGGAGTACTGCAGACTGACGGCATGCACTTATTGAAATCCTACTTCTGAAGGCAGGATCAGTGGTCCTTGCTGGGTGATGAAAGTTTTCAAGGTCAGTCACAGATTCAATGCAGTCCTGATGTGGAATGTTGGTCTCAGATTCTTTTGAGCTAATTTCTTCATTGTCACTGTCTTCTGAAAAGCTTACGTAGTGTTCACTTGTCAAGCCTGTCTTGCAACATTCTACAGAGGCAAACTGGGTGGAGTCTCTAATCTCAAAGGTGTGCTTTGAGTTCTCTTCACAAGAACGATGCAAATTATCAAACTGCTGGCATAGTTCTCTTACATCATGCTCGTCAATATGTACATCTTCTTCAGAATCATTATCTATACGGGGCAGAATCAATGAGCGATTAAGGCTTAGTCTCAATTGATTCACGCTTTCACGTATGCTTCGTCCCATAAAATATCCGCTGTTGTTTCTGGATGAGTTGCACGCATTTAACTTTGCTCTTATCAGTTCTTCCTGCAACAATCAACAAGTCATTAACATTAAATGTTTAATCAACTTTAACATTAAATGCATATCTCTAGGAGGACAAGGAAAAATACCTTCAGCTGTCGAATCTTGTCACTCAAATCATCAACATCATCCTCTCTAATTTCATTTATTACTGGCTCATTCGACATGAATTTTGTGAGCTGTCCAAATCTGAGTGTGCTCATTGTTTCACTGTGACACCTACACAAGTCAACAAAGGTGTCCACTATCAAAGGAAAGACTAAAAACATAAACACACACACACACACACCCCACAGACGAACCCCAGAGATTTCAGGTTTATTTCTGGTGGAATCACAATTAGTTTGACGCATTCTGGGAAAGGGATCACCATGTTCATAAACTGACAGCATTAAATTGTTTCAACTAATCATACTTGTTTTAAAAACAGTTGAAGGACACTTAGAATGACCTGGCTAGTGCCTCTGCCTGATTTTCAACCAAAATGGTAAGCGACTCTCCATTAATTTTCCTCCTTTTTTGGAACTCTACATTCTTTTTCATTTTCTTTGAGAATATCTTGTCATCAATAGTATATCTCCGTTCTCACTTCTCTACTTTAATCTTTTATTAAAAAAAGAAAAAAAAATGACCTGAATAGTTCTTGAACCACCAGCCACCAATGGTAATCATCAGCATGAGGTTACATGTAACATCATTTGTTATCAAGGTTCATCAATTACTATTCAGCTTATGTATATAGAATGTAAAAGTTCTCAGGTTGGCATTAATTACTTCTTATCTGGGGAGATGGCACATATAACAGTGAGTTTGGCATTGCCTCCAAGTGATTCTCTCAGTAAATGCGTTAAACAGGAACTTGAATATGGAACAGCAGCTTCAGGTTTTCCGGGTTGAGTTCTTTTGGTGAGGTTATTTACCAAGAACCTGCACCAATCCATTAGGAAAAAAACATTATAGAGAAGCAATTGCTGAATTCAGACCATGGCTAATTCATTGTCAAATGCAGTTACAACTAATTATCTGGAAGTGGCACACAGCATTCATGGAAGTTTAAGTTTTTGAAAAATATGCATAAATTTTGAATGCAGCTGCAGATGAACTTTGCAAAGTCGCATAAAGATAATTTGGAATACCAAGTGAAAGAGAAATAATAGAAAATAGTCACAAACTCACGATATCATAATTGAAATTCTGGACGTCAAATAACACATGAAAATTGGAAGTATATCTTTCTAACATGCAATCACACAGAACCAGTAATGTATAATTATCACATTAATGCTCAGGCCTCAAAGAGAAAAACCATTTAAGACTAAGTAGTGACTATTTTTTTTTTTAGCAAAAAAAAAAGGGGTGCAACATGAGGACTTCCCAGGGGTTATAGAACTATGAGTGACAGATAAGGACAAAAAGATTAATGACTGAAACGTAAAGGAAACGCTGAACAAACTCGGGAGAGCACTGAAGATCAATGGTCATACCATCTCCCAAGCAACAAGACGGCCCAAATAACAAGTTTCCTTTCTGTTGTATTGATCATTAACATGGGGAAGGAGCTATAGGAGGATGCTGCTTACTGCATCTGAAGCATACAATATTTACTGGGTCTTCCTTAAGTACCATGTGATCTACACATTTCTATTAGAGTTTCAAAGCAAACCATGATTTGTAAAACATATTGGGAGATAGTGCCATTAGCTTCACTAGTAAGAAGAGAAAATAGTGATGTCATACTAGTAAAAGATGGCGCATTGACAAACTGCAAGCAATAACAAGAAGACGGAACCTGTGACAGAAGACACTACAACAAAGAAACAAGGCTCCATGATTCCTCATATGTTATGGTACTACAAAGCAACATGACAAGAATAATACATGCATTCAACTCAATAAACAAAACTAACTTTCTCGAGTTAAGCTGAAATTTATCAATGTCGGGTCATGATGTCTATAAAAGTTAACCATGTGGATTATTAAGATCCGCTCAAATGGTGGGAATTATTGAGAAGCATAGAATCAAGATAGAAGAATTTTTACAGAATAATAATTCATCGAACAACGGGACAACTGCAACTATAGGTGCTGTTAGAGAGATCATGGCATCATACCCAAGCTGTGATATGGACTTTTTTACATACTGTGCTTCCTTCACACACATTCTACCAGCATCATCAAGTCTATTTCTGTCAAGTCCAGCGAGATCAACGAGGCTGATTCTGCTCGTCTTTGAACTACCAAAACACTTTGACGAGGTTTCCTGAAGTACAAGTTTTTTCCAAACTAGACGACTGAGTAAATACAAAAATGAAAATAAAACAAAAACTTGGAATATCAGCAAACATAATCACAGTTTATAATTTTAAAAATAAATAGTTAAAACTACATAGCTCTAAAGTATAATCACTAATAGAACATAGATACAAATAAACCAAAACAGCTATGTCTGGTTATATGTGGCCCATAGCAATGTGAGTTTCTTTTATCAGATAGTAAGCAAAAAGTATCGTAGACTTCAGCTTTCAGTCTATATGCTACTATATCAAAACATGATTTACCATATCTCTGATACATTACCAAAACAAATATAAATGAATAACAATGAGATTCAGACAACTGCACTGATGATGATTACAAAGTTGAAGTCTAGACAAGCTTTGTTTACCACAAAACTACCTTTCATATAGCAGTATATTACAATCAAAGCAACCTTTTTATTTCTATTAATGGGTAACACTAGTTGAAAGCATTTTAAAAACTTCAACAATTGATGATACCTTGCACCAGGACTCAATCATGCATGTGAACACGAGATGGGACCTTGAACTCTTAGAATTTATGCTTGTTGCTCCAACCTTTCTACTTGAAAGTCCCTGAACATAAAGAAGTCAACAACATTGAGCATTGAAATTTTTTCATGAAGATGATGAGAAATTCATACATATGAATACATTGAACATAATATAAGCAGCACTAAAAATCAAAAGCTTGATATTTTTCCTACCTTAATCAAAATTTGAGTTACATCCTCATAGCTAGTCACGTATTCCTCAGTCAGATTCTCTAGGTAGAATCCATTTTTGGCATCATCCTTTATCTGGAAAGTTCAACAACTCCCATTATTAGCATCAATCATAGATAAAAAGCTCCCCATGAAACTAATGACAGAGAACTAGGGAGCAAAAAAGAACAGATATTTCCACCTCTAGGTTTCGTTGGGTTGGATCAAGTAAATCCCCAATTTGTTCGTTGTATATCTGTGAAAGCAAATCAACAACATTATACATATTACACCACGCATAAAAGCACAAGTCCTGACCAATAGTAAACGGTTAAAAGTACCACTTGCCTCAAGGAACGAACAGCGGCACTGAAAATTTATCTGTTTACCTTCTGCATTCTCCTGCTCCTGAATGAGGATGCACAATAAGTCACACATTAGCATTCTTCATTTTTCACTACTGACTAATTGCTGAAAACAAACATACCCTTTGAAATTCAGAAAACAGCATATGGAAGATGCGTGGCACAATGCCCTGAAGACTGCTGGCTGAGTGACCGTCGACCATTGAGCTTGGTGGACCCCACATAGTATAAGTCTTTCCACTTCCAGTCTAGTGAGAATTTTACCAAAAGTCAATTCGCTGCAAGATTACAATCAATTACATGTATGATATATGATCACATTGGTCTTTAATTACCTGTCCATATGCCAAGATTGATGTGTTGTAGCCTGCTAAGGCATCCTTAACCAGTGGGACACCAACTAATCGAAATACATCTTCCTGGTAGAATTCAAAGCAGCTTATAAATCAAAATCGCAGTATATGTGCCTTTTTTCTGGTACGTGTAATTTGTTGTCAGATAACCAAAATCTTCAAATCTTTGGATTTCTTTTACATGTCATGAATGGATATAAGAAAATTCAGTTTTCTGGGACAAACAGGCAGTCACTTGAACTCAATTAATCGATAAAGAAAATGAAAATCTTCAATTTATAAAGTTGTAAAGAATTGTTTTTCAAACCTGGCTTGAATTTGAATCAAGAACTGAATCAAAAGTAAAATTTCTATCCCCGACCGATATTGAATCATCAGAAACCTTACTGACCGTCAAATGCCCACTTTCATGGTCATTAACTGGTCTGATCCTCGCCATAACCTATCCAACCAAAATACAGGTTTATGAACCGAACAACACAGATAATAACCTAAAAACTTGAACAAAATCGAAATCATCATATTATTGAATACCTTGACTGGCGGATCTGGATGTGCTGGTAGTTCATGGTTATCATCCGAACTGATGATTTCCTTTGGGGAATTTGTGAGCTTCAGTTGTGATTGTTTGGGGATTGAAGGTAAGACTGTGTTGTTATCCGCCACTATGTTGGGATCAACCGGTGGAGTGTTTTCGCTGCTACATCGTGATTTTGTATGAACAGTGTTTGTCTTTTGCTTACTGGAGACGGATCTAGGGAGGAGGTTCTTTATCGATGTTGCCGAAATTCGTCCCAAAAATCGATTATCTGAAATCTCTGTTCGCGACTTCATGATTCTCTAGGGACAAAGAGAGCGAGAGAGATTTGATATGTTTCTAGAGAGAGAGAGAGAGAGTCTTGAAGGCTTGGATCCAAATGTTTGTAGAGAGGGAAGACGAGAGAACGTTTTTTCTTGGTGAAAGATGACCGTTGGGCAGTGGTTTTTGTATGCGAAGTAGGGTTTAAAAGTTCAAACTTAAAACGTCGCAATGACGAAAATATCCTCGTAAAAGTCTAATGGTCTCTAGGCCCAGTAAGATCTTAACACCAATAAGAATATGAAAATTATATTATCACTTTAAAAAATAATAAATTAAGACCAGTTATGTAATCCAATTCACATAGTTAGGATTAAAATTTTATTGAATTAAAAATAAATTAAAATCAGGGTTAGATATAAATAATTTATTTAATTGATACTATAGCAAAAAGATGTATATCTTTTATAATATGAAATTTTTAGGGTGAATTTTACTTTATACCCTGATAGATAAAATTTTTATATATTACACTTTTAATGTGTTACCATTATTTTTTTTCCATCAAAAATCTCACCTATAAATTCGACCTTGCTCAAATTAAAATTCCGATAATATTATTAAATAATAATATAATGTTACCGTCATATCCAATATTTTATCCGTGTTGAATGTGCCGTGAATAATGGGCCCGTCTTTTGGGCAATCTGTTAGATCCAAACGGACCAAAAGGCTACTTTTGTAAGGGGTCTTTCGTCCTTTTGAAAGCGAGGCATGGTTTGTTTGGTCCACTTCAAAAAAGTCAAATATATAGCCGTTGTGGCCTGCTATGCGGTAGGAGCGGTGAGTTGAAAAGATAGAATCACAGCGTCCGTCAAGTGAAGTATCACAACCGAGAAAAGTTGTGTCCACTAAAACTTTTCAATTTTAAATCTAAAATGATTTGGTGAATTGATAGTTGTCGGACTATTAAAGGAGGTTGGCGATACTTATTCAATGACACACATTAATTTTGGGGATAATTTTATGGGTATAAAAACTTACACAAAATCAATTACAATCATTGAATCACTAATAAGACTCAATGATCTAATGGTTGTAATTGATTTGGTGCACATAGTATTGTTCATCAAATATTAATAATTTTAATCTGCACTCACTTTCAATGTTAAAAATTGGTACTAATGTGGATCTCGTGCCAAGATAACGTTCATTTTTTTGTCATAAATTGAAGCACGAGAGTAACAAGTGCATCAGATATGAGCTTATGTATAACTTCACAAACGGTTAGTGCCACATGTGAGTTACACATGATAGGATTAACCTTTTATCTAATTAATAAAACCCTATTTCAATATACAAAACAATGCCAAAATTGATCGTAAGTGAAAATTTACAGTAATAGACATACTTCATTCTCATGTCTGAAAGCACTTGCACTTCACATGCTTCAATTTATGATGGCAAATTGAACGATAGTCTAGATTAGGTCCATATTATTACAAATTCATAACATTATGGGTATAAATTAAAAATTTTAATATTTGAGGGTGTAACTTGAGAATCAAAATATTTTTTAGAATGCAAAATAAGATTAACCCATTTGAAATTAAAGAAAAAAAATCATTCACACAATCAAAAGAAAATAAATTTTATATACAATGATGCATCTCAATATTCATGACTAAAAGCATCTTATGGTAATTCAACGATAATCAAAATTATAACTATAATGATCAAATCCCAAAAATATAACGATTTTTAAAATTCTAACCAAAAAAAATTTCTTGTTATTTGTTATATTAAATAGAAAAATGAAGCAAGAAAAAGAAAAAAATATGAGACGTTATAATTATAAATTTCAACTCCAACTATATAGTGATATTAAATTTCAAGCGATGATAATTTTGTTAATTTAACTAATATGTCGTGATTCAAATTAAAAATCAATCTTTTTAAAATAGAGATAAACTTAACTGTTTTGGGAACGATTGATTATAACTTTTTTAAATTTAATTTTACCAAGAGTCTTTTAACAAATTATGCCATATTCAAAACTACAAAAAAAAAAAAAAAAGAGGCGAACTATTTCTCAAAAATCTAGTTTGGTTGAGTTGTAATTCAATAGAGTTTAGGATGATTGACCCGCCACAAAATAATATCTATGTATAAATGAAAAAAAAGCAAAAAACCACAGCAACCATCATCAACATTTAATTTTTGAGTTTAGAACAATCTGCATATGAGTACAGTTTGAACAATCCTAATTCAAAAAAGTATATTTTGTTTTTGACAAAATATTATATTTAAAGTAGGAACAAGTAGAATTTAGTTTTACGAATTAAAATCATAGGACTTATCAATTTTTTGATTTATGATGATGGTCGTTTTAGAGGTATATTTCTCGTTCATTTTATTATTAGTGTAGTGTTAATCATTATTAAATAATTTTTTTATAAAGAAAAAATTTTATTTATTGAAATTCAAAATCTTATACATGTCACCCATCTAGTACTGTATTGAGAGAAATTGAAGAGAAAGAGTAACGGAGGGGATCTGAATCCATATAAACGAATAAGAGTATTTTTGTAGAAGATTAAAAAAGCTTGTATAGATTAAAGGAGTAATTTGAGAATAATTACTCAATATATGCAAACCACAAATAAGGTTGTATATATATATTTTTGATAATATACCAACAAAATATTTTGATCATAAAATTAGTGTAAGGAGTTGTTTGCTTGTCCAAACCCTTTCAACTCTAAAGATGGGGATTCACTAATCAATGCCGTTCATATCCATGTTTAGTATTCTCATGGATGTAAGATTATTGTGCCCCTATAGATTTCATGAAATCTATGAACTTAGGTTTAATTCTCGGGTCTAATGCGGGCTGAATTTCAAACTATTAACTAATTATATATTTACCAAATATGAGATCGTTGAATTTTATTCTTCGACCCATATTTTAAAACCCTCCAAATCCAAGTACCAGGCCCTGAGTACTGTATCCTCCGGATTGGGCTGGTTTAGGCTTTGGCATGTGTCGGCATCGATATATTTCATGTGTTCCATCCTTGACTCAGCCTAAAAAAAAAGTCTCTAATCATTGATTGTTTGGATAATAGTAATAATAACTATATGAGAAAATTATATTATATATTTTGAAAAATTTAAAGATTTTTATTTTATATTTTTAAAAATTAAAAATTTCATATATACCTCTAATGTATAAAAAATATTATAATATAACACTTCTATTAAATTATGTTATTTTTTTTTTGTCAAAGTTGTGCGTACTTGACAAAATGAGTTGACTGACTTAGTAAATGACGCCACACTTGCTTCGACGGGCGGTTTTTGACGAAAAAGATAAGGATTACATTTTAATATTTTTAATATATAATATGAGAAATTTTATATTTAAAAATATAAAATAGGAACCTTAAATCTTTTAAGGTATAAAATATAATTGATCGTAAATGTAATTAGAAAAAATCCATAAAATTGCTACGAAACAATATAAAATATCACACATACAATACAACACGCAAACACAGAGGTTCCGACAAGCTTCCAAAACCCAATGAAGTTTCAGTAGATTTTATTCTCTTGTCTTTACTGTTTTAGTGTACTAGCATTTGGTTCATCGAAGACGCCTCGATTCACGAACTGGATCGTCGACGGATATTGGATTTCCACAGAATCGGTCCTTTTGACTTTTGAGCTGAAGGCAAGGAAAGGACACACTCGTCTCAGTATTTAGTCGTTTCTGTTATCTTTTAGTGCTAAAATTCCCTGTTTTCATGTGCTTTTTGATCTATGGATTGATTAAATTTACCCATTTTTTAGAGTTCTGTGAGATCTTTTATATCGATTTGCTATCGCTTTCCCTGTTTCAATCAATTGGATTATGGTTGCCACTTGTTACATTGTTCATGTGAGGAAAATTTTGGTAGCTTTATTGGTATCTGATCATATATTGATTTCGTATTTGCCTATTTTTAGGATTGGAGTCTAGGGTGTGAAGTTGTCTACTCGACAGATCTCATTATTGGGGATTTTGCTTGCTGGGATTTGGCAATTTCGGCTGTGTTTTAGCTCAGGTTAGGTTTTTTTGTGGTGGTTCTTGCCTGTTTCTAAATTTGGGGTCTGGCTGTCATTAGTCAATCTCATTAGGTGAGTTTTTGACTTCTTTATGTGCAAATTTTACTTGTACACTTGAATTTTACTTGTCACAAGTTTTTGTATTTATCGTTATTGTTGCCAATCTAAAATGTCTCATAATTTGTAAGTCTTAGGCTGCTTGGTTTTGAGAAATTGGGGTTTATTGCAGCAAAAGTCCTGGGTTTGGACGTGTGTTTTGGTTCTTGATGTTGAGTTTTTAGTTCTGACATATGAGAGCCATGGCAGTTTGAATCACGTTTGCCGATTTTGTATATTTTGGTTTGGGGGGTTTAATTGGAGAGCAGAATATTTTGAGTTCTATTCTAGAGATTTGATCTGGGAATTGGCTTTGATTGTTGGCTTTCGAGTTCTAAGAATAATTGAAGAATACAATTAGGCTCTAATTTCGTCTCAAGTCTGAGGGTTCTTGGTGAATTTGGGGTTTTGACTTAATAAATAGGTGGGTCTTGCACATGTATTCTAAGTGCAGTTCAGTTTTTCTTTGGATTTGGGGTAATGTCTAGGGAACCGAAACATTACCATTTACCAGGAGTTATCTAATTCTTAATTTTGGGTTTCAATCTGAGGTTTCTCGGTTTTCAAACCGTTTTTTCTTTGATTTTCCAGGTTTAATTTCTTGTCATCGTCATGGATTCTCCTCAGTCTGTCGTGTCACCATTCAAGGGCTCTGTTTTTGCTGAGCGTGAGAATCAGAACACGGATCTTTTTGTGGAGAACCCAGGTTGCTTATCAGGGAAAATGGAGGTTCAAAGAAAGGAATCTGCAGTGTGTGGGGTTCTTGAGGTTTATATACATCAGGCTAGGGACATCCATAATGTCTGCATATACCACAAGCAAGATGTTTATGCTAAGCTTTGCCTTACCAGTGATCCTGAAGACACAGTCTCCACCCAGATCATTAATGGGGGTGGGAAGAATCCGGTCTTCAATGAGCATCTTCGCCTTAATGTTAGGAGACTTGATTCCTCTCTGAAATGTGAGGTATGGATGCTGAGTAGGGTGAAGAATTATCTTGAGGACCAGTTACTGGGCTTTGCTTTGGTGCCTCTGTCTGAAGTTCTCATCAAGAATGGGAAGTTAGAAAACGAGTTCTCTCTCTCCTCAACTGATCTCTTCCATTCCCCAGCTGGCTTTGTTCACTTGTCTCTCTCTTACAGTGGAGCTTCGTCGGATGTTATAGCTATTCCTGCACTGCCTGCAGCTGTGGCTAGAAATGTGCCTGTGCAGGATACTGAGGGATCCGAGTCACTCTCAAGTGACTTTGACAAGATCGAGTTTCCTGATCTGAATATAGTGAATGAGAATCATATGATGGTTTCAGAGTATTTTGGTGTCCCATGTGCCAGTTTGGACTCTCAGAGCTCCGAGGGCTTGGTCTCGTCTGATACTGAAAATCACCAGAGTTCAGAAGAAGGTGTTCGTTTTGTGGAAAGCTTCTTGAGAGACAGTTTCAATTCCACCCACCTCCCAGAGCACAATTCTCTGCCAAGCAGTGTGTCAACTAATGGTTCCCCATCTGCTTCACTTCCTGTAAGTTCTGAGTCTTCAGAAACCCCACAAGCTTCAAAACCTCCAAATGAGGAATATGTTTCACCTCCAAAAGAAAATCTGAAAGAAAAAAGTGAAGATGTTGCTGATACTGAGAGTAATGCATCAGGCGGGTTTTCTGATAACACATTTGCAAAGCCTCCTGTTAGTGTGAAGATTGAGCAAGAGCAAAAGGTGGTGCAACAGGAGATTGTGGATATGTACATGAAAAGCATGCAGCAATTCACTGAGTCATTGGCAAAGATGAAGCTTCCAATGGACATTGAAAGTGGGCCAACCAGTTCTGGAAATTCGACTTCAGATCAGACATTACAGGCATCAAAGAACACCGGCTCCCGAGTGTTTTATGGGAGTAGAGCTTTCTTCTGAACTTTTGTTACCCTGGTTCGGAAGAGTGTACACAGCTGACTTTTGGAGACTAGAATCAAGGCTGGTGGTAGTAGTAAACAGTACCAATAATCTTACAATATCCAATGTTGTGGTGTTATAACTTGTGTGTGCTCCAAGCATCGTCCTGCCACGTTTGCTCGTTGTCTATATTTCAGCTCAAGTCTTTATTATCTTTTGTCTCAGCTACTTGCCTTAATGAATTGATAAACGTGGGGGTTATATAGGGAGCCCATGTCCGCGTTGTGATTCGAGGCAAAAGGTTAGGATAGGCTAAAGTGCCAGTGATTTGGTTTTGGTGTTTAACAATGTTCGTTTTTATAAATGTTTTGACCATCGGTGGTATTTTGAAGCTGCCAAATAGTTAATATGTCTTTGCTGCTTGAGAATTTGTAGACACCTTCTGTTTTTACCTGATAAAATGGTCAGGTTAGGCAAGTCTTCAACAAAAATTAACTCTGGATCAAAATTTCGTTTCAATACATAGTTTTGGTGAGCCTGAAAACGGAAACGTTTTGGTAATGATTTAGAAGCATTTCAGAAACAAAATGGAAATAAAGAAAAAGTTGAAAATTTATTTCCACCACACTGATCGAAACACCTCAAAATATAAAAATTTTGTTATTCAATCAATGATTAGTTTTGATTATCATGGAAACGGAAACGTTTCAAAATGAATTTTAGTTCCTTGCCTAATTGGTTGTACGGTTCTGTTCAGAAACTCCTTAGTCATGGAGATTTCAGTCGGACTCCTGTCATGTTGAGAGTCTTGACCATCTACATTGGTGGAGTTCTCTGTTTCTTGTAGCAACCGGAGGTTGGTTGAGAAAGGTAGAAAGACATGCTGTGCAGATTGAAACTTCCCGCTTTAATAGCTTGAAGAGCTCATTGAAGATCTCTGAGGAACTGGTTTGATGCTATTGGTACAGCAAGAACTCTGCCAAGTGCAAAAGAACTTGTGTGTACGGGTAGTTTGTACTGGGTAGGTGATTGAGTGATGGAGCTTTCCATTGCTAGAACAAGTGCTTTGTCTTTTGGAGCTATGTTTGGTGTTCAACTTAGGTTCATTACATTGTAAATATTGTTTTGCTCAGTGAGCTTTAGTAAAGGGTTTGTGACGGTGAGGTCTGTCTTCATTTTCTCCTCATGTTTGTCGATCCATATCTTCCGATTCAATAAAATTCAGGATCAAGATGTCTGAAGAACATTGTTCGAGCAAATGGGGTTGGCTGATGTAGCTGTTTCTTGATCATATGGCAAAAATGATCATGTTTACGCAACCACCCTGTGCATGATGATGTTTTGAGTTTCCACTGTGTTGGCTTTCTCTATCCTAAAACTCTGACCCCATCTCCAAACAACGAGCAAAACATCGTACCCAAAGACTCTCGTCTATAACAGATCAAGATTGCACAACACCATAATAAAAGTTATTTTCCTCATTCACTTTTCCTTTGTTTCTATTTCAAAGATAACCTCAACGTCTCTCTGATAAATCCATAACTCAACAGGGGTGGACGAATTCATCAGACAAGTGTTGATCCTACACTTGCTATGGACTTGGTGCACTGCTGCATTAGGAGTACAATCTGGCTGGGGAACTCAGGACGAGAGTCAGCATAACCACACCAATGTTTTCAAGATCGGAAACCAATACTAGAAAGGTTGAAGTGTACTACATAATACTACATAATTTTACGTACGCAAAAACTGCCATAGTGTTCTAGAATATTACCTGATAGGATAATTTCAAATGTCCTAACAGGTTGACTTCGACCAAGGAGTTCTATTCCAGTTAGATTATCTACCTGTTTCTTCAACAAAACGAAGTATCATGTGACCTGATTGACCAAAAGCCAACTAGAGCGAAAGAAAAGCTCCGTTTTGCCTGCTACCCTTTTGCTTAGTAAGACTGTCCTTTTGACCCTTCCCCTCCTCCTTTTGAGTCAACTTGGATGACCTTTGTCCATGACAGTGAGAAGTGCTTGAACTATTCAATGACCAAGTTGTTACACCATCAAAAGAGAAGGAACTGGCAGTGCTGGGCAAGCAAATCAATGTCAAATGAACAAATATGTCATACACAACATCTATTTATACCCAAATCAAGTTTAAACTAGTTAAACAGACAATCTCTGACGAAAATGAATCAGAATATTCAGTTACTTAATATCGGGGATCCTGAGCAGGTATCCCTCTAATGTTTCACACTAATAAATCATTCAGAATCTCACATACAATTCGAGACAAACAAATCCTGAAATGAAAGAAAAAAAAGTATACGGACAAGCACCAGCTACTTTGCCAGACAATACAGTGGACAAAATGATAAAAGAATATCCCAAAAAAAATTAAAAATCTGTTATTTGATGTAGTACCAGCAGTAGTATCATGTTGAAGAGATGCACAACACATAACAGGAAAAGATCCTTCTGAGTATATCCCGCAATCTGGTATTACGTCTCAAAATGCAAGTAGCGAACCTAATTTCATATAGAAGAAACAAATCTCAAACCTTCACAAAATCCCATACAATTGCTCTCTCAGAATATGTATACTTCAAATCAAGAATCACCATTAGGTCAATATGATCAATTTCCTTATAAGCTGATATTTCCACTAGGAATAGGTGTGTAACTGCACCTGATTCACAGAAGTCTTTTCTCCTACAATTAACTTCTGATATCCAAATAACAAAATCTCCTATGCAGCAATTCCTGAAACAAGTAATGACCAAAGCATTAATACCAAGAGATAGCATTCTATAATAGAGGAACATGCATTACAAGATTGAACAAGAACTAATAAAAAAGGTTGTCACAATTGGGTATGCTCACCATGACCCTCAAACCCTGGAATTAAACAAAGCACATTCCAATAATGAGAAAGAGATACCACAAACTAGACAACTGGTTGTTCGGGGAATAAGTCGGACATTATAAGAAATTTACTAAATTGTACTGGCTTATAAACAACTTTAACGAAGAATTCAACAAGAGTTACATCATAATCTAGTAATTGTGAATCCTTTCAAGTTTCAATCACGTACACTTTCAAAACACCTTTTATAATTGAGCATTGGTATTGTCAGATATAATATGAAGTATTGCAGGATTACCACAAACCTACATGTGCTGGCACATGCCTTGAATACTTCTTATATTTTGATGTATAAGCATCAGAATATTGAGCCTCAAGGTTGGTGACTGAGGCATCTTCTCAAGCTTCCCATGAAGTCAGCCTCAAACCAGTCCTTTTACCTTCAGTGGATTTCTCTCTCTTTAGATTGATATACCATGGACAGCATAGATAAATCAGGGCAACCGGGGTTGAGCATATCAAGAGCTCAGGGGTATGGAACATCTCCCTTTTGAGGATCAGTATGAACTACTACGATTATCCATAAGTTCATGGTCTATTTAAAAACAGAAAGTTCTAACGGAGGATTTTCCTACTTGTTTAGCTGAAGTGAACTTGAACCTGACATTGATGATACCCATTAGAGTTGGTGGAATTTCCTGCCACCCCGAAAGAGGGAGGTGCAGTGTTCAAATTCTGCTGGGATAGAGTACTTGGGTGCTATTATTCGAAAAAGTTTTCAAAAAATGCCTCTCTTTCTTGTTGGCTTACAATGCCTCTTAAATTTGTTTTGGAATTTGACAGATGAAAATTACGCTTACAAAATCAATAAAAATATGTATAAGAGGAAGGACAGGTGTTACCTCTATTCGACTGTTTATTTGCAATACTATAACTTCCAATATAGCCCTCAGAATCATGAGCCGTGGTATCTGCTGCACTGCCAATCCCATATCCAAATGGGCCAGAATCATCTAGCTCAGAGGATGCAGGCTGCCAAGTAGGATCACCATACACTGAACCACTGCGATACAAATCCCCATAAGACCCTTCATAACCACCACTTGATGCAGCAATTGATGATGACATGGTTACACCTGTTCCACTGTTTCTTCCAAGTCCACCAGCTTCCAACCCATAATAGTTTTCCCAAACCCTACTGCCAATATTCCCACTACTAAAGCCAGAAGAATTGCCACCACCCTGAACAGATATAGGAGAAGAACCCCAATTTGTTCTGCTGTCCACAAATTCTCCGGATCTCCCACTTCCAGAGCCCACGTAAGTACGAGAGATAGCAGTGCTGGCAGAATTATTAAGGCCACCATTTCCCCATGCATTCTGAGTCAATGAGCCTAATAAATACTCACCTCGGCTGTTATTACCACTATATCCAAGAGGAGTACCATACCTATTTGAATTGCCACTGTAATAAGGGCTCAAAACCCGACCATATCCATTGTTACTATAGTTGGAGGTTACTCCAAAGCTCGGACTCAACCGAGGCTCTAAATTAACACCCATTCCATGGCCAGGAGAAGCAAACAGAGAGAACCCAGCACGACCACTAGCAATTGGATTAAACCTATCATCTGTCCTAATCCCATAGCCGCCGATCGAGCTTAAATTATACCCCTGAGCATAGTTGTTAAGGATGTTGTTGGCTCTACTGAAACCATAGTTATATCCAACCAGAGGGCTCCGACTGGGTCCTGGAGATAGCTCCTTGGGAACTGCTCGCTTGACCTCAACCATTTTACCATTGAGTTCATGGAAGGTTTTATGCAATACTCTATCCACTGCTTCTTCTGAGTCATATGTGATGAATCCAAAGCCTCTTGGCCTTTGGGTGTTGTGGTCATACATCACCACAACATCGGTAATTGTACCAAACTGATCAAAATACTTCTTAAAGTCACCCTCAGTTACTGTTGATGCTAAACCTCCAACAAAAATCTTTTTTGTGCGTCCAGGACCAGGACCTGGTGATCCTTGAATGCTGCTGGTGTTTCTATTTATTATCTGCTGATCATCCCGTGGGACAGCCTTCTTAGCTTCCACCTACAATTTGAGAAGCCAAGAATGAAACTAATACAAAGACATACAAATTTTGTCGAAAAGCAACAAGGTAAAATCTTTGGCATTATTGAAAAACGATTCCCATTCGTCTATTTGCAGCTACGAGGAAAGGGATAAATGGTTTTCACCTTTGCGACACTACAGGGAAGAACTAAACTTTCAAGTCAAATGTATTCTCACAGCTGTAATGGAGGCATTTTTAGATTCCCTCACAACTGAAATTAAACAATAAACCTGACAGAAGATTATTGCGTTGTAATATCCAGAGGATTTTTGAAACGAACTAAGTTTAGATTCAAATGTATTCCTATAACTAGAAAGGTGGCATTTTTTGCTTCCATCACAACTAAAACTGGATTACTAATCTAATCTGACTGGAAATTTTTGCATTGTAATATGTCGTGATGATTTTTGCAACCAAGCAACTTACAGCTCGACCATCTATCGTATGCTTTTCCATAACCACCCTTTGTGCAACAGCAGGATCGGCAAAGACAATGAAACCAAAGCCACGAGCACGGCCAGTCGTGCGATCTCTCATGATCACTGCCTCCGCCACTTCTCCATATGCCCCAAAATATTCTTTAAGGCGATCCTCATCCGTGTCCCAAGAAATTCCACCAATGAAGAGCTTACCGAGATCTGATGCCATCTTTTCTACAATCCCACGTGAATTGGCATAGAAATCAATATTCTACATGTCACAAAGAAAGCAACTTGGAATACAAAATACCCAATTTGATTACAATTTAACACCAAAATACTAACAATATTCTCTAATTGTTTTGGAATGTGCAAGCAATAGAAGATAGACAAGATTGCATTCATCAAAATCAAAGGGTATTAGAGTCAACTAGATTTATTGATGTCTGTGAAGCCTATATATCCAGAAAATTGATACATCTGATCAAAATGTACATAGAAAGCCAATGAAAAATAAAACTCATAGCTTCATACCTTAACCAGAAAATTAGGCAGAACCCAGTTAAGGATACCGATCAGATATGAGGTGGGAATTGTTAAACTAAATCGAGGAACATCGGATCCTTCATGCATCAATCAAAACTCAATCCAGAACACCTGATAAGCCATAATTCATGTAGATCAGAGAGCCAAGAAAGAGAATGGTAAGATCAGGAACGAAAATAGACAATTAGAGAGAGATAGGAAGGAAGAGTCAAAGACTCACCATTTTAATAGCACCCAGATGGGAAAATTGGAGCAAAACAAAGATCTAAGAAGAAGAATATATGTACATGATGAACACAGAGGCTAAGCAAATCTTCTCTCTCTGGCTCTCTTCTCTTCCTAAAGGTCCCTCTCCTCTTTTCTCTTTCTTGGTTATTCCACTCCTCAATAAAAATCTAAGGAAATGGAATTCCTAGCTGAGATGGGTAAGGATTTATATATAAAAATGTGGATTCTAGAGAGAGAGAGAGAGAGAGAGAGAGAGAGAGAGAGAGAGAGAGAGAGACTGCGTGTGTGTGTGTTTTCGGCAATCCTCTGGTGTAAGAATATTTGGAGGAGCCTAGGGGGGATGACAGGGGATGGTGAGCTTTTAAAATATGGCTTTGGAAAAATGGATTTTAATACGTGGAAATTCAATTATTTATTCCATTTTAATTTCGTAGGGGAAAGAAAATTCTTAAAAAGTTAAAACAAAAATATTTAATTTTATTTATCATTGTTTATACCTTTTTTTGATTTTTTCATGACTCATTCATATTGATTTTCTTGCGATAAGATTGGATACAATAATGGATCTAAGGTTGGTTATCACTTACCATGATAACTATTTCGCCCACATATTAAAATTATGTAACGCTTTGAGTAATTCTTAAAATTATATTTCGTAAAATTTTGTTTTAAAAAGTTGTCCGACTTGATTATTTGAATTTGTTTCTACTTAGACATTATTAGATCATTTGGCCCAAAATTTACATTATTGTAATTGTTTTATGATGCTTATCTTTTCTTGATCAACATTTAGTCATTCTTATTCGGAACCATCTAACCATGGATGTTAGCTTCTTTAATGGATCGAAAATTTTGATTGTCTACTATTGAGGGATAATTTTTAATGTAAAAAGATCGAAAATAACCGTTTTGACGTACATGAACTGTCTTACGATGTTTTGAACTCAACTTCATGTGCCCAGTTCAAAAAAAAATTAAAAAAAATAAAAGAAAAGAAAATCATGGGTTCATGTGGACCTCTTGCAATGTGATGAAACACAACAATTATAGCACGTGTTTGTACACAACAGTATGTGTATGCTCATTTCACAATATTATTGGTAAGAACTTTGGACTTTGTGCGAGTTGAGAAGACCTTAAAACTTGTGGGGAATATTACAAAATGAACATATTAGAAGGGGGGAAATTGGATATATAATTCATTATAGTTCTAAAAGTTTATCCTATGAAATTATGCAGTCATGTCTCAAGATGTAACTGATAGCCAAACCACTAGAACAGTTTCCATCTCAAGATGATTCAGTTTATGGGAGAGGTGTCCTATATATCACACATCTCCATCTGGGATTGGTACCTGATTGGGGCACAGTGCAAGAGGTCCCCTCCCCTGAAAACAGACAGATGATGAAATTTCACCCCATATTTTGTGGGGGCTTCATTAGTAAGTGTATTTTTCGGGTTTACAGTTTTTTTTGTCTGTATAGGGGGATGAGGGTTCGAACCATGCCAGTGGCACGAGGATGTGGCCCATATGCCACTCGCGCTGTCCTCGGATGGCCCAGGGAATGTCATGGACAAAACTTCTAAGGTGACTGTAAAAGAAATCCATGAATCACCATGGGTATCTCTACCTTTTTTTTTTTTTTTGAAAAAATCAAGTTAGTGTCACAGAAATCTCTATAGGTCCACTGCTCACTAATGTCTCACTTGTCTTGATGTTAATGTAGTATTTCTGCTGCCTCAAAAAAATGTAATAGTTCTGCTGCAGTTTTAATTTTTCACACTGCAGCTTCAAGTTCAATGATACTATGAATAGATTTGTTTCATGAGTAACCAGAGCCATATATATATACATATATAATAATGGTCAACCATCAAGTTTGCCAACTAAAATATCAGTAAATAGGTCTACTAAAACTTCTTTTTTCTTATAGGAACAGACCGGAAAACTCGATCTTTCTTGTGGTTCATGCATTACGAACATCACATACTTGCCCATAAACATACACCATGAGCACACATTTGATCCCTAGAAGGAGCAATACCTGTAATCTGCTATATATGTACAATAATTAGCTAAACCTTGAAACTGATCATGATGCCTCGGACAAGTTTCCTTAATAAATTTGGAGAATGCAAGTTGTTCCTAGTGCCGATTCAATGGAGAAAAAGTCTCAATTCTTTCAAGGGGTAAATGGTGTGGGGGCACATTCTCACTGTTTTGATCCAGGGGTCTCTGGCATGTTATAGTGAAGTGAACAACAATCTTGTGGATTGGATTCAGTAGAAGTCATAGGAGTGGAAAGGTCTTCCTGCTCGTTTACAACCTCCTCTATCTTTTCCAGAACCTCAGCAACGGTTGGTCGTTCCTGGGGAAAATCTGCTACACATTTCAGTGAAATATTCAGCAGAGGAAAAGCATACATTTCGACCTTGGCAATCTCCCCATCGAATACCTCTCCAGTCCATTCCTCCCTTACCATGGACCTGACCCACTTTGGAAGGTCTAGTCCACTCTTTTCTACCAGTTTTCCAGTTAGCAACTCCAACAGAATTACTCCGAAGCTGAAGACATCAGCCTTTTCTGATAAAATTTTCTCTGGGGCGGTGTATCCATTCGAGTTAAAGAGGCAAGCTGTCATGGGATCGAAAAATTTCAAGTATCCATATTCACTTATTAGCGGTTCCTCATTTTCGTTCAACAGGATATTTGAGAGCTTAATGTTCCCATGGGGAATGATATCCCAGTCACCACACTTCTGATATATGAAGTCCAAGCCCCTTGCAATTCCAATTGCTATGGACAGCCGAAGTTTCCAGGGGAAATCCCTCTTACCGTTAATGTAGTCTACATAGAGTTCAAAGTAAAAAAGGAATCAGCTAAGGCCTAAGGTGTAGGAACGTTTGAAATCTCAGAAATCTTAGATGACCAAAAAACAAGGTGAGATTGTAATGTTTCATCAGAAGCTTACACACACATTTCATCGTTTTTTCTGGTACAAGTCTACACTTAATGATGCTTCTGAAATTAAATTCGAATGCTATCAATGATTCTCTCCAATTCTGAATGAAAAGGGCACTACAATGACTGGGGGCAGGCCGATTCTACTGAGGACCTGCTTATTCAGGAAATTTACTTGGTCCATTTTCAAGGGTAGCCAACCTGGTTTACTCTTTAAATTCAAGGGCCTTCAAACTCACAGTCCTATAAATGGTTGGTTGACAGCATGCATTGGGAGACTTCTGTGTTTGTGTGTCTTGGAGTCCATGTGTGCACATCTATACGAATATCTGTGTGGTACTTTTCGTGTTCTAACTAGAAGGCTTAAATTGGAAAGATACACGAGATTACTAGCCAAAGGAAAAGATCTCAATCAACTTACTCTCTAACAGGGTTAGCAGGCTTCCATTCCTCTGATATTTGTAGATCAGAAGTTTTTCCTCATCAGTAGAATTGTAACCAACGAGAGGAAGAATATTTCGATGCTTCAAGTTCCCTATCCTTCTCATTGTCTGGCCAAACTCCTCAAAGGATACCTGCAATTTCTTCAATCTCTTGACAGCAAAAAGGGCATTATTATTGAGTTGTACCTTGTAAAGACTGCCAAAAAAACCCTGGCTTTTCAAGTCGGCTGCTGCTTCAAGAAGATCTTCCTTTTTAAACCTCTCCTCCTCTCCAACAAAGAAGACAAGGTCTGAGCATCTTTCTTCCGGCTTGACTTCATCTGTGGTCTTGGTTGGAGGGGATTTCAGAGGAGAATGAGCAAGGGCCTTTAGAATCTCCTTATCGTTTGCCAATTTAGCAGCCTTCATGTTCACAAAAAATATTAGCACCACGAAGAATGCAATGCCAAAAACTACAGGCATCCATGATTTCCACTTTTCATGTGCTTTATGATGTCTTTGCTCATGCCCGTAGACATCTAACTGTGGACTGGGTGCAACCGTGATGTTTTTGGCTTTATTGCTTGCGTTTGATTGTAGTGCACTTGAATTCGTGGCATAGCTGTTGGGAAGTCTGGATTCCTGTTTGGGATATTGGGCAACCTTGCTAAAATGATTGTTAGAGATGTCCAACCTCCTGAGATTCTTCAGCTTAGTAAGAGCCACAGGTACTGTCCCATTTAACAAATTGTTGCTTAGATCTAAATGTTTCAGGCTTGTGCATTTCGATATTGAATCAGGAATACTTCCATGGATTTGGTTTTTGGCTAAACTAAGATGTCGCAACTTTGGGAGCTTGCAAAGGGATTTTGCATCAATGATCCCACAAAGGCTTAAATTTTCAAGCCGTACCTCTGTAATTGTGGTGGCACCTAAACTGCATTTAATGCTCTTCCAATGATTTGAGCAGGGATGTGGGATGAATCCATTCCATTCAATCCCTAGAGCGTTTTTGGGATCAACAGCTCGAATGAAACTGAATAAAGATCCAGATTCCGATAACTCACCTGCTTTGCAGACTGTACTATTGAAGAGAGGAAAAACTGTAATGCACATCAGCACCTTCTGAAGCATGGAAAAATCTCTCCTGCTCTGCATTATCCTAGTCCCCACCATTAATTTGTTGTAATTGATGAGTTTTGGCTGAGATCTTTGGAGTTAGAGGTATCTCCGTAGCAGACATGGGATCATACATTCTCATCTAACCCTTTTAATTTTTGTATGTGAGATGGAAACAATTCCTTTCGTACTTTCCCAAGATTCAACGGCAACATTCTTTAATTGGTGAGATAACCAATGTTTTAAACAGTTAGTTTTTGTCTGCTATCCTCTATGGTTCCATGCCATCAGCATAATGCTTTATTTTCACCCCTGATGAAAGTCGACTAGATTGACCATATTATATACATTTTATCAAACGTATATAACTATGAATGAGGCTGCAATCCGCTAGTTACATTAGTTAAGGGTATGTTTATTAGTAATTTTAAGGTGCAATGTCATGCCATTACTCACTAACAACATTCTGTTTGACTTGCTTTGTTTTTCTCAGAAAATTATAACAATAGAGACAGTCATATACCTTTGGATTGAACACACAATTTGACAACATCATGGTGAAGGAAAATTTCCTATGTAAGTTTTTTTTGGAGAGATCAATGTATGTTGTTTGACTTGATGCATTAATTAGTAAAGAGAAATATTAAAATTAAGAGTAGAGCTCCGCATATATAATCAAATAATAGTACAAAATGACCTAAACATTCTCGTGGTTTAAGCAAAATATAAAAGTCATAGTAAGGGTAAAAAAAAAAAAAAAACTCTAATAAACTATACCATAATCTAACACTCCATCTCAAGTTAGGCGCAAAAATATCAACTAAGTTAAGCTTAACAATGGAGTCTCGGAGAATGGATAGAATGACAGATTTGGTGAAAATATTTACAACCTGATCACCAATCCCCACAAACAATGGAGTGACAATATCATAGCTAACCTTCTCCTAAAGAAAGTGAACATCGATCTTTATATGTTTCGTTCTCTCATGTAGTATAAAGTTAGAAGCGAGTTGAATAGCAGGTCGATTATCACAGTATAATGTAGATGAAGAAGTCATTGAAAATCACAACTTGTCAAAAATTGATTGTAACCAAATAACCTCATGTGCTAAGTGCTAGTGTCCGATACTTTACCTTTGCTGATGAGCGAGAGACAATTGACTATTTTTTGATCTTCCAAGAGAGAAGATGAGTCTCTCAAAAAACACAGAAACCTGTAGTAGATTGACTGTTACAAAATCTCCCGTGAATCTGAATCTGAATAACAAACTGGAGAACTAGTTTGAGATTCTGATGCATAGAACAACTCAAGTTTAGGACAAGACCTAAGGTACCAAAAAATATGATAAACTGCATTAAGATAAAACTGATAGCGAATAAAATGTTTGGCCTAGTGTTGGCTAGGTAGATAAGTCTACCTACCAACTTTTGATAGACAATTGGATCACTCAACTCCTCATCTTCTATAGTAAGCTTTAGATTTGAAATCATGAATGATGATGCCGGTTTATATCCTAGCATCCCAGTGTCTAATAGAAGATCTAGAACATATTTTTTTTAAGAAAGAACAATACATCTGCTGCTATGGGCAACCTCAATCCCAAGAAAGTATCGCAGAAATTAAAGGTCCTTCAAATCGAAGGCCTTCCCAAGTTTTACCTTGACTTGTGCAATCTCAGAAATATCATCCCTAATAATAATAATATCATCCACATATGCAAAAAGGATGACACACTGCCCAGAAGTATTCCGTCGAATAAAACATATATGATCAGAATGATATCTAGTGAACACTAAACGTACAATTACATCACCAAATCGAGAGAACCAGACTCGTGGTGACTGTTTCAATTCATAAAAAGACTTACACAGTCGACACACCTTCCCAACATACTCCCCCTCACCACGAAAGTCTAGTGGTGCATCCATATAAATAATTTCGTTTAGATCACCGTGAAGAAACATATTTTTCACATATAACTGATGAAGATGTCAAGAGTACTTCACACCCAGAGAAATAATCAACCGAACAAGAGTCAATTTTGTCACGGGGGCAAAAGTAACACCAAAATCATGACCTGGTACCTAAGTAAAGTCTTTCGCCACAAGCCTAGCCTTGTGACGATCAATAATAATATCCGTAAGAAACTTTAGGGTGTAAACCTAGTGACAGCCAATATGCTTCACCCATGAAGATAGAGAAACAATATCTCACATATGATTACATTAAAGAGTGTTCATCTCCGTTTACATAGCAAGAGCCCACTGGGGCTCTCGCATTGCCTTTGAAACAAAGCGAGGAACTGACATATTTGATAAGACTATACTACAAGCTCGAAATATAGGAGACAGATCACCATAAGAAACATAAGTAGAGAACGGATATAAAGTCCTGACGGTCCAACCATAACGGACAATTGGATGACGATCATGTCGTGGATAATGACGCCCTAAATCATCATCCTCCACTGACAATATCTCATTAGTAACTGGCTCAGTACCTGCAATCTCATTAGTATTAACAATAGGTGCATTAATATGCTCAACGAACTGATAAGTATTACCTGCATCGCCTAAGGTAAATGGGACATCAGTAGTGGGATAAGAACGAGGGCGACAAACATAAACTTGCAAAGGAAGAAAGACTGATGACTCTGTACTGACAGGGACGAGTGATTTTAGAATAGGAGAGACTAATGACTCTGTAGTGATAATGACCAAGACTCTAACTCTTGTGGTAACGAAAAATCAGAGAGAGTATCATTAACTGGAAGGGCAGACACATGATCGAAAGAAAAATAATGAATATGCTCGAGAAAGGTAATATCTAGACAGTGATACATACATCGCCTGATAGGATCATAATATCGATACCCCTTAGACTAATAACAATAGCCCACAAAGACACAATGAATTGCTTTTATTATCAAGCTTATGACGAGTAGGAAATCGATTCTCAACAAAACATGTGAAACCAAAAATAAGAGGGGGGCTCGAAAAAAGTGTCCGCTCAGGGAATAAGACTTGTAATGGAGCCTTATGTTTGAAAAATGCGACTCGGTATATGATTGCCCAGAAATGTAGAAGTCAAAATAACAAAATGCTAATAAAATTTTCGTATCCCCATATCTCTAAGCATAAAACATACTATCTCTATTAGACTCCTATTTTTTCTTTATGGACAAGTGAGTTGCTGAAGGATACCCTGAGAGGAAATGTGAGACACTAAAGCATTAGACACATATTTTTTGGCATTATCTGAACGAAGAGCACGAAAAATGACATCGAATTGTGTCTTAATCATATGAGAAACTGAGTGATGATAAGGCGTCTATCAGACTTCCTATGCAAAAAGTAGGCCCAAATACAATAAATATGATCATCTATAAATGTCACATAGTATTGAACACCAGATAGAACAGTAATAGGAGAAGGTTCCCAAATATCAAAGTGTATTAGGTCAAATGATTTGAGTGACTGGTGCATGCGAAAAATATAATTGGTCCAAACATGTTTCGATAGGGAACATATAACACAGTCAAGTTTACTACCAATACAAGCATTACTCAAAACAGGATATAACATACATAACTATTTAAAATTTGTATGCCTAAAACGGTCATGCCACAACTAAATAGTTTGTGATGAAAAATCATAACGATAAGTATTAGGTAAAATACTAGCATGCAAGTTAGGAACACATAAAGACAAAGCAGATGCAGACGATGGAGGTGGAGGAACTGGTAAAATTGGAGGTAGATCGCCTAGATAATATAGTTCATCTTTTTCATGTCCCCTAATAATAATTCTCTTGGTACTTAGGTCTTACAAATAACACGAATCAGATAAGAACACAACGACATAATAAAAATCTTTGGCTAACTGATGTACGAATAATAGATTCATGGCCAACTTTAACACATAAAAAATCGAATGTAATGTAAATCTATTTGAGAGGCGGACTGTACCCCTACTAACAATAGGGGCATGTGTCCCATCTGCTGGCTGAACTTGTGTGTGTAACTGTTCGTTAAAAGTAGTGAAATGATGAGCCTCACCTATCATATGATTATTTGCACCTAAGTCTAGCATCTAAAGGGAAGGTGGACTGGTGTAAGCATAAAAGGCATGAGGTATACTTGTAGTGGTGATAATAATAGTAGTCAGATCCTGAGAAGTCAGGGCGGACATAAGTATATCTAATTGGGATGTGATAACATCCATATCACTCTACCAAGGAGGAGCAGTAGAAGTAATAACAAGAACAACGATTGTAGATGGTGGTGCCTCAGCAATGAAAGCAGTACGATAGCGAGGAGACAACTTAAGCTCCAGATGGAGCTTGCAAAATACAACCTTTAGATGTCTTGGTCGATCACAATAATCACACTGATGAGAATCACCCTGTCTGTGTTGGTCTGGGACACCCTGACGATGTTGGTCCGAGCGCTGTCCCCCCCTAGCTGAGAGTCCTAAACGAGACCCTGCAGCACCTGCAAGGGCCATCTGGTTGGCCTGAGGAGTCAAGGTCGCAACTGAAAGTGATGTAATATGAATACGACGCTTATGCTGCTTAATTATCGTATACATCTCACAAAGAGATGAAAAGCCTCAACATCGATAAGATCTGGGAACGAGGTCCCTTAAACTCATCATGAAACCCCATAAGAACCTTGTGAATCCTATCTTCTTGTCTCAAGTATGTAGGAATACTGCTCTCTCGAGCTCTATCCTCGAAATAGCAGTAAGAGAACGTAGAGTCTCATACTCAAGCTAGCACTAGGTCAAATAACCATAATAATTCTGAACTGTCATATCTCTCTACTGAGCGTATGAGAACTCCTAAGAGAGCTCATAAACATGAACTCTCCATCCTAACTGGGAATACATCTCTGATACTACGTTTCATAGTTTCAAAAGTTATGACACTGGTGAATCCTGTAAATAGAGGTCTATCAAGCTAAATAATCATCCAAGAATAGCGCAGTACTCAGAAAATCATGTAAAATATTTAGGGTTATCATCAACCAAATTTGGGTGAGATTTCGTCAGCCAATCAAGTTTTTCCACACGGCCTAGGAAAAGTTGGAATGAACGTGACCACTTAACAAAGTTATAACTATTCAACAGTTGTGTTGTAACCTTCTAAGAGATCATCCCCGACATTGCCGGTAATGCAACTGTGTCGATAGGAATAGTATACTGGTCAAACATAAAAGTGAAAAAATCAGGTGGTACATTCCAGGTGGAAATACTAACAACAGAGGTTTCAATGGTAGGAGTCTCAAGTTCCTCAACAGTAGCCATAGCAATAACAATATATGGGCACTCATGATAGAAAAAATCCTAAGATAAATAGAGAGACAAAATAAGTAAGAATAATATATCTCGAGTCGAATAATAGCGACCGATAAAGAAGGTTTAGAAAACTCTCAAATAATCAGATCACGGTGTCCAAAAATCTAATAAAGATAAATAAATGATCTACTATATTAAGAGCATATCAACAAAAAAGAGGATTCAACTCCTTTTACAAGGTTCTAGATGCTGTAACCTTAAGAAAAAAAGGCAATGGAGTGAAGAGATGGTGGCACGGCGACGAAGAGTGCGAAGCACAAAGGTGGGATAGTTGGTTTGGCTTGCTAGGGTTGTGGGTTCGCTGGTCTGGGTCGCTATGGGTTTCTGACTTTGCTGGTTTGGGTCGTGACTGGGTTGGGCCGGGTGGTTTCTCCGCTAGAATAGTTTTGCTGGGTTTCTAGGCTTTGAAGTTTTGGGTTTGGTGGCTGCTGGGAAGGGGAATGATTTATGTTGGAATGCTGTCGGTGGCTTTCGTGGTCGTTGGTTTGCTTGCTTGCTGTCGGTGGTCTCTGGTTTGCTTGCTGTCAGTTGAGTCAGTAGGATTTCACTGGGTTGAAGGCTATTGGGTGTGGCGCTGTGGTGGGTGGAGCAAGTTTTGCTGGGCAGTGGATTGTGCAATGGGGCAGTGAGGTTCTGTAACGGTTTGTCGGTGGCTGATGACTGAGTTGCTGAATTATGGTGAAGGCTAGCTAGAGTTAGGATTATGGTGGAGGTTAGGGTTAGAATTTGGCACCGACACCAACTTGATGTATTGGTGAGTAAAGAGAGATACTCAAATTAAAAAGAGTAGAGTCTATATATATATATATAGTTCAATAATAATACAAAATGACATAAACATCATCTAAATAAAATATAAAAGTTATAGTAAAGATAAAAAAGAAAAAAAAAATCTTAATAAACTAGACTACTCCGACAGTTTGGAACTAATAGCATTTTCAGAAGTGGAATCATCCAATCCGCCACCAAGTAGCTACTTCGTGCCGTATACACCAAGGAGAAAAAAATGTTGTGCAGTCAAGTGGAATGACAATTACTTTTGAAAAGCATGGTTTTGTTTAAACATGCTTTCTTTGAAAGAAACACCAACAAATCATGCACACAGAGGCGGTATATCACTATATTGTGATTACTTTTTGGTTTTATGCATAATATTTGTTTCTAGTACAGGCTGGTATCTTAGATATGCAACACACTTACGATTCTAAAATTGTCAGCAAATCGATTCTGCTTCACCTTGGGATATCAGAAGATTCAGATGCAACAGTATATGGATGGCGGTTTCGGCTGGAATTAATGCAAAGAAATAACAAAAAATGGGACTAGCATCGAATTCTCAGAGATAATATACTACTAGTTGCTAACCAGACTCCCATTGCAATACTAGTCCTTAAATGGTTTGGAAACAACAGTCCTGAAGATGGGGTTTATTTGGGCTGTGATGGTTGCTCCACACTGTAACAATAGTTCTGTCAAAAATAAAAGTTCTTAAAGGGGCTCTTTAACTTCATAATAGTTGGGAACATTAATCTCTTTTCATGTATTGATCAATATAAGGGCAGACATATTTTGTTACCTTAAAATAGTTGAGTTCTACCTCCCCACAAGTCTAGAGGCTTTTGGAACAACAATTGAGTTTACAGAAGTTGGTATCACAGTAGCCACGATGCCATGAGTTTGAATCATGGAATGGGCGATTTATAGGTTGCATTAAAATATCTTAGTATTGTTCATGAGTATAAAGCTATCTCGTTGAATCCTGGTGGCTGAGTGAAGTAGTCAGAGAGAAAGGGTTATCATTGATCTAATGTCGACAGAGTGGACTGTCGTAGACGACGCTTCTAAGCATAGTGAAATGTTACGTTTAAATATTTATGAGTTCTAACCCCCATAAGTCTGAGACTTTTGAAACAACGGATAAATTCATAATACATTTACTTCGCTGTTGAAGTACAACGTAACAAATATAACTTGTTTTTTGCTACTTAAAAATCGGTTTTGAGTGATAACCGGGGGTGTATATCTCGCCTAGGCGTGACCACAACAACCCAAATCTATGAGGAAAGTTTACCGATGGTGAGAACTGTAGACACTCTCAAATGCCAATTCAAGTCATAGTCTAACCCTGCAGCCAGTGGGAGCAGTGAAAATCCCCGTGAAACCTTAAACGGGGTTCTGCAACTGCAAGCCAATGAACCACATATAATTGTTTTGTACTGTGAAGGGTTAAAGTATAATTAACAATGGTTATGATGTAACTGTTAGAACATAAAGGGGTACAAGTGAAATTAAATTGGGTGGGGGGGGTAAAGTGCAATTAACCCTAAAAACTACACCGAAAGAAAACCCTCACGATTCTGAGGCCCAAATAATTATCAATCTCCAATTGATTGCTGCTATGGCCAGACTGCAAGAGAGCATTCTTTTCTTCTCAACTTTGATTGACTTATCAGAATTCGGCTTTCTACTTCTCTCTCTTTTGATATTGATTTCAGGGTCTCCGTAAATTAGGTTTTTTTTTTAGGTTTGTTTGGTTAAATCTTAGACACAATGGCAACAATGAAAACAATCTCTTCAGCTATAAAACTCATCGACGTGAAGAAGGAACACCTCAGAAAAGCTTTCGAAGACCTCCAAGCCCACTCGTCTTCTTTCTCTTCCTTTAATCTCATGTGGTCTGACCTTGACTCATACTTCTCCTCTCTCCAATCCTCTCTCCAACACAAATTCCGGCTCCTCCAATCCCTTGAACCCCAATCCCAACCAAAAAACCCACCTTCATCTTCTTCAAAAATCGCCAAAAAGTCTTCTGACTCGGTCTCCGTTCCGGCACGGCCCGAGTTGAAATCGTTTTGTGAGAAGATGGATGGGTTGGGATTGAGACAGTACATAATTCAGCGGCCCAAAGAATGGGCCGCGATTAGGGCGGAATTGTGCGATGCGTTTCGGTGTTCACCGGACGCGGGGGCAATGGTTGTGAGCGCGATGGAGGGGATTTACGCATGGAATTCGAATGAGAATGCGGAGATATATTCTATAAGGAGGGTGTGTGTTCTGTTGTTGGAGGAGTTGACGAGGGCCAAAATGGAAATTGGGGAGAAGTGAAGGAGAGAGCAAGGAAATTGGCGATCGAGTGGAAGGCGAAGATGAGAGTGGAAGAGGAGGAGCCGTTGGAGGCTTTGGGGTTTTTGAATCTTTTAGCGACCTATGGGTTGGTGGATGGGTTTAATGTGGATGAGATTGTTGATTATGTTGTCGTTGTTGGGAAGAATAGGCAAGCTTTGGAGTTGTGTCGAGGGCTTGTTCCAGTGAATAAACTGTCTGGTGAGGATCTCCTGAATTTTCCTTAAATAAATTTCTTTACTTCCATTGTACTGCGTTCTTTAATTTATAGTTGCTCTGCTTCTTGTATGATGCTTTTTGCTTGTTGCATTATGTGAATGATGCAATTTTGTTTTTGGGGCAAATGCATGAATTGAATTAAAGTTATTTCTGAGATTGAATATCCGAAATTAGTTGGCGTGTATAAATGCATTAGCATATTTTTTTCCCCTTCTGCGTGGTTAGATGGATCTCAGTGTGCAGAAGTATGATGCCAGATTTTTAGGGTGAATGGATTTGTCAGATTCAATGAGACACAGTCAAGTAGCGGCTACCTATTGATACAATCCGTAATTCCTCAAGGAGGGGAACACTAACATTGTAACTAGTTGCAATCATGGGTTTTCTAGCAACTAAAATGATCATCATTTGTCAGTTTGTCATATGCACAAAGTGGCTCTCACAATCAAATTCATAACCTAATGGTTGTTAGGCTGAGCATTTAACATTGCAAGAAGCAATGACCCCTATTTTTAGTAACTAAGACAAAAAAATTAGTAATGAAACAAACCGTGGGATCTTGTAAAGATCATAAGATTTGCTGTTCTTTTGGCAGAAAATGATGATATATACATGATTCATATGTTTTCCAATGCAGCTTATCGGTTAATGACCATCATTTAGCTGAATTGGTTGAGTGCACCAATTAGCCATATTGGCCGGTGAGGCCTTTTTTCATTTGCTCCAAATGCAACTCTCTACCTGTTGCTGTGCTGCATTGTAGTGTATCATTGCCCTGCGTTTTCTTTAGTGGTGTTTTATATATTGTTGCATTATTTTGATCCGGGTTTGCTTCTAGTTTGGTACATGGATGTCTTTTGATACTATGCTAGTATGCATAATGGACTCTGTAATATTAGTTGGAGTTTTCTGATTCTTCGATGATGTTGAATCCGAAGTGTTTTGATAAAAGTGCTTGTACGAATTGGAGGTAGTTTTGTCTGGACTACTTATCTTGAAGGGACATGAATACCGGTGGTGACATTAATCTTAGACAGCTGAAATGTTGGCGTAAATGGTTTTGAGTTCTTAGACATTTCTTTGGTAATCAGGGTTCAAACTTAAACAAATTAAAGTAACATAAAAAGTAACTTCATACCAGAGGTTGGTGTGTGTCGGTGATTGGGACTGGTCAAACCAGATGAAGAACCGGATGTTGGTGATGATCAAGATGCTTTTCCTATCAAAACAATTGGTTCAAGTGCTTTGACTAACTGTGATCAAGTTAGATTTGATTCCTTCATTCTCATCAAATAAGAACGTTATGTCCGTTATTCGAAATCTTAAACAGGATTAAGAATTATGTGATTGGAGAGTTAAGAATTATGTGACATTGCCCATAGCCGTAGTTAATCATTTTCCCTGATAAGATGCATTCTTTTCTTTCAATTTCATCATGTTTGAGTATACTAGTAGCCTGTAATGTTAACTTTTATATTTGAACTGAATGTAATATGTAAGGTTATTAACCAGTATCTAGAAGTTCAAAACACCTTTTTAGGTGAGAATTAGTATGGTCGTGATGGTTACCAGTATTGTGCTAGTTGCTGCATTATAAATGCAGAAATTTTTTGAAAACGATATGCATAAATGATCTCACTGGAGAAAGATATTTAATCATATAAGTCATGAAGCTACTATAAGTAAGAATCATATAAGTAATTAATCTAAAATTTGGTTTGGAAACATGAAAAAAAATTGGAGATGGGAGTTTTGTTAGGAAAAAGATAATTCCTTCTGAAGTAGTGGGGACTAGAGAGACGAGTGTAATTCTTGAGACATGTCACTCTGAAAGATAAATGACTGCATTAAATTGGGAAGAAATACATGGGTACGAATAAAGAAGCCACTATCGAGTTTTTTGCTTTTCTATTTGCAGTGTTGCATACATGTCAGAGAACACTTGCTTGATGGATGAGCAAGCTCGCCTTTGCAAGAATTTTTTGGTCTATACGAATTTCCTCTTGCTCTTTCTGTACCTAGGTTCAGCTCAAATGCCAAAACCTTAAACTTTTCTGTCTACACCCAAAATCACATGCTTTTCAGTCATCATTTTTGGCTCTTCATGATAGATGGTGGTAATTGTAATGTTTTCTGGTTGATGCAGATGTTATTCAAAAACTCATTACCAAGGGCAAACGACTTCCGGCTGTCAAATTTATTTTTGAATTTGAGCTGTCTGACAAGTTCCCGCCTGTACCCCTCTTGAAAGAATATCTAATTGAGGCTAAGAAACTTGCAAAAAATGTCCGCAAGACTGGAAACAACTCTCGTCAGTCACAGGTATTTTTCCATATTTGTCTTGGTGACTGTTTGGGTGTTTTTCTTGCTATTTGAAATCAAACCGCTGCATGTGTGACATTCATCAACTGTCCCATGCAGAATGCGGCAACGATGAATGAAGTCAATGCCTTGAAATTAGTAATTAAATACATTGAGGATTACAATCTTGAATCTGAGTATCCGAAGGGGTCTCTTATAGAGCGCATAGAAAATCTAGAGAAGCAGAAGGCAGACAGGAAACGCTCTGCAGCAGCCCCCATCCCCAAGCCTCAGCAGCAGTCAAAGGCACAAAAGCAGAGTGGAAGGAAGCGTTCTTGGACCACCACCCCATCTGATCCAACTGCAATCACAGAGAGTGTTGCTATCAATTCAAATGCTCCTCCTCCTCCTCTCCAACAACCTTATCTACAAACAGCAGGTTTGTTGCCAGATCGTCATGCTTCATACCTAAGTTCATCAGCTGGGCCGTATGGCTTTGCAGGCTCCACTCCTGCCATGGCCTTATATTCAGGCTCATCTGATGGGATGTATGGGTTGTCGGGAGCCCCTCTGGGTGTTCCTGGGAGTCTTAACCCTATTGAGTCCAGTATACCTTCAGAATCACACATGCCATCTGGTTATTATGATCGGCCAATTGCTTTTGGTGGGTATGGTCTGCCACCGCAATACCATCCATCTTACTATCCTGAATAGTTTGTAGTTCTTCTTTGTTTGTGGTAGTAAACCTTTGGATGGTTGTCTGACTTTGCAGTAAGTACTGGTCATCAAGAAAGCCTGCTGCGCTTTTTTTGATCACCATGATTGTAGAACAGCACCTGGATTTGGTTCTTTAAGCTTTTTGAAGGGTGGGGTCTGTCTAGTGTCGCATAATGTCACCTAACCAATATTATGGCACTGTTTTTTTTATGGGGTAATGTGAATCATTCCAACCACGTGCCCCCCAATCTCATGGTTGCAATGCACATCCCAGATAGGAGTAATGACTCGTTAACCATGCACATCGGTTAACTCGGGGTTTTGTTCGTCCACACAGAGTCGAACTCAGGACACACCGATCACATCGGGTCCTTGTTCAAACAAATCTTTCGAAGACAATCATGGATTTTTCTTCTCTGGAAGATCTTTGATTTGGTAGCAGAGAAGGGTGTAAGCTGTCATGTCTGGATCAAATATTTTGAGGGCTCTTGGGAAAGTGGAAACCACATAGCATTGGCAAGCGTCCCACTTGTTTTTTCTGTATAAATAACCTCATCATTTTTGAGGTGTGGATGTGTTTGGTTGCTTTGTCCCCCAGTTCTGTCACAGAGATCATGGTACTCTTGCCACTTCCCAAAGGGACATTCCGTGCATTAAAACTGCATTTCCCGCCCTACCCAGCCTTTCAAAAGGGGATTAATTTACCACAATAGATGAGAGAGAATCTTTTTGTCGTGAGAGTCCATTTTTCTTCATTTTCGTTATATATCCGTATGGAATGATTTTGTCTGTTGTGACACCAAACGATTTGGGTTTTTCTTGTGGTTTCCAGCTCCCTATGCTTCCTTCTTGTTTGTTCTTAGTTCTAGTTGTTCTCATGCAACACTTCCTATTTGCCTGGAGTTCTTTGATCTTTTGGGCTATTATATCCTTATGATGTACTAGTGGCTGGATTTGATTTTATATACGAGATTTTCTTTGAATTCCACACAAAGAGGTCTATTGCAGCTCCTATTGTTAGCACTTACTTTACCTCTTTCATGGATATGTTACCAGACTCGCGATTAAATCGCTGAGTGCTGATTAAGGGTCACCTTTGGCTGTGCTGGTGCAGCATACTGTTGTCGAATTGTCTACAAAAAGCTACCCATTTGCTTTTGGGTGCATTTTTTTGTCTTGGTCTTAGGGACCAGTTCGGAAGTAGAATATCATTTGAGCGCTAAAGTACCGGCTCAATGTTCAGAATTCCACAGCATAGTATTGTTTTTCGTAATTCTGAAATTTGTCTTTCAAAGATGATTTTTTGAAGAACTGAGTGCCGACTTCGGTTGTAAGTTTGGACTTAGTGTTCAGAGCCTCCATATGAAATGAGTGAGGCTGTTGGTTGAGGAAGGGTTATGTTCTGTAGGAAACTTGGTTCATAGTATTGGCGATACAATAAGAATCAGTCAAAGTTAGGTTGTATTTAACTAGGCTCTTTCCGTTGTGAGATCAATCTTGTGGTATGTGGACTACAAGTCTCAGTCGGCTTGGTTGATTTTTCTACTTGGAAGAGGTCAAGTCTTCCAAGACGTATCTGAGTTAACCAAGGGTTGTTTGTGTCATGGTTATGGATTGTCTGACACCATTTCACGATGCCACAATATTGTTTAGATATTTCGTTGTCTTAAACTTTTTTTGTTTGGCATTTTGTGTGCATCGCTTGGTATTGTTCTACGACGCTGGTGTCCTCCGCGTATGGCTGTTAATCAAAGCGACTTTCTCGAGTTAGGCTTGTTTTAAATGAATTGAGTTTAAATAATTTTTTTTTTGGCTCATTTAGAAAACAAACTTGATAGATTCGGTTTGAACTCAACATGCTCGATTCGTTTATGTGTAAATATTTGAGCTTGGCTTGACTTTGGTTTGTTTTGGATTCGTCTAGGTTCGGGTCATTTTTTAAACAAGTCGAACTTGATTAAGTTTTTTAGTTTGGTTAAAAAAATAAACTTTTTAGGCTAAGCTCGATTTCCTTCGACTAGTAGCCCTATCTCCGAGTCAAAAGTTGGAAGCCGGATCTTGAATCATGTGAAAGTTGTTGGTTGAAGGGGGTAGCAGGGAGGTTGCATGAGAGAGGATGCATTGCTCTTTGGACTGGGCTTAATTAACATGAGAAAATGACTAGGGAGAAAGAATATGGGTCGGGTTAGCTTAGTTCAATTGTCACGTATAAAACTTCACGAGATTGACCCAACTTAATTAAATTATATTAACTTTTCATTTCTTGTGTTCTTTTTGTGAAAATTGGAAGTGAGTTTTTCTAGATGTACTTATTTGGAGATAAATCCGGTAAGAAAACTTATAAAGGGTTAAGTTCATGTTTAAAATTATGTGTAATGACTTAAGTCTATTTTTTTTATCTCAAAAATATTCCTAATAGTGTTAAATTTGATCAATTATAGAAAGTCATATGTTAGATGTTTAAGATATATAAGATAACAGAGTATTCAGTTTTTTATGGAAATCGAATATATAATAATCTAATGCTTGAATTACGACAAAATCATTGGTCTATTAATTCAATTTCAAATCAAAAGATTTCATTAACGATTCAAATTCAAATTCAAATTCAAACATTATCTTCTGTCTTTTGTCCATTCCCATCCTCAGGCACTCAAAAGTGAAGAAACACATACACACACAAGCACACTTTCTCTCGTTTCAGCTCACGAACGAGGAAGAACAGTGAGATTTTTCTGGCCCGCGAGCTTTTGAGAGATGCGAAGAGTTTTTCATATTCAAGTGTATGGCTTAAATCTCGGTAGAATTTTCAAACCAATAGCGATTCAATGTTACTTGTCGATATTTTTTTTCTTTGTATTTTTTTGTTTAAATCTCGGTAGAATTAGTTTTTTTTTTTTTAACTCAATTTCAATGTTATTTACCGGTATTTGTATCATGACGTTCTTTACCGGAGTTTATTTTTAATTTTGTTTTTGAAATTAGATTCTAATTGTATTTTTCATGTTGCTGATCGTGTTTTATTGGAATTAGTATTGCTTTGTTAAATTGAATGTTTTATGTTACTATTTCTTTTTCTTTGTTACTATTCCTGTTATTATTTTTGTTGTGTATGTTACTGTTCATATTATTATTATTTTGAGCATGTTATTGTTTTTGTTGAATATGTTACTACTATTATTTACTTAAATATTAATATTTAATGTTACTATTTTTTTTTAAATATTACTATTTTTGTGTTTGAGTGATACTATTTTTGTGTTTGAATTTGAGAGAGATAATTATTGTAAAGCATGCTATTATTTTTGTTGAACATGTTACTATTTTTATTTCTTTAAAATATTAATATTGAATGTTACTATTTGTTTATGTTTAAATGTTACTTTTTTGTGTTTAAAATGATATTATTTTTTGTGTTTAAATGATTTTTTTTTTTGAATGTTATTATTTTTTATTTTTAATGTTACTATATATATATATATATATAAGAGAAATTTTTTAATGTCAATCAAATTCATAAGATTTAAGAGTTTTTAATTTTTAATTTTATTTTATTTTTAAAAAAAATGATAGTCTGATAAAATTAACAAAAATAAACTTCATAATAAATAAATTTTTTGGTGGACTTAACTTCAAACAAGACTCTAGGGACCTGCCTCCACATTTCTCAACTTTTTTTTCTCCCATCAGACACGTGAGCGACGTGACAATCATCAACCAAGTAGGCTTGGCGAATGATCCCTGCCTTATACAATGGCCCGTTTAGTTTGGTTGCCCATCACATCATAGGATGGGAAAACCAACAAACAGTAGCTTGTGAATAGTCCGACATCCCACTGGATAGAGTAATGGATCATGTTCTTTTACCCACCTAGCTTACAACTACTTAAATCAAGATGTTTGTGAATAGTCCGATAGCCACAGCCCGACTATTGGGATAGAATTGAAAACATTTAGGCCCATCAAGGGTTTTTTTCTCTGTTACTTAGAAGTAAAATTGAATTACTCGAGTTCAACTTGTCTTAGACTCATTTAAGCTTGACTCGAGTTTGTTTTCTAAATGAGTCGAATTTAAACAATTTTTTAGATTTATTTAAAAAACAAGCTTGACAAGTTCAACTTGAATTCGATAGGTTCTATTTGTTTTTGTGTAAATACTTGAGTTCGGTTTGAATTTAGCTGGTTTGGGTTTGACTCGTTTTTTAAATGAGTTGAATTTGAATAATTTTTTAAGTTCGTTTAAAAAAATGAGCTCAACAAATTTGATTCGAGTTCATTCTATTATTAATCCTACTTAGAGGAGGGAGCTGTTTGGAAAATGGACTCGATCGACAACCTCCATGTTACAGTGTAGAGTGGGGTAGGATTAAAGTCCTGGGCTTCCTGGCCCATCAAGGAAGCCCAGGACCGACAACCTCCATGGGTAGTAGACTGACAAGCCAGACCGATCCGACCCAGTACTGGAGATTAGACCCAACCCGACCCAGTTACAGACGAAAGTAATAAAATCTGGATAATGAATGACAAGCCAATGACACCCAGATCCAATGTACCAAGTCAACTGCGTCGAACAGTCAGTTCACTTGAAAATACCACTCGAACCCCTCTCCAAATCCCGAAACTACCCCTACCCTTCTTCTTTCTTCTTCACCTTAAAACAACCCCCTTCCCTCTATTTCCGAATCGTCAATGGCAGACTCTCAGTCCCACTCTCCGTCTCTGTCTCATGAACACCAAACCACTCGTTCCGAGCTTCGTCCTCAGAGCTTCAATGTCGAAGGTCACGTGATTTTCGGCGCTGAGCACGTGAGAGATTCAAATTCGGATGCTGCTGAGTTTAGTGGCGCCGGATCGAACAACGGTGCCAAGTACAGGCTCATGTCGCCGGCGAAGCTCCCGGTGTCCTGGTCCACGCGTATCGCCATACCTCCCGGCCTCAGTCCGACGTCGTTTCTCGAGTCTCCACTCCTCCTCTCCAGCATCAAGGTTAGTTCCGTTCTGCTTCATTTCACTATTTCTGATGGGAGACTTTCACAGTATTTACTAGTTACTAATTAAAGTCATCGTAGTAGTAGTATTGGAGTTTGATTGGAATTCGATACTCGATCTGTACTATTTCCTATAAGCCGCTGTTTGGTTACTCAGAAACCAAAGGAAAGTGAAAAAATTTCTAGTCTTATTACTTTGGAAATTTAAAATTTTACTCGACTCAAGTAAGTCGGGCAATCCAATTAGCTTCAAGTGAGTGTGAGGCGCTACTGAGTGGGACTCTTTTGATTTTCTTGTTGTATTGCTACGTTATGTGAACAACCAAATCACAAGGGTGTAAGCAAGCTTACGTAAACAGTTTGTTTAGTGGAGAATTTGTGACGATTGAGTGATGTGATTTGAGCTGAGATGTTGGTTGAGCTCTTAGAAAATCATCGTTCTTTTCGTTACATTACAATTTGGAATTTCTGATTAGACGTTTGCTACTTTTCCATCACTCTGCTGTTTGGGTTTTAATTATTTTTTTTTCATTTGAGTGCTCGTTTAGAGAATATATACATTTGTCTGTGTCTTTGTGGGTGTGCATTTTGGACCGTTAGATTCTTATGCTCGCATAATGGTATTTTATATTAGCTTCTTCATGAAATTATTCCCTTCTGAATTTTTGATAGAATGCATGACTTTTGTTTGTTTTAAAACCCCCCTTCCTCTTTAATCTTCTGTGTTGTTTTTTCACAGGATGAATCTTCCTTTTTGTTGGGGCTTGGCTTTTTTTCTTTAAGTTGTTCCATGGAGGAAAAAGATGTTGCTTGTGTATAATTATTTTATCGAAACATGGTGTCAGGAAAATTATATATATCTGAACATAGATGTTGCCATAATTATATGAAGCGTGTGATAGTTGACTGTTGAGGTATTGTTGGCTTTGAGGCTAACAGGAATACAACTTGCTTCTGTTTTCCTTGAACAATTAATCCCCCCAAATCACAACCCCCCCCCCCCCCCCCCTCTTTTTTTTTCTTCCTTATAACACCCACACACAGACAACAGACCAAGAAATAAAAGGAAAAAAACAACTTTCTCTTAACTTTGAGAGAACTATCAGAAAATGTTTTACCAAGAATGTGTTTCTTGTTTGTTCTGTACCAGTTGGTAGTGGTCAAAAGAAGTCTTCCTGATCAATAGTTTCATAAACTGCCTTCACAATCTTGCAGGCAGAGCCTTCTCCAACTACAGGTTCCTTTTGCAATCCTGAACTTACAAAAGGCTCATCTACCACAAATTGTTCTAGTAGGAACACCTTTGATGAAAGAAAATCCAGCGGCTTTGAGTTTAAACTTCAAAGTGGATTTAATTCAGTTTCAGGGTTGTCTTCGGCAGGACCTGCGGTAATGCTCTTGAAGTTGTTTTTATGGACATGCTGGAAATCATAACTGAGAATGGCTATTTTTATCTTTATCAATTATCCACGTTTCCATTGATGAGTATAAGAATCATAGATTACTAGAAGACAGTTTCTTAACCATGTGATTTGTTTTTTCTCCCTTTTCCACATCCCTGCCTCCCGCCGTGAGAGTATTCTTATTTGCACATGCTTACACTAGGTGAATGATGCCAATGGCATTCACTACTGGAAAAATATAAGCATGAGATTTTCTCTGGTCAAACAAACTATAACATCAAATTAGTGATATTGTTCTGTTAAAAGAAAAAAATAGTAATATTGTTGTTGTTTGAGGAGCTGTTGTTATTATCAATGTTCCCCACCTGGTAATGTAGTCTCTCAATATATTCTGAGCTCACTGTCAATAGAAGGCAAATTATTGTGGTTTAAAACTATATTCATTTATTTTGTACAAAACACCTGTGCAAAAAACTTTTTTTTTTTTATCATGTATCAGGATTTACCCATAGACTATGGGCCATAATGCTACTGTGGCATTATTTCACTTTCTAATGAGATTTTATTTGTAAAAAATTGACGAGCAGTATCTAGATTTCCGTTCAGTGTCACTCTGAGTGTTGCTCAACTGCTGGACTGGATTGGATTCTGGTTACCTAATGCTTTTCCATGTATTAAAGATTTCTACAGGTTTCAACCAGCAGCAAAGGGAATTACGGGAACATGTTCTAGATCAATGCCAGTCTATGTCATTTGCTTCATTACCTTTAGTTAAGTGTGAAATGGAAGCCTCCTCAAAAGAATATAATAGGGTTGGTGTACCTACTGGAGTTGATTCAGTTGAGTTAAACCAGAGAGAGCACCCCAAGCCTGGGAATCAAGCATCCCTGTCTGATGATAAAGATACTGGGCCTGCAGTCACAGCTGAGAGGTCTTCTGATGATGGGTATAACTGGCGAAAATATGGGCAAAAACTTGTTAAAGGAAGTGAGTTCCCACGAAGCTACTACAAATGTACATATGCTAATTGCGAGGTGAAAAAGATTTTTGAACGTTCTCATGATGGACAGATCACAGAGATTGTCTATAGGGGTACACATGAACATCCTAAACCACAGCTTAGCCGTAGATTTTCTACTGGTGCCATTATGTCCATCCAGGACGGAAAAACTGATAAGGTTTCATCTTTAACTGATCAACGAAGTAAGTGAATCAACCTTTTAATGATTTCTGCTTTCTCTATATAAATGGTTTAATAATGTAGCTCTTCTTATTTTTTTTTTTGGTCTCATTTATTTGTTGAAGACAAGTCCACCATTAATGCCCACGCTTGTAACACTGAGCCTAATGGGACTCACGTGCTATCCCCTCAACAAGCGAATGGTGATAGTGTTTATGGTGCAGCCCCACAATTTAACAGTGTTCAAGACGAGGGTGACGAAGATGATCCTTTTTCAAAACGGAGGTAATATCGTTTGTAGAGGTTTAAACTGTACTCTTGCTGTTGTATCATGTACTATCATTAAATTCCAAAAATTCCATACAGAAAGATAGATATAGGTGGTGTTGATGTCACACCAGTGGTTAGGCCCATCCGTGAACCTCGCGTTGTTGTTCAAACTATGAGTGTGGTTGATATACTGGATGATGGGTATCGGTGGCGTAAATATGGGCAGAAAGTTGTCCGAGGCAATCCAAATCCCAGGTATGTGACAGTTCCCTGACCTGCAATGCAGTTTCAAATTATGTTTGTTTTCTGGTTTTGTTCCATCAGTTGTTGACTAATTGATTTTGGAAGACTGAGACGCAGAATATGAAATGCTTGAGGTTGTAATTATCTAGTTTGTGTGGGCCAAACCGAAGTAATTTTTGATGTCTTTGAACATGTGCTGGCCTTTTGGGTTGTCTCAGCTTCTGTGTCATTCGTTTGAAGTCTGTGTGTCAAAGATAGTGGCTCTCACATCGTCTTTCTGAACTAGGCTCCATGAAACAAATACTGAGGCCTTCCCTGAAATTAATACCCGAAAAAGATTTGGTTGATTAATCAATGATCAGCCCATTGTTGTACAACGTTTTTAACCTTGAGGCATAAACACTAAACATTACTTCCCCATAAGCCACCATATTAGCACCTGCAACCTCTTAAAGGTTGCTTTTCATAAATTTCAACTACCTTTCTTTGAGTTTCTGCAGCCTTCAATTTGATAAGCAAGTGCACTTGATCATCAATGATACATTTTAAGCATAGCTAACCTCTGAGTTGTTGTCCATTATTGTACTTTAAGCAGCCCTCGAACATCCCTAAATCATAAGGTTTTGTGCCCAAAGAAACAGCAAAACCTTTGCCCTTTTACAGCCATTGACTTAAAATTTCCCACCTGCATTAACCTACCCAATACTGATCTGCCTTAACGGCCCCTTTAGCGCTACTCTAAACCAATTCTTCGTTTGAAGCTTGTTAGAGAGAATTTCCCATACTTGCCATTTGCCTGTTTGGTTCTTCATTTTCCAACTATTTGTATAGTTTTAGAATTCAGGCGAAACTATGTTAATTGTAACAAGAACACACCACTGCCAGCTCAAATGAAGGCTGAGATGATTCATTCACAAGGATCTGTTGAGATGTTCTAAACAAGGAAAAAAGTAAACTTCCATTTGCTATTGGCCCTACCTTCATATTCACCGTGTTTGTATGCATAGGTAGACTGCTTATCAAATATCAACCACTAGATTACATGTCACATTTTCCAATTTAGATACTACAACTGTTTTTCCTTGAAATGTTGTGTTTTCTTTTGGTTTATTCAACTGTGTGACTTGTAAATGGCTGTGAATGCCATAATTTCGCGCGCGCGCACACGCACACACACACACATATAGGAGCTTAATTTATGAACTTCCTTGATCATCTACATGCCCAATCTTCATAATGGAATCTAATTTCTTTTACTTGTCATTGCCCCCAACCACCACAACCTAATTGTGCCTTTATTTTTTCCTGTATTTGGTTCTTGAGAAACCTGGTTTTCCTGAACATTTTGAAATGTGATGCAGGAGCTACTACAAGTGCACAAATATCGGATGCCTAGTGAGGAAACACGTGGAGAGGGCATCTCACGACCCCAAAGCAGTTATCACTACATATGAGGGAAAACACAATCACGATGTGCCTACTGCAAGGACTAGTAGCCATGACTTAGCAGGATCTGGACCAGTAAAAGGAATCTCAAATATCAGATCAGGGGAGAATGATAGAATTCGCCTTGATCTCGGGGTGGGGATTAGCTGTGGTGACGGAAACGGTGAGCAGCAGCAGAGGCTGGATGCTGCCCCCCTCCAAAGCCAAGTGCAAGTTACCTCCTCTGATTTGAACGAAGTTCAAGCGTCATCGTGTACAGCATATTACGGTCCTATTAATGGTAACCTGAATTTATATGGATCAAGAGAAAAGCGTATTGAAGGCCTTAGTTTTGAGACTACACCTTTACACCAGTCCTCTAACCAGTATTCTCAAAGCCTTGGAAGGATACTTTTGGGCCCTTGAAATTGTTGCTTAATTTGAAGGGAAAAACAAAATAAGATCATATAGATATAAGTTTTTCAGTTTCTTGGTGGGTGAAACGGATAGAGAAGTATCACAGATTGATTATATATGGCATAGCTGGTCTGGGAGTTTGTTTTTTTTTACTGTCTTCATTGAAGTGTTGTCTACATGAATTAGAGTTTCTAATTCATAGTGTGTGTAAATATGTACATCAGAATTTCAGCTTCTAACCAGATGACGATGTTTATTCGAAAGTGCTTGAACCGAAAGGCGTTACAGGAAATTTGTTCCATTTAACCATTGTAAATGTTGCTTTAACATATTGTGAGAGTTGAACAAAGTCGTCATCGTTCTTCCAATGTAATGTATGTGGCTGATAAGCAGGTTGATCCAAGGGATGATTCATAATCATCCAACTCTCTGATTCAAAATAAAGGTACTGGTTGGTTGAAATGTTACTGATTGGAAATCAACCAATGAAGAATCTTTTCCATGACTGCCATGGTAGAAATCCACCTGCAACATAAAAACATATCAAACAGATGAAGAGTGAATAAAAGTAATGGCCTAATGAATGAATGATGTAATTATAAATGGAAGAGTACAGCAATTATGATATGTGCATGCAGAGACATAACATTGAAGGGAAAAAAAATGAACATAAAAAGCTATCATTACCACAACTTGGGCATCGGAAAAAATACTTCTTGTCCCTCAGAACAAGTCCTGATCCTCCACATACTTCACATCTTCTCTGTGCCACCTGCCATGGTACATGTACACAGACTAAACTTCAGAGTTTTAACCAAGATCAAGTCTTTAAGGTCGGGTATAGGAGTAGAGTTGCGTTAACTAGGCAACAAGCTACGTATGAAATATGGTCTTGATAAAAAAAAAGAAAAAACATGTAGGCGACTCAAATAGTTTGGATATGATTTAGTTGACTTGGGTTAGTACAAAAACCAAAGCAACAAGTTAAAATTCCTTGAAATAAACTACACTTACTATTCTCTTGCTGAACTCAATCCCTGCAACCACAAAAGGCGTAACACCAGCTGCATACGAAACAAAAGAAGAACACAACCAATGGTTTAATTACACTCAGTTTGGTTTGCTAATAATAATGAGAACAATAAAGTAATAACAGAGCACTCTAAAAAGAAAATAACACTTATATTCAAAATTTGATCTTTTTGCCTATGTGTGTGTGTGTGTGTGTGAGAGAGAGAGAGAGAAAGAGAGAGAGCATACCTAAAGCGCCAATAACAATTTGCCAGGTGAGATCCACCTGAGCAGGGTCCGAAGTAACAGCAGAGACTCTGGCTGTTAACCGGCGATTTCTGGTCACGTAATTGGTTCTGTTCCTCCCGGGAATGAGGTTGATAACACCGGACTTAGAATGGTCAAGGACGACGCTTCTGGACTCGCATTTGGATCTAGGAGAGACCGGAACTACTGATAAGGACATGGAAGCCTCCATTTGTATACATATATATATATATATATATAGAGAGAGAGAGAGAGAGAGAGAGAGAGAGAGAGAGAGAGCAGTCCCGAAGCTTAGTTGCTGAACTTGGCCGATGATTCGATGGCAGGATTTATATCAGAGATTCCAGTCAGTTATCGGCTGACTAATCAGAGCCACACAGTCGGCGCAGCGTTTATATTTGTCCACGTCGGCAGCTTGACAAAGTCACAATCTTATGGGCCACTCAATACTGGGCCCAAGGTGAGCCCGCTAAACTCAATCGTCCCGGCCCCTCAAGCTTTTTCTTGTGTAATGGGTAGCCCATCTGGTCTCGCTTTGGTGACTCTTCATCAACATTAAAACATATAAAATTGAACCTTAACAGGAGAATTCATCTCACAGACGCACAATAATGGATCAGCATGAACACAGTTTTTCAAACAGTCACTCTGTCTTAGTGGTTTCATCCCGCACCAGCCAATCTCATTATAGTCAGTACTTTTTAAGACATTGGTAACAACAATCGCCAAACAAAAACAATGCAAATCCAAGCACACTGTCTCCATCTGCACTTTCCGCATTTCGTACCAGTTCTCCCTTTTTTACCCCCAAAAGTTCATTGTGTGATTTTCATTGATCGATTGGGATCATCTGCCAACAATTTGGCAAGATGTAGGAACAGTTTTGAAAACAGCAGGTCTGTGGAACACCAATTTGTGCATTTGGGTATGAAGCAGCTAACACCAGCCAGATTTTCCAGTTTTCAAACAGTTCTCTTAAGTGCAGCAGGTACATCTAGCCCATTTCTTACTTCTCCAAGCAGCTCCTAAAGTCACACAAACAAGCACCCACAACAAACAACCATGATACAAAATCTAGCCAGTTGGCTCAACTGCGTAATTACTTTTTGCCATTCTGTTCATCAAGAGACCTTTTGAGCAACAAGCAACTGATAACACAATAGCAGGATCTAGGATTTCCACCAATCCCCTGCCCCAATTTTACACTTATATAAATCAACTACTTCATGGATGAAAGCATGAAAATGATTTATCTACACAATAATGTTTGTTCAACCATCTCGCTCCTAGTACGAATCAATTAGCTAGAACAAAAATTGTTTCCATTGCACTTTACTGTGACTAACAAGACTAAAGAACCATCCTAGCATGCTGACATTCTAGTGTCATCATTCAAAACATTGCCAAACCCACAATCAGCTTGGCCTGAACTATAGATTCCTGGATGCCCATGGCTTTGGCTTGCATAGGCTGGCCACAGCCAGACTGCTTTCTGCCACTCTTGTAGTTTGGAAATATATAAGGACCCATTCAATCCCTACAACTGTCTAGACATACTCCTTCAAACAAATACATTTACATTGTTTCAAAAAAAATCTGATGGATAGGGGAACAATAATTTCTTGGTTCTTCCAAAAATTTTAAGCACTTCCATAGTTCTCATGTTCAGGCAGCAATGCATCAGCCTGCTTCCATTTCATTTAACAAAGCATTTGAAATTGTTCTACGTTGATTCCTAAATCCATGCGCCAAAATTGAGAATATTACGCAAGTCAGATTTCTAAACATTTTCTGGCATCTCACCCTCACATCCCGGGGCTAGGGCCCTGCACCTACCCATAAGAGATAAATGTAGCATCAGATGTGTACTCAAAAGTTAAATGGACTTATTTTCATTAAATAACACTTTCAACAATCCTGTTTCTTTTACTGTCTAATTCATTTTCCACCCTTCTAAAAGCTTGTAATCTTCTACGGTAAGACTCCATCCAAATCCACCACTCACTGGTTAGTGCTTCAATAATTATCAGATAGAATTTGATTGATCAAGTCTCAAATTATCCCAACATTTTCAGATTGACTTTACTACTTTTTATTTCTTCAAAAGCATGTCACTATTCTTCCCTGCAACTTTCTTCTATGTTTTTCCTATGTTGCTTCTATATCTCCCAACCATGTTTCTTCAATGAAAAACTCGACACAAAACACAAATCAAATGCAATTTGTCAATGAAATAACTTGCAGAATTTAGGCTTCCTAAACACAACAACAGAGAAAAAGATTTAAACACCAAAGAAGAATACTTGGCAATCTAAAAAGTTTTGCAACTTATGAAGGGTAAACATGAGTCACTAATAGAAAAATAAAAAGTTAAAAACCACTCCATGAAAAACAAGGTAATCATTAGCAACAACATTGGAGACATCTTTGCAAAGTAACCATGGAAATAAGAAAGTAACGTCTTTCAGTCATTCGGAGCAATCACAATTGCCAATTTCATTGAATCCCGGAGAAAGAAGGTGAAACACATTAGACTAAGATGCATGGATGCCATTACCTAACAGAAACTCAAACACCTGATGTTCCAAGTATATGCAGAGAATCTAATTAGGTCTTTGGTGTTGAGAAAAGTTAAAAGAAAGAACAAATTAGCAATCCTAATTATTGAAAGGCTTACTTCACTTCTATCAGCTCAGCCCGTATCATGAGCTACTCCAAAAGGGAGCCAGGTTAAAGTATTCCACAGCAAAAGGGCCTATATTCAAGAAAGTACAGACAATATACCCAAAGCAAATACACCAGAGATATTACAATGACATTTAGGCTAGAGAACAGCATTCAAATACCGCAATGAGACGTAGGGAGAAAAAGCAATGAACAACTATTTGAACAAAACCAGATTTAGGCAAAAACTATCTCAGCTGAACATAGTGCAAATTCAAAGGAAATCATATAGCAAATTCAAGGGAAATCATATAACGAGAACAGCAAATATGATTATTAATAGAATTCCCAACAGCCTCATACAGCAACATCGAACACCCAAAAGGTCTATTTTTTTTTTTAGTTTGTCTACCAAATGGAAATCACAAATACCCTAAAAAGGAATCTTCTCTTTCTTGTACTGAGCCACCTCACCGTCATTGGGGAAGAAACCCATGAGCCTCCCAGCAGAGTTCTGGTATGCGTACATGAACCCTCCCATGACTCCGATCAGACCCCCTGTCACCATCGATGGACCCCTTATACCTGGCTTGATTCCTGCTCGCAGATAAAGCAAATTAGGGTTATACAAGATATAAATCGAAAATTACCAAATCTAAGTACGATATATGTGTTATACATAAAGATGAAAGAGAGAAAAAGGAGACCAGAGAGGTAGCCGACGGTGATGGAGACGCCGGTGATGGTGACTAGGCGAAGGTAATCGAGGGTGTTGAAGTTGGCTACGGTCTTTGTGAAGGGTGGGTTCCGATCTATCACCGGGTACTCCGGCTTGGCCGACGCTGTTATGTCGGTGTTCATCTTCTTCTTGCAGCTACTCCGCCGGCGAACTGTACTGTTGACTCCACAATGCGAATGAACTGTGTGTGCGTGTGCGTGTGTTTGTCTGTGTGTGAGAGAGAAAGAGAGACAGAGAGAGACAGAGAGAGATATTGGATTTGGGACCGGATGTGGTGGTGTATGGGCCCAATGACCCGAGTTTCATGGGCCAATTCTTTGGCAGACAGATGAAGGCCCAATTTCGAACATGCCAATCTTTTTCTTTTGTTGCAAATTTCATTCGGATCCTTGGAATTTTATGAAGACAAGCAATTAATCCCCTAACATTTACGAAATTATACGGTGACCCTTTATTTTTGAAAAGTTATAAATACCTCCATCATTGAAGAAATTAAATCAGGAAGAACAATATCCAAAAGAGCAATTCTATGGGAATCGTAATTAAATTAGTAGTAAATTTCAATATTAGATAGACCCCCACCTTTAACAATTGTTGCATTGAATTAGCTCCAAATAACATTCTCTTATTCAAAAAATCAACATCATTCTTCTAATTAAACAAAAAAAAAATCAAGAATATTTAGAAATAAAATAAAATAACCGTGTCTTCGACAATTGTCCACTATTTTTCAAACACTCCATTTTTCCCTCCTCTCCAAATGGATTCTTTGGTTTGAAAGAGCAATGCTATTTGCTAATAAATCTTAGTATTTATTAAAATTCACTATTAATTCAATGATTATAATCGATTAAGCCAACAAAACAAATCACAATTCTAGATCAATATAACATGTGCTTTTCACAAAAACTTGGTTTAATTTTTCAGTGTATAAATGTATGGTGATAGTGATGCAGTGCACAGCGTAAGCTGTTGATTTAGGATTTAAATTGTCACTACCAATCCTACTATACGAGTGCGGCTCCTCTGCTATTAGGAGGGAACAACATTGTGTGCTGTTAGCCAAAAACGCCACCGTTTAGCCAGCTTCTCAAAGTATATTATTGTCCCCCAAAATAGACCTCGAGACGGCGTCGTTTTACTTACTCTATTACAAGTAATTTCTTTATCTCAAAACTGACCAAATAACGAGCAAGAACTCAACTGGTGATTGAAGTCGCCAATTCTTCTGTCTCTCTCACCAGTCTCCATTTCATAGAGTTGATTGCCAGTTGCCTTCATACTCCTCCCTTTCTCTCTCTCAACTCTTTTTTATTTTTTCCGTAAAAATGAAGCAAGTATTGAAGAAATAAAAGGTAAAAGAACAATCAAATCACCAACTCTCTCTTCCTTTATATCATCTTGTTTCTCAACTCAGTTCGAGTCTACGAAATGTTTGATTCTTAAATGATATCCTCGAAATAATCAAACTACCATCTTTCTTGTTCTTCATTTTTATCAAACAGTTGGTGAAGTATGTGCAACTGGGTGTGGGGAGCATTATTGTTATCATTATCTCCGATTGTTGACGGCAACGAAGAGGGAGAGATGGGAAGGTTGGCAGTTGAATACGAAGGCGGCGTAGCAAGGAGGTTGTAGGTCAAATTCAAGAACGAATCGATTTTTTGCCAGCAATTAAGATGCACAAATCTCTGTTAAATGGTAGCAGTAACAAACTTAGACGGCAGCGATGGTGAACATCAAGACTCTGGTGCAAATCTCTACGTGAATATCAAGACCCAATTTTGATTGTTTCATTTCAAATATTTCTAAGGAAATCAGAGCAACAGTGTCAACTTGTTGGTGACCAATTTTTGGATAAAGAAATTTATTGTGATAGAGTAAGTAAAACGGCGTCGTCTCGAGGCCAATTTTGAAGGACAATGTGGTACTGTGAAAAAATGACTAAATTGTGGCATTTTTAGCTAACAGTACACAATGTTGTCCCTCCTAATAGTAGAGGAGCCGCACCCCTTACTATACTCGTATGTAATGTCATTTTCATAGCGAAAGAGAGGGCCCACTTATTATTGCACAAATGGTTTTTTTTTTTTATTTTTTTTGGGGGGGGGGGGGGGGGGAAGCATCATAAATGGTTACTGGAAAGCTACTCTTTTTCATCCGTCTTTTTTTTTTCATATTTTTTTTATTCTTTTTTTCCCCTCATTTTGCAATAGTTCCTAATAAATCCTAGATATTTGCAACCACCTAAAAATCATAAATATCAATTAAGCTCGAAAAATATCAACGAGAATAGAACTCTCGACGTATAGATTATTGATTTGTATAGATTTAATTTTACATCGTTGGACTATCCATGCGAATTATCTTGTAGTTTAATATTACACTACTCTTCTGTTTTCTCAACAACCAACCAGGGAAATTTTTTTTTTTTTTATGCTTAATGCTCACCCCATTAAATCTATAATATAAAATAGAGTAGATTTCAAAAAATTCATCTGAGGGTTTCAAAAAATCTCCATATCAACATCTCTTTTACCTCTGGTCATTGATACAACAGGGCAATTCTATATTTGGATCTGCTTTGGTTGCCAGGTCTCTCTCAGCTGCTCTCCGCCAGTTGAGCATGGCTCCTCATGGGATATTTTTTAGAGGGCCCCATGGATTTGAAACGCATATGTTTCTTCTCATAAGATGAAATTCATTTTTAATTCAATAATTATAATTTGTTATGTACTTAAATTAAGCCTTCAAATTAAATATAAATAATATTTTTCCCATGCTAAAAGTTATTCAAATGAGCCCAATTGAACATAGCAAAGGGAACATAATTCAATAATGTTTTTTTTTTTTTGTGTTAAACGGTCAAGAGTTCAAATCAACTTATGCACAACTTTATTAGTTTTCTTCCTTTTCTAGGCTATCTATGCCAGGATTAAAGTTTTCAAAAGAGATAAATTCCTTATAACCTAACCTTGAGGGATTCCTGTTGGGTCTTTATGGAGTTTAGTTTGTATGTTAATCCAGATGATGACCCGATCCGAAATAATGTTGCGTGTTTTTTTAATGGAAAATTTTCTGAGGCCAATGGAGCGAAAGCTTGGTCCGTGGTTCAACAATTTTTTGGGCCTGTTTTATAGTCCGGTGCGTAGGATATATGAAAAACTGTTATTTTGGTGATTAGAGTTTTGATTGAAATGTATAACCACTCTGTAATCCTCTCTCTCAATAGTGAAATTCTTGAACGTATGCTAATAGTCGAACCACATAAAATATGTATGTTTTATTCTTTCTTATTACTTTATGTTCTTGGTTTATTCTTTGATTGTGTGTGTTTGTTTGTGGGTTTAAAATGTATTAAATCCCAACAATTTCTACATTTCGAACTTTAGACGTCTGAATTACTAAGATTAAGTTAATGGATCATATCATACAGATAATATCAGTGCACAAAACTTTCACGTGCAGCAGAATTTGAAAATAATAAATGAGACAGTATTAACCACATTTTCAGAGACGTGAATTCCAAAACTCCGTCTATATGTCACTTCCGAAATATTACTACAATGCTTGATTTGCTTTTCTCTAATTGGAGGCCCTATTCTATTGCTTGGTGGTGTCAGAGATTCTGAACATATTTTCACCGTTCTCCAAACAGCTTCATGTGTGTCACTCTCATCACCTAAGCCCTATATTACATTCTTCTGCTGAAAAGCCAGAACTCTTCACATTTCTCTCTTGTTATTAACTTCAACTAAAGAAAACTGTAGAACCTTCTAACATGTACTACTATCCTGTGTCATATTTTCTTCTTTCCTAAATCCGTCGACCTGTGTAATGGGGAGGATATGCTTCTGATGTTTTCATCCGTCCTAGCATGGGAGCTTCGTCTGAATCAGGAACAGAATTGAGAAAAGGGAAAAATGGAAAAAATAACTGTGTTGTGTCAAACAGAAAGATTTTGCCTTTCAAAACCAGTACTCTATATAAACTCTGTAATCTGTGTTGTTGTTCCTGAACCTCTATATCACTGCAGAAATGCTGCTTGCTACTGGAGATGCAAAAGGGCTGTCTGGGAGATTATGTCCTCCACTGCGTTTACGACCATAAAGCCATTCAGAAAAAGCAACGATTGTTATTATGAAAACCAAATTCAGTTGACTGCATCTGAACAATGCAAGATACCAGTAATATGAAGAGGGCTAACTTATGGATTGATTTTCAACAAGACAACTATGGCGCAACAATGCAATGTGAAGAATAAGAAGCCAGTTATGATAGTTTGGCTCCACTAAGCGGAAGATAGAAGCTTTTGTAAAAGAGAAGATAACAGAGAAATGGAAAAAAGGGTTGGGGGGGGGGGGAGGGGTTGAACAGGTATTATGCTGAAGAACAGGATGCCAATTCAACCGGAGTAAGTGGGTTGGATCAGATTACTGAAAAATCCAAACAAGATAGGGCCACAACCACATTGAGGAAACCCTAGGATTTAATTGGCAAGGAAAACGTCATGGCACCCATGAAAAGAGAGGATTGAAGAGGCTCCTAAGAGAAATTTGTTCATACCTCTCCTGGTCTGAATGATTAATGCCACTCTGGTTTGTGTTATAATCACTTGATGAACCACTGTTCAGCACATCCAGCAGGTAGTCGAAACGTTCTGCTGATGGGAAATTGGAGTGATCTGCACAAGATGTGGTTTAAATAAGAATCAAAAAAGAAATGGAAGGAAGAGGAACAACAATTGTGATTATGGAAAGCACATCAAAGATGGGAAAAAAATTGCATGCATTTAATACATAAAAGAAAGCATAATAGACCTTCAGAAACTTTCAGCTCATCCATGGAGGATCCAAAATAGGACTGATTGGGTTGTGGTTTTCTAGCCAACTGCAACTTTGAGAGACGCCTTCTCTCAAGTTCAAGGGCTTCATGCTCTTCCATTAGCTGCTTCCTGAGTAATCTTGAGGACTCCCATCCTGTTGGCAATAACAACGGTTGTACATAAGGGGCATGCTGAAAATACTTTGAGAGATACAGATCATACAAATAAACACACTAGAGTTGGAAGATCCGATTGCAGCATTAATCACAAAAAATATCTTTGCGATAAACCACAAAAAATTTGCTTACTTGCACGAAGCTCACAATCCATGTCTACATGGTGCGAGTGATAATACATTGGAGGCTCAAGTTTCTCACAGTACTTCCTGCATTGATAAAAAACACCATGTATGCATATGAGAGAGAGAGAGAGAGAGAGAGAGAGAGAGAGAGAGAGAGAGAGAGAGAGATGTAGTATTATCAAATATCAAGACCATGAATGCCAACATATTTTGAATTCAAACTGTGGTCAGAACGTTTGACCAGCCAAAATATTTTAACAGCCACAAAGTCCTCGGAGGTAACTAAGGCACGAGAGATTACCAGCATTAGAGTGTTGTTAACATTACAACCAGACACATCTATTCAGACAATAGAAAATGCGTTGATAATCTCATAAATATTCTGGACTCATCTGTGTTCTACGATTAAATACTTTGGACAGCATATTGCATAGTCTCAGCAGTAATATACAAGTCAAGTTTCCACAATAATATGCAAAACACTTCAACATCTGTAGTTCTGAATTCCAACAATAGAGGTTCTACCTATATCACAACCAAGAATTTAATATCACATTTTTCAAAGACTAGTCAACATGCAATCATCCAACCATTAAGAGGAAAATAATTAAATAAACCACACATGGAAAAAGTTTTCACCAGAAACAAGAAGGGAAAGGGGTAAATTACCTGTCAATGAGCTTCGATTTTTCCCTATAAGGTTTCACGAGGACACGAGCCCCGCATACATAATGTGGATTTCCTTTTGATAAAATCATCTGCACAGTATCTGCACTAACAAAAGTTACAAAGCCAAACATCCGTTTCTGCTGACAGGGAATTCTTACATCTTCAACTGGCCCAAAGGTACTACAAACAAAACCCAAAACATCAGAAAGAAAAGTTTAGAACACCACAACTGAGGTGCAAAAACCTTGCAAGTCTAAAGTTTGAGACAGAATTACTTGAAGTAGTCAGTGACATCGTCCTCTGTAAAAGTACTCTCAGCAGGAAAAGTCAGATATATTTGTCGGGAACCACTAACAATTGGTCCGGGGTCATTTCTTTCACTCCTGGTCTCCATGTACTTTGGTGCATCTTCCACCAATATCAGTGAGTGCTGCCCATGAGGTCTGTAATGCAACCATTACAAAAGTATTATTTATCGACATAAGAACAAGCAATAAAGCAACAGAAAACACCATGAATGATCATAATCAAACCTGTCAATCAACCGAATGCTGTTTTTCAATCTAGCAAGAAGTTTTGTCAAACTAAAACCAGCTTTACCATGTCTCTGGCTCTCAGTTAGATAGCCTTCAGCTTGAAGATGCCTTCCATATTTCTCATAGTACATCATAGGTAGAGAAGCAATTGAAACAGGGTTGCCTCGTCTAGATTTCAGAAGCTCTGCGATTTCCAATTCTAGTTTCTCAAGTGACCCAGGTAAGAATACTTGATCTTCATCACCAACTTCAATTGAATTAGGACCAAATATATTAGGATAGCTCTCTTGAAAGGATTGTCCATGCACAAACCTACAGTTACTGCCATGCTTACAGAACCCTTTATTGAAATAGTGACAAGCCTTAACTGGAAACTCAGATAAGCTCCGAGAATGTCGGTTTCCCCTGATACTCAGAGTGCCCAATGCAGCATCTGGGTAAAAATAATCACTAGGAAACCCTGAGAGACCTGGATTGAGGGGTTCTAATTGATCCTTAAACTGACGCTGGTTTTGGAACCTCTGGTCTTCAGAGAGGGAATCAGAGAAATTTAATGGGTGGAAATCTGGATGAAGCATAGGGTGCTGCTCAGATTCGATTTGGGGGTCCCAATATGGAGTTGAAACCCGAATCCTTCCTGGGGATGGAAAAGTCTGGGGTGAAGCCGGTGAAAATGGAGAAAACTGAATGGGAAGATCTGGAAGGGAAGACAGGTTCATAGAAAGTGAAATTGGAGGTGAAACAGCCAGTTTTGATCTAAGTTCAAGTTTGGCTTTCTGTACTATGTTGTGGATTAGATTGTCCGGGCCAAAAGCCAACCGAATCATTTCCCGGTCACCATGGTCCTGTAAGAAGATATACCCTATAATCTTTTTTGTAACATCCTCTGGTTCTAGTTCTAATTGCTGGATTCTATTGTGCACAATTTTTGAAGCTTCAAAGGGATCCATCTAACATGAAGCCACTGCATAGATGTTGAATAGCAAAAAGTGTCACTGAAAATGAATGGAGAACATTTAGTTTGAGAGAATAAAATTGTATGCACAAGAATAAAAACAATAGAATTTGAAAATAACAAAAATGGTGGTGTCAAAGAATATCGAATCTGTATGTTGAAAGGCATAGAGAAAGGGGCAGATCTAGCAAACTGTTCATGAAAGAAAGACAATAGAGCATGAAATTTCATAGCCATGAATGAGAAAGAAAAAAAAAATCTCTGCCCACCACCATAGTTCTCATTTTCCAATAATCCAAACCAAAGTAAATGAAGCCTGACAAAGAGAGTGCATCAGAGCTAAAGTTGACACTTTTTCCTGAATCTGGAAAAAGATTTACACAAGTATGATTTGCAGAAAGAATCACCTGTCCAAAACAACAGTTCATTCCAAACATTACACAGAGCCAGAAACCCCTTTTCAGCCTAGAAACTTTAAAGACTGTGTTTTTCTCCATTAAACATTGCAACAACACCACTGAAGAGAATTACAAAGGAGGAATATATCAACAATCACACTGACTCACTGAGTCACAGAGAAACCAACAAAAACTAAGAACCAAAAAAAGTAAGTGTTTTGCACAGAAATGAAATGAAGAAATCCCAACTTGGGAAACCCTTAAATCAAACAAAAGATTTTGATCTACTCTCTCCAAATGATAAATACTAGGGACTCTGAAGTTTGAGTCCTTTTTGAACTCAAAAACTCTCTTTGAGAGATTAAGTCCTTTTGAAACTCAAAAACCTCCTTTTTCAAATGTTTGAAAAAAAGTCACTAACCCATTGTCTCACAGAATTTGAATGGAACCATAACTCCTAGTAAGTGTAATAAAACTAATTCACAGTCATTTTGGTAATTACATACTTCCAAAAAATCATATCTTTACAAGTAAATCAAGAAAGGAAAACTTCAAGTACACTTAATTTGAAGTTCACTTACAAATGGGAAAATGATAATATAGCAAAACTGACTAAGAAAGAGCAACAGATCCAACATACCCACCAAATCTTTCTGTATGATAAAAAGGGCAAAAACTGTCAGAAGAGCATATACTTGAACTTAAACTCCATGCTTATACTTTTGTTATCTTTAGTTTCTCTCCCCCTCCTCTTTCTTCCTCGTGGCTTCGGTTTTCTGCAAATGAACCACCTCCATCTTATTCTCAGAAAGCAAACTGACAGAAATGAGGCATTAAAAAGTCCCATTTTTTATATATATAAAAAAAAATTGTTATTTTATCATATCTTTCTTCTTTTTTTTAGGAAAATTGGTCCATCTCACTCACCACTCTTCACAACTTTTGACACTTGGAAATAATTTTAAATTTACAGCTGGCATTTTCTTATTTAGAAATAAATTTGTTTCTTATGAATTTGTTAATGACAGCTTGAACGTGTGAAATTACATAAATACCTTCTCAATGTTGGAAAACCACAAATAAAAATGACATTAAATTTCCTGAATAAAATATTTCGGAAACCCCAATGTGCTTAAATTAGGAATTTATACATGTCGGACTAACTCAGCGAAACAACATGGAGTTTTGTCGCTAAAGAGACTTGGTCTTTTTTCCTTTTTTTTTTTTTTTTTGGTTTTTTTGGTTAAGTGACTCGGTCATCCCTTCCCTTCAGGCTTCATTGATTGGACCGTTGGATTTCCGTAAGGTTGAGTTAAAGTACAGTAACATTACGAGGACAGGGAAGCTTTTGGATGATTCATATGGATAAGGCTATTATTTTTATATAATATTCATTTTATTTTTATTTTTTATAATTTAATTATAAAATAATAAAATAAAATAAATCTTATACGTTCCACATTTTCATTGGAATAAAAAATAACTAGCATGTCCAATGTACAAAATTTGTAATCTCATCCTCTTATCACCTTACCGTCAAATTCTCCATAACTATAATATTTAAAGATAATTACTTATTACTGTGTTAGAACTGTATTTTTTTAAAAAAATTTGAAATAATTATAAAATATAATTAAAATTTTAAATTTTAAATAATTTTAAAAAATAGTGGGAGTGTTTACAAAAGAATACGTGAAATCATTTAAAATTCTAATAATTAAGTATTTAAAGAGGAAAGTTTTATCAACACCTCTCCTCCTAAATTTGATTGTTTTATATATAAATAGATAGATAGATAGATGGATGCACGACATCGAAAGATATTTTTTTCATACTATAATCGGACCCAATTCAATAGTCAATAAATTTTTTTAAGGTTTGCTTAAGACAATAAAATTGAGATCGATGTTGAAAAAAATATATATAATTTTTAGGACCATGTTATAATTTGTAGGGGTTGAATTATAATTTTTTATAATACTTGGGATCCATCTTTATAATTTAGGATCGATAACAAAACTCCCGAAAATTATAAGTTAATCTAAAAAACTTACAAAAAATTCTAATAACTTATAAATAACTTTATGGTATGGTAGATTTGTCCTACATCAAATTATATTAAAGTAATTGTCATCTATAAGTTCAAAATTTGGATCCATGTTGGAATCATGGAGGTATCATCTAATCTGATTTTTTTAGCCAATCTATCTACTGATGTGATCATTGAAGAGATTTAACCATCTATCCATAATACAAAGAATATCTCTTAGCACCACCTTGTGGTCCTTTTCTAGTTGCAACAAGTGGGACCCATTTTATAAATGAAACTTTACATTTACATAGATAAACAAATCATGTTACACCATTTTAAACATTATTTTAAAAACATATAATTTCACAATCGTATCCGTACTTGTAACCCTAACGGTGTGGGTTGGACTTGTACGAACTATAGGCTCGAACGTTAAAAACTCCAAAATTAAATTAAAATATGTGATTTACCGATAATTACAAGGATCTAGAATTTACACTCGTGAAAATGAGTACAAGGGATTACTTATTAATAAAAAAAATTGTAATTTTGGAACCTCTCTTAAATGCATAAAAAAGTGGAGAAGGTTGGCACAAATGGAGTGTTTTTTAAAAATAAAAAATATAAACAGAAATGAAAGAAAATAACGTAGAGAAAGCAAAATAAATTCATCGATAAAGAAAAAACTAAATAAATGGATTATGGAATTGAAAATGGGTCGGTAATAGAACTGAGGGGTATTATGGGTACTTTGGGAAATAAAAAAGAGAATGTTATGCATGGGTGAACTGTTCAACCGCCAGAATCGTTGGGGGTTCGCCGTCAACGGTAGGACGGAAACTTCACCTGAGAGAGAGAGAAAGGGGGGGGGGGGGGGGGGGTGGCAAATAAGATCAGAAATGATATTGCAAAATCCAGAATAGAGATTCATGGGGGGTGGTTTTGGATCTGCGGTGGAAGCGGCCTTTTTTTACAACTATCATTTTCTATTTATCTCCAACACCCACTTCTCCCGTACAGTTTTGACCCATATACATTGGACTAGGTTTGTCCCATTTTTAATCCGTAGGTACCCATTTAGTACCATTGAATATATATATATATATATTTTTTCGGAAAACTCTACCGTAGTGGAAAAAAAAATTTATATCGATATTGTTCTTATTATTTTATATAATAAAATTACAATTTAAAAAAAAAAGTTACAATTGATCAAAACAGATCATGATCAATTGCAGATATTTATGATTAATCATAAAAATATAATATTAATCCCAACATTCTATAATTGCCAAATTATATGTAAAAAAATTATTTTTTTATTTATTTTAATCAATGATTGCTAATCTTCTAATTTAAAATTAAAGTTTTGAATGAACAATATGAAACTTCCGTCACTAGAAAATCTAAAAAAATAATAAAAAGAAATTATTTGAGGGTGAAGGTTATCTTGTATGTTTAATCAAAAGTGGCACAAGAATGGAGTTGCTATAGGCATAGGACCCATTGAAACAACGTACACCATAATGGCCGGATAGGCCCCATGCATTCACCAATGGGACAAGTATTTGTTGCAAACTTTTTTTGTTTTGGTTGTTCTTCACAATCAAATATAGAATAAAATAATCCTGTCACTGCAAGAAACTCATCAGTTCTCTTATACGCACTAAGATGGTTATATAAACTGAGTTCTAGTGTCGTTATCCCATCTGCCTGCTTGAGGACACCCACATCACTGGATAACCTAATTTCCTAATGCCCATTGCCCAGCAAGAGAGAGAGAGAGAGAACAAAAGTAGTTTTAATTACTTATAGTCTTATAGTATATCAATTTATGATTCGATTTTGTCCAAAAATCATTAGATTTTGCTTCGAAAAACTCTATAAGTCAAAATATACTTAGTCACCGTCTTCATATCATTTACTCTCTATTTCCATCCCATTTTTTAGACGTATGTTTATTCCGCACCATCATTGTTTAGAAGATAAGGCAACTTTCTTGATGACAAAACAACTTCACCTTTTCCCAATTTAATTGACAATGACTTTTGGCATTTGCTTTTGTCTGGCTTTCCATCCATTCTCCATTAACAATAAAAATGCAGTTCCTTGTAATAATTAGAAACGTTTCTTATCATACCTCATTACAAAACCAGTCTTTTTCAATGCTGCTATGTTAGCTTAAGGTCTCAATCAAGGGACAATAGCTGAATTGGTTTTGTATATCCAATTGGTCGTGTTTGATTTATATTCAATTTGATGAGTCCAAAATTAATTGGGTCAAGTTCAATAAATCAAGAGGAGCCCAAGCCACCAACGCGCAGAGGAGTCACCCAGGCCATGGGCGCTGCCCATGGGGACCCCGGGCTCTCATTCGTTTCACGCTCTCTCTTCCTCAGCACCGCTTCAGTGGTGTCCCTCATCTCCTTGCCAGTCTAACCCAACTCAAGGTTCAAGAAGCCCAAAGGATAGGAGCATGTGGGAGAGAACATGGGGATACACATCATGGAGATCTAATCCTACTTTAATTGTACTTACCAAAATAGTAGAAACTCTCTCCCTCACGTCACCGCCTCACTATACCTATATAATATAAGCTCTCTCCACATAGAAAGCATCACATTGAGACCTCTACTTTTTGCCCTCTCTACACCTCCCTAATTTCTCTCTCCAAAAGCATTATAACTCTCTCCGATGACTTTTATTCATCAATAAAGATCTTTGGCCACTGCTGTCATTTCTGAGAGTGGAGTAGGTTACTCGGAACGAACCACTATAAATCTGTGTGTGTTGCTACTATTTACTGTTTTGCCATTTATTGTCTATTTACTACTCATTAATTATACCCTTACATATATTTGACTGTTGATTTTGCGCAATACAATTTTGTGCATCATCACAGTTCATTTAGAATTGTACATAACTTGATTCATATTGTGTTGGGTTTCATATTGTGTATAAGTTGTGTTATAGCAAATTTGCATTATGTTTGGTCAAAATTGTGTCAACTCATTTATTTGGGGCAAACAGGTCCACCAGTATGCTACCAAAGGCTGTTCAGTTGGTTGATACTAATTGAAGTTGCCAGTTGTGTTTATGGCCAAGATCAGTTGGTCACTGCTAAGCAATAGTTGGTAAATGAGGTATCTTCCATATGTATATAAAGAGGTATGAAGTATTACACCTTATCAATAATTGGTAGGGTCCACTACGCTGATAGTGGATTAATAAGAACTTAAAGTAAGCTTTTTGTGGATGTTTCACTCAAGCTGACCAAGTTGTATTCTGCAAAAGAAATTTATAGCTACAACTTTTCTTCTGCTCATCACATTTATTTTCTGTTTTTTTTAATAAATTAGGAGGTATTTGGGTCTCTTAAAGCACCTGATGATGTAAAATAAGTTGTATCATCAGATTTCTTATATTGAGAATTATTAGACATTAAAATATGCAACATAATACAAATCGCTTTGCCACGACAGTAGTGCTCTTCTGACAAATTCCGTACATTCCAAATTAACGTTTTTATAACATCTTTCCTGTGAAGTTAGGCTAAGTGTGATCATTTTTTCACGATGATTTCTTTGCATCCCATTACTATTGCATCTTATAGTCGCTTGTCCACTTGGGTTGACAAATATGACATGTAGTTTCCATAAGTAGGCAAACTTTGACACAGGATTTTGAAAGACAGGTAGACAAACAACAACATTGTTTTTGGTTTTATTGTGGAGGATTTGCAAAGGAAGCACCAAGGGCCTCACACCCTCAAATTTAA